ATGTGTTTCGGCTATCTCAAGGTCGTGTGTATTATGTTTTGCTGTCGTTAGCCAACTTGGCGACGTCCTGTAGCGAGAGACAAGCTACTGTCCCTAGGGACCTGCTTTAGGTACTTGAACTCTAGTTTACTGGCTGTGACTACCCGTCTGGGTCGTGGCACGTGTCGCTGACTTTCTTGTTTGCAGGCAAATTCACCACTTGCTATTATAGTATGCACGCTAACACAATATGTTTATGTCTTTTACCTTAAGACTATAGGCAGACAAGTATATTAACTAGCACTACTAAAATAATATAGCTAACTATATAACGTTTTCTTAGTCTTGCTATTAAAGCACTAAGAGAGTAAGGTAGGCGTAAAATAAGCGCCTTTAACAATGCTAGCGTTAGAAGACCTAGATAATAAATAAAAAGTAGAAGTAGTCTTAAACAAAAGACATAAGGCCGGCTAGACCAAATACCTAGTACGTTAGATAGGCTAGCTAACTAAATACAACTAGTAGGTGTTAAAAAAAGATATAGAAAATGCGCACGCAATAATTAAGCGGTATACGCGCAGCAAGCGCATAAAGACAAAAACATATAAGTAAGAGCCTAAATTAATTTAACCGGCTAAAAGGCCTTATAGAAGACTATGCAAAACTATCTAAAAAGCCTTTAAAGCGACGCTATACTAGCCGCTACCCTAGTATAAGCCTTGTTTATAATATACACCCTTATTATAACGCCGCCCTAGGAAGGGGACCGACGCAGGCTACGCGCAAGCCGTACGCAGTATGCGCACAGCGTATTAGATGCACATCGTAAACTAGAAGCGGTGCTAGTGGCGCAGGCTGCGTGGCGCAGTCTGCGCACAAGCCACAGCACGTGCTAGCGCACGGGCCAAGTAGAAACGGGGTCGCGCCTATCCTGCGCACTTGGTGCGCCAGAGGTGCGCCTACAATAAAGAGCGCCTCCCGCACTCCCTTAAAGTGCAGAAGGCAAGAATTAGCTATTAAATATACGGCTGCTTCCTCTTATTAAGAAGATACCTCCTTGCCTGCCTAACTTACCTAGCCTACCTAAGTACACCTTTAACAAAAAGTATAAAAAAATAAAGAATTATAATAAGTATTACTTAAAGTATACAACTTATAATAAAATAAGATATAAAATAAAAAGTATAAAAAAAGTTAAAGTAAGACTTTATCTTACTCCTTTTAAATTTATTATTAACAAGCGTTTACAAAATATATATATACTATAATAGCAGTATAGTATAGTAGAACGCTTAAGGCGCTTAGCAAAGCTTGCTAAGCGTTATTTCGCTTATTCGCCGTCGGTCGTCGAATCCGGCTTAGCGCCCTCGGCGGGGCTCGGTGATACTTTTTCCTACTACTAGGCAAGACTCGCCGAACGCCCTATTCCGGCCCCGCTAAGCCTTACGCGGTCCGCATATACTTTATTCCGCGGGCCTGCCTAAATTATTACTAATTCGTGCTAGCATTCTACACTCTAGTTAATCCCTTTATAAATAGGAGGTGCGTAATAGCGCAACCTTAAGCGGGTGTAGCATAGCTAAGTAGCTGTGCTTTGCCTTGTTTATGTGTTAAGATAGTTTGTTAAGTTTAACGCTTAGTAAGCGGTAGGTTGCCGAACCGGTGCGTAGGGCAAGTGCGTGGAATACCTTTATAGTTTAAAATATTTTAAAGAAATAAGCTTAGTTTTATATAAAGGTTTAGCCTGATAAGAGAAGTTACTATTAAGTAAATTAAACTAGTTAAAAACAAAGCTAAAAAAAAAACAGATATCTATATAAGCAGCTATTCCTCCTTATCCTTTAAGCTGTTCCTTCTCTTCCCTCGTCCCTACCAAGTCCCTTCTTACTAGCTCTAGCTTCTTATCTAAGTAAGTTACCGGCGAGCATAGCGTGTCTAAGTAAGTTACCGGCAAGCATAGCGTCGAGTAGTCTGCCGCTAAAGCGTAGGGTGCGTAGCTTGGCTAACCTAGCTATTCCAAGCTAAGAGCAGAGCTAAGGACTTACATTAGGTTATAGCTTGTTATATATAGTACGGTTATATAATTAGCTTAAAACGCGCATTATCTAGATAGTGCTAGATAGACTTTTAATTAGATAAATTTCTTAATTACCCTTTATTTATATTAAGAAACGATAAGTTTTTAAAATTCTCTAACTAATTAATATAAATAGCTGTATAAAAAAGGGCTTTTATTTATAAGAGTATATGTTTTTTAAAAAACCTATTTTCAAGTACATATATAGATATTTTAAGTTATTTTTATTTAAAGCTATATCTTTATAAAGCTATTAATAAAAAGTAGTAAAACTCTTTGAAAGTATATATAGTAATATAGGTAAGCTTATAATTAAGGTTTAGTTAAAGTCTTAAAAATATACTTTTACCTGAAATATGAAACTGTTTAGTTATTACATTTTTATTTGATGAGTTATATATTTTTAAACACTCGCTGTTTTTGCTGTAAATTGGGGGCGATTAAGAAGTCTGTCTGATTAAAAGTCTGTCCAGCACCACCTATGGTGGTGCACGTTTTCGTGGCCATTTTAGGTGGGGCGTAGCACGAGTACTACTGAGTACGGAGGTCCCTACCAAAAGTTCTTCTCACCGCTTTGGGAAAATAGGAAGGTGGGTATAGTGCTAGTAACGTATTGCTACTGTATTTACTACGGCAGTGTTAGCGTAGTGCTATGTGCTAAGCGCCCTGTAAAAATATTAGTAATCGAATTAGATTGGCGATAATATCCACTAAGTTCTAGCGTGCTATCGCTAATAGCTTTCTCCGTATAATTTACACTCTGCACTATGTATTGCCGCAGTTATAGAAAAGCGGTGAGAGCGAACTTTTGGTAGGGACCTCCGTACGCCTTAGTGCAATGCCTCGGAATGGATAAAATAGTACCCGGGACAAATCTCGCGAGATTTTGAGCTGGAATTATTAAGTGCAAGGTATGGATGTGTTTTGCGATGGGCGTCCCGTGCTAATAGTTGCGCATCATTCCTACGCTGTTGGCTGCTATACAAATTGAACTCATTCTTTATTGAGCAGTATGGCTCGCTCCTTGTATTCATATGCTATCCATCGCCTTGGATGCGTATCTTCTTTGGCCGCTCTTTCAACACGATCAGATATGGCTTCGTGCTCGATCTCCCGTCCAACATCTATCATTTGGCGCGCCGTTTCAGCCATTCGGCCTTTTTCTTCGAACCCTGCTCCTATGGCCGCAGTTTCTTCCCGCAACCCCGTCGGATCTAAGTCACGAGCAAAACGCGTTGCAGCTGACAGAGACCCAAAGATCAAGATCCTGGACAAAGCCCTGTATAAACTCAGATTTGTTCCGCCACCATTACGCATGGGCAGGAATCGATATCTTAGACACTGGACAATACATCGTGCGTGGCTGCTACTTCGACGCCAAAATCGAGACCGGAGGGAACGGGAGCTTATGCAGCAATATCAAAGCATAAGCAGTGCTTGCGAGGAGCTGCGAAAAACAGCGGGACCAGGAAAACGCGACTTGGGATATCTGTATCGGGTCGCCATAGAAAAAAAGGGGGTATGGCGTCATGACGGTATACCTATCGAATATGCCCGCCCACAAACGGAAACACCTGCAAGAGAACCCTGGAATCACGACTGGAAACGGTGATCAGTTAAATAGCAACAATTGGATTACATACTGAATTATTATCACCAACATACGCGCGCAGTCCGATTAGGTCCAACATTGCAATAGTCTGCGGCCTAAGCTCGGCATTTTCTGGTGTCGAAACTTCCCAGACACATGCTTACATATTGATTCAATGCTAGCTCCTCAGTGTTATTAGGTCTTATTAGTACAAGTCGTGTCGTAGTTCGTTACAAGCTGTAGGTTGCTTGCTTTTCTGTCAGCGCCGACGAAACTCTTGGTCTGAATCGTTCGCCGCCCCCGGCAACCTTCCGTAAAGTGTTAAGCAAGATTACGTCGCCCGGATCTATAAAATCACACAACAGCCGCCCCCCTCTCCTTTCTCGAACGTGAGAAGAGCTGCTCGCGTGGCCGCCTCGAAAACATCATCGACTCCTTCTCCAGATAAGCTAGAGCACTCGAGGTACTTTCGCGCTCCTACTTCTTTCGCAGCCGATTCGCCTTCATGTCTGGTGACAAACCGCTGGCTCCGTTTTCGCATTTCTTCGATAGCTACCGGGTCCTCGCGGAGGTCCTTTTTCAGACCGACTAAAATTATAGGCACGTCAGGACATCTCTCCGTCGCCTCTTCAACCCACTAACATAAGCAGGTTAATAATTGCCTATAGCTTACTGCCATTTCAGTGAGATATAAACGTACCTTATGCTTCACGTTATCCAGTGAGTCCGGCGTGTCGACCGAAAATCCTATCAAGATAACATGGGCCTTTGCATATGCCAGTGGTCGTAACCGTTCATAGTCTTCCTGTCCCGCCGTATCCCAGAGCGCCAGTTGGACATTTCTCCCTTCCACTCGACAGTCCGTCACGTAGTTTTCAAAGACTGTAGGAATCTACAACCCATGCCAGTCATCAGCAAGCGTTTCGAACAATATGACAGGTGTCGTTCGGTACATGGTAACGATCGCTGGGTCTCGCAGTGATGTTTGATTCCGATTATTGGTGGACTTGAAAAGGCATTGCTTACATAGTGCTGTAAACAAGTAGTTAGAGTCTAGCATCAGTGTGCTGGGGATATATATGGGCGACATACCGTTGGAAAGTAACCTAATGTGAAAACGCTCAACAAACTTGTCTTCCCGCAAGCACCATCGCCGATGATGACTAGCTTCCTAGTTACTCAAGAGTAGCGTCAGAGTCATCCTGTTACAAGCCAGCCTGTTACAAGCCAGGCCCTTAAGAGACAATGCAAAGCCAAATACCTGCGTATCACATCACGAGCGCTGTTCGGACTCGCCATTACGGTCGCGAAAGGATGTGCTTGCTTGGGTCTGGTGCTCGGCGAGTGGTAATCGAGATGGCGTTGCGTTGTACCGGGTCGTCGTTGTTGTGCTCGTTTTTCAGTATCAATGCTTCCAAGCAGCTGTAGAGGAGCTAAGAAAATTGATGCGAACGTAGGATATCTGAAGCGCGATAATCTGAGCTACCCGAAAAGTATTCGTTCTCGAGAAAAGGGAGGTAGAGAAGCTTGGTGTGAAATAAAAGGAGGAGTTGCATAATACGTACAGCGTTCGGCGTTTCCGCGACCGTCAGGAAATTTTGAGGGGGCGTTGATCATATCCCTGACCAATAAATATGGCTTACATAAGCATATTCCAAGCCACATGCCTCTTAGTCCCACTATATCTTAATTCCAATAGTTAGTACGGAGTACTCCGTATTATTACTCCCGTATTTCAATTGCTCTGTGGAGTACACTTCGTATGAAGTAAAAAGCAAAATGCGCATAGTCGTAGGGAGTACTCTATACACCGTATAAATCTATAATCTACGGTATGACCGAATATAAGTGCACCGCATGCTTATGGCATATTCCAGCTGACAGTCTGCAAAATCAAAGAAACTTGCAATCTTAGTATTAAGTTTCGAGTCATGATTGGTGCCAGGAGCAATTAATTCTAATGGTTGTCCATTCGTTCGTATTATTACTGAGAGTAAGGCTCCGAGTTATGCTAAGGGTCTGTATATTCAAACTCTGACTAACGCACTTAACTTCATAGGCGTATCACCGGTTTAATCATGTTCAGGTCCTACTTCAGATTCACTATATACTACGTCGTACTCCGTAAACCAGAACACTATGTGAAATGAACGCCATCCTAGATAATCGTCCCCTAGCGATTCCCAGTAGCCCATGGTCACGTGACCACACTTTGAAAATGTCAACTGAAGTAGCCTACGGTACTCGCCACAAGCCACAACTTGGGCAGGTACACCCCGGAACCTCCACCTCCTCCCACTGCCGGGTGATCAAGTTCGTTAGAAGAATCGGCCAAACCTCTAACAATCAAACAAGACACACACCCTTGTGACTGTATCGCGACACCGCGACCGCGCCCATCTCATCGCAGCGCCATATTTATAGTTTTGCATCGAATAACGAATCGCTCTGATCTCTGTTCGCCTCGCCCCACGGCGCACTGGTGCAATTTGTGAGTTTCCAATTAGGACGACCAGACTTCGACATTGTTAGCCCCCTCTGTCAAGCTGATTGTGGCATATTGCGTCGCTCTGGTTACATAATTGTATTGAAGCATGGCATGTTTCCTATCTGGCCGCTGCTTCTGGCATGCTAATTGCAGCATCAACATATAGACGCCCTTGACTCAGTATCGACATTTCGCGTTTTGCCTTCTCGTCTCTCCTTCTCGGCCCCTCCATGTACCGACAACACCACGTCTCAGATCTAGGAGATTTCTAGTAGCCATGAAGGGGAATCGCCGGGGCTCGCCACCAGCAGCTTCTATTGCAGCAGCCTCTGTTGCCATACCAGCGCCGTCTGCGTCGCCTCCAGCAGCAGCGAAACAAAAATACACCAATAAAGATGGCTCGAAGTTTATTACCGTTCCGAAGCCCGCCACCATCGAATCGCACCCGCTACCGTTGTCTCGTGAAAGCTCGCCTGTTCAAGACATTCATGCTCAAGGGGCTACACTTGACGGCCCCGGGTTTGATAGCCCCGCACCCACTGTCAACCGCAAGAAGGCGAAGCGCAGGGCAAAGATCGCTGCAGCAAGGGAGAAGATTGGAGCGGACGGACCTGTAAAGATTCAGTCAAACGACACCACAAACACCGTCCCGACAGCAGGCAAGGGACGGCAGTGGTCCTCCCCAACGCGGCTAAACGACGATATAGAGGCCAGCGGTGACGAGGCTGATGAAAATCTGTCCAACCAGATCAATGCCGAGGCTGACAAAAACAGTGTATCGGCAAACTTGGGCAAGTCGAAAAAGGCCAAGAAGAAGAAGAAGAAGAAGGACAACGATATATCTGCTGTCGGCGCGAATAACGGGGAGACCGCATCGACGGCCATTACTTCTCATTCGGGTCGGCTCAGGTCAATGTCCTCTAAGGAGAAAATATGGAACACCAACTCTCAGGAAGAGCGCCGGCGGATCAAAGACTTTTGGCTTGACTTGAGTGAGGAGGAACGAAAATCTCTCGTCAAGGTAGAGAAGGATACTGTGTTGCGGAAGATGAAGGAGCAACAGAAAATGACGTGCAGTTGCCATTTTTGTGGACGCAAAAGAACAGCTATCGAGGAGGAGCTTGAAGGCTTGTACGATTCGTACTACGAAGAGTTAGAACAGTACGCCAACGACCCGACAGGGCGCCAAAACCCCCCTTTGATGTCTTCGAATAGGCACTTCACTGCCTCTCATATTTCACATTCTCATATCCCCTCCTCAACCTATACGGGCCAGGAGCCATCTCGAGGTCAAATTGTTGGGCATGTGGGCGAAGATGACGAGGAACATGGAGAGTACGACGACGACCTCGACGATGAAAGCGAAGGCGAAGATGAGGGCGAACAGAGGCAGGACGGCGACAGCCCAGAGCCTTTTCCCTTTGGGAACTCATTGAAGGTTCACGGTAAATGAACGCTCTGCCCACACAACTGATAATCTACAAGAATCTAATATATATATTAGGTGGCATACTAACCGTAGCAGACGATCTTTTGAAAAATGACGGCCAAAAATTTATCACGATGATGGAGCAACTAGCCGAAAGCAGGATGGCCCGTGAAGAGGATGCCAGAGACAGGTACAGCAGCCGCAGTGGCAGCTTTGTCCAGAACGGGAATGATGGAATCCACAATCACAGCCACCATACTGTTTCTGACGAAGACAACTACAGCCCCGAAGAAGATGGGGATGAGGAATATGACAGCCCAGATGAGGACTATGAGGACGAAGAGGTACTATATTACTTTCCCACTCCACTGTGCCTCATCGCCGTCGCCGTTACATTAGATATGTGTGTGCCCCACGTATCGGCGGTGCCATGACATACTGGGGAGCCTTGGTATAATCACAGATTATGGTTCAAAAGCTAAATGCCGCTGATCACAGGAAGTCATGACTGAGGCGCAACGCATGGAGGAGGGGCGCCGTATGTTTCAAATATTCGCAGCTCGCATGTTCGAGCAGCGAGTACTTACTGCCTATCGAGAAAAGGTGGCAAAGGAGAGGCAGCAAAAGCTTCTTGAAGAGCTTGCTAATGAAGAAAGCCAAGAATCACTGCGAAAGGCTAAAAAGGCTAAGGAGGCACAAAAGCGGAAGGATAAAGCAGCGCAAAAAAAGCAGGCACTTGCAGAAGAGAAGGCTCGCAAGGACGCAGAGAAAGCTGCTGAAGAGGCCGAGCGACAGGTCGAAGAAGCCTTGAAGGCAGAAGAACACAGGCAGAAGGCTGAAGAGAAGCGTAAGAAACGGGAAGCACAAAAAAGACTTGAAGAAGAGGAACGCCTGAAAAAGGAGGCTGAACGGCAGCGCCGCATCTGCGAACAAAAGGAACGACAGGCAGAGCAGGAACGAAAGACGCGCGATACCAAAGAACGCGAACGGAAGCGACGGGAGGAAGTCCGGCAAAAGGAACAAGAAGCACAGGACAGAAAAGAGCGGGAAAGCCGTCAGCGAAAAGACAGGGACGAGCGCGGGAGGGGAGACAAGGAAGCAAAAGCAGGGGGGCCTGCCGCGAAAACCCGTCAAAAACCAGATGAACGGATGGTTTACAAGACAGTCCCTTTACCTGCCGTCCCGGCACTGCCCCTGGTTCCAGCTATTCCGATATCAACGGGGCCAGCACAAGCTTCGCCGACAGCACCGTCGCAAACTTCTATCAGCCTGCCGAAGCGGCCCTTTCTTTCACACCAGAACCATTCGCACCAAAGTCAGTCGCAGTCACAGCAGCCTCTAGGGTTTACTACTGCCCCTGCTCTTCCACAGCAGCCGGCACTACCGGTGGGTCATGCCTCCCCTTCAATCCCCGTTGCTGCCCCAGCAATTCCGAAGGTTCCAACGCCTATTCGGGCTCGGCAGCCATCGCAACAAGGAGGCAGCGTGGGGGGGAGCCAAAGCGGTACTGCTTCTCGAACCGCCTCCTTGTCTGGTTCTGGGCAGAGTCAGAATGCGTCGCCGAATCCGATGACACCAGTACAAGCCAATATAAGCTCGTTCGGCCTAGCAAAGGCAAATACGGGTGCGAGCAGCCTGGGCCAAGGTGCAGCCAGCCTGAGCCAGAATCTTTCGCAGGCCGCATCGCCACTATCTGCCCCGACACAGCAGAATAGCCCATTTTCAATGGCACCCTCTCCAATCAGCATGCACTATCCTCTAGGAATTACCCCAGTGTCTCTACCTCCCGGACTAGGTCTCTCGTCACAATTTGGCCCGTTAAGCGGAGGTAACTTTCGAAACTCTGGTCCCCCATCTGTGATGCAAATGCCTCCCGGCATGAACGGGCTGGGCAGGGGATTTGGGCCCATGGTACCTCCCCCGCCTGGCTTTGGGCATCACTTATCCCAAGACCAACTAGGAACACCTGCAGCGATAGGAAATTTGCTTGGAACGGAGAGCAATGGGGTGCATGTCGGCCATACACGGCAGCCATCAGCGGGGTATGATACTGCTTCCTCACCAGCACCAACGACGCAGCCTATCGGACGACCGGCACCAATTGGGCGTCCTGGAAGTGTGGTTCATGGCCAGCACGCCGATTATGGATTTCCGGCAGGGGCTTTCACCGCTAACAGCGATAACGATAACCCACATCACCTAGGTTCCAAGGCTCTCCTCGACGACTCCGACTTTGCGTTGGACTCGTTTTCTAGCAGACGGCCCATTGCGCCAGCCCGACCTGCTTTCGGACCTGCGTCAGGACCGTTTGGGGTAGATCTCGTGTCTCCCTTTGGCTCCCAAGCGTCGCTCTGGGCCAGTGTCCCACCTCACACAGTTTCCAACTCTTTTGCGGGTGGTCCACCGCCGGGTTTCCCTGGCGGAGGTATGGCTCCTGGAGGCTGGGGTATGCCTGTGAACTCGATACCGTTTTCCTCGCATGGTACTTTAGGAAGATCGTCTCAAGCCCGTTCCGTTACATTACGCCAGATTCTCTGCCGAACATGCAAAGAGTTATCTGAGAGCAATGACGGCGAAGGTTATCAGGCCATAACCAACAATGTTGTGAATGACGGCTTGATACCAATCGAAGCGGTCAAGGGCTGTGTCAATACTCTCGCACACAACTATCTTGGACCTGTTCAAGACTCCGAACTAGATATTTTGTATGACACGGAGGGCAACAGCAACAATGGTGGTGGAAATTTCGAGGTCCATCGGGATCACACCAACTCGGTGACGGCAATTCGGTGGATTCCCGACTCACTCATACCGCACCTCGGCTCGCCAGCGGCAGCCGCCCCAGCTGTCGGGTGTAGTGATGGAAACACGGCGCCAATTGGCGTGGCACCCTCACGTTAGAAGGTCAACGCAGGATTGACTGACTGTATCTACAGTCGGAGACATGAGCTCAAGCGGCAAAGACCTCAGACAACAGAGGAATACCCTTAGTTCGGACTTGTCATTTTACTGAAGGATGTCAACTCTTTTATCGTTGATGCTTTACTTTGGTGACGGTTTGGCAGAGTGCTTCAGCGAGGCAGGATGGACAAGGGTAGGTCTGTGCGTGTTGTTCTTTAGCACCTATGCCGAGTATCGGTGCTGGCCTTGACCGTCATTGCTACACGGCTACTCTGCAAATATGACGCTTTCACTACTGGCAAGTTTCCAGTGTTCATGTATATTATGTGCAATCTGTGCTTGGGTACGGAGTACATATGGCAAAATGCACTTGATCCGGGATCTTGCGAAATGGCACGTGACAGCGAAGGACGTCCATATTAGTCCCACAAATGATATACGGCACTCCTTTGACTCCACAAATCACAAATCAGCCTTGTCAGCCACGTAATAACACCGCGCGTCAAAGCTGTGATATTATGTACTCCGTACTCCGTACGGGCCATTAATCCTGTCGGTCTTATCACGAAATAAGGCGGGCAGATGTCAAGGAATTGGTCGGCCCTGGCCAAAGAGTGCAAGGCACGCTGGCTTGTTGGTGTGTCATCCGTTATTAGAACGATGTCCTGCCTGTCGAGAGCAAAGTCAAGCTGCTTCTGTGAAGCTCTAGAATGGAGCGCACTGTGACCGTTCTGACTAATGTCAGAAAAGCGGCCTCTCATTGGTCAGACATATAAAAGTGGGGAATAGCCCCAGTGAAATCTCTGCACCAGTGAAGGCCCGCGCCATGTACTCCTTTCTAGCTAGATACATCACGCATATCATCAGCCACATTAAGCAGACCCACACACAGTGCTTCGTATCCCCTGCCATTAGCATCAGTTGTGACAGCTTCTTCTCTTCCTAAAAAGTGGGGATGAGAGGTCTTTCCCATTCTGGACGTACTGTGTAAGCATCTTATTGCCCGAGTCTTGCTGCGAGGCTAATTCCATTTCGTAGTCGCTTGCGCGGCGATGTCTGCTTTCCAGACCATAGCCTCAGCTCTAACGCGTCCTTCCCCCTTTTCAGGGGGAGGCACAGTTCCGTTCCTTCATGCTCCTTTCTTCTTCTACCCTATATACTCTGGTTTTGCTTGTAGCCGCGAAATTTTGTCTTTCTGTCTGCTCCTTCAATAGTCCAATCTCAAATCGATATTTTACACCCCAATTCCTCCTTTCCGGCTTACTCCAATAACTTTATTTGACGTGAAGCCGAATTCGCCGCTTCTACAGACCCAAAAGTCGACACTAGGCACTGTTTAAAAAGAAGTCAGACAGCTCGTCCGAAGTGGAATATCGAAACGCTGGCCAACGTCATCCTCTGAACGATATGCGGTTGCCGAGACACAAAGACGCAATTCTTGGACTTGCCGCTCTCCAGGTTTACTGCTATCACACAGCAGCCGCCACCGGGCCAGTGGAATGCCTCCATACTCACTCGTCTGAGCTCGCCCAGGTAATAGCCTGTGGGCACGAGGGCAGCATCCAGCACTGCCTTTCGAAGCGGTTGCCGCAGGAGCCCTACCTCTTCACGCAGGAGGTACTACAGGCATGCCTAGTTGATGCCGGCTGTACCGTTGAAGAAGCCCATATTGAAGCCGCATGGTCCATAAAACGATGCGAAGCCAGCCTCCAGAACGGCTTGCTAGGAGATCTTCGCCGGCGCGTGGAAACAATGACGAGTTCAACCTCGGATAAGACGAGTACAACGACAGCCTCCTCTGCTTCCTCAACTACCACTGATGCAACGGCCACCTCTACGCCTGAGACCACCGCCATATCTACTACCTCTGCCTCTACCTCCTCTACCTCCTCTGCCTCTGCGTCCTCTGTTTCCTCTGCGTCCTCTACCTCTTCTGCGTCCTCTGCCTCTTCTTCCTCCTCTGCCTCTGCTACGTCGAGCACTGCCACTTCAAGCACATCGTCGAATACGTGCATAACGACGACTGAAAAATCAACCAAGGTCTGCCCGACCCAGTCAACAGGATCCCAGTCGGGCAAAACATTGTCCTGCTATCACACGACCATAGCAAGCACCACATGTGCCCCAGGTCTCCTCTGCGAGACTGATAGCGGGGTGACCTCTTGTATGGTGCGGCGTGACTCGCTTGACGTGGCGGGCATCATTATTTCCATATGTTTTTCTGCAGTCATCGCATTCACCGCATTTTCCATATGTTTCTGTTGTTGTCGGGAACGACGCCGAAACAATCGCATAGTCTTGGCTGCCGAGGCCGCGGCTATCTCCAAGCAAGCTCTTGACAAGAAGCGACCCAGTACTAGTTTTCGGACTGCTACACCTCTGACTGACGCACAGCCTCTGACGTAATATGTAACCAGCGACATTGCAGGCTCCAACCAAACGTCCAGGCAGTTGCGCTGGTGGTGACAAGCGACAGGTTTTTATATAAGTGGTGAGCAGCTAGTAATAGTCTCGAAAAGTACTTTGGCACAATTATTGAAGAGCTCAAAATACCTCGCTTAAAACGCTACCTTTATGCTCATCTGACCTGATTCGTCTAATACGTTGCCTACGAGAGTACTGCCTTGCACGCAAAATGCCAATTTCGGTATATTCTTTGTAATCTGTACCTTAATATCAGTAATAGTGCTTGGGAGCAAATGGTTAGCTTCGTCACGTGGAGCTATTTTCTTGTCGGCTTATGTGATTACCAGAACGGTTATCTTTATCTTATACTCCGTATTTTTGCCACAAACGCATTCCGTACGGAGTAACCTTCGAACCTCTAAACTTCGATTCTACAATAAGCCAGAGAGCAACTCCAAGAACTAGCATAAAATGGATTACCAGAATCGAGTCGGATCCAAGTTCGGCGGCGGCGGTGTCGCCTCGCAGAGCGCAACTAATTCAGACCGCCGAGAGCGATTGCGCAAAATAGCACTTGAGTCGATCAATCTTGACAGCGACCCTTATTTCTTTAAGAATCACTTAGGGACGTACGAGTGTCGTCTCTGTTTAACTGGGCACCAGAATGAAGGTTCTTACCTCGCACACACTCAAGGAAAAAAGCACCAAACGAACCTCGCACGGCGAGCTGCAAAGGAGCAGCGGGAGGGCCTCCGGCGAGATATCGACCCAGCGACCGGTCTGCCAATGGGCGTGGCTGGTGCAGGGTTTTCGGCGCTGGGCTTCGGTGACGGCGGTCAGGGGGCAGCGCGGCGGCTTGCGGTCCGCATCGGCCGACCTGGATACAAGATCATGAAGGTGCGCGACCCTGTAACGCGGCAAATGGGGCTGCTTTTCCAGCTGCAATACCCCGACATCGGCCAGGACGTCACACCACGCTGGCAGGTTACAAGTGCTTTCAGCCAACGGGTCGAGGATCCAGACCGCAACTACCAGTACCTCCTCGTCGCTGCCGATCCGTACGAGACGTGTGGCTTCAAGATCCCGGCGCGCGAGCTGGATCGGCGCGAAGGGCGCACATTCGATTATTGGGACCGCGATGCGCGTGAATATTGGGTACAGGTCCTTTTCGTCACAGAGCGAGAGGAGCGATTCAACGCTGCCCCCGGCTTGACAAGGCGGTCATGACGACAATCAGCGATCTACCTCATTGGGGACGTGGTCTATTCTGGAACTTGAAAAGTTGCTAGTCCCCTGCAACTCATGTTCTCATGTCGCAATAGGCACGCCCGGCTGGTGGGGATCATAGCCAATGCAAGGCATCTACTCCGTACTCGCAGACGGATAATGCAGCCTGAAGGGCGGGGAACGTCTTCCTTTGTTAGCTTGTATCTACTATGATCAGGGTAATCTGTAGTGCAGGTCCCTTGTTATGGATGGTTATCACCTTGAAACCGTGCCGTAGCAGGCAGAGCCTCGATGTTAGTCTTATGCGCTATCTGGCAGCACTCCCTCCTGTTTGAGTGAAATGTTGCCTGAAGCTTTGAAAATGAATATCACCTAGTATTGTCCTACCATCATTCAGTGAGGCGAATCTTTCTGTACAGCGTCCGACTTGCACACTCTTAGAGCCATAGCTATGGTTTTGACAGGCTCACGTAAATTCTCCGTCGCTTTATATCATGAGTACACGGTACTGGTTTCCTCAACATGCAAGATCCAATATGAAGGGATAAACAAAATCGCACAAAATAGCTACAGTAAGTAGCCAAACACTAACCGGGAGCTACGTGTGCTGTCTAGACCGTTGCCATCGCTCATGCCCATCATATCTACACCACTAAAGCGAGCATCTATGGATCATCTGAAATTGTTGTCGAACCGCTTGAAAGTATACCCAATGAATGGAAGACTCATCTCCGGGCTTTCCTCTTGCTGTGTAGGGCGTCCCTGGGCGGCTTGCTGTGCCTTCAGAAGAGTGGCATTGTCCGTCTGGTCAATCTCATCGGTAGGGAAATACGTCGTATCAATATTTGACGTAAGGCGAGGTTCGAAGGGAGCACGGATTCGACGAAGGCTATCAAACTCCACCCCACGGAAGAAGGTATGGCTTTTAATCTCATGTGCACCACCACGCCCCAGACGGTTCTCGGAGTTGCAGATGAGACTGTCTTGTCAGCAATTTCTTTGAGTGAGTGACGTAGAGTTCTAATAAAACCAAACGCTGTGGCAAATGCGTACCTTCGGATCAAATTCTCAGCCTCCACTCCCAGCTGTATATCGTCGGGAAAATACAAGCTTTGGCGCCAAGTGACAATTTTGTGGTATGTATCATGCCGGTCCTCAGCACAGAAAGGGGGCCAGCCAACCAGACATTCGAACATAATAGTTCCAAGCGACCACCAATCGCAGTCAAAACTGTAGCCATGGCCGGTGAAAATCTCGGGAGCGATGTAATCCGGCGTTCCGACGGTCGAATAGGCCATCAGTCTCCGAGAGCGCCTCCAATCATTGATCTGAGACCGGTTGCTGACAGTTAAATTGATTTGATCAATAGCCACCGAGTTTCGGTCACCGCGTGGGCGACTGCTCTTGCCCTGTAGCAGTTGTTGGTAGTAGTTGTTGTCATGGAGCTTATGGAAACCGGTTGAAAGGCCGAAGTCTGTCAGTTTCACATGGCCCCCGCGATCGAGCAGAATGTTGTCAGGTTTGATATCACTGGTTGCCCGTCAGAATCTCAACGCGACGAAACACAAAAAAAGATGACCAGCAAGTTGTGCAGCAGCAGTCGTAGTAACCCGGACAATGGACACTGAGAAAGACTTACCGATGAATAAATCCGAGTTTGTGAACAGCCTCGATGGCGAGGACAATCTCAGCGATGTAGAACCGGGTAATGTCCTCGGAAAAAATTTCATACTTTATCAGCATCGTCATCAAATCTCCACCTGGCAGAAACTCCATCAACATGTACAAAAAATTCGCGTCTTGAAACGTAGTATAGAGTTTGACCACCCAAGGGCTGTCGGATTCGGCGAGGATGTCTCTTTCAGCACGAACATGTGCTAGCTGGTCGCGCTTGAACATCTCCGTCTTGATCAATGACTTCATCGCATACACCTTATTGTCGGCTTTCTTCTGGACGAGCTTCACCTCGCCAAAGGCACCCTTTCCGATGATCTTGACGGTCGTGTAGTTTTCGGGTTTATCCTTCGTCCGGAGGAAGCGTAGATAAGAGCCCTCCCTTCTGCCTGTAGTCGACCAAATCTGCTCCTTTCGAACGGCAGACTGGTTTGGTTCAGAGAGTTTCTGCTCCATTTCACTTTGCCTAAACGATAAACGGCATATTAGAACTCGAATTGATTCAATTTGTAGCGGCACATGCATAAACATAACGCACAAGGCATCACGCTACACGTATGTGGGCCAAATTGTTGGGCCCATCAAGGTTATTAATTGTGTAAACGACATACCTTTGATTCCTTTCTCGAGCTCGCTTGACGCTGTCTTTGAAGAAGTCAGCAGCAAGCTGTGAGCATTTTTTTTGGTTGTTGTTTGCATTAGGGCCATATCGATCGGGGTTCCTTTCCGGGGCAGCCTGGAACTCCAGCCTCCCAAGAGAGGGCTGGGCTGGAATGGGTGTGTTCAGGTAGTTGCTATAGTTTGCCGGTTGCGAGGGCCCGCCGGCTGTTCGTGGGCGCTGGGAAGGCGACGGCCCACGGTTCCCATAGGGCGCCGCACGAGCGGCACCACCCAAATTCTGGTGTGAGAACTGGTGGGCAAGACCAGTATTCGGATCTGTGCTTGAGCCCGCCAACTGAGAATTGGATCGAGGCTGGTAGATATTGTTCACGCTGGCGGAAGTCGTGGCAGAATTTGCAGATGCCATACTTCCGGGCCCCGCCCCATTGCCATAATCTACACCAAGACTGCCAGACTGTTGAGGAACGTACTGTGGTGGGTACTGGTTTTGCGGAAAATAGCCCCCTGCCGCGTAGCCGGCCTGGTATTGCTGTGGCTGCTGAGAAGTCGCAATACCAATGCTCGAAGCAGAAGGCTGCTGCTGGGTAGACACAGGGAAGACTGGCTGGGGAAATGTCGATGGCGTCGTTGGATACGTTCGATCTGTAGAGGCAAGGCGGTCGGCGTTACTGTTGAAATTCAGATAGAGGCGGCTCCCTTGGTTGTCCATCTTGGCTCTTTGTGATGGGCAAATTGAGTTTGTTTAAGCCGATGTATCATATGGTACGGTTGTCCGTCTTAGGGCGAAGAGTGCCAACGAATTGGACTTCAGGAAAACGTCCAATATAAGCTATCATTAGAAGAGAAGTCAGTTGCGATGTGGACAGAACGTATGACACACAAAATGGTGAAATAATTTGTATCTAGCCTGCACGACAACAAAAGAACCCTAAAAGTTACCTTTGGAAAGAAATGCAGAAAGCGTGTGAAATGATGTGCTGCAAGAGAAAGTTCGAAGGAAACACTAATGAGGCGACAGATACATAATAGAGCAGACAGAACCCCAGCAAGAGGGAGTTTGCTATTGGGATGATCGAAGAAGGTAAAGAGACAGCAGAAGACAGAAGCGACAAGATATGTCTTACCTTGCCAGACAAGCACTAGATGTAGATTCAGATGGCAGTGACGACTATGTTCAAGCTGCTTTGCGAAGAGGAGACGTTTCGATGGTGTTAGGGCAGGAGCGCAATCGGTCTTGTAGGCAGGAGAGAGATGTGAAACGGAGAAAAAGGAGAGAGACCGACTTCCACTGTGGCTGTCTAGGCGACTACTCCGTACGGGTGATCCCTGGCGGTAAGGGCACCAACCGTTAGGCCCCCTTGTGCACTAACATCCCCTTTTCTAAGATACTACATAAGTTGTACTCCGTATGTACGGAGTACTCCGTAGGATAAGTAACAATAATGCTGGTAGTGGGGATAAACCAATAGCCCCGCTACTGCCCCCACGTCAAAACCACTGTGTGCCTCCGCCGTACGGAGTATTGTGAGAAAATGGTTAATGAATTCAATGAAGAACATAGAACGGAAGCAAGCCTGTGTCAATGAATAGTCGGAAAAGGACAATCGTTGTCAGGCAATCATACGATGCGGAAAAGCATGCCGGTTATCTTGGGCGCCTTTTCTTCACATCTCGATCCAAGTCAATGACTGAAGAAGGCTGTACTAGATCCAATCAAAGTCATGTGATCTCAATCCCAAGGCGTTATCATATTAATGGACCTTATATCGGCAGGAGAGCTTGCAATTTTTTCCCCTCCCATAATAAGCCAGCTCAGGTTTATCCAGATTATACCACGTTCAATGCCTGATCCAACACGGGTAGGCAACTGTCCTCTTCTTCTGTGGCGGTTTCTGAATGTTTGCAACTAACACCAAAGGAAAAGAAGCCTAGAAACGATGCTCTTCGGCTTTTGGGCCTCCCAGCACTTCCACGAAAGCTCCCGTCCAGAAAGTGGCTCATATTCTGGGGTCTGACAACCACTCTCGCAGCCACAATCATCTACGATGGACGTGAGAAAAGACGAGCAACTGCAAGATGGGTTGCGGTGGTAGCCCCTCTCGCAAAGGAACCAATTACAACCCCAAGCGCGATGCCGCGTCGCATCACCGTATACCTCGAAGCGCCACCGGGAGACGGACTCCGCTCAGCACAAGACCATTTTTCTCAGTATATCAAGCCAATTCTTTGCAAAAGTGGCTTAGATTGGGACTTCGTGGTAGGACGCCAGCAGGGTGATGTGCGCGCTGTTGTTGCTGAAAGGGTGAGGCGTGCACGGAGAGTTGTCGAGAAGGATTTGGGCAATCCAATTGCTCAAGATGCACCAACGGCAGGCGATGCAATCGAAGAGATCCGCCGGAGAAACGGCATTCCGGACTATGAGGGCGTGAAAGGAGATATAATTGTTGGTCGTCATACTTGGAAGGAATATGTCCGGGGGCTGCACGAGGGTTGGCTGGGCCCGCTTGCACCTCCCATAGAGCCAACACCAATGAGAGAGGCCGAAACAGCTGCTGTGAAGCTTCCGTCTGCAGAAGAAACCGAAGCTGCCAATGGCTCGGCTGTCGAGGGGAAGCCAAAGCAGCCTCGTCAGCTTCAACCGTATAACATTCCGGAACAGTATCCTTCCAGCTCTCTGCCACGCTTCATACCAGCCGAGCTAGGTCCCAGTGTGCCCATCTCATTCCCCCATATTCTTGGTTTCTTCAACACCCCAACAAGAATGTACCGTTACCTTAACCGACGAAGCCTGGCAGACGATATCGGAAGGGATGTGGCGTCAATATGTTTGGCTTCATATCGTGAGTACCGTGAAGATACTGACGGATATGAACAGGCGGCTGTCCTTATACACGAAGAGAAAAACTGGGTGAAAACTGTGTGGAAGTGCGCAGAAGACGACAAGTGCAAAGGAACTCGGGAGGGGGGAAATAAGGCGCATACGGATCTTCCATTGTCGCACAGCAAGGAAAAGATATGGGCATCGCCGATCGTCTTAGATTCTCGCATTGCTGCTCGCATGCGCCGATTTGCCATCGATCCTGAGGCTGAACAGAGGGCAAGACAGATCACTGTTCCTGAAGAACAGGTGGAAGGCTGGACCAAGGGAAAGCTCCGCCAGCTCGTGCGCTGGGGGGTGCGTGCATGGAAAGGCGACCAGAGAGTTATAAATGTTGGCGACCTAGACGCTACAAACTAACCTGGCTTTAGAATTGTATTGCCATTGTACTTATATTGTGACGTGTCTAGTGCTTTTGTTATATGCAAGGTGTGTATACTATGTATTATGGTGTTCATCTAATCGCCGCCACTAATTTCGCCATCCGAACCGTAGTCAACAAGGGCCAGCTTTGCTTTGGGCACCTCAACTGGTGAGCCATCTTCCAAGTTGTTTTTATTGCTTCGCCTTTGAGGTACTTTCCCCCCCAACTGTCCTCGTTCACAATCCGACTTATGCGTCGTGGCTTCTGATTTTTGTTCTCTGTCCTGCTTCGCGTCGGCTGATGCAACTCCCTTCCGCCTTAATCCCATAAATGGTCCTGCTTTGTCTTCTCGGCGCTTTCTCTTACGGCTTCCTGCTGCATTGCTGACATGCCATCCTCCTTCGTGCAATAAACCAGCCGCATTAGTAGATACGTAATTGTCGACTATCCCAACGGTATCCCTATCTCGAGGGGTTTCCTGTCTCTGCTGTTCTTCTCGGAACTTGTCCAACCCCTCTTGAGTTTCTCTCCTGACGCGTTCCTCTTCCGCCCGCGACGAAGCCAAAATACTATCCAGAAAATCCACCTCGTCCTCGTCGAGTGGTCTAAACTGATTCTTAAGCCTATGGGCTTCATCAAAGGCAGCTTGTTTAGCAGCTTTGTTATGGAGAGACACATAAAAGCATCGTACTGTTAGTCAATTGTCATCACGCCCATGAAGATACATTGTCAGTGATCCATTACACCCACCTTTATTCGCCTCCAGAACATCGTACAAGCTTTTTTCTCCATCGGAAACGCCGGCCGCTTGCTTGGCGGTTGCCCGCTTTCGTCGCTCTTGAAGCTCACGCTCTACCGCCTCCCACTCGGTATTATGTCGTGTAGGCACCTGCGAATCGTGTTTTTTTGTTTCAGGCGATGTCCCCAACGCAACAGCCTCACCGCTTGAACTATCAATCGCGCCACCGGAGACAAAACGAGAAGACATGGTGAAGGGTGAGATCTCCAACAAGCCTGGACACAATTTTGTTGTTGCAAGTTCTAAAACGGACAGACACAAAGCGGGGCATTACTTAATCTTAGGTAGTAGTCATGTGAATCATTTTGCTACTTGTTTCAATTCAGGCGTCGATATCAATCTTCTTTACGAACGATTATGAAGGCTTTATCCAGCCTTTGGGGCTGCTTAAGCCTATACGGAGATAGAGCATCAAATATTAAGAGTTATACAGTACAATGATATGTTATTGTGCTGGTATGCACTGGCAAGAACGGTCTCTGGCCTAAGCTCGTTTTTTTTTTCTTTTTTTTTACAAATAGAGAAAGAAACAGGCACCCCATGAAGGAGCAACGTCTAACAAAACATTTATAGTGAAGCGGTGTACGAGCGCGACAATTTGTAAGGCCCCTCCGTTTCTTAATTCGTTTGATGTCATAGGAAAATGAAAAAAAGTATCCCTCCTCCAAAGGAAAAAACGCCACGCGCGTACGGAAGAATAGAACTAAGATATATGATACCACTAGGCTGCCATCAGCTTGGTATAAAAACACTTTTGGGAGAATTTGGAAGGGTTTGAGAGGGGGAGCTGTACTGGCTGTGTGGTTTACACAATTGGTATGATAAACTCAACCATACCTGACAGTAGGACGTTAAAAAAAAAAGGGGAGGGGGGGGGATGGGAAAGCAGTTTCGAGCCAGGCGATAGTAATGCTTTCCGTCTGACAGTAGTCAGCTGCCGACAGAGAGACAGCAAGACAAGAACCAGGGGACCTCCCTTTCCGACGTATGACTTGAATGACTCTTCAGCCAGGTAGCGGTTTGGTTGGTAGTCAATCCCAGAAGTTCAAGTCGAAATGTCATGGCGCACTTGAGATGGGTGCTAGTGCTTTCTCTGATATACTTTTATTTGTAAAATCAAGTCGTAAAATGTTGTCCCTGTCGTCAATTTTCGGTGTGGTTCGATGAAATAAAATAACCTCTAATGATGAGAACTCCGTAAAATCAACCCCGAACTAAAGTGCAAGCCTGCCGAAAACGCCAATCGATGAATATTGATGAAAAATATATCAATAAATGCGTCATGAAAAAATGAGAGATGAAGTTTGTACCTGGCCCAGCGCCAGGTTCGGTTGTAACGAAGGACACAGCTGTCATAACTAGTGCCAGTATGTCAAGTGCTGTGACTCGAAAACTGAGAAGAAAAAAACACAGTGAGTGTATGAAAACTCATTCGTGCCCGAAGCCGGCGAACCCCAGAAAAAGACCATTGCCCGTTTGTGGAACCTGTGGGCGAGTACTCCGTTTTCCCAATAAATAGGAACCTGGCATCGTCACACTTAAGAAACTAGCCCACAACAGGCTGCCCATACGGATTGGCGAATCCAGTATATGGGCCTTGTTTCATTTGCTGCCCATGAGGAGTGCAGCCAAAACCGCTGTCGACACTATGCTCCCAAATATTATGGCCGTAAAAATTGTAGGTCGGAAGCTTAGCTGGAACATTGCGACCATGGTACGGTGTTGGATTCCCGTTGGCCGGCGGAAGATACTGAGGTCGGCCATATGAACCGTTCGAAGCAATCCTGTTGGCCGCTTGCTGTGCTTGCTGATTGAACCAGTCATTGTACTGCAAGTTCACGGAAGCGGCCGAATTCACGTAGTCGGGAGTGCCGTAGCCAGAGTCCGGAGGAGTTAAAGGGGCGCTCGACCAAGCATCAACGGGTGGCTGGTAAGACCAGGCCAAGTCCTGGATGCGATAGCCGTGTTGCAGTGGTTGTTCGCCACGCTTCAGCCGGGACAAGCGTTCGTATTCTGCAACTTGTTGTTGGTGCCAGTTTGCGTAAGCAGGATTGTTGCTAACATCCGAATCCACAGGTATCATCAAGGATGTAAGCCTATCGTGTGCGGAAATTGCTTGGTGCCGTTTCTTCGCAGCATCCCACTCATTCCAGCTATTGATCCATGCGTTATAATCCTCACTGCGATCAAGATTCACGTATAAACACCAGCTGATGGTCTCCATCCAGTCGCGTTCCATGGTGTTCAGCTCGCGAACCGGTATTCCACTGACATCAGCCCAGGAGCGATTCTGAAATGTGTTATCATCAAGAAACTTGCTGCCGAGAAGTAGAGCTACGGTAAGCATCCGCCAAACGTGACCGTCTGAAACAGAGAGCTTCCCGGTTGGACTCATCATGTTCATCATGTTGATTCGTTTCGCGAAATAGTTCATCCCGAGCAAGATGGTCGTGCGTGGGAGACGCGTGGACGAAAGAATCTGAGAGATAAACTTTTTGAACGTATCCGAAGGCTGACATTTGCCCAAGGCAAGGCGTGTAGACATTTCTGCAACGTATTCCGCCATAAACTCGACATCGTAGTCCAAAACGGCGCACACACCACCCGGCATGTTGGCGATAACTGGTTGACGCCAACGTCAGAGGACCTGACGCAGTGAGCAAGAGATGACAAGACGGCAATCGCCTTCGACACCTTCGACACCTAGGAACAAGGGCTGGGCAGCCCCCTTGCCTACAACCTCCCAAGGTTGAAAAGTTGCGCCGATCGAACTAGTCGATTTCGAGGGAGGGAAAGCCAGATATTCAATGCAAACAAGCCATAAGTTTTTGTAGGAGAGTATTTTATGTGATCAAAAATGGCCCGTCGAAATCGGCTCACTCTTCGGATACGGCCAACTGTTTCTTGTGGATATAGTGGGTGGTGAAGAGAGTGTTGCGACAAAGAAAAAAGCCTTGGCGGGCCCTCTGTCGAAGTGCGATTGTCGCTGAAGCGTTGAAGGTGCCCCCAATAATATGCCTGTATGAAACCATTAAAATGGTGCCAAGACGCGAAGGACAACAAGACAGTACATCAAAAGGAGTTGCATTCAAAGGCCACAGAAGTATAACCACAGGCCAACAACTCAAACGTGACGATATGGAAACTTCAAAGCAAAAAACTAACCTGCAAAAACCGGGATACTTCGGTTGGATCGTCAGCGTAGCGGCCGTGAAAACTTTCGTGATCGAAGTGTCGTTGTCGTTGAGAGATCGGAATTTTGTGCAAAGAAAAGAAAGGAAAGGTGCTGCAAAAAGTAACTTTTCAGAGGGTGAAAGGCATGAACGGAAAGAAAGTGCTAGGAGGTATCGAATTAAAAGCAATGCAGCACAAAAGTGAATTTGTGCAGCTGTCTCGATCTAATCCAAACAATTTAATGCAGTACAGTCATCGACTAGGAAATGGAAGAGTAGGGGCACAGAGGTGAAGGGAGGGTTTGGGAGAGAAAAAGAAGAGGGGGAAGGCAAAAGCTTGAGTGGGAGAGGGGGAGAAAAGGTGACGAAACGGAGAAGCGGAAAATGATGGGGGTTGTCGAGCTTGAAAAACCGACGATGGGAAAACACGGGCGTTAGTTGGAAGGATGGTGGAGTCGGCTAAGTGATGTGTGGGAGGATGGCTGGGAGGGAAGACTGGTATAGAACACTGTCGAAATTGGATCATTGCCCAAGTCGTCACCAACCTTTTTTTTACTAGTTGGTGGAGGCGAAGTAATGTATCTAACAGTACTCCGTACTGGAACTCTTGTTTTGCCTACTCCGTAGTTTGGCGCATTTTTATTCCCTCGGGGGAAGTATTGTAGGCACGGGAGTGAATGCACTTCCACAAGGGTACTCAGAGGTACCTTTTTAGAGAAGATCTATAGCGGCTCAAATGGTCGGAAATAAGGGGCTTAAAAAGTATCTTAGCCGTATTTATCGCTGCCATGCGCTACCGACTGCGCTGTATATAATCTATTGTATCTTACTCCGTACTCCGTGCATGCTCCGTAGTCCTTCATAAAACCCACCACTGCAGTATTATGGGGCAAATCGGGCTAAAAGGGGGTGCCTCAATTTGGCGTCGACAGACGTACGTCGTATGTACAGTATTTACAGTTGTACGGAGTACTCTGTACTCTATGAGATAGGTAAGCTACATGCCTAGTATGTAAGATAAGATACTCCGTACTTATATACGTACTCCATTTGGAGTTTGTATCTTACGGAGTACATTCGTTCCATTCCGTACGTCGTAGGTCAGGTTACGAGCAAGGTTTCGTCCATCTCGCCTCTCAATCTAATTTCAATAGTCCAATCGTATCTTACATATGTTGCTGCCATATCTCCACCACTATGCGTGTATCTCACATTGATGCTACGATACCAAGGAAGTACTTGTATGTACGTATGTAAGATAGGTTTATTTTATACGACCCTGTGCTCCGTATTTTTTTCGAGAGCAATCCTCCTCGCTTCTCTCGATAGGCTGACTTACTAGGTAAGATACAATATAGAAATAGCAAAGAACGTATCTTGCGAAATAAGTATGGTCAACCGGTAAGTTTTAGTCCTTCCTATTCATCCGTTTCGTACTCGTAGGTAAGATATCTTACGGCGTAGGTTAACGTAGAGGTCGGATACGCAACGTTTGGGGTATCCTGCAGTTTACAGGCACTTCTACTCCGTATGTAACATGAGGTATTATCTGTTTCGCCCCATATATTATGTAAGATATATTTTTCCTCCATAGTACGCATCGTGACTGGTTAAATAATGCACGAGAAATGACCTAGGTATCTTACATCGACTTCCATATGTATCTTACTATGTATACTATGTATGTACGGAGTAGTTACGGAGTACGGAGTACATACATAAGTACGGAGTACATACTCGTATAGAGTACTCCGCATATTCTACTCCGTATACCTTCATCAAAGCTATCTAGTAAGCGTGCTAGTGTCTTACGGTCACGTGGTAATTTTAATGCTCCTACGGTACGGAGTGTTCCGTACATTATCCAGCCTATTGGGGTCTACGACGTACGGAGTATGCGACGCGTATTGGCATTCGGTATTGGGTACGCGAACCGCAATTTCCTACGTGAAAACGCACACAAATTGCGAGTACTCCGCAAGATGCGTATTTTGCCGAATGCGCTACAGTCTGCAATTCATGCCCTATTCCTTTGTTGCATTTTTGAAGGACTACGATTAGCCATTCGAAAGCCTTGTGCGGAGCACTCTGTAAGGTGTTAGATATGCCCCATAGCTGCAGCTTAAGAGTCGATGCATTCGCCGGCGTACAAGTTGTATCAACCGAATTTCCCTGCTGTACTCCGTATTGATCCTATCTACAAGTGCACATTACGACATGCTACGCCTCATGCTCCTTGAGCTTGGGAGGCGATATTCGGACGAAATTTGATATATCTCTTTACAAATGAATACAATCATCCCAATTTCAGGTCATAGTGTACTTGTAGAAGCAGAGTACGCTTAATTCAGCATCGTTTTCTGAGGTATATACTCGGTATCCGAACGAGTGGTAGAAACCGGCTTTCTACACAGGCCAAGCGCGAGACTTCCTAGTATGTACGGAGTACATATGTATCTTACATTTTTCAAACATTATGTAATCATCAAGCTCTGTTGTCAGCAGGGGCGGCATAATCCCCGGCAAACATAGAAGCTAACCCCCCCTCCCCCCCCCCGTTATCTTTTTTTCGTTTTTGTGCAGCGACGAGTTTGCTATCCCACATACGAAGTACAGTATCTTACCATCCATTTTTCCTTTTTAAAAAGGCCAGTTTCCATCATTTGTTTGTTTGATGGACTCCTATGCCTGTTTCCGTATCCTTGTCTCATGGGGTTTGCATTTGAAGAAGTCACTGATCAACCTGTGAAACCACGGGAAGGGAGCGAGTATGCCAAAGCAAGGAACCTAAGCAGTACCCATACATAGTACGTCGTAGCTCACATGACTCGTGTGCACTATACAACCGCTGTTGCATCGCTATTTTACAACCTGTCTGGCTTTCAATATGTATCTTCAAGATGTGAGTAATACAAGTAGACACTTAGTAGTGGCTTGTGAAGTTAAACGAAGACAAATGCTTCATCCTATGTGCGAATAAAGCAGATAGCTTCAAAATGTGACAAGTGTTCGATTTAGCACTAATTTTACAAAACAGCCATTGCAGCTTTCTGTACCTTGCCCTCAAGAAGACGAGAACCCCTCACAGTAATCCGTACGACAGCAAATATTAGTGTGTGTGGCTCCACACACGTCTCGTACATCCGAATGTATCTAGTTAAGTACTCCGTACTATGTATGTACTCATACCACGGTACGAATACTCTTTACATACGTCGTAGTATATTTACAATATAATGTGGTTGGCTGTTTTAGCGATGGCGAATCAAAAGGAAAGGAATTGCTTTGTATATCCAAAGGCCGATACCCAGCTAATGCACCTGTCACGATGGTGGCTCCGCCCAGAGAGGCGAAGCGGGGAGTTTCTGCAGGGTTTTGCTCACATACGGAGTATTATTATGCGTTCGTCTAATCAGGCTGTGTCTTGTTCGCCTTTCAATGTTGGGCAAGATCCTGCGCGCTGCCAACGCAAGTGTAGAAAGCCTAACAACATGTAAGATACTTTTCCGCTACGGAGCAATACCGTTTTCTTTGATAAGTATTTTACGTGTTCTTGTAAACTCGTATGCGTGGTCGTTCAGGGACTAAATGCGCGTAATGAGCCCCAAGTGGCAGAACGATAATGACAAGACCCCCCCGTGATTGAAGATTTTTGTCTTGTTTTAGTCCTCCGCTTTTTCATTCATTATAAAGGCCTATCGCCGAATAACTCGTCCGTATAGGCATGTGATAGGAAATAATATTTCTACCAAGGTGATTATTTTCAACCCGCCCTCCAGGCTCAAAATTTGCCGAGCGGTTGACAAGATTCCTTTCAGATCACTTTCAGGGCAGTCAGCATGCGGTTGTTATTCTGGGGTAAACCGACAAAAAGGCGCGAACTCTTGATTCTGTATTCATCCTAAAATATGTGATAGCCTCAAACGCAGGAAATGGTACAACCAGCCATAAGTCAAGATAGCTCGAACGAAAAGCACAACAGTTGTACACTAGTATACCCCCAATTACAGCGTCATAGCGTAAGGCACGATAGCCTTGTCTATGGTAGGCTCACGGCGACACATTGCAGCCTTCTCGTCTCCCCACCGACCAAACCAGTTTCTTTCTCTGTCTAGAGCTTGATCGAAGGCCGCTCTGCAGTCCGCAGGCAAAAGGTCTTTGATGTCGTCGGGTACAGCACCTAAACCTTGGAAAGGGGACAGAAACCCCTGAGTCTCCCAGCCTGTACTACTGTCCTTGAACTGGTCATATGACGCGGGAGCAACGCCAACAGATGGAGTCTCCAGGCAAAGATCTGTGACAAGATAATTCTGTGCTACATTGAGCGATAACGCTGGGAAAACTGTGAACCAGTTGTTATTCTCCATTTCGGGAGATATCTGTACAGCGCGTGCGCGTATTGGCTGCATGATAGATGGAAATTGCATCACGTTGGTGTGAATATCATAGACTCCGTTGAGGGTTGCGGTGCGCGATGCCGTAAGCTGACTATTAAAATCACTGTTAAATAAGTAGTACATGTGTCAGCTCCCTTTTTTTTCGGTTCTCTTTATGAAAAGACTTGCCTTGCTTCCCGAGCGTGTTCGAGTTGCCAATTGCTATCATTGACAGCAACTCTCCGCTTCTTGCTCTCTGCTAGCTTTAGATTTTGCTGAGGCACAGTCGGTGCGTTGGAGTGGTATACGGAGCTGGCACCGTGCCACGCCACATATTGATTCTTGTTGTACAGTTCACCCAAAACGAAGCGATCGTTCGGATCAGCGATCTCACCGTCAATGGCGCCCTCTTCGCGGGCTCTGGCAATGTCATAGTCATCTGTGATGCGCCGTCCACCAACGACGATCAGAGCACCGAATTCTCGGAAGACAGAGCGTGCGGTGACAATTCCTATGGTCCGGCCCTTGTAACTGTGTGGAATGATGTCCCGTTCGATCATATCGCGCTTCTCGTCTTCACCGACAATAATTTTGTATAGACGGCGGTGTTTTGTGAAAAAAAGGTACGAGTCTCGAAACCCGACACATCGCGCGGGTTCTGTGGATAGCATGTAGAGCCGGCTGCCTCGACCAGCAACTGTGAAAGTTCGGCATCGGTATTCGCGCCCGCCCAAGAGGTTGCCATCCTTGTCGACTTTAGTTTCGCCCTCTAAATCTTCTGGTAGGTCTACCTCGTCGTTGACAATATCCATAAGATTTCCATCTTTGTCAATTGGCTGTTGATGTGTTTGTTGTGCCTGCCCCTTCCGGCCACCACGTCCCCGCCAACCACCACGCCCACGCCGTCGCGGCGTGGAGGCGTCCGCTTCATTCGCGGGTACTTCGACCATCTGATCCCAGTCTGGAGGCTTGTTCTTAGGAGGCCGACCAAGCCGTTTGCGGCGCACTAACATAATTGGAGTTGGAGTTGGAGATTTTGCCGAGTCTGCTTCAATGTCTGTGCTTTGCGGCAGGTCTCCGTCGTCTCCGTCGTCTCCACCGTCGTCTTCGCCATCATCAAGGTCGTCGCCACCGTCTACAGTCTCAGTGTCCCGTTCTTCAGCATGAGCATCGAGCTCCTGCTCAACATCTGGCCCATCGTCTTCGGTAAGGTCCAAGTTCTTCGGTGTTTTTTCTACCAAGTCAGAGTTGGCAATACTGTAGGTCCAAGAAAACACAAAGGGACGACTCACCGAGCGCGGCAGCAGCTCGTCGCGCTGCTGCACGACCAGAACGCCTACCAGACTCTATCATCGCGTTTTGATCGTCTAAGGGCTACGGAGTTCAGTGGTCTTAGCTGAAGCTGCGATTTGCAGCCGTTCACAGATAGGCGGGCGAAATCCGTCTGTCGATGACTTCGTAAATGTTTTTGCAAAATTGACGTGTTCGAAAGCGTGTTCGAGACTGACGTTAAGCTGCCTCAGGCGCAAAGTTCTTGTAACAGTGTCGAAGTGCTATATACGTTAGTTGGCACTGTGCTTAAAATTACCATTTCGAACTAGCTTTCTGTCATTGTTCTGTCATCGTGTTATATTTTTTCTGCATTTTAATTGTTTTCTTTCTTATATATTTTTATAAGCATACGTGTCTCCAAACCTCAGCAGATTTTACAGACTGTAGAGCGCCAAACAAACACGTAGCCAGAATGCAATTTCGTGCACTGCATCTAAGCAAGATACGCCAAACACCATGTTGACCTCAACACAATCTCTTCGACCGGTTGGGTGAGAGATGTGCGGTGATAGACGACTGATAATTTTGAGGCACATACAGTACATATCCGAAAAGCAAATAACAGATTGAACACGCTCTCCCATTGTTTATTTTGTGATTGAAAAAGGGGTTGATGGTTCGGGCTAGGTTTACGCGGATCGTGAAAGACTAAATGAGCCGCCAGTCAACAAAAAAGGCTTAGCTTGTAGGTAGGTTGGCTAGGTTGCCATTCCAATCTGGCTCGACAAGACTGTCTCTCGCATTGTACAGAAACCGATAAGCCGTTTTAATGGTGCCGTCGCTGACACCGGCAATAGATGCAATATCTTTTGACGCGCGCGGGTCCTCCAAGTATTGTGACGCGAAGTATATGCATGCGGCAGCCACGGACAGAGGTGAGCGGCCCGCTAGATCGGGAATGGAGGTGGTTTTGCGAGCCAAAGCCTTTGAAATTTTCTCCACACGAGGAGTATTCCGAAAACCTAATAGGCTGCAATAGCGTGTGCAAAGCTCCTCGGCGCTGGTAGAGCTTGACGCCTTGTAATCTTTGACACCTTGGGCGGCACTGGCCTGAGGGTTGCGTTCCTGTATTTTGGACAAAAAGCTCTCGAGCGACTTAAACACACGGCCAATTTCCTTCTTTGTCACGCGAGTGATTGCATAGATCTCTCGAAACGTGCGAGGAACGCCACACTGCCTACATGCGATGAATATGCATCCGGCAATGACAGCCTCACGGGGCTTTCCTTTGAGTTGACCATTTTCATATGCCAGCTTGTAGATATGTGACGCAGTGGTATTCACAATTGGGGCGGTCTGCATCATGTCGACGAGGGTGCTAATAGCACGATATCCCTCCTGGAGGTCGCTGTTGAGCTTCTCGGACTGCGATTTTTTGTTGATGCTGTTGAGTTTGCCTGCTAATCTTCCATTGGCCGCACGCATGTCAACCTGAGTGCGCAGCCCCTCGTCGTTGGCTAGAGCATTCGCACTCTCACCAACCCGAGAAGGATCATCGTTGCCCTGGTCATCGTTGGCAAAGGTACGCCATTCCGATCTGCTGTCGATGATTCGTGGCCCAACAACTAGGCCACAGGAATCACAAACCATATCGCCACTGGAGAATTCTTCGACCAGATTGGGCGGGTATTCTTTGCAGTCGGGACAGATGAGGATATTATCAAGATTTTCCCTGAACGGCTCTTTAGACGACGCATCTATAGCAGCCATCTTGGCGGAGGCAGGCTTCGAAACTGATCCGTGTATGCCAACACTTGATTTCGGCTTCACCTCTTTAGAAGCTTGTCGCGACGGCTTCTGTTTCTTGCTTTGTTGTTGATCGCCTCGCCCGTTAATTACACTTCCAAGAAGCTTAGGAACCCAATACCCGCCACAAGGACGTTGTATTTTAGGATGTCGAGGGCAAGTTAACAGAAGAGTGCGATTTGCGTAGTTGCGGCTTGATCTCGTCGTCGACTAGCTGACGCCCTTGCAGGGAAAGCTGATTTCTTTCAGAGCACGAACTCCCTCGGCCAAGTCAACGTCTGCTAGTTTGGTGATAACCGACTTTACGATCCGAAAACGAAGTCAAACTTCACATTCCGGTGGAAGACAAAGCGACAACGATACACAACACCCCTTCTGGTTCGATTTTGTGGAAAAGAGTGATATCGTCTTGGCGGAGTCTGCCCACCGTTTACGGAAAACGAATAATCACAGAACTTTGGAAAGCGTGAAGGAAATGGCTGCTCCTGAACCAATCAAGACGGCTGGCTGGACGATGGAAAAATGCTCGTCGGGGTCGTCTCTCGGACTTGGTTATCGCGCCGCAACTATCGAAAAGAGCGGGTGAAGGCTACCAAAGGAAACATTCAGCCACCAGTTCGAAGCCCTGACGAGAGGAGCGCGATAGTACTTTAACCGTACGGGCAGCCGTGGACGACGCGTAGATAGAGCCAGGGTTGTAGACGGTAGAAATGAGAGGCAAAAAGTGACTGAGGAAGACACGAGAATATGCTAAAAAAAATTATGCCTTAGGCCATATTATGAGTCAGCATTATTGTCTCGGTATATTAGTTGAACCGACTACAACCATTAATATGCCGGGTCCACAATCATGATTGGTAATGTACTCCGTAGTACGGAGTACGGAGTACATACAAAATTTCGGGCCGACATCGAGATCTTATGGCATTCGTTCGGAGTTCAACTCCGTCGGCTAAAACAACTATTGATCACACGACTACCAATGTTGTAGGCAGTACTCAGCCTGACTCGGAATTTGCTGTGCCAGTATGCTATCGCCCGCTCAAAACTGGCTTCCAGTTCTGTATCTCTTAGAGCAGCGATATCCTCCACAGTTGCTTCAACTTCCTCCGTCATAAGTTCACGCACCCCTCGCATAAACGTTACTGAAATGGTAGCCAAGACGACAAATGGTATGATGCTGCACCAAGCAAGACGGTATACATGTGCATACTCGGTTCGGCTTGCGGATATGGCAGCTTTCTATACATCACTATCAGCAGCTGGTACACCAGAACTGTCACTACCTATCGTGCCTGCGGAAAATGTTTCTAAGAGAGCAGCAACACTCAATGTTGGAAGACCGGCTTCAATTGCGACCGCCGAAACAGCTGGTGCGTAATGCGTGCCGATATATCCGTTAATAACTGCATCTAGAACGGCCGAGCCAAAAGCACCTCCAATGACACGAGCAGAGAAGGCAAGTCCGGTTGCCGTAGATAAAACGTATGTGGTGCTGTGAATTGCACACAGGCTACAAGCAAGGGGACCTGACTGGTCAATAGCTGCTAAAATGCAGAAGCCGACTTGGGGCGCGTTCCAGGTTGGTTTGATATTGGCGTAACAAATTGTTTTTAATAAAGAAGAAAGCAAAGGTAAAAATCAATGGTGACTTGAGATCCCTGAAATGTGTGGCATACCAAGTGATGGGAATGGAAGCGACCCATCGTGGTGAGAGTATGGCTTAGTTGGTGGATGGAAATGAACCAGGAGTTTGTCTGAGACCTCATATTCAGAATCATTTGCGGTACGATGGGAGTTCACGGCACTGTAAAAAATCCATCCATCAATGGCGAAGGCAAATACAGATGGTGCGAAATTCGCATTTTGACGAAAGAACACATGTGCGACGAGACCATCTCTGAACGGCCTTTCTATTCTGTCTCGCGTAAGTTTGCTGGACCATGGACAGGGGGGAATAGATTGATATCTGCTTACTATAGAGGGAGAAGAGAAAAATAAGTTCTAGTCCAATGGCAAGTGTCGACACCACGTAGACTTCTGGCCAAATATAGGCACTCCCAGCCCAATCCAATGCCACAAGAGTTAACGTCACCCCAGAAATAAAGAGCCCGAAGCCAATGGGGTCACAAGCCCAGATACATGCCCAAGCATCCATGGCAGGATACTGGGATCTCTTGGGTGGCCAGTAAAAGAGGAACAAGCCAAGATACGTTGTGCCATGGAGGGCAGCTTGCATCCAGAAGATATACCGCCAACTGCTCGCATTGACATTCGCGACAGCACCAGCGCCAAGCGAGTCGATACTGATTATCAAGTTAAAGTGCGAAACCATCAAAGCGCTCTTTGCAGTTAGGGTGTGAAAGTGCTTACAGTCCACCAACAGCAACTCCGATAAATCCAAGTCCGTTGGCCAAGGCGCGGTATCCAAGCGGCAGGACCTCCGATGGAATGGATTGGACAATAGATATGGTAAGTAGTGTTGTACCGCTGAGGATGCCTCCAACTATATGAATGATCATAGAAGGTGCTTTGACTAAATCAACGGCACCAATGAATGCTATGACCGGCGGTATTGTTGCAAAATTTTTCCGACCGAGATCGTCAGACAGACGACCAACAATGGGCGATAAGACGCTCTGCGTGAGCAACAGATGAGCCGACTTCCTATCTATAACTTGCCCATGACCGCCAACCCTAGCTGACGTGCACATCATGGTGGTATACTTGTTCTTCTTTATGAATGATATCTGTGTCCGTTTCTGTACGTACTTTGCCGCTTTGATTTGTGTGCTGTAGCGTCAGGAGATTTACATTAAAAATTTCGGATGTCATTATGAAACGATAATAAAGGCAGATGACATCAAAGTAAATTGTTTGTTCGATTATATAAATGGTGCTTATGGGGCCGGAGAAAGTCGTAGCAAAGGTAGCCGGAGCTGATTTTATACAATACTATCGAAGGTCGCCTGTAACGACCATGCACCGAATTCACGAGCCGAAATGGCGCAATACGGAACCGGCTTGGCAGACGTCCCGGCCAATGACCTGCCTTACGAAACATGCTTGGGTTTGAGGGGTTTCAATGTAAAGACGGCAAAACTGTTTGTTCGGGGACATACTACCGGGGTTCGGCTATGAGAGTTGAAGAAAGCCAGCAGTTCTACCCCATTGGAGACACAAAGGAGCGATTCGCAAAGTCTCAGCCACAGTCCCTCACTGCCCTCGTGCACCTTCAACCAACCGGCGAGATACAACAATCTCTTGTTGGACTTCTGCTGTGGATGCATCAAATTCGTAAGGGTCACGAAGCCTAAAAGCCTTTTGACGAGATAGGAGGCACGAATAGGTAATATACGGCTTCTAGTAGGCTCAACAATTGTATCGATAATGTACTTATGGCCTCAAATACGAACGCTGACACCTTCACAACGTCGGAACAGACGACGGCGCTGTACCTGGGCTTGCGCCTTAGCCGTGCAGTTAACTATCTCAGTGAGTGTTATATAGAAAATAAAGTCGTCCTTTGGGAAACAAATAACTGTTTTAAGTCTAAAAACACAACAGATACATATTTTGCTAAATAGTAGATGTTCTAGGGATACTCAAAAGGCTAAGCGACATATATGCGTGCTATTGCTGTAACTGCAAAATTGTGACTGGCCTTGCCTATTTCAAGCACAGAAGATGGTGCATTCTATGTCGCACATACCACACCTTCGACCAAAGGCAAAGACGATACATAGACTTCGGATACGCACATTCAGCAACAACATCTTAAGCATCAAGGTTATTGCACTCCATACGTACATACGTACATACATACATACACAGGTGACGCGGATCTTTGTGCATATTGGGGTGGGAAATGGAGGCCATATAATGCAGCGTGCTCAAATCATTTAGAATAAGCTAAGCAACTTGGCGCAGCGGAAGCGCGCCGGGCTCATAACCCGGAGGTCCCTTGATCGAAACGAGGAGTTGCTATCATTTTTTTTTTCAGTCTCGCCAAAGCTACCCCACTATTTTGGTGCATGGGGCTAAAATCTCTACTATGTACGTCGTCGTACCAAATACGGAGCACGGAGTATCTTACCATTTAATGTTTGGTAAGATACGTGTCGTAAAAGATACTAAAATAAAGACCTGGAGACAACTTGCAAATGTGTGGCATACATTTAACAATCTCTGCGACCGAAGCGGTAGACACGACCAGCAACACAGGTCAAATTTCTGCGGAGCTGCGACGTCGGCTCTCCAGCCGAGGACCGGATCATTTTGGGCAGTTGACGACACACCTTGACATAGACACCGCTGGTGGCGACCAACATGTTAAGCTGTGCTTTTCTTCGACCGTGTTGGGCCTTCGAGGGGGTGGCATATCGACACAGCCATTTCAAACCGAAACCTCTGGCTCAGTCCTGTGTTGGAATGGCGAAGCGTGGGCTATCAACGGCGTCCAGGTAATGGGCAATGATGGGGAAACGGTGTCCAGGCTTTTGACAGAGACAGAGCATATGTGTGGCGATAAATGCCACATCAACCACTGCGATATCCGAAACGTGGCCGTATTGGACGCGATACGATCGATCGAAGGGCCATTTGCGTTTGCCTACTTCGACAAACCTGCTCGGCGGCTGTACTTCGGGAGAGACCGACTAGGTCGGAGATCATTGCTCATACATTCCGGTCCTGACGAGAACACGCGTCTGCCGCACTTTACTCTTTCGAGCGTTTCTGAATTACAGGATCCGAAGTGGAAAGAAGTTGAGGCTGATGGCATTTATGTGATCGACCTGTCGCAATTTGAATTCTTCCAGGAAAATGAAGCTCGAGTCATACGTCATCCCTGGACGACCAGGATGGACAATAACCTATCAATTGTGAGTTGGAGACTGAGTATAAGGCTTACACACATCCTAATGCTTATCACATTACCGTTTCGCGAAGCTTACTACAGAAAGGTGTCAGGAATCGGTCTGTTTAATATGTGTACAGCTCTGCTGCATCAAAGCGCCCTTGATGCCGATTCCCCTGCTGTTTCTGGTCTCCGTGATCGCCTGTTGTCAGCTTTACGGCCGCGGATTGCTGGGGTGCCAAGACCACCTACGTCGGAAGAGACAGTTGACATACGTATTGCAATATTATTTTCTGGAGGCCTTGATTGCACAGTCATAGCTAGGCTGTGCCATGATCTGCTGCCTCCGCAGCAAGGCATCGACCTGATCAATGTGGCATTTGAAAATCCCCGGGTGGCGTCTCACCTGAGTGAGCATGTGGTGGATGTATACGAAGCTTGCCCAGACAGAGTTACTGGAAGGAAGTCCTTTGCCGAATTGCAGCGTGTTTGCTCGAGCCGGACATGGCGGTTTATTGCAGTAAGCACACACAATCACCACGATGGCATGGCATACTAAAGAGAGACGCAACACAGGTGAACGTTCCTTACACAGAGACAGTGTCTCACAGACCGGATATCATATCCATTATGCATCCGCACAATACTGAGATGGACCTCTCAATATCCTCCGCACTCTATTTTTCTGCTCGCGGTATCGGACGTCGTTGCTTGGAGGATGGGTCGTCTACATGGTATTCCTCCCCGGCACGGGTTCTCTTGTCAGGATTGGGTGCGGATGAACTATTTGGTGGGTATGGCCGTCATGCCGCTGCTTTCCTGCGCCGTGGCTACGCAGGCCTTGCAGACGAGCTCCGTCTAGATGTGACGCGGTTGGGCAAGCGAAACCTTGGCCGAGACGACAGAGTCATGGCTCACTGGGGTAAGGAAGTCCGCTTCCCATTTTTGGATGAAAATCTTGTTCGCTGGGCCATGATGCTCCCGGTATGGGAAAAGTGCGATTTTGCAAATCTGTCAGATGACACTGACGGAAGAGGCCTGGAGCCGGCGAAACGGGTTTTACGTCTGGTAGCAGTATCGTTGGGCATGAAAGGCGTAGCCCGGGAAAAGAAACGAGCAGTAAGTCCTCCATGGCTCTCTTCGAAAACTGTTCAGTGCCAGAAGCTAAGTGGTACGTTTTGAACTACAGATCCAGTTCGGCGCTCGAACGGCCAAAATGGAAAATGGCAGAGTAAGAGGCACGGCTACTGTTTCTTAAGGGAGATATGTTTCGTCTAAAGCAAATTTCTTGTGGGCTGGCAGTGATGACAATCAGATACTTCTGAGGGACTCAGACATACGCTGCATAGACCATGGCACTTGTGCATCTGTTTCTGTGCGTTAGTACAGTAACCCCTGCTGCCTGGCTCGCGGTTCTGTTGATATTTTGAGCCCCAAGGAAGAAGTAAAGGCAAGTCTGAGCCAAGCCACAAGCAATATATACAACAGGGTATTTCGAACCAAACTGCATCTTTGCCGTAACCGCAGATAATTATAAGTAAGGGTTAAAAGTAGCTATACAGCTCATATTATAAGACCTTGGCTGTCGGACTCATCCTTCGCCTGAGTCCGAGCGGTGTTATCTGCGATCTGGTGAGCATTGTAATGATGAATTGTTGATGCAGCTCTGCAACAATACGGCCCCCAACCTTCTTTCAGGCTTGAAAGTATCTAACATTCTAGAAAAGAGGATAAAAAAGGTGTCGGCCCCTACCTCACGACTATTCATCGAGGAACGTCCCAAGCAGCTGGGGCGGCTGTTCACAGCAGGCAAACACTATTACGATACTGGTCCGCTCTTCTTTTGAACTTGTCTCGAACAGGGGACGAGCAGATCGTTGACACTGCCTGAATGCATATGCGGTACCATTGCCAATCGCCGCGATCTCGGGGTTCAGGATGTCCCCGTGTACTCGCCGAAAGCCCAGGTCCAGAAGATAATATTCTTGCACAGTGGGAAGGTGACCTTCTCAAGGTGAGCCAGAATGGCGATGTATTTGGCCATGACGTTGTCCTCGGTCGTGGAGCCGGTTGATACCAGCGGCTGGTAGTAGTCTTCGATGTGAGCGGTCAAGTTCTTTTTGGTGTTGAAATACAGCCGGATGTCGGTGCCATCGTCAAACCAACAGGGTTGGTGAGAAGTGCACACCGGGAAGGGTATATGTGTTGCTAATGTGCTATTTGTGACGTCAAAGGTGTAGCGCAGACCAAAGGCGCGAATGCTAGCATCAAACATAACGATGGACATAACGCTCAGGCAGCGAACGTAAGAGATCGTCGAGAGCGGTTGACACCCACCAATGCATACTGCATGGCCTGGCCAAGTGGCGTTGTCGTGGTGACGGGGATGTTCATATGCACCAGCTGGGTTTTATCTGGGTAGCTCTTCATCCATTCGGTGTTCCCACCAATCCTTTTGACGTAGAGCCTGATATAGGGGCAGCATATATCTTACAAGGACTTTGTTCAATTCGAGCAGGGCTACGGGAACGGCAGCAAACGACACAGGGCGTGATGACTGAGGTCGCCTAGATTCACAGGTAACCCTGCCGGAGAAGATCAACACGTTGGCCAGACAGCCAGGCCGACGACGGTTTGCATGCTCGTTATGAGACGTATTTCGGGAAGACAGCTTGCACGTGGCTGCCGTACCAGGAAGTGAAGATGACTGATAGGACGATCTGCTTCTGCACGTGCAGTAGGCATGACGCGCCTTGATTAGTGCGTCCAGGACTGCTGCTAGGGCGCGGCACATGTACCTGGCGGCGTCATTTGATTGGTCGTGCCTAAGCCTCCTGCGAAGTGGATGGACAGAGAGCTCTTTCCGTTTGCACAGGTTTGAGCGGCGCCGACATCGTCGACATCGCCGACACGGCCGAGGAAAGTGCGACAGTCAACTGGAGGCAGTGGAGAAGTATTAGTATGTCGCAGCGTCATGCCCCCTGCTGGTTCTGGCTTCGTCTCGATCCAGGCGCCTGAGCACCAGCCAGAGTTCGTGTGTGCCGACATATATCCCGACAACATCCATCATTATGTCTCATATGCAGCGCAATATGGTGGCCGCCGGCCTCATTGGCTATGCCCAGGCTCTGTCGGGCGTGCAAACGCTGTATCCGACCATGCTTAATGACTCGTCATCAGCAACATCACGCTCGGCACCTATGGCGGCCTGTACACGGCACTGACTGAGGGCCCGACAACAGCGACGCCGTACGGAACGTATGACTACTGTTCCATGCCGCACCCGCGGACGGCTGAGTACCAGCTTCCTGCGCCACTTCGAGCCAGCAGTGATACCGGCATCACGGGCAAACTCGTATTCCTGGAGTACTTGCAGCGCCACCAATGCCGCATACCGTACAAAATTCTCCCGGGCGGCGAGGTGAGCGAGAGGTGACGGTAGTAGAGGCAGCGGGCGAAGAAGAAGGACAAGCTGACCGAGCGTAGGACCAGTGTACACGCAGACGTACCAGGACGAGACCGACCCGTTCTCCGCCAACGTCAATGGCACCTGCCAGTTCCCCCAGATTACGCTGGGCGGCATCCAGGACGGTTACCAGCACGGCCAAGATCTGTGGGCCGTTTACGGCGAGAAGCTTGGCCTGATCCCGGCGTCGCCCCGGGCTGGCCGCATCTGGCTGCGGGCCACAGACTCGCCGCTCACCCAGGGCTCGGCAGGCGCTGTGCTTCGCGGTATGTGGCCTGGCTACAAAGGCGCCCCGCCGCTGCACCTCATGGAGGGCGGCGTTGACACCGTCAACGCGGGCTACTCGTGCAACGCCATCAGCAGCATACAGAGCCAGTACAAGTCGACATCCGCGTGGGCCACCCATCTGGAACTTACAACCGAGCTGCGCGCCTCGCTCGGCTCGATGCTCGGTGCTACGGCGGCGTCGTGGCAGAACACCTTTGACCACTTTGCCGACAACCTGCAGGGACGCCTGTGCAACGGCTACGAGCTGCCCTGCAGCACCACAAACAGCTCTGCCTGCGTGACCGAGGCGCAGGCCGACATGGTCTTCCGTGCCGGCGACTGGGAGTGGAACTACTACTACCGCACCCAGCCCTATGTAGACAAGTATATCCAGGCTGTTGAGGGCCTCTTCATCGGCGAGGTCGTGGCCCACCTGCAGGCCGTGCTCGACGGCTCCTCTGCTCTGGACTACGCTCACCATTTCCTCCATGACAACGACATTGGCCCCGTCCTGGGCGCGCTAGGAATCAACGCCATGCGCTGGCCTGCCATGGCGGCAAATGTTGCCTTGGAAGTCTGGTGCGTCAACATTGCCTGTCTCTTTACGTGTGCTTTGCTGATCTCTTTAGGGAAACAAACAATGCTATTTCTCCATACCACGCCCGTGTCCTGTATAGTGGCCAGCCGATCGAGACTATCCATGGCATTCTGGACTGGATTCCCCTACAGCAGCTGATCAGTATTCTTAGGCCCTACGTGCTGACGGACATTGCGAGTCTGTGCAGCAGCTAGGCTCTACCCACGAGTAGCTGCTGTACACTCTTGTCGTGGTGCAGCTGCTCGGACTTGCAGCTCCAAGGTATATTTTGGATACGATACGTTCTACTTGCACCATAGAGCACGATACAAGTTCAAGACGGCCGAGCCGTCCACGCTAAGGAGACAACAGTAAAATCAAACCCATGCGTCGTCATAACGTTAGTATTTTAATATGTTTTCATAACCTGAAAGAGCCATGCACTTTACACATATATATGCGCGTTGTTTTTATATCACCTTACCCTTCCCTTCCCTAGTTCACCTTCACTACAAGCTTCCCTCCTCGGATCTCGCCTTTGCGCATCCTGTCCAGGCCGTCGTTCACGGTATGCAGACCATCCTGCACGTCAACGATTCGAGGTGGTACCAAAGCTCCTTCTGCGAGTAGCCGCTCAAGCCAGACGACAAGCTTCCCGCCCACCTCCGGCACCTCGTGGAAGAGCTTGATGGGCACGTTGTGGTACACGACACCATTGGGCCGTGCAATCTTGGGCAGCCCAGTGAGGCCGACAAGATGTGCCGAGCTTCCCGTCTCAGCTGGCGGCGTAGATGGAGGTGTTCCTGGGGGCAAGACAGCGGCCTTGGTGGTGTAGTCGGGACGCAGAGCTTCGAGGAGGGCCTCGGCGGATTCACGGCCGCGTGTATCGAGGCCGAAGCGCAGCTGACCATGGGGAAGGTTGCCCCGGATGATCTGCACTGCCCGAACTGGGTCGTGACTGTCCACGAGAATGTCGGGCCGCAGGTTGGGGTCTTCTGATAGGCGCAGGCCATGCTTGGCCTTGTCGACAATGGAGATGACGCGCAGGCCCGCCAGCCGTGCTAACTGGACAGCCAGCATAGCTGACGTCGAAGAGGCACCCCATACGGCTATCCAATCACCGGCCACAGGTCGCTCATCCTCGTTGATGCCGTGGAGGCATTCGTCGCGGATGTCGCTCGGTAGTGCGTTCTCTGGCACCTTTCGGACGAGTGTCCACAAATCTGGCCCGTCCAGGGCCTTGGTGAAGTCAACGCCCATGCAAATTCCGAGGGCCAGAACGGCAGCAGCGAAGGCAACACCCAGGGTAGCGCCTTGTTCGAAGCTGAGCTGGGGCGGTATCTGAGCGAGGTTGAAGTCAGCGGCGACGACATACTCCTGGTATGTAGCCTTGCGCAGATCTCGATAATCTGTGGAGATGACGAGCACCTGTTTTGGTTAGACAGTGCTGCTGGAGCGGAGGACAACGGAATAAATGAAGGCGGCGAGGAAAAAACCCAGACGGGACGGAGAGACAAACCTTGTCGCCGAGCTTAAACCGGGACTGTGCGTCATGGACTTTGACAACGGTGCCGGCTGATTCACGGCCAGAGATAAAGGGCAGTTCTGGAATACCGAATCCATAGTCTCTGGAGGCTTGGGTCAGCACTGACAGCACCACTCGACGGGGTGCAAAGGACGCGAGACTCACGGTGATTTCCAGTCAATTGGATTGAGCCCGATCACATGAGTCTTCACCAGGACCTCATGTTCCCCCCGCAGCTCGGGGATGGCATGATCCTCTGTGGCTTGATAGGGCTGCTTTGTGCCGTGCAGCAGAAGAGCACGCTGACGGCCCGGAATCTCGATCATTGTCGGCAGCGTGGGCTTGTCGGCGACCTGCCACAGCGCCGCGGGGACGACAGCAGACGCCTCTTGGCTTTCGTTGCCTTTTGGCAACCGCCCATCTTTACGTCTGTTCTGCGGCAGCCACATCTGGAGTATCGATGACCAGCGTCTCATGGCCGTGGCGAGGGTTGTAGTGGCGACGTGAGAGTTCTTCGACCGGGACCCTCTTTCAGCTCTCCCTTTCTATTGCACCCTCTCGCGAGCAGACGGCAGTAGGCGTGGTACCACCCAATATATTTTGCTTGTCATCGCAACCGGCGGCCGTATCGCTGAGGTTCTTGACCGTCCAGGGGTTGCGGGCTATGATTGGACGTGACGAGCAATGCGTGCGAAGTGCGTGCGAAGGTGTCATCTTTAGCGCGGATAGGGGAATCTCCCACGACCAGCACAACGATGTCGATCGCAGCCCGAAACCGGACGGACAGCAATGGCGGATGCAAGACACCTTTCCGATGTTATTAGCGTCGGATAGCAGGCGACGAGCAACGATTCGTGAGGAGGGCATGAAATGGCGCCAGATCTGGCCAGTGCTAAAAGAGAAGGGCCTGGATGAGCTACGGACTTTGGCAGGAACAGACAGAGCACGCTAGTTGAGATATCATTGCTTCTCGTTCTGTCAAAATACAGGGTTTTGTTCCTTTTCCTTCATTTCTCTGTTATTGTCTTTTTCTTTTCTTTCTCGTTTCTGCTCACACCTGCGCTTCTCTTGTCAGGTAGCTCTGCTCAGATGTTTGGTTGGCTGCCTCCTGTCTTGACCGCTGTCGCAACTGCTTCCGCAGCTACATACGGAGGGTCCTCTTCGTAAACGGCGTACTTGTACCTGCTGCCGGGATGGTCGACTCGGAGACCGCTCTGCCCCTTGCCATAAATCTTCTCCCGGCTTGTGAGTGGCTGGTCCGAGGGGGAAGGCAGCTCCGGATACAGACCACGGCGACGGAGCTCGGGCACAAGAAGGTCCACAACGTCCTCAAAGCTGCCAGGTGTGATGACGTAGCCAAGGTTGAAGCCGTCAATGTCCGCCTCGCGAATCCATTCCTCCAGTTCGTCCGCTACCGTCTGCGGGCTGCCCACCGACACGGGACCCAGGCCGCCTATGCAGGCCCGCTCGGCGATCACACGCGGTGTCCACTTGGGTATGTTCTTGCTAGTCGTGACAAAGGAGTCCAAGATGCTGCGCACCTTGTCCGCCACCTGCGAGTCATCACGCGTGATTTCCTTGTCTAGCGGCAGCTTGGAGATGTCAATGCCGGTCCACCCGCTGAACAGCACCAGGCCTCCGACGGTCGAAGCGTATTTCTTGAATTCGGTGTGCTTCTCTTCTGCTTCCTCGTCGGTCCGGCCGAGTATGGGCGTAAATGTGGCGAAAAACTTGATTGACCGCGGATCGCGGCCGGCCTCGGCAGCCAGGCGGCGAATGTTGTCGGCTTTGGGCCGCAGCACCGCAGGCGAGTGTGCTGACACGAAGACGGCCTCTGCGTGCTGTGCCGCAAAGGCAGAACCAGCAGGCGAGGTACCAGCCTGAAACAGAAAAGGCGTGCGCTGTGGAGACGGATCGACAATATGCTTCGAGCTCAAATTGTAGAACTGACCCTCATGGTTGATTGTCCGCACCTTGCCTGGGTCTGCATAGCTATCATTTTCAGAATCTGGCGCTACGGCATCGTCAGCCCAGGAACCCTCCCAAAGCCTACCCAAGCCATCAGTATTAGACAGACGTGAGGAGCAGAAGCAACAGCAGCAGGACAGCTGCGACCACTTACTTGTAAGTCACCCGCAGATACTCGTCGGCCTGCGCATACCGTAAATCGTGTTCGATTGGAACACTTAGGCCGATAGCTTTAAATGCTGATTTCTTCCACGACGTGACAATATTCCAGGCAATGCGTCCGTTCGTCAGGTGGTCCAGTGTTGAGAAGCGCTTGGCCAAGAGGAAAGGAGGCTCAAAGGAGGTCGACGCAGTAATCCCAAACGCAAGATTTTTTGTCACAGCTGCCATAGCCGTGATCGGCTGATTTGTCAATAACGGACCGCCTGGACGCCAGGGGATCGGAGCGGCGCAGTCACCCGGGGTCTTACTATGCTGGGGTCCGTTATGGGCCATTGCGCTGCCCGGCGGATGCAGTTGTCAAGGCTGTCTTCGTACGTGTCGTAGCCACCATACGAGTCGGCCAGAAAGAGCGCGTTAATGCCGCCTCGCTCGAGAGTTTTAGCCAGTTCGATCCAGTAGTCTAGCTTTCGCTTGGTTGCCGATTTGTCCTTGGGATTCTATGGATTCGTGACGCATCAGACGCTGCAAGCTTCTGCCAGGAACGGTTGGCCGCTTTGTCTCTGTTTGCTCACCTTCCACTGACCAGGCGACAAGTGACCGATTGTTGACATATCAAAAGCATTCAACAGGATCTGGTGCTTGCCGTTCCCAAGGTCGTGCGGCCCCCCAACATTGCCATTGTTTTTTGTTTGCGTGTCGGCCATCGTGATCGGCGTCTAATTTCTTCCGTCGTCGTCGAGCTTGCTCGATTTTTTCGAGCCTTTTCGGAACTGTCTATGTGTCGGAAGCCCGTTTGCGCGGACGGGTCAACCGACTTATACATCGTAAGCATCAACCCATTTCGCAAGAGCATGGAGGAATGAAGTGCTGCAGCCAAAGCCAATGGCGGGATTGCGCGCTGTTTGTCAAGCCTATGGCTGTGATACACTGCTTTGCGCCAGTGAAAGCCAACGGCGATGTTGTGATTTATAAATAGATGATGCAACAGGTGCTTTGGCGCTATCACTTTAAGGCGGGCGCTCAGACTGGGCGGCCAACGTTACGTCTACACACCAAACTTACCCCTCCTTTATCTGCTTAGGCAAGAGCAGAGAAAATCAAGCATATCCTGTGTACGGAGTACTTCGTACATACCACTGTCTTAGAATATCGTATCTTCCGTACCTTTATGGCGCCAGTAAAGGGCTATCTCATCTGCGAACGAGAACCAGCTTGCAAAACTGAAAAAGACAAAATATCATACACAGTGGCCTGATGTCGCATCAAAGCGTGCCTGAAGAAGCCTCTAGGATGGCTGCGAGCGTCGAGAAGCTAAGACCCGGATCATCTGGAGGGCATTATTTGGCGATAATCACGGACCTCTTGATGTATCTTCATCGGCTTTACTGTGAAATCTCAAAAAATCGGCCTACTCTTTTCTAGGAAACTTGCGCTCCCGTAGAGACATTTACGACCTCCGAAACCTGTGCGTGATATTTGTTGGCGCCAGGGTGATCAAAAGTGCTAAAGAGGTATGCCGTAAAGCATACTATGAAATCATCTCGTACGTCGAACTGATGGGTATTATAGTAACAAAAGACGACAAGCTCAGGCCTGTAGATTCCACCGTCGCCACGACTGGGGAAGGCCGGAATGGCGTCACTTGCATGTTGCTGTCATGGCGAGGCTCGTTCCAGCATCAGGTTGCAGCACTTCGTGAGCCACAGTGGGAGGATCTCAACTTCATCCAGCACTCTGGTCAGGTAAACAACGATATGAACAATTTACCAGGGGCATTACGGATATCGTCTTTACCGGCGATGACCTCGCCGGAATGTATCACCTGAAGAAGTCCACGGTTCACCCAAAGACACAGCTTGAATAAGCCGTCCTTGTTATTGACAGAGACATAAAGCAGCTGGCCAGAAGTGAAGGCTATGGGCAGGATTCAAGCAGCAGGTTAAATGCACCCGGTTTTGTCAGGTCTGTATTCCAGTGCACAGCAAACGTTTACTGAGGCCCATTATCCGTACACATGTGACAAGCCTTTCTTCTCTCTTTCTTTTTTGGCATAATTACGACGCAACATACAACCTACAGTGTCATCATTGGACAAGCAGTGCCATGCCATTCTCTCGAGCCTTGCGACCGTTGTTATCGTAGATGATGTGACTAAACGTGTCATAATCGTTGTCATCTACGAGTGTTTCGTCGTCACCGTCTGGGCACAACGCGGCATACAAACCCTGACCGGGCTGGGGCCACGCATCCATTAAGCCCGTTGGGTCTTCTTCGTCGGGGTCAATTTGCGTCCCAAGTACCGCCTTGGCTGTTACCTTCGTGGGAGATTTATGCCCATGTCCACTACCAACTGCTTTGCTATTTCCACCCTTGATGCTTTGACTCGGTAGCTTCGCTTTAGTTGCAGAGGAAGCCGATTTTTGAATTAGACTCATCGTACCCTTGCGGTACGACCCGGTGTTGGACTGACTATCGTTGCGAAGTGTGTGGTCGATGACGGGTGGCTGTGCAGGCATCGGCTTGGTGGTGGGTGGGAAGATGGGAAGGTCTGGATGTAGTTCGGTGCTGCGTATGAGAAGCTGTACCAGCTCACCTCCAGACAAAGTGGAAAGGTAGGCCAATTTCTAGTACAACGGTCAGAGCTTGACATCCTGAAAGCAGCCACGATGACTAAAGAAGACTCACCTGTCCCGCCGAATGATCAGCCCAACTGACCCGCATGCTGTCGGGGATGGCGTCCCGTGTCGGGGGGTCAATGCTGATCGTCTTCTTCAAGTCAGAATTGCAGACGAGTCTCCTCTTGTTCCCGTTGTCACTCGCGTTACCACTGATAAATTTTATCCTCTTCGGTCCCACCAGACGGCTGCGCTCAGCCGTGCACTTGGCACAGGACCAGCTGGAATTTTCGTGCTGAATCAGGCTGTCGTCGATTTCAGGCTCGTGGCAGAGCTGATGCCAGGAAGCATTGCAGTTGCTGCAGGGAACCATAAGATTGAACATCGGGGATACTGTGCGCGCACACCTCTCGCACCGGACATGTGGCCCCCCATTGAAACCATGGCTTTTGGTGTTTCGTAGTCGTCTTTGCGCGATCTCTACTGCCCTGACTGCGTCTGGATTGTAAAGGGTTGGTTTCCGTGACGATACATCATCCTCTGATATGGCTGAGACAGAAGAGGGTGTGTCTGCATCGACACCACCAACTGTGATCTCTGTAAGCGGAGATGAATCTTTCTGTTTTCTGGGAAATGCTACCATCTCGTCCTCCTGACCGCGACCACGTTTTCGCTTGGACGCGGACTCAACGCTAGGCCTTATAGAAGTCAACGTCGGCGAATCCTTTGCCACTGGCGAAGGCTTTATAAATGTAGAGCTGACGGTTTCTCCACGTTCGAGTCCGCCACCATCGCTGCTGTTGCACCAAGCAGAGTTGACCCGTGTTTGCCGTTCTTGTGTTGAGCGATTAAGGGGTACTGTCACGGTGCCTGCATCACTTGACGGTCCTTTCTTGATGCGACCGAGGATCAGTTCTGTTGCAACAGAAAACTGCCAAGTGTATGGCGACCGCAATGCAGGCGAGTCGCGAGCTTGCGTTTTGGCCGCCGAGGAAGAGCCTACCTCCCTGGACCCTGCATCGCTGGCTGAGGTATGAATGTCGGTGGCTGTCGCAGTCTTAGGCATGGCGGATGAGGCGAGAAAAGGTGAATGTCTGCCATTGACAGCGTGGTGGAGCGGAAAGGTTGGTGAAGCATTGACACCGGATTGTGAATGAGATACTGGCACAAGAGGCGCTGCATTCACAGCAATTGGCTGTGGGAAGGATTCCCCCATTCTACAACCACCACAAGACAATGAGGTGCGTAGCCTATGCAGTGGTGGCTGCTGGAAGGAATGGCTTGTCATTCGGATATGTGCTTGACCTGGACAATTTGATTCACGTGACGTCACGTGTGGTCTTTTGGAAGGAAGAGATCTTCATGATGATTGATCATTGCTCGCCTCGCCCTTCTGCATACAATAGGCGACGAATTGAGCATTGGGTATAATAAGGCAAGGCGATGTCACCTATTCTTTCTTCGAAAATTCGGTGAGCGTTACGTCGGGTACAAATACAGCCATCTCCGTAATTTTTACAGCGTGAATTCCAGCTCTGGACCGCAACAATGAGACACTTTACCGAATCACGCCCTTCTCTTGCAATTTTTTTATCTCAGTCGAGTCGAATCCCAGATGTTCTTTCAGTACCTCTTCAGTGTGCTGGCCCAGAAGAGGCGGGGGCGACCGTATTGTGGGCGGCGTCTCGGAGAGCTTGATGGGAGTATTGACCAGCTTGATGGGGCCGCATTGCTCATGCTCAACCTCGACTACCATATTTCGGGCCTTGGTGTGCTCGTGATTGAGCGCCGTTTTTACGTCGTTGACTGCAGCGTAAGGCATCCCCCTCCCCTCGAATATCTCGAGCCATTCCTGGGTGGTCTTGGTAACGGTGATCTCTTCAATCTTCTGCTCAAGTTCGGTGCGATGGGCCACTCTCTGCGCATTTGTGACGAACTTGGGGTCGGCTATCCACTCCGGCCGTTGAATTCCCTGGCACAGGATACCATAGAGACGGTCGTTGCCCCCGCCAAAGAGGACGTCGCCGTCCTTGGTCTTAAAGGATCTGTATGGGACAATGGAAGCTGCCTGGTTAGCCACGAAGTTCAGTTTGCGGCAGAAAAGCTTCCATAATGGCAATGCGCTTACGATGTGCGGTCCCCCATCGTCCTGTGTCCGGCTGCCCGCTGATCAGGCAGCTGCTTGCGATATTTGCTAGCGTCGCAGTCTGGCAGTCACTGAGTGCCGAGTCAATATGCTGGCCACGACCGGTCTTGGCGCGTGTGAGAATAGCGGCCATGATACTGTTGCTCGTGTATAGCCCAGTCGTCAGATCCGTCACGGCGACACCAACTTTTACGGGCGGGCCGTCACGGCTGCCAGTGATGTGCATCAGGCCGAATTCTGCCTCCACCATGACGTCGTAGCCAGCCCGTGGCGAGTACGGTCCCGTTTGTCCATAGCCAGTAATAGAGGCATAAATGAGGCCGGGATTGATCTTGTGAATAGTCTCGAAGTCAAGTCCGTATTTTTTCAGCGTTCCTGGCAGGTAGTTCTCGACAAGAATATCGCACTTGGCGGCTAGCTTCTGGAGAATTTCAACCCCTTCTGGGTGTTGAAAAGACAGGCCTAGAGACTTCTTGTTGCGGTTGACCTGGTCATGAGAAGGCGAATTTAGCTCGAGACGGTTTCCGCCGACAATCTACCGTAACGTACCCCCAAGAAGTAGGCCGACTCCCCAGGTCCGTCCCGCCCAGACTTGGCCGTGTAGGTGGCATATGGAGGACCCCATGCCCGCGTGTCATCGCCGCGGACGGGATGTTCGATCTTGATGACCTCCGCACTGTTTCTGCGTGTGAGAGGGACGCTGATGTATGGCTAGTTGCTTTGCCTATGTTGCCTACCCAAGATCGCCCAAAATCTGTGTGCAGTACGGCCCGGCCAGGACGCGGGTCATGTCCAACACACGGTAGCCTTCGAGGGGTAAGGTCCCGATTGTGGCAGCATTGCTGGCGACGGGCGTAGCGGTTGATGCCCTCTGTCGGCTCACATGCCCTTGCAACGGCCGATTGGGCGTAGCGCGATATGCCCTGGAGACATGAGACAGTCGTATCCAGGGCACCATAAGAGGGGTGCGGGAAGTCATATGGAAGGAGTGGCCAGTTTGCCGTCACAGGGAGCGAGGTTTTGTATGAAGTTTGTGAGAAAGTTTACCGAGACGAGGCTTCTTATTCACTGATTATGTCCGTTCTTGCGAAAGTCGTTGCGAAACCGGGGGAACCCCCACTTCACGCTGTAGAACGTCTTACGAGACGACCCGGCTTCTTAGACGGGTTGGGAGAAGTCGAAGTGCTAGAGACGGCAATCGAGTACGAAGTACATACTATGTAGTATTCTCCCTAATAGAGCAGTTTCCAAGAGCGGGGTGCAGGCATCAATATCGAGATCTCTTGGTTTTTCGCAACCAAAGTCGGCCAAATGGCTGTGGATGCCGTTCATGGCCGTCAAACGGGCATTCATAAAGTACTCGGTCCCATTTCCATGTGAAATTTGTCACCTAAATTGTCCCTCCTGCTGAAACTGGGGTCCGCTAAAAGGAGGCCTGGAGCGAGGGCATATCGTTCTCCCAAAAACTCGGCACTTCATTTCGCTCCTGCAGTTCGTTAGCTGGCAGATTGAGATGCCCCGCACCTGGGTGTTCGGAGGGCACAAGACACTCGAGAAGCAGCAGTTGGAATTTTAAGCCTGCGACAACTCATTTCGATACCGTGCCATATTCTATCCAGAGATAAGATACAAGTAGACTCAGGAAGCACTACCCGTGTCGCTCTTTCTCAGTTACAATGCCCAACGGACGTCGGTAGGCCGGCTTTGCTATGCGCTAAATGACTTTAATTTCAATTTCTTACTCCACGAAAAGCACCCCTCACTGCTGCGACTCCGCCTCGTCCTTGCCCCCTTGCGTCTCCCAATCTTCTGCCACTCGACCAAAGCTCCCATACCTTCCCATTCTTTAGGCAACGCGTGCTAAAACCGGCTACTATACCCAAGTTAACGCGTCCAAGGATGCGAAACCGGACGTAACTATCGACCGCGATGGCGTCTGCCGGCGAAATCGACGCAAAACCACCGGGTGAGCCATCGACAAATGCCCAGAACAACGACGAAAGCCCAGGTGGCGTCGACCTGCAGGAGTCCCAGTTAGCCACTGACGAGAGCCGGCTGCCTGCGGCTGCCGAAAGCACCAACCCCCTCCTCGTCATGGACCCAGAATATCTTCTGGCCAGCAGCACCCAGTCTACCAAAGAGGACAAGCTCATTGGCCTGCATCTGCATCTGGACAACACGATTGCCGCAGAGACAACAGCAAATCACCAGACATCTGCTGCTGGTAAGGCACCAGCGATGGAGCCTGATACTACGGCTATGGATGCATCTGTAGCAACGCTGATGCCCCCGGCCGCACACGCCAAACCCACGCCAAAGGCCGCCTCGACGGCTGCGGCCATGCAGTTCCTAAACGTAGAGGCTTCACATGTTGCCGGTGGCAGCACTTACGTCGATCCGACCCCAGCAACGCCACTGACCACCTCCCGCCCACCCTCGCGTTCACCATCGAATACTGCCCCCCTGTCCCGCCGATCCTACGAAGCATCTCCTACCAGATCTGACGCTGCCTACGACGACAAGAGGTACACCAGCGAGGATGAACAAGAGAGCGGCTCCCGGGCAGAAATCCAGACCATAATGGGGCAGTTCGGAGAGGGAGGCGGCGGACCGGATGCAGAAGAGGTCATGAGCCCTCGCTTGGAGATCGCTTCACCGATGCTCACTGCCCCGTTACAACACCCACAGCGAAAGTCCAGCTTGGAACCTCTGGCGCCTACCCTTTCCCAGAACCTCCAAGACAGACAGGGGCTCGGAAAGGCAGCCTCGTCTTCATCCACCTCCGCGTCTGCATCAACGAGTACTGTCACACTGCACAAGGACAAGCAACGGTCTGATGCTGATGACCGAGGTCCGCCTGTTCCGCCTAAAGATAGCACCGATACCTTCGCAGCTTCTTTTACTGGGGGAAATGAGCTGCCCCTGTCACCGACCGTTTCTCTACAACGCCCGCCACCGCCCGACCCCGAGCCGGAACCGACACTCCCGTTCGACTTCCAACGATTTCTCGAGCAGCTCCGCAACAAAAGGGCGGATCCCGTAGCAAGGTACCTCAAGTCCTTCCTCTCGGAGTTTGCCAAGCGGCAGTGGATGGTTCATGAGCAAGTGAAGATCATCAGCGACTTTCTTGCGTTTATCGACAACAAAATGGCTGTCTGCGAGGTGTGGCGCGATCTGTCAGACGCTGAGTTTGACAACTCACGTGAAGGAATGGAGAAGCTGGTAATGAACAGGCTGTATACGCAGACTTTCTCACCTGCTATCCCGCCCCCTCAGCCCATCCCGGGTGCAAAACCAAAACGTCGCGGTGGTGATCGGCCGATGGGCCCCGGCCGAAGGGGGCAACACCAAGAAGACGTCGAACGGGATGAGGTTCTGTCCCAAAAGATAAATATTTACGGCTGGATTAAGGAGGAGCATCTCGACATACCCCCGGTGGGGGACAGCGGAAAGCGCTTTCTCAAGCTGGCTCAACAGGAGCTTTTGAAGATCAAATCGTACAGGGCGCCGAGGGACAAAATTATCTGTGTCCTTAACTGCTGCAAGGTCATCTTTGGTAAGTGAATTGTTCGGCCGATCCTCGACATTTTAAAATGTACAACTAACCAGATATTTTTCCAGGACTTTTAAAACACAACAAAGTCGACTCGTCCGCCGACTCATTCATGCCCATGTTGATATATGTTGTTCTCCAGGCGAATCCGGAACATTTGGTCTCAAACGTCCAGTACATTTTACGCTTCCGGAACCAGGAAAAGCTCAGCGGAGAGGCTGGCTACTATCTCTCGTCTCTGGTATGGCCCCTTTTAGATTTTGATGGTGTGCTGCCGTTTTCCCGCATACTCCAAGAAGAAAACTAACAGCTGTTGATTGGAAGATGGGTGCCATCCAGTTCATCGAGAACATGGACCGGACAACATTGACGATAACGGACGAGGAGTTCGAACAGAACGTTGAAGCAGCCGTCTCAGCCATCGCCGAGAAGCATCGTGCCGCATCGCCACCCCTGCCAGTCCCTCCTCTGTCGGAAAAGGACGAAGTGGATAGCCAGCGGCTCCTACCGCGTGGTGGCGGACCTTCTTCGTCTGCGTCTGGTGCAGGAAGGTTATCGACAGATATAGATGCGGCACGACTCAGCATGAGCATGCCCGGACGTTCCTTTTCCGCAGACGGTGATGAAGACAGAGACGCGATTACTGGGCTGCTTCGCACAATACAAAGGCCCTTGAGCACGATCGGGCGAATCTTCTCGGATGAGTCTGTCTCACCGTCCAATGCTAGGGGTCGCAGCCCTGCACCAAACCTCCGTGCCGGCGTGCCGGGTCGATCGCCGACGGCGAGCGAGTTTGGTTCTGCGGGTGATTTGTCTGCGCCTAGCGAGCAGTCTCCGACTTCTGCATCATCACGACATGCACTTCCGGCGGAAGAGGCAGCGGCTCGGCAAGCCAGCGCGGAAGTTGAAGAAGCTCAAAGGCTACACCGTGTTGAGCACGCCAGCGTCGTCGATACATTGGCTGGCATGTTTCCCGACCTAGACAGGGATATTATCAGTGACGTCGTCTACCAGAAAGAAGGACGGTATGTGCTACTGTGCCATTTGACCCCTATTCAAGAAATTCCGCTAATCTAGTTGTAGTGTCGGCCTGGCTGTCGATGCCTGTCTCGCACTATCCTCATGATACGCCGTGGTTCACCGATACCCACGGGTCGTAGCTCGTCATAACAACAGAGTCATTTTTAGGAAACAACGTGCGTTCATACCCAGTTACTGCATGCTACTGGACGGATACTATCGGTTACGGACTCGCTCTTGTAACAGCATGAGTCAGTTGGAAGTGCCGTAGCTTCTGTAATGGTAATTTTGAAGAAAAGAAAGTGTTGGTCAATACACGGGAGGATAGATACAGATTCAAGCCCGTGTTCACATTACGCTGCAACGGCTCAGGGAAATCATAAAGAAACAGGAATGCCGAAGGAAGACGGCAAACAACTTCGAAAAGTTGCTAGCATAATTCAACTTAGATTTTGAGCATATCTGATTTGCCGCGTAGATCTCTATGTTCCTTGAATGAAAGACATGTGGATTGTCTGTCGTCCAATAAAAAGCGAGGAGATAGTGGTAGCTGTGGCCAATCTTTGGAAAGAAACATGTGGTATGCTGTGGTGATCTCTCGTATCGGGACACCCAACAGCGTAAACAAGCTGCCCAACACAACACTCAGTGATTATTAGCCGACAAAATGGGCATCGAATCTAAGCCAACAAGAACTCGCCCGATGGAGATTCCCGCGGCTAGGTCTGCTACGTTCCAGCAACTTGTGATCGAAGAGCCAGTGCGTCGTCAACTTCTCGTTAGATACGGCTACATAGCGGACATGCTGGTCCTAACAGAAGAAACAGAGGGCGGAACCACATCCCAAAGCTACAGCGATTGAATGTGCGGATGTGCATCTACGTGGTGGCCGGATGAACGTGGACTGCTGTTGCAGTTGCGGAAACAAAGACTGTTCATGCCAGAGGGTGTGTTGTTGAGAGGGTATCATAGGGATTTGATCGATTTTTTCAACTGCTTTGTGTATTGTTGCTGTCTTTATGCCTATCTGTCAAATTAGCCTGTTTATCCACGAACCGACAGATTGTCAATCTCGTCGTCCGTGTATTAGGCCGGTCCGAGGCTACCGCATTGTGTTTCCAACGGAACGCACATGGGCATAAGATGATGTTATTCAAGTTGTGTTCATACATATGCTTATTTAGTAGAGAATGTTTTCAGCTTGAGATCTCTGGCAGGTCTTGTGAGGGTTCGAAGTGCTACTCGAGCTCGCCGTTGGCAGTAGTAACCACGTCCCAGACAGAAGCATCCAAATCCAGCAGATTCGTGTCAATGTCCGTGAAATAATTATCCAGGCTGGAGTCGAAGGGAAGCAATGTGTCATTCCAGCTCGACAGCAAGTCAGACAGGTTCCGGTCAAAGCCCAGCACCGCATCTTGATCCGGAACAGCACTTCCCCAGTCTCCTTGCCGACCTCTCTCGCTACCAAACGCTTCAGCTCCAGCTTCTGTGCAGTTGCCAACATTCTGTGCTTGAGCCGCCCGCTGTTGCCGCAGATATGCCAGTGGTGTCAGCCCTGTAAGTTCCTTAAACTTCCGGTGGAAGTGCCACCGCGACACGCCAGCCTGTGATGCCATCCTGCCGAGAGTTCCATAGTCTGCAGCTCCGGTAGCAGCTTCCTGCAGCATTTCGCGGATTCGCACAACGGCGCGATCCTCGGGCATGATTCCCACGACGCGCGGCTTGCATCGCTTGCATGCCCGGAAACCAGAATCCTCTGCGGTCGCAGGCCCGGAAAAGAAGACCACATTGGCGCGCCGAGCCAGCCGCGCCTTGCAGTTTGGCCGACAGTAGATGAGTGTAGTGCGCACTGCGTAGACAAATGCCCCGTCGGCAGCCGCGTTGCGCTGCTGCACAGCTCGCCAGCGGGCGGTGTCGGTGTCAAAGAGAGTGGCGGATGGATGAGATGGCATTTCGCCGAGCAGTATTACAGAGAGAGGAATAAATTAGAACCAAATTGGAGTCGAAAGAACATGACGGGTAATATAGCGCGGCCATCTTTGAGCCAACAAAGTCGTCATTGCTGTAGAATTGACCAATGAAAATTGATTTTGGCTAGCGGAGGTCAAGGTATCCCAGCAGTGAACTTACTTCTATAGCACTACGGGCAAGAGGCATATAAGAACTTCATTGCCTGATGTCATTTCGTGGTTCGTGTAAACGAATCGAGCTTCATACATTTCCTTGAACAGCCCGGCCTCAAAATTAGATACCGCCTTTCAGGACAAAGAGCTTTTTCAATACTATGGCAGAACCACCGCTGACCTCGATAATCCTCAAATTGACAAGGAGACGATTAAAATAGTAACATCTGTCGTTGAACAACCAGATCTAGGGACCCGAGCGATTTCCTGGCGCTCATTTTGACAACCCATCGAATTGTTTCCCATATCTGTCCTGCCGCCACTCGCAGCAGAGGGACCAAGGCGACTTTCATACTCCCGAGCATGACCGTGATGCCGAAAGACAATGCCGCAGCAAATAGAGCAAGGACAATAGGCCCCTTTGTGGCATAAGTAGTCCACCGGAGAGTCACTGCCTTGTCGTTTTGAGACTCCTGCGTCACAGGCAGCGAGGGTTGCTGGACTGGTCCGTTCACTTCTATCCCGTCTCCCAATTCCACAGACGCTTGGTGCCCAAAGGACGAGACAGGATTCACCGCCGTTTTGTTTTCCACACCCTCTACTATGACAGCCTTGGTGACACAGTCTTTCATAGCCTTCACCGAAGTTGTAAACTCGAGATGGCCGAGGACACTATGGCGTACAGTCACGACGCCATTCTTGTAGACTTTGTAGACAACCGGGTCACGTTTCGGAATAGCCTTCATCCGGCAGCGTCCCGGTGCTACCAAACTAGCAGGACCAACTGCTTGTAAACTTTCAAGAGGAGTGCCTTTATGGCGTATCACCTCGAATTCCGTGCTAGGAAAGTCTAGATGACCGAGCATCCAGCTGCAATCAATTCGCTCAAGCTTGGTGCTTACCTCGCTCGTTACCTTGCTGAAGGTGAGGCAGCGCAGCACAACGACGTCTGTGAGGTTCATTGGCCTTTCTCCCTTGAAAGCTGGAAAAATGCCCTGGCGGTAGAAGCGCTGGCAGTATGTGGGTAGACGATGGTCTGAGCCCAGAATACCGGCTTGAACCAAGTCTTGGAACCAAGCTGGCCATTTCACATCGACACAAGCCAAACTTAGTTGCGTCAAATACGAGACCACATGCTGCTCAAGTATACTGCGCTGGTATGCCGTAATTTTGTAGATCGCCTCGGGAATTCTGATCGTGGCGCCCGAGACACTAATGTCTACTGTCTTGTTCACCGTGTCCGTCACGAGGTATCCGGGAAGCCTCGGATCGCCCCTGAAGAGCGCATTCTTTCCTGTGTCCATGAGAAGAAATGAATTTTGATAAAAAATGTCAAAAGATTGTCATGGGGTCGGAAATATCAAGATAAAGAGTGACCTGAGATGATAGATAAAGTCTCGAAACCTACTTGACCAGCTCACTTCTGGGCGTATGAACATGTGGGTTACTACACGTAGGATGATGCGCTGGTATCCTCACCTTCTGATCAATTGTATAGGTTCTGCTGTCACTTTTGACTGAGATCTCTCACAGCAACTAACGTGCTCAAGTTATGAAGGGAAACCAAACACCGAAATCATACGCGGTATAAGAAGTTGAAAGAAAAGTTGCCTGATACCTAAAAGGAACGCCAAGTCAGAACTACTTTGCATAGGATACTGCGAAAGTTTGCATTATTATCTGACTGAGACTGCTTGTTGCGGTGCGTTGGTAAAGTGTAAGGTAGAGACCGAAAGTGTTTTATAGATTAGGGCATGTAGATTGGTGACTCGCAGAGGAGGCTACATTAGTCAGGTAGCCAGCCTTGTACTTCGTACGTTTGCACCTTCCAATACTATAATCCTCGAATTTGGAGATGCTAGTTCGGACAAAGGCTAACTTGGGCTTATAAACCTCGCTTCGAAATCAGACGTCTTCATCATGGTGTCACTGAAGACAAGAAGGCAAGAAGGCAACTATAAATCTTGACTCTCACATTTGACTCTAAATCTAGTCGCAGATTGTTGGATGTTCACAACCTTTCGGATAGTTTCTAGTCCTTAAGCTTAATTTGGTGCAAGCATCACCATCCGCACAACATTAGTACACCCGGTTGATATTTGTTACAGTTCGCTGTTTTTTTAGTAGCTGTAGCTTCTTCTACATGGAAGTGTAGGCGTTGAGAGCCAGCTGGCCGCCAAGATGTGCGTACAGCACGTTGGAACCCTCGGCGATCTCGCCGTTGCGCACCAGATCCATCATGCCTGCCAGGCTCTTGCCCTCGTACACCGGGTCGGTGATGAAGGCCTCGGTCGATGCACCGAACTTGATGGCATCAATGGTCGTCTTGTCCGGGATGCCGTAGGTACCGGCGTGGTACCGGCCGTCGAGGATGATGTCCTTCTCTGTGATGTCGCCGTCTTCTAGTCCAATCTTCACGCCGGTGGCCTTGGCAATGCGCAGCACCTGTGCGGCTGTCTGCTCGACTGTGGCCGAGGCATCTATGCCGATTACTTTGCGCGGCTTTCCGCCCAGCTTTTCGGCCAGCTTGAAACCGGCAACGATGCCGGCCATCGTCGAACCCGTCACGGCGCACACGATGATGGCATCATAGAAGACACCCGCCTCCTTCTCCTGCTGGATGACCTCGAAGGCCCACCGTGCAAAGCCGAGACCGCCAAGCGGGTGGTCTGATGCTCCGGCCGGGATGTAGTAGGGCTTGGCGCCTGCAGCTTGCAGTTCCTTTTCCAGGTTCTTCAGCGTTGGTTTGTGCTCGATGCCAAACGGTGATGGGTCTAGCCGAACGTCGGCGCCCATTAGCCGCGATAGCTGGATGTTGCCGGCCTTCTCGTACACCACATCATCCCAGTTCACCCACTTCTCCTGCACGAGGGCAGCCTTCAAGCCGAGTCTCGTAGCAAGAGCCGCCACCTGGCGCGTGTGGTTAGATTGGACGCCGCCGATGCTAATCAGCGTATCACTTCCGCTAGACAGGATCTCCGGTACAAAGTACCTGCAAGAGCGCCTTGTTAGCAAGAAAGACTGTGGAGCCGGCAACCTATAGCCACACGTACTCAAGCTTCCGGGTCTTGTTGCCACCGTAGGCAAAGCCCGAGTTACAGTCCTCTCTCTTGGCATATATGTTGACTTTCCCCCCGAGAGCCTTAGAGATGCGGGGAAGTGCCTGGATTGGGGAGAGGCCGAAGAGAAGCGACTCCCGGGGGATGGCCGCAAAGGTCTCCGGAAGCTGTACGGGATCGACAGCGGCAACTGCCGCGGAAGTTGATGCTGCACTACTCATGATGGCGGTCAGAAGGGATGGCTGTACAATATATTGGGTGGAAGAGTGTAGTGCAACGCAAAGGAACGAGGATCAACGAACCTTATACCCCATCAAAATTCGCCGTACAGGAAAATTCGCCTGATGCCGACCGATGGGTTTCCCGAAATGGCTGTCCGAGACGGAAAACCGACCGTTCCCGCACTACCTTCCCCGACGGAAAACCTATCTTACAATAGTGTCTTTTTGGGAGCAGTTTCGGCAGGTAGCGCCTACCAAACAGAAGGAAGTACATTCTGCGTAGCTGCATGTTGATGATGCCACGAGGCGCATGCGTTGATCTCTGCTTGTACCTGCCTTATCGAGGGAAGTGAAATGCAAAATTGACACTAGGACCGAGCCTGAGTGGCAAGTATTCTTGTTTGTCCAAATGGACCGGGTTTTATCACATTTGAGTTATGTGGGTCTAGACGGAGTGCTCCATGTCCCCGTCCCCGTGCTTTCTCCGGCGCAATGCCAACGCGTACAAATTTTGGAGGATTGTAAATTCCGCTGTAAACTTGGACGGGCATAACCGTAATTCCTTGGTCATACCAAAGCCATCAACGCCAGTGCTGAAAATCCGAATAAGTTACTTGCCACAATTCTGGAAAAAAGAAATTCTCTGGCATCTGTCCCTGAAGATCATCAAGAGGCTTATCCCACTCCGCGATGCCTCCAACCAGGCCTGATCCATCCTCGACTTCGTCTTGTCCGGGCTGCGCCACATGGTCACGCACCGAATCCGATAACAGCCTGCCTGCACCGCCTGTTCTCTTCCAGAACTCTGCATAACCACCGTCACTCATCTGCTTGACGGTTGTCTCGCACTGGCCTAGACAAATATCCGCGAGGTCCCAATCGGCCTCAGTCTTCATTCGTCTGAGGTAGTCGATCAGCTTCCGGGCACTCTTGACACATGTCACTCCCACATTCTCAGTATGAGCCTCCAGAGCACACCGCAGCATAAGAGTGACCGCAGAAGCAAAATGGTAGGCTGCGTCTGAAGAGTGTCAGGTACATGTCATGTCACAAAAGAGAAGGCACATGAGATTATACAGACGTACAGGGAAGCCAAAACATTCGTGTTTCATCTGTCGAAAGAGAAGTCACAAACTGGATGAGAGAATTGCCGGCCTTGACGCATCTACCCTGATGGTATAGTGCTTCGTCATGGTCGTTTACCCGGCTTGTCTTTATACGGTCAGTCCCTGCTCGACAGCACAACAAGTCGTCTGATTGGGCAGTAAGACAAACCTGCAGCGCGACACGGCAGATGCACATCTTCACAGCTAAGAATGACAGCCTCAGATTTAGAGACCCCGGCTGGTCCCGTTCAAAATCCCCGTGTTCGGGATTGAGCCAGGGAGGAAGAGACTCCTGCCAGTCGTCAATAGACGTTTCTATGCGGCGCAGATTACGCAGCACGTTCTCGAGCGGCTCGTGTCGCAGGCAGTAAATGGTCGACAGCAATTCGCCGAGGATCTTTGTGAGCCGGCATAGGCCTATGAATGACTGTGCTCCCTTGCGGCGTGCTTCAGACACGGTCGAAGAGTTCTCTGACACAGCGCCGTCTAGGATAGTACCCATGGTGGGAAGTACGACGTCCCACTGGTCCCGATGAATGTGGCACGGCGTCCCATGGCAGAGACTTGCCCTGTGGATACCAACGTCGGTTAGATCAGACTGCTGCATTCACAAGGCCAGATGGTAGTCACATACCAGTAGTCGTGGATGAGCAGGGCCCACCAGGTCCTGATACGCAGATTCTTCTGTGGGCTTTCGAGGTTCCAACTGGCCGGATTGCGATTGAGTCCCAGACTCTGGGCCAATGCAACGGCACTGCCCACGTTGATGGCGTTGTACGTGATGGAAGTTATGGGTCGGCCCAAGAGATCTAGTATGCAGGCGACCACGGTGGAAAAACACGGAGATAGGAAGTCCTCGTGCATAGCACTGACAGTCAAGTTCCAGATGTAGCGGATATCGGGTGGTGGACGGCTGGTGGCGGCGATCTTGTCCGACAACTGCCAGAAAACAAGGGCGACGGCATAGATTTCGCAGGTCAAGGCATGCGGAAGGACCCCCTGCTCGTATGCTTTCACAATGGCAGTCTGGTCCAGGATGGGAAAGGGAGGGTGCACAATGTCAAAGTATCTGAAGCGCGAGAACACGTCAGGATAAGGGCAAAGGCCAAGCCGAGCGGGAAAGACGAAGCCATGACACTCACAAGTCCACCAAGTTGGGTCCCAGAGACTCGCATATCTTGTCGATGACCTCGAACTGCTTGAAGCCCGGAGTGCCGTTCCCGGATGACACCCGCGACCGCTGCCGTGGCACCTTCATGTACACGACCGGATTCAGCGGGTCGTCCGAGTAGACGCTGTAGGGGTTCGGATGCACGTGGCTGACGGCTACATTGTCCCGAGGCGAGATGTACTGCTCCAGCATCTGGGCGTCTCGCGCCAACGTGGGGCCCACGATGTGACCTGAGAGATTTGTCTCAGGGACGACTGTGGATTCCAGGTTTGGCGCCGCCTCGGCGGCGTGGGGCGAGGGCCTGTGTGGTGAACCGTGGGCGCTGAGCCGGCCATCCACTGTCTTGTCAACCACGGCCACGGTCTCCGGCGGAGATGAAGGCGGGACGGCCGACGGCCTGTGAGTCTTGTGATCCTTTCGAGGCCGGCGTTGGCGAGGTGTCATCGGCCTGGTGAGGACGGCGTGATCGGCAGACCGAGACGTGCATGTGCGCCAATGCGCCCGGCAGAGGGAGCAGGGCTCATCAAGACGGACCCGATCACATCGCGACTTTCGGCGGCGGCAAAAGTCGCAGGCCGGAATCTTGTGCGATCTGTAGGGCCTGGCAGACACCAATGGGTCCACGTTTTCCGAAGTGCCAACGGCAGCAGCTTCGGCGGCCATGTCCACAGGGATCCAGATGGAGCCGGCTATGGCTTGTTGTCGAAGAAATGATTCAGCGACGGCAAACGTGCGGGAGACGGTCACCATTCTCTCGGTAAACAGACGGCCAAAAGATATCGGAAAACTCGGCTCCATAAATAGCTGCGTCACGTGCAACAGATAAGCAATTACCCTCCAATTCGGCCAACACTTGCAAGACCGGTCGATGTGCGTGCCGGGAGACGACAACACGGGAGGCTGAGATCCACGTTTACTCCGTGCTGATGCGGAGTAGGTATTCATCATATTGCCGTGACTCGCAGCGGAGATGTGGGTGTCCCTGGACGATGGTCCCCATGGTGTACATGATGATCTAGGTAAATTTCTACAGTTGCGAATATGCGATGAACAGCAGGATGAGGCATTAGCACAGAAAACGATTCAGCATCACGGTCACCACTGACCAAATAACAATTGAGTCAGATAGAAATGGGTAGGGCACGCCTCCGATTTCGGCAAACACCTTTCCTACAGCATACAACACTGCAGATCTCCTTTAGCGTATTCGTTCAGTGATAGACGGCACTGATAGGACAATTGCCGTCTCCATGCGATATAACAAGGGGCCAGTGTTGCCGTTGCTCCCCCTCTCGGTCTCTACCATTCTCTGGTACCGATATTGTGCGAATCATGGCTTCGTCCTCCCCGAGCAGCACCCGTCCGACGGTGATGATCCGCCAGGGCACTCTTGAAGGCACGATCATAGATGCAGTGGCACGGCCAATCGAAGGCTTCCTCGGCGTCCCATATGCGCTGCCACCGACAGGCGAGCGCCGTTTCCGACCACCGGTGCCCGTAGCGACGTCGTCGGCCGTCATCGATGCCTCCAAGTTTGGCCCAGCAGCACCGGGCAAGCCGCTCCGGCCTGGTACCAACCTCACGTATTCCGAAGACTGCCTGACGGCCAACATCTTCCGCCACGTGCCGGACTCTGAGACGGCAACAAAGCTGCCGGTCGCCGTCTACATACACGGAGGGGCCTTCAACCGGGGCACATCTTCTAGCCACAATACCGCGTCTTTTCTGGCAAATTCAGCCGAGCCCTTTATCGTGGTATCCTTCAACTACCGTCTAGGAGCCCTTGGCTTCCTTCCCTCGGCGCTGAGTGCCAAGGAAGGCGCCCTGAACCTCGGTCTCCGCGACCAGATCCTGCTGCTGGAGTGGGTGCAGGAGAACATTGTGGCCTTTGGCGGCGATCCGAACAACGTGGCCATCTTTGGCATCTCGGCCGGCGGCCACTCTGTACGTAATTTTCCGGAATCGTCCAGGCTCATGGGCTAACGCTTTTCACTATCGGCCCAGGTCGGACACCACCTCTTCAACTACAAGGACGGCGTGGCTCCTCTGTTTCACCGGGCGCTGTTGGAGTCGGGCGCCACGACGTCTCGAGCGGTGCGGCCGTACGATGCACCCGTTCACGAGGCACAGTTCAGCGATCTGCTAAAGGAGGTAGGCGTGCCGGAGTCGTTGCCGGAAGATCAGATCTTCAGCTTCCTTCGCAAGGTGCCCGAGGACGTGATCACGGCGGCGCAGACAGCCGTGTTCGACAAGTACAACCCATCGTTGCGCTGGGCCTTCCAGCCGGTCATCGACGGTGACATCATCCCGCGCGCGCCTCTCGAGTCGTGGATGCTGGGCCGCTGGCACAAGATGCGCATCATGACCGGCTTCAACGGCAACGAGGGCTCGCTCTACGTCGACAAGAAGATGGACGAGCCGGATCAGTTTGTCCACTTCTTCCACGAACTGCTGCCGCTGCTGACCGATGCCGATCTCGAGGCCATCGACCGGCTGTACCCCGATCCGACCAAATTTCCCGAATCTGCCTACACCGAGACCCGCGATGGCTACGGCCTCGGCTCGCAGTACAAGCGCATCGAGGCTGCCTATGGCCACTACGCCTATGTCGCGCCCGTACGCCAGACGGCCGAGCTGGCTTCGGCCGGCCAGGAGTCCCCCGTCTTTCTCTACCACTGGGCTCTCATCTCCACCGTGCTCAATGGTGCCCAGCATGCCGACAACTTGAACTATGAATGCCGTGATCCTATCGTGGTCGACAGGTCGCCAGCCCAGGCCGAGGTGGCCGGCCATATGCACGCCTACATCACTAGCTTCCTTCTCCACGGTTGTCCAAACAAGGTGCGCGGCGAGTATTCCGACCGGCCCAAGTGGGAGGCTTACACGCCGGCGAAGCCAAAGACGCTGATCTTCGGCCTGGGAAACGAGGAGCTTATCGGCGGGCCTGTCGGCACGGCGTCGCAGTGTGTCGAGGACACTTGGGCACGCAAGGAGAGCGAGTTTTGGTGGAGCAAGGTCGACGTCTCACAGCAATAGTAGGCCATGCATACTAGCCGAATCCGAATAAAAAAACAAGAAACAGCCCGCATGTCATCTGGCATGATATTTACATAGTATGTCGGATTATTAAAGTAACTACAGCCTCGAATCCTCTCCAAGTTTTTACGGCGAGATGACCTTGAGGAAGTCACTGGTCAGGTCTGTGTAAAAGGTGGAGCCCTTGACGACTGAAGGCGCGCCGGCCGTTGTGACGTTGCAGTTGGATGTCCAGCTGCCGGACTTCTTGTACTTGTTGCCGACATAGGCGGCGTAGTCGTCCAGGAGGCACGAGTAGCCAGGGCCGTTCTGGCAGCTGGGAATGGGGTAGACGACGTCGTTGAGGGTCACACGCACAAAGGTGTTGTTGGTAGTGGACTGGCTAAACTGCTGGCGGCGCGTGCACGTAGAGCCCGATGTGCGCTGAGCAAGAGGCAGCAGCGGGGAGACGTCAGTGTTGTCTAGCGGCTTGACGGCGCAGTTGAGGCGCTCAAAGGCGACCTGGCCGCGCATGGTGGTGAAGCGGTTGCCAATGTAGAGCCGGTTCGGATCCATGGAGCTGGCGGAGAGCGCAGCCTGGGCATCGTGGACGCCGGAGGCAGTGATGAGCTCGTTCAACTGGCCGTCATTGAGGAAGCTGACCAGCAGGTCGGGCACCTGGAAGGCGTTCCCGTCGGCGGCGGTGCCCTTCTGGCTCGGACCCTTGGCCAAAAGGCCGACGACGGCGTTCAGGAAGGGCAGCATCATGGTGGCCGGCAGGTCGGTGCCCGGGCCGACGCCGTAGTAGTAGCGCAGGTCGTTGGAGTACTGATAATGCTGCAGCTCCTCGTTGGTGAAGACGTTGCACCACGGCGAGACCTTGCCGGTGATCTGCGATTCGAAGCCGCATAGATACGGCATTTGCGACACGTCCGAGGACGTCAGCGTCAGGTTGCCGCTGATGAGGGCCTGCAGGCGCTTCTGGATCGGCGGCACGTAGACGTTGGTCCAGTTGGTCGCGTAGGCGCCGCCAGACACATCGACAAAGTTGGGACAGGCGTCCGATGGAGCGAGAGAGTTGCCGATGGCGTCGGTCGAGCCTGTGGACGTCACAACCACGACGTTGCCCAGGCTTGTCGCGTTGACGCCGAGGAAGCCGGTGGTAAAGAGCCGAGCCGTCTGCACCACGCGACTGTAGTTGTTGGCCCACACGTGCAGCTCGTCGCCCTCGCTATACAGCGCAGGATAGCGCGTGCGCAGCGCGTAGGCCATGTCGAAGATCTCCTTCTGGCCCGTCGGCGACAGGTTCGACATCTGCAGGCCCGGTGCCGTCAGGACCGGCTTCCATGACTGCAGGAACGACAGGCTGCCCGAAGCCGTGTAACCGTTTTTGACGGCGAACTGCAGCGGATCAGCAACCGGTGAGTGAGGGGAAAGAGAATGCCGCGTACCCGCTCCTGCATATCCACCCAGCCAGCATAGGCACCAGGATCTGGGTAGCGAGATCCATGGCGGGATACGTAGAATGCTTGCTCGACCGTACAGTTCTCGGGCACATCATACGGGATGCCGTACACATTGGGACCTATTGCCAGAGAACCTGTATCAGCAGCATATCCACGCCGGCCCAGCAGGGACGCGTCTTACCCGGGGCGTAAGGACCGTTGGCACCGAGCCAGTTGAGCGGGTTTTCCGCCGCAGACGTGTTCGGGAAGTTGATGTCGTACGTGGGGGCCAGCAACGTGCCGACCTGGCCGCTGGCGAGACCGGCCAGAGCCAAGATGGCAGAGGAGCGCATAGACATATCGATCAGAGCCGGGGAAATACGTGCAAAGACAGAAGCGAGTGAAAACTGTCAGGACACACATCCTGTCTGCGAGCAGCTGTAGAGCTGTGCCGACACCGCTACTTATGCAGCAGGCCCTGCAATGCCCCTCCCAGGGCCGACTGTTCCAGAGTGATCATCAGAGCAAGGGCCCATATTGTCCGTTTCTGTATTCTTATCGTGGCGGTGCTAGTGAGAACCCGGCAATGCCCGGTGGCACGATGCTCAGAAACCCCGGCTCTTTGGCTGGTTCGCGTTTTGGGGCCTGTCCCGTCGACCCGCCACGCAGAGCACTAGCCAGGGGTTTCTCTGGCTTTCTCGGGGCTGCATACGCCTTACGGCAGGCCCTTGTGTCGTCTGTTCATTTCATTTAGAGTGGGTGGATGTGTAAAAAGTTGGAAAAGTGGGTGCTAGTGACCTAACAGCAGCGCACGTGGCCGCTGCCACTCCCTTGCGCTAGGTATGTACTGTGGCTTCTACTCCGTGCACCACTAGTCTGTCACGCACGTTCTGCGTGATCACCAGTGTAAGACCCGTACGGTAATCCTTGTGGGATATTCGTCCGGACCAGTTGCACGTATCGTAGTAAGCTCTAAGGCCTTCAGAAGATCTAGTGATGATATTTCGTTCGGTGGTTAACTGATGAAAGACCAGACTGTGCGCAGTATGCGCGCAGATCAGGGCTTCGTCTTATCTAGTAATTTCGGCGGCCGAGGTTAAGTCAGGTGACCTCGGGGAAATCCACAGTACGTCGTACGGAGTAATAACGGACACGTGTGCGTCCCGTGACCTGTAAGGAAGAGTTTTTTTCAAGCACGCCGCAAGCCAAGCGCAGCTAGAAGGAGCGCAGGCATGTAATAGGAATGTGTTGATGCAACGAAAGCCCCAGTGGGGAGTGACCAACGAAGAAATGCAACGTCTGATTGCTAGATTTTACACATGGAACTCGAAGCTTTGACCATGAGCATTTAGCGGAGCTTCCGAACCAGAAATTCGTGTCTCTGCAACTACATGACCAAAGCAGGAAGACAAACGACCAAGAAGTTCTTCTGCTTGTGGTGCAACCATGGTGGGCCGCCTCGTCTCTCATGTGCTTCGGCCTCGTGTTGGTTTGTCCCCTGTGCATCTGCATTCGCCCTGGTCACTCACCGTCCTACAAGGTCGCAGCCAGTGCCATCTCAACACCATACGCCATGTATCGTGCTGCTCGCACGAGAAAAAGAAAAAGCAGTTGCATCTACATCACCACACAGCCAAGCCCGTCCTACGCCTGACTTCTACCGCATTCTGGACGTCGACCCCGACATGGAAGCGCGCCTCTGTCAACACACTGCGCTGCCTGGTGGGCTGCTCAGCAGGCGACCTTACCGCTATGTGGATACTGCAAGCCCATTTTTCCGGACTTGGCATGTGGCCGATCATGGCAATATCCAGTTAGGTTCACCCCAGATTGGCCGTACATACTCCGTACTACGAGCAGGATCGATAATCTGACGGCAGCTCCTGTTCGCCAACATCCCTTCCCCACAGTCACCAGCGGTCTAGCGTCTTCCATAGCCCTTGAAACAGTTCTTCTCCGCTTCGGCCGTGACAAGCTCACCTGGCTGCGGGCAGCTCAGACCGCTGTCGGTATGAGCTTTATATCCATGATCACCATGGAGATCGCAGAGAATGCGGTGGACTATCACCTGACTGGAGGCGCTGTGGCACTTGGTGATCCTATGTTTTGGACCGCAGCAGCCGTCGCCATGGCCGCGGGCTTCATTGCTCCGCTTCCCTACAATTATATTCGGCTACGCCGTTTCGGCAAGGCTTGCCATTAAGAGGGGCAAGAAACCAGGCTATTGCTTCTCTTCTACTCAAATAATCAGTCACATTGGCACTTGGAAGACCAGTCGTATTCGGAGCCAGTTGAGGCTTGGGCATGATCACGAAGTTGGCTACGTTGCGACAAGGCATCGAAAGAAATATGCGGTATTAGAAACAGATTGGTAGAGAACACAAGAAGATCAGACAGTTTTTCAGCCAAAAACTACAAAGGCGTTAATCGAAACTGTGCACGATCTTGCAAATTCTGAACCAGGGTTTATGAGTAGTTAGTTATATAGTACAATACCAGCCACACGTCATTCGTCCTAGTACACCATTGCGTCCATCTCGTGTGCATCCTCGTCCTCATTTCCTTCGCCATAATCGTCGGCAGTCCCATGTTCGTGGTTGAAGATAACATGCACGCGTGCTGAGCCAAACTTGCGAGTCGGTGTTTTCTTTGCAAATAACCAGTCAAGTTCCTCGTATGTTCGGCCTCTTGTCTCTGGAAGTCTGAAAAAAGCCCATGTGAAGGTCAAGAGCGCCGTGCCGCTCCAAAAGAAGCTGGCATATCCCTTCAGGTTCAGCTGATCCGGGTTCATAAAATATGGCTGTACCACATTGCCACTTATCTGCGCGATATAGTAGGAGTTGCGCGCAAGACACACCGTTTTCTGACGCAGCCGTGTCGAACTGACCTCGGCTGGGATCGTCCATCCCAGCTGGCCAATTGAAACTTGAAAGACAAACGTCCATGTGAGCGTGAGGATGGCTTGGATCATACCGACTGCCCGTGATTCCTCTAGCCAGATATTGAGAACGCCGATTATGACAAGGATGGCCGTCATCGACATTATACCCCAAAGATAGATTTGTCGGCGGCCGTACCTGGGCATCAGAGCAAACCAATTGACAAGGGTACCAACAAAAGCTAGAGCCGTCCCGCCCGTGTTAAGGATGTACGTCTGGTGCGCCTGCAAGCCGACCTGCTGGAAGAAATATGTCGAGTTGTACGCGAATGCCGATCCTGCCAACACTTGGCCTGCAAAAGCCATGCACGCGATTTCCGTGCGGCGCCGTTCGATGCCACGGAAACAGTCCCAGTAGCTAGTCCCTGGAGTCACCCTTTTCTCCATCTCGTTTGTCTGTACGATGTGGGCAAGCGTGGATTTGGCGTTGATATCGCAGCCAGCCGTGCTCTGCCGCTGCAATCGGCATAGCGATGCTTCGGCCTTGTCCAACTGTCTGGTGCGCACAAGGTGCCATGGCGATTCCGGTGCAAGCAAGAGAACTGGGGTGATGACTGCAGGCCAGGCCCATTGCAATGCAAAAGGGATGCGGAAGGACCACTCGTCCGTCCGGTCCACGAGGCCGGCGAGAATGCCGGCCGCAATGAGCTGCCCAATGATAAAGCACATGTTTGTGTAGGATGTCAAGTACGGTCGCAGGCACAAAGGAAGAACCTCAGATGCGTATGTCGGGGCTGACGACGCGAATATGCCCCAGGGTATGCCACACAGCAGCTCGCCAATCATCAACACCACGATATTGGGTGCGAAAAATGTAAAACACACGGTGCCACACAGGCCAAGCAGCGCCCCCAACAAAACGCGCTTCTGTCCAAGCCGATTGACAATGTGGCCGTTGAGAAAGACACCGAGGAAGCAGCCGACGCTCGAGCTGTTGCCCAGAGCTGCCTGCCACGCTGCAGTAAGCTGGTGCTGACCGTGCGTATCAATAAACTGGCCATACTTGGCTGCAAACATAGGGTAGGCAAAAAAGTTTCCAATCCTACACGTGCGAGTCAGACAGAGGATGCAGGAATCAACACAGAGGAGAGGCGCACAGAATAGTGTCGTATCCTTCCATGACGACGCAAGCCGACGCCACTAGGCACCAAAATATGGCCATTGGGTACATGTTGACGGCTTGTAACAGGGTGAGTTCGTGTTCGGCTCGGATATAGTCACGAACTCGGGCGTCGTCTACCTCTCCTCTCGATATGCTTTCGTATTCAGCGCCATCTTCAACATGTTCCAATTGAGACCTGGACTGCTCGACCGAAGCCTTTTCCAGTTCTCGCGACCGGTGCGCTTTCTCTGGATGTCCCTTATCTTTGTCATGCTCTCTAGCGATTCCCTGGGAGTCGTCCGAGAGAAGGGCAAAAGACTCGCTAGAATCGTAATCGTCGAGCGAATGCGACTGAGATTGCCGTAGAGCCAGCTCAGCCTGGATAGAATCATCGCGTGAAAACGCCATTTTTGCATCTCGTTCCTTTTGGAACCATGGTGCTCGGTTCGTCGTTACATTAGCTGCATTGCTCTTTGCAACGAGCAAAATGATTGACGACCGAGGAGAGCAACCAGACCTTAAAAGGTAAGCATGCATTAGTCATCAGCCAATCACGCGAGGCCAAAACGCCACGGGCGCTGATCGTTCTTTGGAAATGCAATACATCTTTAAAACAGCACAAGCTAAAAGCGGCTTGTTTTATCCAATTATTTAAATCAGATTGGCACCACGAGCCAATATTGGCGATGCCAAAATATTCGCCGCAAATGACGAGCAAAGGGTACCATGTCAGATGGTGGATGACTAGGATTGTGTGGATCCCGTCACGATCGTCGCGAAAGCAGCACTGTAAGGTATGACGTACGTGAAAGAATCTGTACATAAAATTCCAGCCGCCTCTTCTCTATTGGGAGTAGGCAAGGATTCTGTTTGCAACAAAAGACCCTATCGTTGGACTTCTTGATGAAGTAGAGACTTGGACTCTAGATCACGTGCCAGCCACAGTTGATATATTTCATACTGAATTTCCATTCTAAAATAGTGCATCCTACTAATGTCCCGATCAACATCACTAGTTGCGCTTCCTCCCCTGTTTGCTGAATGCTCTCTGCCGCTTGCAATCTAAAAAGCTTTACGCTGCGGCGTGCTTGTTAGTATCTTGTCCTTCCCGCCATTCCGTTATGCTCTTGCCCCATCACAAAAAAAACGAAGCTAACCATAAAGTACTGTGTATCTTAGATTCCTAACTACCGGTCTTCTTTTTGTTCTTTTCTTATTTGCCTTACAAGGTATATTCCGCCTGGCGAGATTTCTTTTTGGCTCTTTTTGTGTCTGTATTACTTGTTTATCTATTGTTGTATCTATACTAACTAGACAGATGAAGGTGACGTTCTTCGGACGGCGGTCGATCCAGTGGGTTCCTACCCCCGAGGAGTTCAACGCATTAGTCGGCGCTGGTCATGGAAATCTCAACGTTGAGGTTGGTGCAGCCCTTGGGGATATCAACGCTGTCCTCCATAATTTCAACGCCGAGATCAACATTGCACCATTGGCAGATCCGCGATTTCTCGACTATTTGCGGGACGAAATCAACAAGCCAATCCAAGAACCGCAAAACCTATCGCCGACGGCCCGTATAGAGAAACGAATGTGGTCTTTGGCCATTCTAAACATTGCGCTCGACCCAACAGCATCGATTTTGACAGCCACGCCAGAACCTTACATACTACGTTTTCCATATGAGGTGGTTCTTTACGGCCTGATTGGCACGCTATCCGCTCACACCTCTGCGTGGCTCATTGGACGCGGTGGCAGGGGACCACCCAGAGAATATGCCGACGTCAAAGCTCAAAGGGAGGTGCCTACGTTCTACAACAATCGCTGTCTTTTGACAGGTACGATGAAGCCGCAAGGTGCACATATCATTCCTGTTCGAGCAAAAGCAGTCAACCGTATGGATACTTGGAACACATTGAGTATGTTCTGGCCATTGCCTGAAGTTGAAACCCTGGACTTGCACGGTCGCGAGAGGGAAAACATCCTCCCGTTGACGCACACAGTTCATGATATGTGGGACTCTTTCCATTTTGGAATCCGTCCCATTGAGCATCCAACCAACCCCCAGCACCACCTTTACATCCAAATGGTATGGCTTATTGACATGAATGGTGACCGCGTGGAATCCGACTGGAGTCACGCCGGCTTTGGCAGCGCCAGTGACTACCGGCGCGGCAGCACTCCCAACTTCCCTGCCGTACAGCACGGTGACGTCTACGAGCTAGAGACGGATAATCCGACCACGGAACCACTTCCGAGCTTGCATTTCTTGCATATACAGTATGCCATCCATAAAATCATGGCAGGAATCAGGGCCGCTGGATCGCTCAGGGAGCTCTTCAACGACGATCCGCCTTCGGACGTGGGAGGCTACGGTGCTCGTGTCGACAATATCGATGACATAAACGACATTGCTGATATTGACGTGCCACCGATGTGGCAGCCGATCCTGGAGGCAGCCGTGAATGCTGGCGTCCTGACCAAAGAAAAGGCACTTCTTTGGGGCAAAGCCTTTTCGAAAGAGGCCAAGGACAAGGCAGAAGCAGACGCGGAGGCAGAGGCAGAGCTAGCTAATTTGGGAGATAACAAGGAAGCCAACGTACCTCAGATAGACCCTTAGAATGGGACTTTCCAAGACAAGCAGCCAGCAGACACCCCAGGTGCAACCCCAACTGCCACCAAATTTTTCACAGAAAAGCCGCCTACTCCAATTCTTTCTCAGACGCTAGGCAAGACGAAGCGGGAAACTGCCAATGAAGGAGAGTCTTCTAACAAAGCTGAAATGGGCATCTTGCCGGCATTGGAATTGGACAGTTCAAAGGGGACCTCCAAACGGGGCACGTGGCGCGTCCTGAGGAAGAAGGCAAAGAGCATGGGTGAGGGTCTTCGACTAGCCTTCAAGGGCAGCAGCAATAGAGAACTCTAAGCGACTCCGAAACAGACTTATTGAATGTTCGGCGCCACGCGGTGAGACAAGAGAAGAATGTTCCAATAGACGCAAGGTCATCGAGAGCTCATCGTGTTGTGGGGACGGCACTCTGTACCAAATCCCCTTCTGAAACAAAATCACCACAATGAAAAGGCGACTACCTCATATTTAAGGTAGAACGGACGAGGCCGCCTCTTCAAGAATCCGTAGCACTTCTTTGATGAAAGGATCTCCATGGGCAGACTCGCTTTTGGCAACGTCGAGCGGCGTCTGGCCCTCTTCGTTTATTGCTGTTAGAACCCCGTCATGCGACAGGAGATAGGGGAGGGCCTGGTTGACACCCCACTAGTAGAGACCGCGAGCCAGCTCGTGCAGGGAGGTGGCGTGGCCGGGGATGTCTTCGTCCGGGTCTGTTACCATGAGTTCGATGTCGCCGTCTAGCTGCACTGTCAAACTTTCAGGAGCTGCTCAGGAGAGGATCATTGGTGGTATGGAAGCGAAGTCCCTTCTCCGTACGAGTCGCTCTACGAACAGAGTCTCCTGGCCCTATGGCGGATAGCTGTCGTCGCCGACTTTAGTAGCGTAGCCATTACTGCCCCTGTTAGCGACGATGTGGCTTCGGCAGAGATCTGGTGTTTTGTGTTTTGCGGACTGCGTCTTATTTACTATGGGGTTGTGGGCCTGATTAAGTTAGTCCGTTTTATGCTTTTGGATTATGGGTAATACTCCGTACCTAGTGAGTGTATCTTGTCCGAGACGAAAAAGCAACTACACCGACCCCATAAGCGACGGCTACGACAAGAAGTTCAAGGTATACGCGAAAGTGGTCGCGGGCGGTGCTGATTTGCAGGTGCACGACTTTATGCAGCAGATTGGCGACAAGTACGTTACCTGCCTAGCCACAGAGGCACGGATCTGCTGCAAGGAGTGCTAGAGCAACTTGCAGAGCGACAGCTACTGCGACTACTGCTTCGATGACAAGTCTTGCTACGTGAACAGAGATTCGCTGGACAAGAGTGACGGCTACAATACAATGGCCAACCTAGCGCTCAACATGAGCTTTGCCAGCGAGTCGGAGCCGTGTCCGGGTGACTTCTCCGAGCGCGGCTACGGGCCCGACTGCCTGTACGAGCAGACAGTCTACTGGACGCTGCGCGATGACCAGGCGGACGTCTTCTATGCCAACTTGGAGAGCGCCACCGGCATCCCCAAGGACAAGATCGGCTTCGGCTACTACACCGACATCGACAACTGTAGCGGCAGCGGCAGCAAAGTCGGCGACGGCGATAACTGCTGGAACATCGATTATGAGCTCGGCGCGCCCTTCCCCAACGGCTACGGCACCGACGACGTGGCTAACCCTAAGGATGTGGCCAAGATCTAGCGCGGCATGTCTGCTGATGATCTGGCTAGACTCGGCGATCGCGTCGGCAACCGGATGAGTAGAATCAAAACCGTTACTGGCAAGTGTCTAGCATGAGATCGAAAGGGGGCCCTTTCATACTGTAGCGATATGCACCGGCTTGTATACACCGTAGAAATCAAGGATTAAAATAGAAGAGTCAAAATTTACTGTACGTTGTAATATGAGTATATTTCGTCGCTCTCTAGTTGTAATATACAGAAGTACTCCGTAGTTAAAGTTACTCTTCCTAACTAAATTGGCTTAAGGTACGGAGTATCTTACTCCGCAAGCTAGGTTAGAACCTGCTATAGTGGGATGTGTCGTACTCCGTAGTTTGCTCCGTACTCCGTACTCCGTATTAAGCTTCATATCAACCGGGTCCCCACACGTATTTGGTGCTTGATGCACGTCCTATGTTCCAATTAAAGTGGGACGTGGCACAGTTATTGAATCTGTCAACGTCACGTGAGACCAGGTATCCCGCGCGAGACCCCCACGCAACTGTGCTATCACCACATTCTGAAAAGCCTCACTTCATGGCCCTTAATGTATATTATAAGGCCTTAAAGTCTATTTTGGCTGAGATCTTCTTAGTCTGCAGTCCACTTCGATCACTAAATTGCAAGAGATCCTTCGTCCTATCACCAATTTAGGTCTCAGTGTTCCTTGCATTTTTCTTTTGTCCTTTCATTCAATCCCATTTCTCACTTATACTTGTACCTATCAGTGATTCTACCCTCAGTACGTCTGAGACTTGGCGAAGGCTTGCGGTAATCACCAATGGCTTCGATGTGGCCACATGATATCGACCTTACTCTCTTCAGTGCCAACCGAGAAACCCACAGCTGGTGCTGGAACTCTAATGTGGTGGTATCACAAACAAGGACAGGTGTCAAAATTGGAAAAATACTGACAATTATATTATTCATCTATCAAAACTGTGTCGTTCATACCAATAGGCTAAAAAGGTCCAGTTCAGAATTGCTACTGTATCCACCACTTATACGATGTTATACCTGCATAGTTTCGGGAATGCTTACGCTGGCTACGCCTTGACGATGCTCTCCCATATTACTAGGCGTCTTGGTAGACCTGTAATAATAGTGTGCTAAACTGGGGCAAGCGCTTGACAGGAATAATTGCCATTGGTAAGTCTAGCACAAGAACCGGGCTACCCCCCACTTTGATCAGGAGAGAGCGTAGGGGCTCGCTTTACTCTTTCTCCTTCCCAATTTTCGGGACCTCCGACACTTGCCATCAATTGAAGCGGCTCAAACCTGCACCCCAGATCAGTTTTGTCCCCGTTCTCCAGAGTCATAGAAGCAAGCAGACGCGAATGAGAGACAGACAGCCATAAGCGACAACAGCACGTCCTAGGCGTCCCGCAAAACGCCCCGCACGGTCACATATAAGGACCCGGCAGTGAGCAGGGGTTTGTTTCATTTCCCCAGACAGTCTTCCTCGTTCAACCGCTCAGCCGGCACAACAACGCTCTCAGAAAGTGCAACTGGGGCCACCGGCTATTTTTTTACGGTGTAATCTTTTGGGCATTCGGTCGTCAGCGGCCCACAGTATCGCTTTTCCATAATTGTTGCCTCCCACATTTTTACTTTCATCGTTGTTCGCCTATCCGTTCCTAATTCTCACCGCGTTACGCCTTCGTTGGCCCTATCCGAATCTTGCATACCACCTTTCGACCATGCAGATCGCGATCTTCACGATCGGCTCTTCTGTTCACTATCTACCTTGTGTGCGGAGCTCTATAGCATACATATTATGAACAGGGCAACCGCAGATCCGTCGGCCGAATGTCCACTCCACAAGATCCGTCTCCCGGCACCAGCGGTGGCTACAAGCGAGCCAGCCGCAAGGGCGCCCCTAGACGTTATGCGTGCCAGTATCCCGGCTGCGACAGGGTTTATTCTCGACAAGAGCATTTGCAAAGGCATCAGCTGAACCGTACGTTCACCACAGGCTTGGCAATCTTTGCTGAAAGCTGTCGGTTTTTCTTGCCACTGATTCTAACCACACTATCCTTGCAGACAACCCTACAGAAATATTTATCTGTGATAGGCAGGGTTGTACGCAGAGGTTCGTTCGTGCCGACCTGCTGGCTCGTCACAAGAAGCGCCACTCTGGTTCGTACACTCCCCGAAATCGAATCCAGAGCTTTAGCGATCCTCAGAATACCTCTCTTGCGCCTCCTCCTGCCGCACCCCTTCTGCCTCCGAGAGAAGCGAAGGACTCTGGGCCTGAAGGAGAACGAAGAAACGGGCCGGAAAGCACATCGCAAACTTGTACATCCACAGCTCCTTCCATTTCGCACCCATCAGCGAGTGTTCCCCATGATGCCGCTATCCTGTTGACCCCAGAGTCGAGCACCAACCAGCCTCTGCCACAGAGTCAGACACACATCCAACCCCACAGCCTATCACAAGCATCACCAACCGAGACTGATTGGACTACTGGTGCACTTATGAGAGATCCAAGAGCGTGCGACGTCCGCCGCCCAAAAGCAGGCACCATCTATCCTCCATCCCCCCAACAGCAAATTACTCCACATGTGGCGGACCTTCAGCATCATCATGTCCATAGCCACGGTCAAGAAATCCAGGAGACGGCGCCTGGCGTGATGCCTTTCAACGCCATGCAGTTCATGGACTCGACCCTTGTACGAGATTACTTTACTTCGTGGCTTTTCGATAATCAGGCGTCCTTTAGCGATTTCAATATCGGACAGCTACCATTCCTAGAAGGTGGTCTCGAGTCACCTTTCAATAACAGTATTCATTATGACTACGAGTCATTGACAAGCCACTCGCACATTGACACACCGCCACGCCTGCCGGACATCGACGAAGGCATCTCTGAAATACGCCGACAGGAGGTTCTGCGGGAGTTTGAACTGTTCCGCGTCCGGCGATCTCGCACTGAATCACAAATGCCAGACCTGGATGGTGCCACTAGCACCGGAGGTCTCTCGATGCCGACCCTAAAAGTGATGAACGATTGTCTCAATGCCTATTGGGAATATGTGTCGCCGCGTGTTCCCATTGTTCACCAGCCTACTTTCTTCTGCAACACTTGCCCTCCGCTACTACTTCTCGTTGTTCTTGCACTTGGCGCTGCAGCTCTTCATGGCCGCCAAGGAGTCGCCATTGCATCCGAAGACTTTGCGGAGCTTGGCGGCTTTGCCGATAGCATCATAGTGAGTGCACGATGGGAAATATTGACAGACGATGAGGCATCACCCCCTGTTGCTCTTTGGGTGGCTCAGGCACTTCTTCTCATTGAATTCTACGAGAAGATGTACTCAACTCGCCGTCTCCACGAACGCTCACACATCTATCACTCGGCAACCCTGACTCTGCTGCGGCGAGGCAGTCCGCTTATTGGCCGTTCTGGCAGCGAGTCGCCTCCTGACGAGGCTCTTATTTCTTCGGCTACTAATGCGCCCCTGTCATCTGCAAATCACGATGATCACCGGCAACGGTCACTTGATCATCAACAACAAAGCAGTGACTGGCATGCTTGGTGGACACACTGGGCAGAAAAAGAGGCTATGCACAGAGTCGTCTTTGCCGCCTTTTGCTTTGACGTCACACATGCTGCTATGTTTGGCCATGCTGCCGACATGGCTCCTCACGAAATCCGCCTGCCTCTCCCGTGCGATGACAATTTATGGACGGCGTGGAAACCCGACGATGTGCGCAAGTACGACGCAGACTTACGCATGTACGGTGTAAAGCCTAGTTTCTTCTTGGATGGACTGAAGCGTGCTCTCCATGGCCAGGAGGTGCAGACGCATAGCTTTGGCCGCATGATCATCATGTGCGGGTTGCTGAGCGTTGGCTGGCATTTGAACCATCGTGAGAAACACGTCACGTGGCTAGAGCTGAAGACATCGTCATCTGAGGCGCACGAAAAATGGCGGGCGATTTTGCTCAAAGCCTTTGACAACTGGAAAGAAAGCTTTGATAGGGCCCACGGAGCCTTGGGTGCTATGCGGCCTGAGCCGGCCGTCTTGTCGTCTGTTTCGGCTACTATTGTTCGTCGTGGATGCTATAATGGACCTATCCAAAGTGCAGCAGTCCTTTACCACCTTTCCCATATCAGCCTGCACGTCGATATAATCGACTGCCAAGTATATGCAGGAGTGCAGCGAGTGCTTGGCCGCAAGATCACAACAAGAGACTACGCCAATGTGGTCTCACGAATGAAGAAGTGGGCTACACAGCCATCAACGCGCCACGCCATCTTGCAAGCTTTTCGCCTACTGCACCATGTTCTTGTCCAAGTGCCAGAATCGGAGAAGAGCCGCCATTGTCCGCCTGGATCTAATCAGATCGACTTGCCGCCTATAGAGAACCCGGGCTACTCGTGCAGGACAGAATCCGACCCGCACCGGCCCTGGATAATGTACTACTCAGCATTGAGTATATGGGCCTTTGTTCATGCTTTGGGCAGTTATAGGACGAGCCCAGCAGTACCGTACCATGAAGCATACCGGCCCAGTCTTGATCAACAGCTGCAGCGGTATCAGATGCAAAGCTTGCAGTCGCAGCCAACCTCGCATCCTGTTCGCACATATGATAAGATGAAGATGCAGAGCCAAAGAGCCAAAGAGCAGTGCATTCACATCCATCAGTACTCACCGCAAATTGCACATCCTGACCAACATACCAGCTACACGAACTATCATTACTCTTCTCAAAATCCACATATCACATCTATTCCTCCCATCAATACCCACCATAGTGTTGCAGTATATCTAAGCCGCATAGCCGAACTGTCAGAGATCAACGACGGTACCATATTTTCTCTTTCTGATGGACTTCCACATTTGTTGGACTACCTCCATAATATCCTATCTGAAGCTCGATCGGAGCTGCTTCACGAAGCTCATATGCGCCTAAAAAAGTGCCGGGATCTACTTCTTGGAGTTTCTGGCTTACTCTAAGAGTCACTTTGGCTCTGTAGTAGTCATGCACATGGGAAAGCTAGACAGGATTTGGCCTGTGGCTCAGTTTTCGACCTACGAGCTATGTTGAACTCGTGCGATGGAGCTTTCCGGCTTTCTTGCAAGTCGAAGTGCTTTCCCGTACATATTGTTGCCATCTTTGAGTACTTGGTCATAGTCGAGACCTATGAATAAGAGACTCATGATGAACAGCGCTACGGTAGTAACGGTAGCCATGACTCGCGACTTCGTTTTGATTTTAACATAAATAGCAATTTTTCGGCGAAACAAAATGATTTTTCCTCCTCTTGCAAAAGCCAAACTCGTCTACCTTCTTAATAACAGCTTACCGAAATACTGCCACGATAAAACCTCACACTTCAGCAATGTGCAAACACTATCCAGTCACGATGTACGTTGGATGTGGTCATCAGGTGTTCCATCAGCAAAATATTCGGAGGTATCAAGCTGCACAGAAATCGAACCAAACATGTAGGAACCTTCAAAATTTTACAGAGAGCCGGCCTGGTCGCTGTCCGACTTGTCTAGACCCCCGAGAGAGCAGCCGAAAGACCGCACCAGTAGAGCGGACCGCACCAAAGGAGCAACCAAGTGGCAGATCAAACCATAAATCGCATTCGCAAAATGTTTCTCTGGTAGATTTTTTCTGTTTTAACCCCGAAAACTCAACCCGTACTTCCCATCACCATCACAGGCATAAAATTGGTGAAGCCAGTGGTCATCATGGTGGTGGGTCTAATAACGCGCAAAATCGAGATACCAGGCAGGTAAAAGTGCCCTTGGTGCGATTCTTTTTGGGCAAGTAATATCAACAATAGCACATCCTTTGGGCATGTGCTGCTTAACCCTGAATAATGCTCTGAGAAACCGCAGAAGGAAACACCTCAGCACTCATGTAGCGTCGATAATATTCTCCATTAAGATTTAGCGACATGGAAACGAACAAAGATCTATTTCAAGCAAAAGCATAAACACTCGAGTCATTGTGAATAATTGTGCGTCGTAGGATCGACAGCAAGCGCTAGCAAACCATAATCGAAGTATTTGTAAGCTTTGTTTTGGGGTAATTTTTCGCCAATAATTAAGCAGTAGACATTAGCGATCTTGCACACTTTTGCTGTCGTACTTCAATATCGCCTGCCGTGATTCTATCTCATCTGTCATGACATATCTCGTCTATCTTGATTCAATCTTGTTTGTTGTAAACCAATCTCATTCATTTAATTTGAGGGGAAACAAGCTAAGGCTAAAGTAGAAGCCTGAGCTTGAAAGTCCTATGAGGCAGTTCGTGCATCCCCGCGCAACATCCTCCCAGTCTCTCCCCCATCGCACTTGCCATCTCGCCACCCGCGCTCTCTAACGGCTTGAGTGAAAGTGAGGTCGTCCTGGTTGCCCGCGTCCATGTAGGATAAGACACAATCATGTTCCCCTGGGCGGGGAGCAGCCGCGGAATTCGCATGACCAAACTGTTGCTGCACTTTTGATGGCAGCTGCTGGTAAGTGCGCCAGTGCGCAAACTCGGGTCCAAGATGCGGGTACGTGAGTAGATGCTGAGGCTGTTTATGACGGAGACGGTGTTGGTTTATCACGGCGGTGGAGCCGGAGGACATCGCAGCGTCGACTACGGAGAATTGACGGCCGAAGGGGCCGAAGGGGCTAGTTCGAGATTATCAAAACAAATGATGTCGACGAGCCGGTCAATGCTTCATTAAAATCATCTTCGTGACACTCGCGCTCATTGTCAAGATCCAGACGCAACTGCTCCTCTTCTACGATCTGAGGCTCGGATCCGAGCATGATTGCGTGAGGCGGCACGGATCCCGCGAGGTGTCCTAAACTCGTTGATCTGCATCACTTGTAAGTTAAAATTTGTTCCATTTACCTAGTAGGTGCAAGGATGGTTGGACTTACACCGTTGAAGGCCGCTTGGGCCGCGAATTTGGAGCTGCGTCGGTTCATTTTGACGCAGTTTAGCGAGACTGAGCTTACTATGCCTACTCTTCTCTTGTTTGTGTTTGCATTTGTCATAGTAGTGTTACTACCCCATTGTACCACCATCGTGACCGTCTCTGTGCCTTCAATTTTGGCTAGTAGTGTTATCTAAACAACGATCCAAGAATAGAAGATTGGCTGTACTGTATGGGTCTTAACTGTGGATAATGAGTCGCATAAAATACTCCGTACTAGGCAAGAAGTAGCTACTATGTACATGACGCACATTTCTGGGGTTGCAAGGCCATGTAGTAAGAGCTAAAAAGCACCAACCAGCCAACATCGCCAGACTCGCACCGCCGTTAATTTTATAATACTAGATGTAAGAAGGCATTCGGCTCAAAACAGAAAAAACGCCATATGTAAATTGCATCATTTCTTGGCGGCGTTTAATTTGCCTGATTACTAAGTGGAAGTGCTGAACGCTTTGTTGCCATTGTAGACCAGACAATGTACAACTTCAGGTGACAGTCACTCGCTTGTTGGCCATAGAATCTGCAATGAAAGCACAGGTGGTCCTGATTCTGGAGACTCGAAGCGTATAACGGAAGCTACCCAGTCAGTATATTTGAAGTAATATAAAGCTTCCCCATACCGTAAGCATATGCAGCTTAGGCGCTCAGTGAGATTTCATATTTTGTGTAGCTCAAAATATAATGTAAGTAAGTGGAGAACATCGAAAGATGTGAGGTACTTACATGACGGAAGATCATAAAAGATAATCAAAAGGTCAGGCCATAAACAATATAAACCCAATTGTGTCAATAACAAACAATGAAAGTCTATGGAATGGCGCACAATGAATGTCGGTTTGGGACTGTAGGTAGCTGTTCTTGCACGTACTTGCGTCTACCAAAAAACTACGATGCCTAAAAAGCATTTGTTTGCTTTACGATACCACTATCATGCAAAAATACTTCGAAAAAATAGTTTCTCAGTGCACTTTGTTATCTCTTAATTGGAAAACTTATTGACGTCTGTTCTGCCTGGCCTGTCCATGTAACAGGTGTCACGGCGCGTACAGCTGAACTTATGAACTTATGACGGCACGTAAAACAGCTAGGCATCTAAATATGTCTTACTAGGTTCATATGCAGCTTTATACGGAAGTGGACCCGAAATAAAAGCTTCTTGATCTCTCTTTTTGTGATTCAGCACCAGGTACTCTCTCAATGAAAAGTTCCTTTCGCTTTTCGCAAGCCGCGTGGCGATTTATATTAATACAAACAGCCAAGAAACTTCAACTGAGGGGGATGTAGCTCAGTGGTAGTAGCGTTGGCTTCCAGTTCCAAAGGTCGTCCGTTCGACTCGGGCCATCCTCAGTTTATTTTTTTTGGCGGTTTCGCGGCTACAATTGGCAATATCGGGGGTTTCAAGTTGCTATTTCTTATTAAGAGCTAAGACCCGATCTCTGCTGTCAATTTGTTGATGCCGACCCTAGTCTCTATGAAGAAAATGCCGAATCTGTACTCCGTACGCTGAACTTGATATCTGAGGACGCACTGTCGCCAAGATCGGGTGCGTTTTACGGACACGTATCCAGTGACGCGTAGTCTAGGTGCGCTGTGTCGATGGTGCTTTAGGAAGGTCACCCACATCAACGGTTTCCTGCTTGTTGGTGTTGTCGTCGGGGTAATACTAAGTATTACGGTCGTTACGCCGTAGCCTTCTGGCTTTTAGGATTATTCGCGGTGTGGGACTATCTGCTTCTACAAGATTGGCATCTGCTTTCGCAGTGAATATGTCACAGATCTGGTTATTCGAAGGTGTATGTTGATTTGGTAGATGATATCTTCTTTTTTACTACCACGGAAAGCCGTGGTGCTGTCATATTTATTTGACAGAGCTACACAGGTAATTGGGGACCGCAAAGCCTTGGGAGTAGCAGTGCGTCCAAATTCAGACTCACTGCCTTGGCTGTTCTACTTTTTCGTAAGCTTTGGAGATTAAAATGTTTGTAGTGTGCGAAAGTATTATGGTGCAGATTCGCAGGAAGGAAATCTACGGGTTGAATATATACCCCTAGCTAAGAAGGGAGATAGCAGATCTTCTCATTTTCCCGCCTTTTGCCGGACGCCATAGGGCCACAGACGTCCATTTGAGGAGCTGCGCATCTTTTAGCGTTGACGAATAGACAAGCCCGCAGGCCACCTTTAGGGCGTCCTTTAAGGACGCGCAACTGGCACGGTATAATCTGGCGCACGATAAAGCTGACAGATGGGCATAGATGGCCACTTAGCATTAACAGCAAAGACTGACTATGTAGATGTGATGGCGTATGCAAATTGCCAAGTATAATGAGCATTGTCTTCTTAAAGAAAGAAGGTAAGAACTAGTTTATGATAGACCCCTTGTAAGTGTCATGGTACTTAGTCATCTCCATAATTTGCCGAGTCAACAAAGTAACCCGATATATTGCTTAACAAGTAACGGTGTCTTTCTCGGAACACGAATATGCTGTCTCATGTATCTCTAAACTCGGCAAGCATAACCCCTATTTATGCATGCTATAGAAGTAAAGTCATAGCTTGTAAGTGGCTCTTTTGCTAGCAAAGGAGCTAATAAAAATATAACATGACATAAAATCAGTGAAGTTTGTGCTTTCTCGTGAATCCGCACATTACTATTGAAAGGTACGACCCATCAAAAGCACGCAATATAAAAACATGGTAGGCACTACGTACATTGGGCCAAGCTCGCGCATATTGCAAATATGAATAAAAAAATTGGTAAAAATAACTGAGGATGGCCCGAGTCGAACGGACGACCTTTGGAACTGGAAGCCAACGCTACTACCACTGAGCTACATCCCCCTCAGTTATGATTTCCTGCGGCATTTTGCGTTATCGTTGCTTCTCCAGTCCGAAGTTCCGTTCGTAGTAAATAGACAGAAGGGACAAGTGTAGAGACGAAAAAGCGACAGGGCCAGGGACGTGCACTCAAGCAAATATAAACAAGGAGTCTGCATCATCAGGGACGCTAGCCTAGTTTCCTATCTGGATAAGGAAGACTACCGAGCAAACTTTCTACTTCGTACAGCGGAACACACCTTCATATTTGTCGCAGCAAGTGCTCCTCTTTCCTTCACTAAGAAATTCACGTACTGTCTCCAGCACCAGATTATTTCCTGACAGGATTCAGCTTTTCTCGTAATTTTGTGCTGTCTTTCGCTCCTCTTCCTTGAGCAACTGCTGCCTCCATTTCATGCCCCTGTTCTGTATCAGGAACAGTCCCGGCATAGCAGCAACATAGATTATGCCAATCAAGAAAAAGGCCCAACCCGCACCCATGTGGCTTATCATAGGAGTTATTACTGCCGTTGCCGCAGCACCAACTAGGCACCGCGTTAGGTTGTTGGCCGCGACGGCGGCACCGGCCCGGCCGGGCGTCACGTCAACGAGCAGCGCGTTAGCTGCATTGTTGAAGCCGGTCATACCGATGCCATTGAGGAACAGTAGTACGCACAGTACAGCCAAATGTGCGCGTTTCTGGACCGCCCAACCCCAACACAGCATAACCGCGCACGAAAGCACGTAAAGGGGAATGCCCACCTTGAGGCGAGCTCGCTCGATAGGAAAGTCGGACAGATCTGCCTGGTGCGACCGGTCAACTTTCCTTCCTAGCTTGGCGGCCTCCTTTTGGTAGCCACGGTTGATTGCCGGGCCGACCACAAAGGCTGCCACGATGGAGCCGACAGCCAGCGGTAGGTAACAGAGGCCGATCTCCACCTCGTCGAGCCCGTATTCCTTCAGTGTCGACGGCAGTGACGTGCCAATGGCGTAGAAGCCGGCAAAAAGCAGGCTAGAGTACAGCAGTAGCAGGCCGATCTCCTTCTGCGTAGCCAGCTTCACCGATAGTAGCAGGTTCGGCACCTGAATCTTCAGTGGCGGTGGTGGCGTCGAGGCCGTGCTTGCAGCGTCAGTACCACCCGGGTGTACCGCCATCTGCTGCCTCTTCCGGGCTCGCTTATGCCGCTGCTCCTGCATAAGTTGAAAGAGCGTACGGTGGATGGGGTGCGGACGAACCGAACCGTCGCCGACAATCTTGCGGCAGGTTTCGGGCAAGAAGAGCATCAACCCGACGAAGAGAACAGCACCGACGATAGTGAGGAACCAGAATATGGAGCGCCAGCCGAGGTACTGTGATAGCAAGCCTCCCAGCACCGGACCCAAGCTGGGGGCGAACACGATTGGAATGATAGTGATACCGATATACTGCCCGCGCTCGGCACTGCTGACAATGTCCGCCACGACAGCTTGACACAGGGCTACTGTGCTGCTCGACCCGGCTGACTGGACGCAACGCACAACTAGCAGCGAAGCATAATTGCGGCAGAGCGCGAGACCGATGTTGGCGCCAATGTACACGACAAAACATATGGCGTAGGCGGGCCGGCGCCCGGCACCGTCTGCTAGGCCACCCACGAACATGGGCGTGATTCCCTGGAATATCATGTAGGTTGTGACCGTCAGGTTGACCTTGGAGGCCGTGATGTGGAAATCGGTTTCAATCTTGTTCAGTGCCGGAAGGTATATTTGGCCTGTCAGTGGCGAGATGAATGCTCCCAGCGATGCCCCAAGGACAATCCAGCGCTTCTCCCAAGTAGAATATATCGAGTACGGAGGTGGGACTTGCTCTTCTGGTGGTAGTGTGGTGACAACATTATGAATAGGGCTGGGGCTGGAGCTTGGGCTGCCCTCTTCATCGGCCACGACATCTTCACTCGGTGGTTCAACCAGCAGTACAGCTGTAGACAAATATGTTCTAGGCTTTGGCGCGCATTGCAAGTCTGCCGCTTTGTCGTCTGGTTGGCTACCAGCCATGCTTCGGCTGAATGTGGGAGTCCGAAACTAAGGCGGTCTAGGGCGGTAAGCCAGACAGGTCGCAAAAATCAATCAAAATGACAACGCTGGTTCACACGACAAGACGGTCCCATCTCTAGTCGTTTAGATTTCTTCGCTCATTAAATGCTTTATATTCCAAGAATCCTCATACTATAAATATGTCAGTCAGGCCGGGCCATGTGGTGGTATTTGTATTCAGCACCGGCAGGTTTTTAATGTGGGTACATTAATATCTCGGTGCCGTCTTCGGCAAGCACAATTCACCCAAATGGATGTCAATCCGACGTCTACAGACAAACGCAAGGATCCCAGTTTTATACACAGTCAATAATCAGAATGAATATTTATTCCTCTTTCTTCTCTCCTCTCCCTGATTCCTCAATATCATTCGTTACGATATGGCGTTGATGATATTACGACTTTTGAAACATGGCAGGAAGAGTGTGTATATATGGATCCGGAGATACCGGCGATGGCCACCGCGCAATCAAGGCCCTATAGGCGCCGGCACTTACACATACTATGTGACTCGGGCAACAAGTGCCGGATATCAAGTGCCGAGTACGATGTGCCGGACAGCGTATCTTATATCACATGTTGGTATAGAGCATCAAAAAACTTCGCCGGCCGTCAATATGAACATACCATAGATTCTGACTTTGCAAAGCCATAGCTAGTGAACTGGGGGCATCTCATGCAACAGTCTGACGAGATCAGCGTAGTTGAATCTATACTGGGGACTAATCACAAAGTCTTATTTAGGTATTTTTATTTACTTTCGCATCATCGGCTATTGACAAATTACAATCGTTTGCCTGATATACATTTCTTTAGGAAGGACTGCAAAGTTGTTCGGTCTACAACATATTCAATAGTCTAAATAATCAGATCTAAAGCCTCAATATTACTGCACAATGCAAATGTACTGCCTCTCATTGTTCTCTGTCATCACATCTTATCCCGTCATCACGAGAAGGAGCCATGCCTGTAATAGCTTGCCACAACCACTATTCCACCGAGCTTTATATACTGAGCGGCTAATCGCAAGCTTCGATTCTTCGCAAGTTCCCCAAAACTTGAACCACTCTAGCATGTCGACAAGCCGTTTTGGGGTTACCTAAGGTGGCCAAGTGGGTAATCTAGAAGCCACGCAGTGCGTTGCATTTATAACAACCACTTCAGGAGGGTGTTGGCCGGAGAATATACTTGAGAATTCCCTGTCTCTTAGGGGCTTGTACTCCAAGGAGCATTTTTAGTACATCTGGAAAGTATTCCGCCGCTTGGTCTTGCTCTGGAGTAGTAGGCACAAAACGTTGGGATGCTTTACAGAATTTTGAGCTGAAAGTAGGCTGCAGAAATCGATACAAAAGGGCAAGAGACGATTGTGATTAATATTAAACTTGCGAACTACAGAAACGAATGTCTTATTTTTGGTTGCCTTCCACATCATCAGATGCCTCGTCGTCTATGTCTATGGCCGCCGCCGCGCTGCTCAATCCATCGACAGAACTGCTGTTTACCCCAGTTTCCGCATCAGTGCTCTTACTGTTTTCAGACTCCCAGATACCGGATGACCTTAGAAAGTAGTCGACAACATCCAGCTTGTCGCTGAAGCTAGCCAGGTCCAATGGCAAATAATTTTTGTCGTTGGCCAGAGCCTGGGAAGCACCACGGTCCACCAGCAGTTTCACAACGGATAGGTGTCCATTCATGGAAGCCCAGTGTAGAGCCGTGTTTCCGTACTCATTAACATCGTCCAAAAAAACCTGCCTTGCTTCTTTGGGTTGGCTCTGAACCTGGTCTAGCAAGTACTTGACAATGCCTTTGGTATCAATCAGCTTAGTCTTCACGTCCTTCTCTTATGTCCACTGGAAAAAAACAAATACCTTGATGGCCATTTCCTGCAGCCATATGCAAACATGTGTTTTTCCCTCCGTCTTTGGCTGATGCTAGGAGGGCTAGGACATTGTCGCCTCCGGTCGCTTTGCTGACCAGGGCCGACAGCATTTCGGATAGCTCCTGCTCATCGCCGGCACGTGAGAAGTATATCAGATCCTCGACTTCATCCTCGGATAATTGCGGCGGTGCCATGATGTGTGATGACTCGTATTGTCTTTATGTTAAAACTGGTATATAAAATTTTGAAGTGAAAACTCGCCTATTTTAGGCGGGGTGCAGAACAGTGTACAAATACTGTCCTGTGCACGGTACTCACTGCTAACAAACTCAAACTCGAGAAATAACTAAGACAATGCCGGCCACTGGCCCTTATCCGTGAAACTTCAATGTTCTGAATGAAATTTTCCTTCCGCATAGAGCTTTTCGTCAAGCCACGCCGTCAAGTCCCCATGATCGTCCAAGGCCTGAATCTCTGCCTTGATATTGAGCATCAGCATCACCTGGACTTCTTGATACTGTTTCCCGGCAGAGCTGTCACGGCTCCAACGGCTAGATATATCTCGAAGAATTCCAACCGCTGTTTTCCTATCTGAATCTGTTAACGGCATGACATCTTTCATGATAGACCATTGGCACCCAGCTGTATCATGCTGGTGTAGGTCACGAAGTCGAACTCCTAGCCATTTCAGTGACGGTATTTTTGTGTCTTTTTCATGTTCCAGACTCATACTTCCGTACTTGTACGTGCGGAAGATACGAATCCCATGAGGATCATAATCTACGAGGCCGTATATTGGGATATGTGGTAACGCCGAGCTGATGTGGTGTAGAAACGATCGTGTTACTAGAGTTGGGTATCCTTTAGACTGCCTGGATCAGTTCTAGGAGCCGATATAGAAACCTCCAACATTTAAGAGCGTACTGTAATTAGCGCTCCAGGTCCTGAAGTTGATTCACTCCAATAGCGGGAGGCCGCAAGAGTCCGGAATGTTGCCTGACGTGAAATCAGCATTACCACATCTCCTGTCTGGGCCTCACAAAACAAGATGAGCCAACTTCTTTTTCAATGACAAGGATCCAGTTGCAGCATGAGAGATGCAACTCTTGAATTGCTCGCAGTGGTGGGATGACAAGCCCCTATTAACAAAGCAACGTCAGCATTGAAACGCTTCTGTTAGAAGCAAGCACTCACGTTTTCAGAGCTGGTAGCAGAGCTAGAAGAACCATCTGTCGCGATAATGGTGATATTACCACAGACAACTCCAACGCCAGCAGCTACCTTATAGTTTTGTTAGTGTCTCGTCGGACATGACCGGGAAGCCAGACCGTAATGTAATCACAATATTTAGAGAATCTCGACCGAAGCCAAGAGTATAGGAAATATCGTCCACAAGAGTATCCACAACTCTTTGATCTCTAAAAAGCTCACGGTATTGATAAAATATGTTTCTGTAAGGTTAGGCGGCGCAATTTTAGAAAACAAGAGACGAACGCACCTTTTTGTGACGAAGGTACCAGAGAGAAGAGCTCGATGACACAGTTGCAGAATGCTGAGAACCTGTGCTATTGAATTACTATGTTAGTCCGGGTACGCTGAAACATCATGTAGACAACACATACTAAATAGCTTGCTTTCTGCTTCAGATCGTCCAGGGAAAGAAACAGTATCACGCGATGATCCGGCAGTTTGTTTTGTAGCACTGGGGGGTTTTTCAGAGGCAAGGATACGGTCCCTGAGCCTCGCAGGTCGACGGCAAAACGGTATTGTCAACTCTGTTGCTCTTTTCACGTTTATCAATACAGATTCCAAAATCTGCTCAATTTTGACAATGGCAGGTCCTGTCTGATTGGTGTGGGGAACGCGCATAACATTGCTGGACGTTGAACTAAATGGTGCCGTATTGACTACTGGACCGTCCGTCGAAGAAGGTGGAGATGAGCAGAAAGAAAGGGACGGATCAGAGCTTCTCGGACTGTCTGGATCAGGACCGGAAAATGGTGCAGCGGGGTTGGACATGGAGATGGGTTGTATCTTGTCAAACGAGCAACTTCGATTGTATGTGTGCCGCCCGTGTCACGTATACTTGCGGTGTATGTACGTTGTGTTGGACAGAATGAAAGTATAATCAGCTGATCTCAGGTCTGTGGAGTACTTTCTCGATGAGTATCAGTGATTGTCCGGCCGAGTTGGTCAGGAACAAGTACGGAGTACGATACTGTTAGAATGTGGAGCGTGGCCAATGGGGAAAGATCGACGGAGCTTTACAGGATGTGTGGTGGGCCCAACAGGAAATTGTGGAACATTGTGGTTGTGAGCTGTTCTCACAAATAGTACGGAGTACTACAACCCCCTCTTTTGAGGCATCGACCTAGAACACTCTCTTGTTTTTTGACCACTACTGTGTAGGCATCTTGCACCACGCCGAGATCAATTGACAGACTTACGGACACAGACACGGACACGGACAAGGACACTCGGTGTATGCTACTACAATGGCAGTGACACGGTCTTCTGGCGTGCAGGCCAATGATAAGACGCAGGCCAATTTGACAAGCAAGAGCCGAGTGAACGGCTCTCTCTCTGCCGACCCCAGCAAGCAACGAGCCCAGCTACCGGATACAACAGATCGCCGACGTTGGCGATTACGCGATGAAGCCGGCTGTCAGACGTGGCATTACCTCGAGGACGACGAGGAGGCGAAGAAGTGGCCGCAAAGCTTGGCTGACAAGTATTTTCTCGGTCTGCCAATGGTATGCTTGAAGTCAATGTCCAGTCTTTGGCAGGGTAGGTGGCCCCATAGCTAACGCATGTCCCTATGACAGGACCTACCCGCCTTGCCCAAACCCAAGTCGCCGCTCGATTCGGTGCGCAACGGCCTCGACTTCTTCGAAAAGCTGCAGCTGCCACCGGGCAACTGGGCGTGCGAATACGGCGGGCCTATGTTCCTTCTGCCGGGAATCGTGATTGCTTGGTATGCAACGAAGACGCCGATTTCTCAGGCTTATGCCGTGGAGATTAAGAACTATCTCTTTGCCCGGGCGCACCCGGAAGACGGCGGATGGGGTTTGCATATCGAGGGTGAGAGCACGGTGCTCGGAACGGCGCTCAATTACACAACGCTGCGGATCGTGGGGGTCGAAGCAGACCACCCGAAAATGATCCAAGCCCGTGCCACGTTGCATAAGCTGGGTGGCGCGACTCGGTCGCCGCATTGGACAAAGGTGTGGCTTTCTGTTCTCGGTGTTGCGCAGTGGGATATCGTGAACCCGGTCCCCCCCGAGCTGTGGCTTCTTCCTGACTGGGTGCCCATTGCCCCTTGGCGCTGGTGGATCCACATGCGTCAGGTGTTCCTGGCCATGTCATACATGTACTCGAAGAGGTGGTCGTGCGAGGAGACGGAGCTCATTCGGGAACTGAGGAACGAGCTGTTTGTAGAGAACTGGGGCGAGATCAACTGGGCCGCGCACCGGAACTCTATTGCCGGTGTTGACAACTACCATCCGAAGTCCTGGCTGCTCAACTCGGCAAACTGGCTGTTGGTCAACGTGTGGAATGCGTATCTGCGCCCCGGTTTCATCAAGACACGGGCAGAGCAGTGGGTGAGCGATCTGATCGACATGGAGGACGAGAACACGGACTATGCAGATCTTGCCCCGGTCAACAACCCGATGAACCTGGTGTGTTGCTACATCCGGGATGGGCCGGACTCGAACTCTGTCAAGATGCACCGGAAGAGACTGCACGAGTTTCTGTGGGTCAAGGACGAGGGCCTGCTGTGCAATGGGACGAACGGCGTGCAGTGCTGGGACACTGCGTTTGCCATCCAGGCGATAATGGATGGCGGTCTCGAGACGGAGGAGCGGTGGAAGCCGATGCTGACCAAGTCGCTGGAGTTTCTGGACGACCAGCAGATACGGGAGGACAGCATACACCAGGACCGGTCGTACAGGCAACGACGGAAGGGTGCGTGGGCGTTCAGCACGAAGCTTCAGGGCTACGCGGTCAGCGACTGCATATCGGAAGCGCTCAAGTCGGTGATTCTGCTGCAGAAAACGGAGGGATACCCGCAGCTGATCGATGACCAGCGGATTTTTGACGCGATCGACACGGTACTGACGTTCCAGAGCAAGTCGGGCGGCTGCGCATCGTACGAGCCGCCGCGGCAAGGAGAATGGATGGAGATTCTGAACGCGGCAGAGGTGTTTTCGAAGATCATGGTGGAGTACGACTACCCGGAATGCACGACGGCGGTGGTGACGGCGCTGTCGCGCTTCCACAAGCACTGGCCGAACTACCGGGCAGCGGAGATCGACAGGGTGATCAGGCGAGCAGTCGGCTGGATCAAGACGGCCCAGCTTCCAGACGGCAGCTGGTACGGCAGCTGGGGCATCTGCTTCACGTATGCGACAATGTTTGCACTTGAGAGCCTTTCGAGCATTGGGGAGAAGTACGGGAGCAGTGGGCATGCGAAGAGAGCGTGCGAGTTTCTGGTGTCGAAGCAGCGCGCGGACGGCGGCTGGTCGGAAAGCTACAAGGCGTGCGAGCAGATGGAGTACATTGAGCACCCGTCCGGGTCGTTGGTTGTGCAGACGGCGTGGGCACTAATAGGGCTCATGCAGGCTGAGTACCCGGACGTTGAGCCAATCAAGGCGGGGATCAGGCTGATCATGGGACGGCAGCAGGCTAACGGGGAGTGGCTACAGGAGGCGATTGAGGGGGTGTTCAACAAAAGCTGCATGATTTCGTATCCGAACTACAAGTTTGTATTTCCGATGAAGGCGCTGGGGATGTTTTCGCGCAAATACCCGAAGGAGAGCATAGCCGTGTAGGTGGGGAGAAGCCTAGTATTAATAATATTCATTTTCTGTTAAAACGAGGGATCCCTAAAACAATGGCGCTGTCAGCTCGCACTTGCGCGTTATAAGTTCGGCGTTTCGGGCTGATGGTGCTGTTTTGTAGGGGCAGGTGGGCCCGTGCACGCCATTTTCTATCCGCCATATCCGTCAGGCGTCAGTAGTAATAGGATGGTAGAGTTTTCGGCACAGCAAGAAATGCACGCTATGCGCGAGAGGGGAAAAAAAGAAACGAATGAACAGGGGAGCGGCTTCATGGCGTTCGCATAGCGGTCAGTTCGGCGTACGTACCAGACTGACCCCTTTTTGTGCAACTGATGGCAGCTGCGAGAGCTATATAACGAGGGCATCCTGCTACGAACGAGTATTTCGACATACGACGACACACGTCTGCGCAGCATCTCTCCTCGCACACTCAGCCACGGCTCGGGCGGCCATGCAGACATGTCGGACGTAGTGACGGTAGGGTTTGCGTGCGTGTTTGGAATCTGGAGCTGTGTGGTGCTCGTGGTGCAGAGCATTGGTATCTTTCAAATGTGAGTGATCCCGTCAAGCTGGCCTTCTGGACTGCTGAAGGGCTTGCTGGCTGGCTTGCTGACCAGGCCAGCTTCCGACAGTACTCGAGGCCACCGAGGCGGGCAGCCGTGGAGGCGCTTCCTGACGAAGCAGTGCCTCATGTGACGGTGATCCGGCCGGTCAAGGGCTTGGAGCCGGCGCTGTACGAATGCATCGCGTCGACGTTCCGGCAGTCGTACCCGCGGTCGCGACTCAGCGTACATCTGTGCGTGGAGGACCGGGACGACGCGGCGCTGGCAGTGCTGGAACAGGTGGTGGCGGACTTTCCAGGGGTGGACGCACGGATCTACGTGGAGGCAGAGGATCCGCTGCTGCACGGAGCCGACGGCCATCACAACAACCTGGGACCGAATCCCAAGATCCGCAACATCAGCCGGGCATACCGGGAGGCACGCGGCGACATTGTGTGGATCGTCGACTGCAACGTGTGGGTGGCCGAGGGCGTGGCCGGGCGCATGGTCGACAAGCTGTGCGGCATTGGCGAGAACGGGACGCAGGCGAAGCCGTACAAGTTTGTGCACCAGCTGCCGCTGGTCATCGATATTACGCGTGGGGGAGAAGATGAGCAGCTGCAGGAGAGCAGCGCTACGGTCGCCAGCCGGATCTCACGGCTTCTTGCTGGCGGTGGCGGCCGGCTGGACGAGATGTTCATGGCGACGACACACGCCAAGTTTTACTGCGCAATCAACACAGTCGGCGTGGCGCCCTGTATTCTGGGCAAGAGCAACATGTTCCGGCGGTCGCATCTGGACCGGCTGACGGATCCGGCCTGCAATCCAACCGTTCTCTCGGCGGCCGACAATGACCGTGGCCGCGGCATCGACTTTTTCTCGTCGTACATCTGTGAGGACCACCTGATCGGCGACCTGCTGTGGCGCTCACCGCTGCCAGGTTTCCGGAATCACGGCCTGGCAGCTGGCGACCTCGCCCTGCAGCCCATGGCCGACACGTCCGTCCGGGCCTATGCTGCCCGCCGTGTCCGCTGGCTGCGTGTCCGCAAGTGGACCGTCCTGCTGGCCACTCTGGTCGAGCCGGGCGTCGAGTCGATGCTGTGCTGCTTCTATGCCGCCTTTGCCATCACCACCCTGGTGCCACGCGCCCCAGCTGCCTCGCTGCTCGGTCGTCTGGCTGCTCTGCTCGCCATTCGACCCGTCTGGACTGTCACTCTGCGCGGTTGGCTCGTCGGTGTCGCCGTCTGGCTCGTCGCCGACTGGTTCACGTCCAACCACCTGCTCGCCTGCCGTCCCGTTGATGTCGACCTCGCTACCACCCCTCGCTTCGCCCGTGGCCGTGGCTCGACTGCCCTTCGGCGCAACGGCCGCCCCAGACGCCCTTTTGTTGTCTGGCTCGCCGCCTGGCTCGGCCGTGAACTCCTCGCCCTCCCTATCTGGACCTGGGCCGTCCTCCTCGGCACTACCGTCTCCTGGCGCGGCAAGCAGTTCCGCGTTCGCCTAGACATGTCCGTCGTCGAGATCGATGGCAACGGCAAGGCCATCTCTTCTTCCGATCCAGAACCCGTCAGAGACTCGGTCGCTACCAGGACCTCAAAGGCCCGTCTTGACTAAAGAGAGAGAGGGAGGGAGAGGGAGGGAGAGAGAGAGAAAGATAGAGAGAGAGAGGGAAACACAAAAACACACGATTAATGATAGTCTCTCCTTCTGCTAGACCGAATAAGAATACACTTCCATAGACCATCTGCCGAACTGGCTAACAAACGCCCTCATATGGCTTTCCCTTCTTTATGTGTCGTAAATCTGCAAAGAAAGAACACGTAAAACGCCTCCCTATGTCCGTCCTTATCGCTGAAAAGATGTCTACCATTTCTTCGCCTCCACCCCGTCCGGCGGCTGCGTCGCCACCGGGCCCGAGCTGACCGAGCTCCAGTCCGTGCTCAGAGATGTCCCGTTGCTCTCCGTAAAGCTCTTGGCCATCGCCCGCTGCTGTTCCGGCGTGCTGCCCGCATACAGCTTCTTGAAAAACGCGTTGACGTCGTTCTGCTCTTCATCCTCGTCCCCCAGGTCCACCGTCGCCCAGTTCTTCGGCCCCGTCCGCGAGCTGGACGGATACAAGAGCGGCCCAGCACTCCTGGTCGCCTGCGTGCTGCTGGCCGTGCTGCACTCGCTAAACGTTGGCCGGACACCGCTGCCCTCCTCCCTCTGTGTGCCCCAGGTCGCCCACTTCGTCCCCACAAGCTTCTTCTTCAGCGTGAGCTCGATCTTGAACGGCGTCACCCGGATCGTCTTGTCGGCTGGATCGACCTCGCCGCTGAGATCGAGAACCGCCCATGTGCTGCCGATGGCTGCCTCCGGCAGGTTCGAGAGAACGATCTGCATCACAACACACGTAAGCAACACGGCAGATACATTTTGCCACCCGGATTCGGAACGCCACAAACCTCAAGCTCCCGCACATCAACCTGCACCTTGTCCTTGTCCGCGCCCTTGGCATAGAGCACCAGGTTGACCGTTTCGGGTTTCTGGTAAAAGTCCACACGAAGCTTCTTAGTCGCCCATTCCTTCTTCGTCTCCGCAGTCTTTGTCGGCGTCATATCCGACTTCACCTCGTGCATATCGACAGCCGCAGCCTTCTTGGCCGGCTTCATCGGCACGCGAGCCACCGTGATCTTGCGCCCCGCATCGCCCTTAGGCAGCTTTGCCATCGCGTTCAGCATCATCGACCGCCACACATACGCACGCGACCACTCCACAGCACCCGTGCGCCGATCCGGAACAGCGCCACGCTCCGATTGCTTGTCCACCGGCATCGTCGACGTCGACAGGGCCTCTTCGGCCGTCGCCAGGTAGTCTCCCTCTTCGTCCACGTGCTTCGCCACATCATCCTCCTCCCGCCGGAAATTCTTGCCCTCCATCAGCTGCTGCGACCACACGCAGCAGGCATCGGCATCCGCATAACGCTTCAGATGGCCCAGGATCACTGCCCGTCGGTACTGGGCCAGGGCCATCTGCTCGCGGCTCTTGGCATGCTGCCGCTCCGTCGCACTGACGTACGCATGGTCGGCGTCCTCCAGGGCGAGCGCGAGCTCCTTGGTCTCCTGGTACGCATGCGAGCGAGCTAGCAGCCAGGCTGGGTTCTCTGAATGCTCCAGCGCCTTGGAAAGAAGCTCGATGCCCTCTTTCCACTTCTTGCCTTCAACCGCCTCCAGGCCGTTCTGCCCGTCTGTGATATACGACATGTTTCAGCAGTCGTAACTACTAGTTGTGCTGCGTCGAGAGACTGAAATGTGTTTCGTGGCCGAGACGAAACATTCACACCTGTTGCAGTGCTTCTTTAAGCTTTCAAAGAACAAGGCTAGTGGGCATGTTGCCCCGCTGTTGCAGGCCCCACTCATCTGGCAGCTCTGTGCTTAGTAAGGGTAAACGGCTCGCCAAACGTAAAATACCTTTCTCACAGCCGCAGAGGTCATGGCTTCGGATGAGATAGATACAACAACTCAATACAGGGCCCGATACGATGCAACGCACTGCACACACTGCTAGTGGTCGCTCGCGCGTCATCGCTGCCTCTGCTCTGGGCTCTGTGGCTAAACAGGCTGTGGATATCATAATTTAATCTTTGTGGCTGCTTTTTTTTTTCAACCCCGATCCACTTTTCCGAAAATTCCCGGACTACAAAAGCAGAAAAAAAATTGTTAGCTGACTCTCATCGCTCGCACAAAGCATCCGACAATAAACATGGAAGAACATTGCTCACACACACTGTTTCGGCAGATGCCGGCGCTGCGATTGCAAGTGCAGGATTGAACGAGTCTTCTCGAGACTTTTGAATGGCTGTGTCCTTTACCCTTTGCACAGATTGGGTGAAATATCCCTCGCTCCTGTAGGTCTTTTCGCCCCTGCTTTTTCCTTGTTCTCTGACCTGTCCCCTCTCTCCTCATCCCTTCTTCCACCTTCCCCCTTCGCGGTGATGACATCGAAACGGTGCATAGAAGAGCCCTCATACGACTCTCTGTGATTGCATAACCTAATAGACTACAACGGTATCTGAGCGAAGCAAAGAAACATTCCTGTGTTACGCTGCATTATCACGTTCCTAGGATTCGCATTTGTGCTAACACCGAAATAGCCCCGTCATGATCCCAGGTGAATATGGCTGAAAGCATGAAGCCGCCCCAGTCGGGACCAACGAACGGTGACGTTCGGAGTCTGTCGTCTAGGACGAACAATATCCCCACCCCGAAATATCTTCTTCCGATCCCGTTGCGCACTTTTCCACTGCCAACATTCTACCCCAGCAACCCAGTGTCGCTGTTGCACTTGGCTATTGCGTGGGTTCGACAGATCGTGTACCCGCCCGCTGTCGAGCCATCCATCGTCCACGAGGGTGTTTGGTCGCCTGAAACTCGTTCTGTGCACGTCACGGACTCAACGTCTATGAGCGACTTGTGGTGCCAAGGTTTCTTTGGGAAAGGCTCTCTCAGCCGGAGCGAACCAAGCTGGCTACAGTGCGTTTTTTCCATAGAAAACAACCCCAGCTCTCTAGCGGAGGCTAACAGAGCCACAGGCGGCAACTTGGCGAAACCAGTGAACAACGCACGGCTAAACGTCGCGAGGAGCGAGCCAGCACAAAATGGGAACGTGGCCGGTCCGAGCTGGAAGCTCTCGAGCGGAAACGCTACGAAGAAGAGGTTGCTGCAACAGCTGCACTTGCACTTCAGCGACAAAAAGAACAACCGACCGTTCTCAAACAGGAGGAGGAAACGCCTACCATCCCTAGTCACGCCGACAAAAGCATCCCAAAGGAGAGCCTGGGCTCCACATTCAAAGCTCCAGTGGGCCCGTTAGAACTTTTGGCACTGCCAAACTCACAGGCAGACTTGGTCCAGGCATTGTTGGTAAAGCCTGGCAACGAAGACCCATCAAACGGTTGTGTTGCAAGGCCTTTGTTCCGGCCACCAGTTGGCCCCCTCGAGCTGCTGGCCCTCCCAAATTCGGCGGCGGACTACCTCAAGGCGTTTCCTCCCAAAGCAAAGCTCAGTAGGCCACATCCGGCTGCCACAGAGTCCTGTGAACCTTTTCAGTCGTGCAGTCAGCAGCCGTATCAGAACGGCAGGTCCTCTCTGAAGGGCACTCCGGCCAATGGTACTGGAGCCAGTGTGAATGGCGCCTCTATCGAGCCTATCTCCCCAGAACAGAAAGAGGAAGGATGCAGCGGCAATGCCATCGACGGGGAGCTTAGTGACACACTCACACTGAAGCGTCAGAAAAATGTCCGATTTGCTGCGAACGTCGAATCCACGACGTTCCAGTGCTCGGATCCGCCCAGTCCAAACCACATCCCGTCAGCAACGTCTGCCAAGCAGGTTAGTAGTGGTCAGGCAATGAATGGGAATTCAGGAGCACCGGCAGACAACGGTGTTGCAAAGTGTACTGCCCCCTCGCCGACAGAACAGTCTCCGCGCGATGCAGACAAGAAAAAGAGCGAAGCATTAACAAAAGGGATGGAGCTGCCTATGGCGAACAAGGAGCATCTCCAGCTGTCTGCGGAAGAGGCCTTTTTTCTCGCTTACGGCCTGGGTGCCCTGGTCGTTACCGATCCCGAGACCAAGAAACCCTTGACGACGGCAGAGCTGTTTTCGTTGTGCCGGCAATTTTCGTATTTTCCACCTCGGACGCCGAACGCGCTGTCTACAGACGACCCGTTCTTAGTACATTACGCCGTGTACCACCACTTCCGGTCACTCGGGTGGGTGCCGCGTCACGGCATCAAATTCGGTGTGGACTGGCTGCTGTACGGCAAGGGTCCGGCGCTTGACCACGCCGAGTTTGGCGTCATCGTCATGCCGTCGTATTCAGATGCCTGGTGGAAAGCCAACGGTCGGGAGGCGCCGCGCAAGTCATGGCACTGGCTGCACAGTGTTAACCGTGTTCTGTCCACCGTATTCAAGAGTCTTGTGCTTGTCTACGTGGACGTGCCTCCGCCGTCGGCGGTTGGCGATAGCGCATCGGACCTTCTGCAGCGGTTTCAAATTCGGGAAGTTATGGTTCGGCGATGGTCCAGCAACCGAAATCGGGATTGAACATGCTGCAAGACGGCTGAGCATGGCGACTTGGGGCCAATCTGCGGCTTGTTCAATATTGTGCTTCAATTTACTAGTACCACTCAATCGATTTACATTCTTGAAGCATGTTTTCAAAGACGGACATAATTCCATCTCATGGTGACAGTATGAACATTGCGCACACACGGCCAATCGCACGGTCATATGACGACACGATTACATAATATGGCCTTACCATAATATGCATCTTATGCTGTCTCATCTCATCTCCTCACTTCCCCTTTCGCCAGCCATCACACCTCTTTCGTCCAAGATATTCCCCCATTTGAGACGACTACGCCGAGACGGTCGATAATGGCACCTTATTTCCTATTGCACGACGATAACGACGACCCCGGGCCGTACTGGAGCGTCGTGCTTCACGTCATAGCCGTCTTCACCTTCGGCTCAATTCTGTACCTGGCTCGGGAGGCGAAACGGAAGCAGCAGGAGCTGGACCGGCTGAACAGACTGGCCATGTCACAGTCGCCGTCACGCTACACCGACGACAAGGACAAGCAGCTCGTCCAGCCACCAGAACCGGAAACTCCTCGTGCTCCTCCTCTCTTCCTCCTCGTTGGCGACTCCACCACGGCCGCCCAATCTGCTGGTGGCGGTGGCTGGGGCACCGGCTTCCTGTCGCTGCTGGCCCGTGGAGCACACGGCATCAATTACGGCCGCAACGGCGCCACCACCCGTGACTACATCAAGTATGGCATCTGGGACGAGGTACTCGACCAAGTGTGCCAGGCCGTGCCCACATCTCCTGTGCACGTGACCATTCAGGTATGTTGTTTTCCGTGCTATGTATCGCCTTGTTCCTTCTTCCCTCTGACCGGCTCTCAGTTTGGCCACAACGACCAGATGCCCTCTCGCGGCGTCTCCCTCGACGACTACCGCCAGCTCCTCGTTCGCATGGCCCGCGATGTCCTCGACGCCGGCGGCATCCCCATCCTTCTGAGCCCGCTCACCCGCCGCGACTTTGACGCCGACGGCGCCGTCGTCGACAACCTGCGCGAATACCGTCTCGCCACCCATACGGCCTTCCAAGAGGTCTCCAGCTCCCTCAGCTCGGCCGACGGTGGCCTGCGTCCCCGCTTCTGCGATCTCAATGCGGCCAGTCTCGCCTATGTCGCCGCCCTCGGCAGCGATGCCGCCCAACAGTATAACCTCACCGACGGCGACACCACGCACCTCAGCCTTCACGGCAGCACCGTCTTCGGTCGCATGGTCGCTGACCTGCTTCTGGGTCACCCGCCCGCTCTGGTCAAGTCTGGTCACCGCGACAAGTGGGCTCCCGGCAGCCCCAAAAACGACGACGGCGGCATCGCCGACTGGATCAAGCCCAGCCCGCTGTTGTCCGGTCAGATCTGGCATGGCCTGCCAGCTTAGAGCTAAATATATCTGTTGTTCATATCGGTTGGATGTACTCCGTACTATCATGTAATCAAAGGGGAACTAAAAGCTCTTGTTTACAAGAGAATATTGTACTATTCAATCTCTATCCAAGCTATCCACTTGTTTTGCAGCCATAACCGCCCCTACCTTAACAGCGTCTTCTTCCACCATTTCGTCTGCGCTTGAAGATACTGGACCATGCTCTCAGCCTTGTTGAACATGTGGCCCTCGTCTGGCAACACTACAAGCTCGACGTCTCCGCCGCGTGCCTGGATTCTGTCGCGGATTCCTTTGCTCTGTGCAATTGGCACAACCGTGTCGTGGTCCCCATGCACCAGCAGAAGTGGCGCTGTGATCCGCTCGGCATGGAACAACGGCGACCGAGCGCGATGGATGCGCTGCTGCACTTCGACCGACGTGCCTGGAGGCCATAGCAGCCGATCAACATAACGGCTCTCGAGTTTGTGGGTATCGCGAGACAACGCAGCCGTGTCGGCAACACCACAGGCACAGACACCAGCAGTGAAAACGCCCTTGCAATCGAATCCACCCGGCTTGGTCGCCAATCCGGCCGAGTAGGCCACCAGGCTCTGCAGCACGTTGTACCCCCCTGCACTGCCGCCCTCAATGCCGACACGGGCGCCGTCCACACGGCCTTCTTTTACCAAGAAAGAGACGCTGGCAGCCGCGTCATCCCGGTCCAGCAGCCCCCAGCGTGTCCAGAGGCTGTCGCGGTAGGCACGACCATGGCCCGAAGAGCCGCTGTAGTTGATAGCAAAAACCGCGAAGCCGCGCGTGGCCCAGTACTGCGGGATCATATGTAGTCCTGGCGCCGTGTAGCCTGTAGGGCCACCATGTGGATTGACGATCAGTGGTGGCAGGGTGTTGGGAGGTGCGATAAACGACCGATTGTGCGGCGGCCAGAACCAGCCGAAAACGTCGCGCGTTGGGCTGTCATCATTGTCAGTCGTAGAAGAAGCAATCACGGGGACACGCACAAGCGTAGGCGTCGAGAAAACGTCCGGTGCAAAGGCCGTGTCGGTAGAGCGGTACAGAGGTGTGGCCACACAATAGTCGCTCAGCCCATCGACTGCTTTTGTCTTTCCGTTTGAGAAGGTTCTCAGGACACTGACAATCCTATCGAGATCCAGGTCAACGCGATACAGTGCCGTAGGAGAGGTATATCCGCTTCCAATGACCAGAAATGATGAGGCCGACAGCGCCGCGAGCGGATCGAACTTCATCTCAACGAGGCCGACATCTAAAGGGGTCCAAGCTCCAACTGTCAGGTCCACGTAAGCCAACTGATTCTTGCCCAAGTCTGTGTAGACAGCCACCATAGTGGTTGTTGTCAGGAAAGCGAAAGTTTGGCTAGCGGTCAGCCTGTATTGCAGCGCATAGACGAAGACGAAGACGGAGGAGGCATGCTTACCACCCTAAAAACCATGAGGCATCGCCAAATTCTACGTTTTGTAGACCCTCAAGAATGACAGGCTCGAGCTGTACATTGGCAGATGGCCGAGCCCGGAAGAGCTGCCTGTAGTTGCTGCCCGTACGCTCCATGCCGAACATGACGCTGCCGTCGGGAGCCCAAGCGATTTCCCCTATGCATTGGCGTTTGTCACCAGCGACAAGCTCGACTTTAGAAAGGCACGTATCATGTCCCTCCTCTGGCTTCCACATTGCCCAGTGCAGTGTCACGCCATCAAACGGTAGGTCTGGATGATCCCACTGACGCCAGGAGATACGATAGCCGTCCTCTATAGTGGGAGCAAATCGCGGGTACGAGTAGAAGTCGGCGCCTGTAACAATTCGCACGACATCCCCGGTGTCCACGTGGATGCCAACAATGTAGTTGCGAACTTCAGCCGGCTCGGGGTGTGTGTGATCCTCCTGAACAGCGAGGATCCAGGGACGGGGTACATCGTCGCAGCTACCAGGGTGCACGTGGAAGTCGCCGTATCGAAGGATTGGTGTTCCGGGCACCAGTGTCGTGACCGATCCGGCGTCGACGTCGAGAATACAACAGGCATTGTCGCGTGGGTCGGAGAAGACAATGCGCTGGCCCTGCTTGACTTTGGGGGGGAGAATAGCATACGGCAGGCCGCCATACTCGTAGACGCTGGTGCCAACACGCCAGGGATCAGGCAGAACGCTGCACGCCTCGTCTTTTTGGCTCGCAGGGGCCTCAACAATCGTATTGGCACCATCAGGGGTCGACACGAGAAAAAATGCTCGTCCAGTGTGTGGCTAGCGGGTTAGCAACCCAGCCCACTCATTCACCGTCAAGCCGTCACGCTGCCACGTTGAGACTTACACAAGTCCGCGGAGACATCAGGCTGCGCACACCCGCAGTTGCATCCTCTGCTGAGATCTTGCTGTCCCAGTGACCGTACGGCGCAACTGTCTTCAGTGTCATGATTGCTGGCTGTGAATTTGTTTCAAAGTTTTCGATGCCACCAAGTGAGGGGTTGACTAGGCAGTCCGATATCCTAATTATGCAACATGCGTCACATAATGAGATACGACTAGCAGCAGAGGCCTCGATTGATTGTTTGCGCTCTGGGAAGAATGGTCATGAGTAGGTAGCTCATAAAGCAAAGATTGAAACATGAGATAACTCGTTCCTCGCTCCTTGAACATGCAGAAATGCTGTAGACGGTAAGTCCCATAAAGAGAAACATGGCCATCGAAGAAGGCACGGATGCGTCCGCGCTTGCCGCCACCAATGCTACGAGTCCCGTATTGTCAGGGAAAGAGCATACGAGTTGACGGCAGCTTTCACTCTGCCATTTGAAGTTTCGCTTTTATTCTCGCTCCAGGATGCATAATGCATACGGGTCTGTCAATACTTCATACAATCAATGCTGACCCATGGTACCATCTTTGCATGGCTGCTCGCAGTCCCTAATCGGGTTTCAGGTCGCAGCCGGGCCAGCTTCTTTGAGAAGGCGGGCTACCTGTGCAAGCTCCGACTCCCGGGTCTGCAAGGCCGTCAACGGCAGCTTCGTCGGCAAGGCCGGTGCATATTTCTTCTCGCGTATCATGGCCGTCACCTTGCTGGAAAAGGCCTGCTCGGAGATGTATGTGCCCTTCAGCCAGCGATGGCCCTGGGCCGTGTTGAACTTTTGGCGCCCGTGCAACACGCGCCGGTTGTTGAAAAGCACGCACTGTCCCGGCTTCATCTTGACTTCATACACGTTCTGCGGTGCCTCGACATTGTCGCTAAACACCTTTGCTGCCCGTCGCCATTGGAGAATACGGTCGTCGGGCTTCTTGGAAGGATCGTGTTCACCAAATGCCAGATGCGGTGCCGAAAAGGAGTCCTGGAACGGCGGCGACCAGGCCGTGTCCTGGATGTGCCCTGACTTGGCCTTGCGCTCCAGCACGGTCCGGCCATGAAAGTAGTAGTGACCATTACGCTCATAGTGGTAGCGCACAGTCGTTGTGGCCAGCGGCTCGATGAGCTCAGGATGCTGCAGCTCCATCTCCCAGGCAGCACGCACGCTGTCGCTGAAAATGGACTCACCGCCGTCGCAATCATTACGGAGACAGTGAAGCAGCTGGATATAAGGCGGATCGTTCATGTACATCAAGTCCTGGTGCAGGCACAGGAACACATTGGTGTAGGCAACGTTCTCTGCGTCCGGCTTGGACACCACATCCCACGTCTCTCCATAGAACGTGTGCTGGATGTTGCCAATGGCGTTCGCCACGTCCAACACCGCCGTCTCCGTCTCCGGCACCCTATCGACAATCAGGATACCAAGCTGATACAAGTCCAGCAGTGCGCGCCAGAACTCGGGGCTGTTGCCGTCCTTCCAGTCTTCAAACGCCACTGGCCGCAGCTCTCGCTCCAGCCGGGCCCTGTCCCAGAACCGCCGCTCTGGCATCGCCGGGTAGTACGGCGCTGCCAGACCGGCCATTCGATATAGAAGCCAATCAGAAGCAAAGGTGGACACATGCGGAGTGTCGCTTCCGCTTTCGCTGCTCGCCTGCGCATCGGTCTCTTTCGCCCACTCGATGCTAAGGATGCCATCCTCGGCCACGGCGGTATGTTTCACGGCCGGTCTCTCGGGCAGATCTGAGGAACGCAATTTCTTCTGTCCGGACGAAAGCGTGACGCAGTGCTCGCACTGGCAGCTGTCGCGCAGCCAAAACGTCGACACCGAAACTGCCTCAGGCGCACCCTCATACTGCAGGCTCAGGCTGTCGCCTTTCTCGCCAACCACGGCAGCTTTCAGGAGCTTGCCATATATCGGCGAGCCAGGTTCGCCACTGACAGCTGCACGCAGCCTTCCAGTGGTCGATTTCTGCGGGTTGAAAGGATGGCCCTTGGTGGGAGTCTGCTTCCGGCTCCTGATGGCTGGTTCAGCCGGCACTTTGCCACTTCGAACCGGCACGCGCTGGATAGAAATGGGGCGGGTTTGCTGAAAAGAGGAGGCGGGATGGAGCACGCCAGCAACAGTGGTTGGTCGGGCCGGTGTTGCCACAAGAAGTGTTGGTCTGGCCAGAGCAGTGGCCATACCACAGCCAGGTCGGGCGCCACCTCGGACGAGATGACCGACAGCGGAGAAACGGCTGCTTGGAGACATGGTCCCAGAGGATGTACGAGCGAATAGTGGAGAGTTGTCCAGACAAACAATAAACTGCACGAAAGTCTTTGTCCGTTGTCCGACACTATGGATTAGTGGATGTCGAAGTAGGGCAGCGGCCTACCGTTTCCGGAAAATGCAAATATTGAAGCTGTAGAGATATTACAGATTAGAGAGAAGATGGCTAGACCGACCAGGTCCAGGCACTCTCCAATACTAAGGGGTTGGTGATCTAGTAGCCAACCGTTTAGAAGACAGGAGCCGTACAACCGAGAGTCGCCTGATGGTATTGGCACACGAGAGGCCGAGGTAGCGGCTTCATCAACAAAGGGCACGGTCACGTGACTGGACTACATGCCACGTGAAATGTCACACACCAATAGCCGTGCGGGCCTATCATTCTGCCGTACGGAGTACATGCGCCAAAATATGGACGAACGACCGCAAGACAAAACTTCAAACGAATAGCATCCGGAATCTCCGCAGCAGCTTTCCGCAGGCCGGTGATACTTGCAACGGAAATAAGAAGAAAACTCTGCAAGCAAAAAAGGAACAAAAAAAAACAGCTTGACTAGTACACAGATGCAACCCATGACTGTGAAAAGTCGGACGGGATGCACTTGGGAGAAGCTAGCGTGGTGATGGATGAAGTGTGCATGCAGAGGATGACAGAAGGCAGGAAAAAGCTTCGCCTTGGCATGCAAACGTAACGGCATGCTCGATGTTCATGACGAGTAGAAGCCTATTAGCAAGCAGCAGTGTTACCCAACATGGGCAAAAAGTCTGGCTAGTTGGACTAGTTGCATGGCGGAACGTTTGGCTGGGTTAAATAGCTGCACCACTCGGTGGTGGACTGCAGCAGTCGGCAGGCAGAGGAGCGAAACCAAGGCTAGTCCGGCTGGATACTTGCCGTGCATGGGAAGACAGGGCTAGCCGGGACAGCGTTCTGGAACGTGGCAGCCCAGGGACGAAGCAGTCAGCAGGCACGGCCGACGGTGAACACGGCCTAGAAAACCCCTCAAGAGCGTCGTCGACGAATGGATCCCGAGTGGCGGTCAAAAACGACGCCAGCCGAGACCCTGGCTAGGTGGCCACGTTGACCGACCGGGCTATCGGCCGGCGCTTTGCTGGCGCGCGGCAGCAGATGGCTGGGACAGGGCCGCTATGATCGGTTATTTGAAGATGGGCGGCCGATGGAGGCAGAGGAATGCGGCCGGAAAAGGCAGACAGGCATCAAGTGTCACAGTAAGCCCTGTGCGCAATCCATCCATCTAGGGAGACATCGGAAGAGGCGAGGCCCAGCCGGGCCGTGGAAAAAGATATCGTGTAGGGAAAGGCATGACTCGGGAGGGCTGGACGGCCCAGCGATGCGCTGTCCGAGGGCCACGTCAGTCCAAGACGCTGGTCTCGGAGTAATAGTAGCGCACAAAAGCACAAGAGGTGTGTGTGATACGCGCGGGCGGAACAGGGCGTGCAGAAGGTTTCCACACAGCTGCACGTCGACGGCATTTTGATGGGGAAAGCCGAGACATATCGCAGGTTTATCCGGGCATTCGCTCTTGTACTCGCTGATACAAGTGGCACTCGAACTCGGCTTCATACTCCGTACGTGTACGTAAGGAATAGCCAAAAAGTGCACGATGCGCCTCAGAAGCGCTTGCCTATTGTCGCTAGGGAAGACCGGCTTGGAAAAACTTGAGAGACCGGCGAGAATGGAGTGGAAAGTGGGCTAAAGTGGACAGGAACTAAAGGCACGACGACACAGGCTGCAACCTGCTGTATTCGTAAGCTCACAGTGGCAGCGCAAGCTGCCACGTACTGCAACTCCCCAGCAAGACACGCAAGCAGCAGGTGTACTTCGGGAGTGCAAGGGGCTGTGCGTCGCTCTCAGGTACCCGCTGTATGGGGCGTACCTGGGGAATACATCAGTTGCATGGGCAGTTCGTCCCATAGTAATTAGCCAAAATTGGACTAACTTTCCCAATCTCATGGCCTCGACGGTAGTTCCAGGCACCGGCCTCTGACTGGCTATTCTGGCTACTCGCCCGAGCCGGAGCACCCCACTACGCCAATACAGAACGCATGATTGGTAGGTACCCCTGGCTCCTTTTTTTTTTCTGCTCTGGCCCATCCCTGCGCTGCCTATCCCCTTTCTCTCATTCCGGACATCGTTTCCTGCTTTGAACTCCACAAAGGCCTACGGAGTACCTGCACAAGCATTGAAAAACAAAGAGGCCACAGGATGGTGTATCGCCGCACATGCTGCAGGAACCGGTGCAGGCTCGGTCTTGGGCACGCATTCTGCTACCTTTATGCACGTGCTGGCTGCCCAACCATCCCCCAGGATGCCGACCGGTCTGGCTGCCAATGGGCCACGAGTATCTTACATTCCAGTTCAGCTTGCGCCAGCGCCCCGTAACGTCGCCATCACTTCCCTGCCTGGCAAGTCCTTCTGGGCAGACGCACACGCAAATCCGCTGGCTCGTCTGCGGTCTGACCCACTCCTGCAATCTCTGCGACCACAAACGTTCTCGGCCTCTCTTCCCCCTGTTCCTTAGTCTCCTTGTCCCCTTTTTTCTTTACCCTTCTCGCCTTTTTCCCCTTCCTTTCTCTCCACTCATTTTTGTCCTTCCTTTCTCCCCCTTCACACCAAGGTCGTCCGTCCACTCTTTATATCTAACTCCCGACGCCCGCGTCTCTCACTTCCCAACTCGTCTGTCTGCATCTATGACACATTCCTGTATTTCTTCCACTTGAAGAATCACGCTCCTTACTAGCAACCCACACTCCTTGGACATCTCATCGCTCCTTGCAGGTTCAACGGCCAACATCACCACAAGCAATCAACAGCGCAGTCAATTTATTTCCGAGCCAGTTCCGGTCAACTTGGATAAGTACATATAACGATTCTCACGAAACGACACCAACAATTTTGGCCTCTGTGCATATAACAACAGCCGTCAACATGCGCACTTCACCCCTCGTTCTGCTTGCCGCCGTCGGCGCGTCAGCTCTCCCGTCCCACGCCCACCATCGTGCTCTGCACGCCAAGAAGGACGTCTCTGTCACTGCCACCATCGACGGCAAGGTTGTCTCGTGGATGCAGGGTGACTCGCCCTTCAAGCTGGCCTACAAGCCCACTACCAGCGCCACGTCGACTGCCACCTCGACCAGCACTTCTGTGGCCTCCGCCACCCCCACTACCTCCAGCTCCAGCTCCATTTCTACCAGTTCGAGCTGGAGCTCGAGCTCGAGCTCCACCGTTGTTGCTGCCTCCACCAGCAAGAGCGTGTCCTCCAGCAAGACCTCCTCTGCCGCGGCCGCCGCCTCTACAACCGCCGCATCGACTTCGACCAGCACCGATAGCGGTAGCGGCCTTTCCGTGTACTCGGCCTTTGCCACTTGCTCTTCGGAGAAGAAGCGTGCCACTATGGCCGAGATCGCCTACACGGGCAACACTGGATGCGATGGCTACGGCTCCAACATTGTGCTCGTCCAGGCCAGCATCGCCGACAAGTACGACTATACCGTCAAGGTTGTGAACGACATGTCCTCGACGGCTCAGTGCAAGATCTGGAACAAGATTGGCTCGGACGGCAAGATCGACGGCTTCTTCACTGGCTTCGAGGCCAAGACCTTCACCCTGAAGGCCGGCTCGTCTCAGTACGTCGCATTCGACGGCAACAGCCAGGGTGGCATGTGCTGCTCGTCTGGCTCCATCGCCACCACGGTGGCTGGCGAGTTCCTCTGCCCGTGGCTCGAGTTTGACTTCGCCAACACCTCCAACAACGAATGGTCTGGCTTCGATGCCTCTGCCCTGGTTGAGGGCAGCGCCGGCGGCCCGTACAACGCTCTCAAGGTCTGCACCGAGGATGGCTCCACCTGCTCGTCCCTGGACGGCACCGGCAGCGGCACCAACGCCTACCTGCCGGGTGACGAGGCTGCTGATGGCATTGGTGGCAACATTGCGGCTGGCAGCCTCTCGCTCATTGCCACCTGGTCTTGAGCGGGTCGCTCCAACAGCTTTTTGCTCTTTCCTTTTTGTTGGGGGCGGTTTTGCTTTTGGAGGTCCGGCTTCTGAGGCGCCTTTTGGTTATTTCTGCACTTCTTCCACCGACGATGTATCTACTTTTATGTAGTCGCGATGCCGCTAGGGCACCGGACAGGTCAAAGGGAACGTCCGATAGGGCCATATATCCACAGCAATACCTTTTCTGTGAATCAAGATTAGGGGGCGTTGCCGTTCTTGTGTTTATTTTATCTTTTTTTTTTTTTTTGGCTTTGCTTGTTCAGCTCTCCAACTCTCTTTTGTATCCGACCTCATCCAAACTCATCTACGCTCTGCCTCTTCATTTTGCATATTAGGTTTTCACTCCTTTTCTATTAACCATACCTTAAAAGCTTTTTATGAAGGAGCAATACGAAACTGAATGGTGCAGTTGAACCAGTCATCGCAAACTGATCTCTAATCATCGTGACCAGAGCCATCTGTAAAAGGCATTCAATCAGACAGTTGGTCCCCGATGAGCAAATTTCTCATGCAGGGGTATCTCGAATAGCGCTTGCAATTCAGTGCCTACCAACCACTCTGTACCGACTGCCAAGATTGCCATAGCTGGGAATATTATAAATAGAGCGATAAAGTGTGTGTGCGTTTCAGAGTCTGACCTACTCAAAGCGGAGGTACCACCGAGGTGATCAGACCGGCTGCAATTTTGGTCTGTGCTCGCAACCACGTAAGAATCGGGTAACGCAAAAGCGCGTAATAAGCATCTTGGCTCGTCATCTTGTTTGTTTTCTATTTTTGTTTATTTATTGCTTTTCTTCTGCTCCGGTTGGAACGCTAGGAATGGGGCCTACTTGTGCAGCCAAGCTGTCGAATGCCAGTCCTGGTGGAAACAAACCATCAAAAGCAGGAAAACCAGCTGCTTACGGAGCACTCTAGTCAAACGGCGAGGCGGGTCAGCCGACGCGCCCCCGTCGAGATCGTCTTGTCGATCGAATATCCGCCCTTCTCAGTCCCTCTTTCGACCTGGAATGACCCACTTACACATCACCTCATACCACACCCGAGCCCACTCGCTGATTCCCACATTGTTATGCCCGTATTATCCCATTCGCTAGTCTTCGTTACCGTACGGGGTATACCGCCTTGCCTTGATTTCTGATTTGTCTGTCGTAAGCCTCGTGCTAATCTCACCAATGCTCTTGTGCTCCAATGTACTCCTTTTTCCAATGCATCGCAATCTGCTCGGTACTCCACACATACTCGGACATCCCACGTGCCGAACCAACTGCGGATCTTGCATGTCCACGTGTCAGGAGCCAAGCAAGACGATTCAACTTGAACGTTTGATCGCGTGTCATCTCGGCGCCGTTCCCTTCCGCATTGGTTCGTTTACCACATCGGACGCCGGCTCCGGCATATCGCTCTTTGCTGCAAGCCGTGCAAAGTGCGGGTTGACGCAATGGTCAGTGTCCTTGTCTCGGGTAGCACGTCTTCCCTGCAGATACCTTTCAGTCGGTCCCAACAGGTGTGTCCGACTGGCGAGATCACCGTATACAAATTGTCTGGCATTATGGCAAGGCTGGCACCGGTTGGCACTATCAATTTGACCCTCGTAGTCTTGTAATTCCGATTCTGTCTCGCACAGCTTTCAACGCCCACCAGAGTCGGCGCTGGGCCAGCAAAAAGATAATGCTGCAGCCGCAACACGTATCTGGGTCACTGCTGACTTTGTTCTCGTCGAAGGGCGTGCTTGTTGTAGAGCGCATATCCGCATATTTTTTCGATTGCAGGATAGGTGTCAGTTCGTCCACTTGTGTGCCGTCTTGGTCACTGTCATCGTTTGAAGGATGCCTGTTCGGGTTTCAAACCGGGTTTCAGTATTCGGGTGCAAAAGCAGAGAAGCAAGTTAGAAGCGTACCTGGGCTCAAAACCGTAGCATTCTTCGTCATCATTTCGTATATTCCAGCCATACACAGCTCTCATTGTAACAACATAGGTGTCATCCCATGACACACCGTTGGTTTCTCCATCATTGAGTTCTCCATCTCTGCTTCGTGGTGGGAGTGTAGCGGAAGGTGACATTGTAGTTACGCGATGGCGTATCGGCTTTGGAGCTATGTAGGCAAGTTGAAGATAAAGTGAGAAGCAACTGAACAAGTTTTCAACATCCTTTATTAAGGTGAACACCCATTTCTTCGTTGAAAAGGGCCGAGCTAGCTTTTGAACTGCTGCTGCTGCTGTAAGATGCGTGACCGTACTTTCTTCTTCCAGTTTCACAAGAGAATTGCGTGGAACCAGAGAAGCGGACACCTACAGCAGAAAGCAAGAGCTTAATACTGCAAACAGCATAGAGATGCAAATAGCAAGGGCCTTTTCTGCATAAATCTCACCGCTTGTTATCTCCACGCAGGAGCCTCTTTTGGGTTGCTCGGATTTTCTAACCAATCAAGAAGTCGACCCTTACAACACGTTCGTCATCCTAAAGCTGGAACTTAGACCCTATGTTCAGCCTCCGTAGATATATATTGCACCAGACTCTGAGTAGTGGGAGCCATGATTCTTTGTGGCATAGATGTCGTGGCAGTAGACACCATTTCAGCTGACACAAAATCTGTTTGTACGGCGCTGGGCTGCAGCCACCCGATTGTCCCATCGCTATTGCGTCCGATGAATTTCTTGGACCCTGCAATTCCATAAAAGGATTTTCCTATACTCCGTAGCATGCCATGTATTGCACGCACCTCGGTTGATGCCAGGAAGATGGATGTTTCATGGTGCGAGCTGTTGAGTTGTACTCCGTATGTCCCAAAGGGGCAGTAGAAATTAGTAATCGACAACAGACCCACTTATCAAACACTAATTGTCCACCCCACGCCTTATCAAGAAAAAAAATATCGGACTCGATGGCGGGCATATTTGTAGGGTTTTCTTCAGCATCGTTTACAACCATGACGGCCTCTTTGGAAGACGCACAGGCAAGCCTGCCAGCACAGACAAGAACAGAAAAGTCTAAAGTGGAAGGACAACCAAGTGTGGCGACAAGCGCTCCTGCGACGGCGCCCACAACTGCCGTTCTCTCGTCAAAACCAATTTACTGCCTGGTTGTCGACACAGGCCCGATCATTCAGAATGACCCGACCGTGAGCACGCTTCTTTCCCAAGCCGATGAGCTGTACACAATTCCGTCAGTTATCGAAGAAATTAGGGATGAGGTCACACGAACGCGTGTGGAGACGACGCTTCTCCCTTTCCTAAAGCTGCGCAGTCCCAAGCCTGAGAGCATCAAGTTTGTCAGCGACTTTGCACGGAGGACTGGCGACCTGGAGGTTCTCAGCCGGCCTGATATCCACCTTCTCGCGCTCACATATGAGTTGGAGTTGGAAAACAATGGTGGCGATTGGAGACTGCGCAAGACGCCTGCCCAGAAGAGCGTCAACGGCAAGTCGCCGGCGGCGATAGCCGCAGAAGCGGCGGCACAGACAGCCGAGGGGGCCGAAAAAGAGGCAGAGACAGCAAATGCTGTGGAAGCACAGCAGGAGCCATCCGAGGTGTTGCCCGAAGCCCAGCAGGCGGCTACATTGGAGGAGAAAGTTGGCGCTTTGTCTTTAGACGGTGCCATTGGAGAGGAGACTGAGGCGGCAGAAGAGCCTCAAACAGAAGAGGCTGCAGATGAGAAGGAGGTGGAAGAGGTAGAAGAGGAGGAGGAGGCAGATGAAGATGACGGTGGTGGAGAGTGGATCACACCGTCGAACCTCAAGAAGCACCAGGCGAAGGAACGCGGTGGCGGCAATCCGGAGCAGCCGATTCAGAGGCGACTGCAGGCGGCTCTGCTGACGTCTGATTTTGCGATGCAGAACGTGGCGCTGCGGATCAACCTGAACCTGCTGAGTCCTGCCCTGGCGCGCATCACACGGGTCAAGACTTGGGTGCTGCGCTGCCACGGCTGTTTCGCAGTGACACGGCAGATGACCAAGCAGTTCTGTCCGTCGTGCGGACAGGCGACGTTGACGCGCACAAGCTGCTCGACGGACCAGGGCGGCAACTTCCGGCTGTACCTGAAGCGCAACTTCCAGTTCAACAAGCGTGGCAACGTTTTCAGCGTGCCCAAGCCGGTGCACGGCAGCGCCAGCGGCAAGCTGACGGACCACAGCGGCGGCGGCCATCAGGGCTGGGGCCGCGAACTGATCCTGTCCGAGGACCAGCCCGAGTACACCAAGAAGGTGGAGGAGCAGCGTCGCCTGCGTGTGCGCGACGCGATGGACGAGGACTACCTGCCGGGGCTGCTGACCGGCGTGCGCAGCAATGCCGGCAGTCGTGTGCGCGTGGGTGCCGGGCGTAGTGTCAACGCCAGGAAGAGGAAGTAGGCGAGTGGGAGACGTTTTGAGGGTGGAAGGGAAATAGGGAGGCACTCAGTCATGATCATAAAAGTTATCACTTTCGCGGGCGTTGCAAGGGGTCCGGACCAGAAATTATACGTTTGTATATTGCCGAGAGAAATATGAAGACGAAACGAAAAATCAAATTCTCGGTCCTTGTGCTTTGCGTGCATGGACCCAAATCAAAGCAAAGAACGCCTTGTCCAAATACTGAAACAACCTGTGCACAAACTCCATAGCCCTTGCCTATCGCTACTATCGTCTTTTCCCCGGCTGCACTGCAGGGACAGTGTCTTGAAAGGTGAGCTCCCGGTTTGCTTCATCTCCATCTCGACAGCTCGATATTTCGCCCAGTCAACTTCTAAGCCCCAGCGGCTGCATCTGTGTTGCAGCCGGAGCAATGGAACCTAGACACGTCCTGCCTGCTCTGTTCGCCAATTACCGAGTCAGCCGAATTCTGCATCCACGACATCTCCATTGCAAGCACGTACCTATTGCTGCTTCTCAAGCTTGAGCAGACCAAAGCGGCGCTTCAGCGTCACCCGCTGGCGCGACCACTTATCATCGGGAGAGAAGCGTGCCGGGTGGGCAGACTTGGTCACCTTGGCGTCGCTCGTAATCTTCTTCAGGGTGTAGGTACGCTTGCCCGAGGCATCGACGGTACACATGAGATGCATTTTTGCGGGTGGGGAAATTTGTATGCCTTGACGTTTTCAAGCGGCAGTTGTTTCTAGAGGAGCGGCGGTACAGAGTACGGTCCGTTGTGGTTTCGGTCGCTGTGGTCCTGGTTTCTTGTTCTTGTTGTATTGGTAGGTTAAGATTTTTTTTCTTTCATTTTTTTGCTGATAATCTTGTGAAAAGTGGGTCTCCATTACGAAAGCCCAATGAACAGTGGTTTTAACATTTTCTTATCGGCTTATCGTGTGTCAACTAATAGAAAGAAGAAGCAGACGAGGTGCAAAAAGAAGGAGTAGAAGAAGAAGAAGAAGAAGAAGAAGAAGAAGAGGAAACTTTATTATATCAACATGGAGTTGTATCGTTCGGCTTTTAAAAGTGGTGTTGCCCCTAAAGTTACCCCGGCTCGCCACGGGGAGGCAGACGACATGGGCCGGATAAAATGTTGTAAGAATGATGGGAGGATGGGTTCTTTCAAAATAGTTAGACAGAACTTTACCATTGTTTTGAGGGGATCACGACTGACTTAGGAGAGTCGAAGGATAATAATATTGATAGGTGCCCCTATGCCGCTGGCAAAATGGCCCGTTGCGGCCGCATGGCTTGACAGCCATTCGTCGATATATTGGTCTCTGTCCCATTCCTAGTCGTCGACTAGATCACCGATAGCTTCTCAGTGATTGAGGCACTCAAAATTGGAATGCCAGGCCTCGGTGGCCGCCTCGTGCAAAGCGGTCCACAGTGCAGCCTCTTCTCGGGTTTCCGAAGATTCTAAGTTGACGTCACAGGCCTTTACTCTGTCGTCCCAAGCGTCTAATCTGTCATCCCATGTATCATCGGCCATCTCACACCACGCGACCCATCGCTCAGCCTCCTCTTGTTGCACCGCAGAACACGCCGCCACTGCGGCTGCTGCTTGTCGCCGGTTCTAGCTAATCAGGGCTGCAGTCCTTCGCTGTGGCCATCTTCTCGCCCGCTCGCGGACTGCCGAAGCAGGCGGGAGAGTTCTCGGGCAGCCAAGCGGTGTGTCCGGGGTTGGCCGTCTAAATCACGTATCAGCCCAAGGTCGGATTGCATTAAATAGAATCTAAACTTATAGCCGGTCGTGTTAGTCGCCGATCCATGCCAGAAAAGAACCGAACTTAAGCGTTGGGGGGATCGTTCTTCTTGTTATTCTTGATTTTCTTGTTGTTCTATTGTTACTTTTCAGTTAGAGCTCACACAAACAACAAAATTGCTTTTGGGACTCGTTCCTTCATGTGTATCGTAAACTGTAGATGGGGAAGGAGCATTACCGCGTAAGGAAGGCACAGCCTGCAACAATTTTGCCAGCAAATCAGTGGATTCTACCAGTGTCCAAGAGCTAAATGGAGACGCAGGCTAGGAAATACTCATCAGCCTTTTCCCCCAAAAGTTGTCCTAATTGATGGAAAGATTGTTTGAGATGTCATGCAGCTCTTTCTTTGAGCGCATCACGTTTCGACGCCTGGTTATCAATAACTTCGAAGTCGACCAATTTGCCGCTGTTGTTCACGCCGCAAAAGAGCGTTTAGGATATCATCTCCACGTACGATTAGACGACTATGACTGTTCTAGATGCCAGATAGATGAAGACGCGGAAACCATCAAGCGTAATAATGCCACCTTCACAAGGGCTCTATGGACGCTCCTAGCGGTACTCTCATCGTGGGACAGCCAGCTAGTGGACGACACCAGCGAGCACGGAATGATCGTGGAACTAAGCGCCGCGTCGTGTAGCGATGGTTGCCACACATTTTGTGATTTTCGGCTACAGCAAGACTATCCACACGAGTATCTAGACGATCTTGATAGCGACTTCACAGCATATGACAAGCATCGTCAGAGTTGAAGGAACCTGCACAAAACTCCCATGGATGGTTGAACGGCAATTATAGGTTGCTCACCGTTTATAGCGGTGCCGTTGGCCGCGTGCTGGGGTCCTCGCCATTGAGTGTGGATTTTAGCTTTCTTGCCAAGGACGTAGGGCGCCAAGTTCGTCGACTGAACATCGTTCGGAGCTTTGTAATCAGTCGGCGATTTTATCGCGTGATCAGTGTTCGGTTGATTCACTGGCTACTGTCGTCAGGTTCGAAAAACATTCGCGAAACACACATAGAGCAATAGTGCTTGAGCCGAGTATGTGGTAGGCCTATAAACATGAGCATCATTGAGAAATTATGAAGGAAGAGAAACCTGTAAGTACAGATTTCATTACTGGCATTGTTAAGAAACGACTACCGAGCTCGCTTCAAGAGCTACATCTACATTTAGATGGTCATGAAACCGTCACATTCTATTCCAGAGGATATGCGATCAAAAAACTATACAAGCAGGAAGCCGCCACAGCCGTGCTCGTCAAAGCAAGTTGATACTTGCAAAGCTTAACGGTATCGCATATTATTGATGCGACCCTATTTTTCTTAGCGGCCAAAGCTCTGCCGTCAAAGCGAAAGGCTTGCTTTTGGCCACAGCTACGCACTCTCGCTCTTACCGATATGAACCTAGATCCTTGTGCGCATGGAGAAAAAGCTCTCGAGCTTGCAGGATACATGGCCTTACAGATGCCAAAGTTGCAAATTATGGAACTGTGGTTTACAAGACGTAAATAAGCGTGCTTCTCCCGCTATGAGTCGATCCCGCCTAGGATTACAATGCAGGGGACTTGGGATATGCAGTCTATATGGACAAAACACTGCAACGAAGTATGGACAGAGGCTGCTGCATTGTTTTCCAACCGTCTACTCTACGTTACCATTGGAAAATTACTGAACTACACTCACTCTCCGAAGTCAAGGTTCTGCGGCATACTGAGACATCTTAAGCTGCGTGACAAAATTGTGAACCCGGTATCCCGATACCAAATGGAGTATGAATCGAAGTTCGACGGATTTTATTGATGTGAAAAGACATAATTTGGAGCCTCCTAGAATATGACTTGTGTTTTTTAGGGGAGTGTAGCTGCGATGCTATGATTTATCATAGCATTTGATGAAGAAGATGAAAAGATAAAGGAACATCAAGAATAAAATCACTCGTACTGGGCTACCTAGCCAGAAGGAGGAATACAAAGTAGCCGTTAAGGGACACTGCTCTTTACGCGGTCGCCATTCACCAGGACTAAGAGCGATGTCCCATCCATGGCTGTGCAAAGGTCTTTGATTACACGTTCAGAGAATCTCTACAACGCATTTGTTCATTGTCCGTTCATTATTGATCGCCGATTCTCTTTGCTACCGAGCAACATGCCAGTATGAACTATCTGTTCAGTGTGTCCTTTTTGTTCAAGTGATGGTGAAACCTGTTCATTCATAGGATATATAAGCCGGCGATGACTTCCCAGGAAGCAATTGATTTTATTCTTTCCTCATCGCAATCTAATCGGCCAACTACCATACACAAAGCAAAGAATCCCCATAACCAATTCTCCTTCTCAGTAAGTAAGTTCCTTGACACTCAAATCGTACACCATGTGTATCGGGTACCGGATCATCCAGTACCAGTGTCAGTGTAAGTACAACTGGCTGACGAAGAAGTGCGAGACGCATCCGGATGAGCACGATGGCACGTCCTTCGAGCTGCCGAACCGGGCCAATGTGCCCTGTCAGCTTGTGAAGGATCGCCAGTACTGCCCCGGTGTCGATCGCGAAGAGGCTGTCGACACGATGAAGTTGAAGCTGTTCTGCCCGCATTGTGTGGAGAGCAAGCAGGAGGAGCTCCGAAAGTTCTTCTGCGAGGAGTACGCGGTGACGGCGCCCCACGTGGAAAAGTTCAACGACAACGCCCGCGCCTTACTCGACTTCGCACTCACGGATATCATGCGCAACCCAGTCACTCGGGTCCCCATCGCAGACACGCAGCACATTGAGCGCAAGCTTCGCACGCTGGAGAAGAGGGTGTTGAAGTGGAACCCCAACATGGGAGTCCCTTCCAAGTCTCATAGCCTGAAAATCCAGCGGTGGGCTCGTGGCGAAGCGAAGGATTTGGATGACGGTGCGTCCAGCAGTGACAACGACAACGCTGGTGAGGGCAGCAGCCGTCCCCGGCGCCCCTCCCGCTCGTAAGCGAACCCCCGAAGGAGATGACGGGATCAACGGGCATATGAAGCAACCGCGAGAGTGAGGGGACATCAAAGGAATGAATGACTCGGTGGCCCAACCGAATGGCCGAAAGCCGACCTTAAGCCATCGGGTCGTCCAACCTCCTTGTTTTATCGTTCTTGTGGCCTGCCATCAGGCCTACCCCGAAACCCCTGCAGAGGAAGCTGGCGAGATGTTGACAGCCTCAGGATTGAGTGGTGAGATTGATTTTCGAAGTGCACGTAGTACCCAGTGCGTCCGCAGCCCTCATGTTTCATGGTAGAGCGCCGACAGCACGGGTTGACCGAACCCATTGCGTAAAAAATCCTTAAACCCAACAAAAAAGTTGAAAAATAAAAGCAAAAAAAAGTGAAAAATAAGAAAAACTGTTTTATAACCAACTCTTCGTCCTTCTGAATAAGTGATGCCTATGTCCGCGTGCAAACAGATGTGCACTGCGGACACAGTGAAAAATGGAGTATCGTGTTTCTTACATGTTGTGGGCTGTGAGTGTGCAGAGAGACAAAACAGATTTGTGTTGTTTTTGGCGGTATATATACTGTTTGTGTGTGGTGAGTGAAAGACTGTCGTTCGGTGAATTCGACAGGCGTATTGAATAAAGGAATAATGTTGTTTGGCTAGAACAAATGTTGGAGATACGACAAAGAATCCCGTCGCTGCAGTCGATAGACCCACAGCAGTTGAGAAAACAGGGGCCACCTGCTAATATTGCGGCTCGTCATGGTGGGTACCTCAGCCTTAGAAGGGCGGCCACTTTTCAGGAATTTTGCTAGATAAAGCTATGGCCCCTCCAACCCGGACAAACTATTTGTCCGACAATTGTGAAGAGAAAAGCCCAAAGCGTCTGGATCTACAGGGCGTCTAATATTTATACGCGGGCGTAATCCGGACTCTGTACACTTTACAGAAGACGGATATACCAAGCTCAGGGTAGTCGTCAGCGGACTCACGAGGCAGACAGACGCACGCACGAGCGCACACACGCACAAGACGACTGATCATACGACCGTGCACCTCTTCTGTTGTCATTCGCGGCCGCCTTGGACATCCCACCATTCACATCCACCGATCATCCAAGATGGCGTCGACTGCGGACCAGAAGCTGCTGGAGGCGTCCAAGAAGCATCCGATCCGGGCCAACCACGTGTACAAGTATGGCACGGCGGGATTCCGGATGAACGCGGACCTGCTCGACGGCGTGACGTTCCGGGTCGGGCTGCTGGCGGGGCTGCGCAGCCGCAAGTTGAGCGGACAGGCGATCGGGGTGATGATCACGGCGAGCCACAACCCACCAGCCGACAACGGGGTCAAGATCGTGGACCCGATGGGCGAGATGCTGGAGCAGGAGTGGGAGGGATATGCGACGAAGCTGGTGAACGCGCCGTCGGACGAGGCGCTGCTGGACCTGTACCACAAGCTGGCGACGACCCTGAAGATCGACCTGACAGCACCGGCACGCGTTGTGTACGGACGCGACACGCGGCCGTCGGGACACACGCTGGCAGCAGCGGTGGCGGACGCGCTGGCAGCGACGGACGTGGTGGCACGGGACTACCGCATCGTGACGACGCCGCAGCTGCACTACCTGACGCGCTGCACCAACACCGAGGGCACGCCGCTGGCCTACGGCAAGGTCAGCGAGGCGGGCTACTACGAAAAGCTGAGCGATGCGTTTGCACGGGCGCTGCGTGGCCGCAAGATTGCCGGTCCGCTGGCCGTCGACTGTGCCAACGGCGTGGGCGGGCCCAAGCTGCAGGAACTGCTCAAGCTGATCGACAGCAGCAAGCTGGACGTGCACGTGCTCAACGCTGACGTGTTGCGACCTGAGGTGCTGAACCTCGACTGCGGTGCCGACTTTGTCAAGACGAAACAGCGGGCACCACCTACGCCGAAGCCGGTGCCTGGCCTGCGCAGCTGCTCGTTTGACGGCGATGCTGATCGGCTGATCTACTACTGGCTCGACCCCGAAGCCGGCTTTGTCATGCTGGATGGCGATCGGATCTCCTCGCTTGCAGCCTCCTTTATTGCCGATCTCGTGCGGGCGGCCGGTCTTGCTGACGACCTCCGCATCGGCGTCGTCCAGACGGCTTATGCCAATGGCGCGTCCACGGCCTATATCACCCAGCATCTCGGACTGCCGGTCGTCTGCACGCCTACCGGTGTCAAGCATCTTCACCATGCCGCCTGCCGCTTCGACGTCGGCGTCTACTTTGAGGCCAACGGCCATGGCACCGTGCTCTTTTCCGCCGACGCCGTCCAGGCCTTTGCCGCCACCCAGCCTCAGTCGCCCGCCCAGAAGGAAGCCCTTGACACTCTCGCTGCCGTCGCTGATCTGATCAACCAGACGGTCGGCGACGCCATCTCCGACATGCTCCTTGTCGAGGTCATCCTCGCCCACAAGGTCTGGACCCTCCGCGATTGGGCCCAGACGTACTCCGATTTACCCAATCGGCTCGTCCGCGTCGAGGTCCTCGACAAGGATGTCTTCCAGACTACCGACGCCGAGCGCCGCCTCAGCCACCCCTCCGGCGCCCAGGACGAGATCGATCAGTGCGTTCGCAAATATACCAGCGCCCGCTCCTTTGCCCGCGCTTCCGGCACCGAGAATGCCTGTCGTGTCTACGCTGAGGCCGCCACCCGTGTTGAGGCCGACGAGCTTGCCAAGCAGGTCGCCCGCATCGTCTCTCACTACGGTGGCAGCACTTGATTTCACCCCTTTCCTTCCAAAATACCGATGCATACCGCGCTCTCTACCGCTCTTTTCAGCCCTCCAACATCCTTAGCAGACGACTTGACGAACGTGGCTCATTGCTTTACGCTTTACTTGTTATGTGATCTATGGCATGCCGCCCACCCGGAAGCAATAGATAGGTCTCGATGAAAATGAAAATTGCATGTCTATTCAACTTGTTTCGAAAAGGTCACGTGATACCTTCTACTGTATCGTCTGCTTCTCCACTCCCCTCCGAACCCTTCCATTTCCCTTACCCATGCACCGCCTGCTGCACTTGCGGGTACACCTGCACCATGCGTCCGTAAAGCTCGGGGTGACGCTGGGTCAGCACCTGCGGATCCCACGCCATGGCCACAAAGATGGTGTCGATGCCGCTGCTGATCGGCACCGTGAACACGTTGCAGATCTGCAGTCCGATGAGGAAAGCAAATGCCACCAGCACCGGCGTGTAGTCGCCATTCTGGTTGTATGCAGGGTCGGTGATGCGTAGAAACACGTATGCCGACAGAGCTGTGGCGTAAGCCACAAATACCGCTCCCATGCTGAATACCGGCCCGATGAGACACTGCGTCACCAGAGCGTCGACACCGCGGTTCTTGATCATCCTAGGCGGGTCAGTTCACTGATATAACGGTCGAGGGGGAGAGTCTACTCACGTCCACGTATCCTTGGCCGCGCGGAAGTACGACGAGCCATAGAGGGCAATGTGGCAAAAGGCATATCGGTTGACAAACTGCACGGCCCAGTCGAGGATGGAGATGAAGCAGCCGAGGAGGCAGAAGAAGATGGTCGACATGATGTTGCCGTCGTTGGCCGACTGCTGCTGCGCAATGGAGCAGAGGTGGCGCAGAAAATTGATAATGGCGACGACCAAGCTGCCGAGGCTGATGCTGCCAAAGCTGTACGTCGTGGCGCGACGGAGAGAGCTGCGCGTAGTGCCGCGCGGGTAGTGATTTGCGTTGTCACCGGCAAAGTACCAGGAGCCATAGACGCCGGCGATGGTGGTGTGGATCGTGTTCTTGAGCCACTCGGTGATCCAGTAGCCGGCAAAGGTGATGAAGACCATGATGCCGATGACCTTGGCCTTGCTGCAGCTGCCACCGGTCGTGCTGCAGGCCGCATTTCCGCTGCCCGGCTCGTACTTGACGTACACGGCCACCATGGTGACCGAGTACCAGACGCCAAAGGCGGCTGCCGAGAGGCCACCGAGCAGGCTGGCCATGTAGACGTGGCCGTAACGGCGCGAGACGTCGATGGTGGTCTGCAGCATCAGCACGCTCCAGGGGATGCGTGGGATCCACGAGATGAAGCAGAAGATGTTGAGTGCCACAAAGACGAGGAAGACGATGCCGCCCGAGTAATAGTGGCGATACAGCATGTAGATGGCGGTTGCGAGGCCGAGACAGATGTTGAGGATGCCTGTGATCCAGATCAGCGCCTTAGTCAGCACGCGGGCTGCCCACATGTAGAGCACGCTGAGCACGACCGCAATGCCGACACAGATCAGCAGACAGATGAGCGAGTTGGTGTTGAGCCCAAACGTGGTGTCGCCATCGTAAATGCCGTTGCCGCTGCTCGACTTGGTCGTTGCTGCCAGCCGAAGCCGTGTTAGCGGAGACGTACGAGGGGGAGAAGACCAGGGCCCGACGGAAGCGCACCGTATGCGTGGATGGTGATGCCGGAGACGGCAGTGAACCCGGCGACACAGGCCAAGAACTGCATTCCGCTTCGTCAGTTTCATTTACCAACGCCGAGAGATGTCAGACTGGTCGCCGGCCATTCTCACCAGCAGTCCCGCCCAGATGTCGTGATACTTGGGTCCTTGCAGGACAAACACCTGGTCAAAGTCTTTCTTCTCGTTTCCGCCAAACTGTGGAGGTGCATACGCGCCGTAAGTCTGTGGGTTTTGCTGTTGTTGCTGTTGCTGCTGTTGTAGGTTTTGTTGGTATTGCGAATTGCTGTAATAATCATCGGCCGCGCCATGTGGAGGGCCGCCGTTGGACATGATGGGCAACCGATTGTTGATGCGAAGATGGGCGACTGCAGACTGAAGGCTTTAGTCGACAGTGAAGTTGGATGCCGAATACAGAACTTGCAGAGGCCGCTCAGAGACGCTCAGCCGGTGGGGAACATAAATAAGCGTAAAAAGCGTAAAGCCAGCTCGACGAATCGGCAGGAGCTACCGGGGACTATGACTTCATCTTGGCTCATTGCGTGCCTGTGCTTCTTGGCCTTTAGCTGGCTTTGACCCTTGCAGCGGGCGCGCGCCTGCTAAGCTGGAACAAGCATAGCCTGTGCCAGCTACAAAGCGGATGAGTAAGATGGTGTGTGTACATCCAATTACGGTAGCAGTTTGTATATGACGCCATTGCCGACCAGCCCAACAGTGCAAAAACATGACGGTCGATCTCTACTGTATACGGCTATTCCATGACGTCGTGTGCTGTGCGAAATCATGGCGCTGTCACTGCGTTGCCAGATTTAGATGCTACGGCCAGATGCGGCTCCATTTCCTTGTCGACGGCCTGCTTGCCCTTGTTGTCCGCCACTGCAGTTTCCGTGCTGACGCCGTCGTGCTCTGGCGTCCGTGAGAGTGTACTGCCACTGTCGGGGGCCTCGGTACCGAGACCGATAATGTCGATCCAGGCCCAGCTCTCGATACCGCTGCCGTGGTCAAAGATGGCCTTGTCGTCGTCGATGCCGTCGCTTGGGCCAGCAGCTGTGGCCGCGCCCAGCTTGTCGACGTCGGAACCGTCCACCAGGTCGCCGGCCCACGTGCGAGCCACAGACCGTCCGTTGGCGCGCAGCATCTGCAGAATGGCGCGCAGATTTAGGCGCAGGGCGCGCTCGGGCTTGGTGGCGCCAAAGATCTTGCCCGTCAGCCACGGAAACAGCAGGCCAAAGTCGCTCTGGTTCAGGTGCGCGCTGTTCCGCACGTAAAAGTAGTTGGGTTCCGACAGTCGTATGCCGTTGGGCCGCAGGTAAGCCGCCGATGACACCACGGCTGCCGATGGATCAGGCGACAACACCCGCGCCGTCGTGTGCAGGTGCGGCGTCCATTTGTAAAATGTCTCGGAACCGACGGCCAGAATGGCCCGGCCGCCGGCCGCGTCAGGCACGTCTGCGTACGCCGGCAGCGGCAGCTGAAAGAGCATGTGCTGCTCGGGCGACAGCAGCGGGAAGCACCACAGGTCCAGCAAGATGGTCGGACTCGTCTCGCTGATCTGGGCGCGCAACCGCGAGTCCGGCCGCGGCGTGAAGAGCGGGCTCTTGATCGACGCCATCCCGTCCGTGTCAGCATAGTACGTCGTCTTGAGCAGCTGCACGACCGACGCCGAGCCGAAGCTGTGGCCGGCCCAGATGATGTCGCCCGGGCTGTGTACGGCCAGCTTGCCGGCAAACTGGGCCAGCGATGTCGCCGGCGTGCTGCCGTTCAGGTTCACCAGCGGCCTGGCCTCGTCCAGCCGCACGAGGGCGTCGTGCACGAGGCCCAGTTCCCACAGCCGGATGCGCAGCTGCTGGTCGCGCAGAGCCCACTCCTCGTCCGTCTCCGCGTGCGATTTGTGGAGGTAGGGAATGACGGTGCGCGTGCTTCGCCGGAAGAAGCGGTCCTGGGCCGCCGGGTCGCGCACAAACGAGACCACCGAGCTGCCGTCACGATGCTCTGGACAGACTACTACGACGCCGTGAGAAGCCACCGAGCCGGCCATGTGCGAGTATGCGTTGCGGCTGCCGCCCAGCCCGTGCGAGAAGATCATCGTCGGCCACCGTCGGCTGGGCGTCGTGGGCTCCAGTAGCGCTGCGTTTTTGCGCGCCGGGATCGTCGTGTAGTAAAGGTGTCGAGGGAGGAAGCTGTCGGAGATGGGCACTGGTCAGTAGACACTCGTCCAAGTCACACGAGACACCAGGCCTGCAGAGACACTCACGAGACGAACTCGGCCAAGATGGGACCAGCACCCAGGAACTGCGTGTACGCCGAGACGTGGCTGCGCTGCGGCGCCGGCAGCCAGCTGATGTATCTGCCCTCGGCATCTGGGGCAATCGGGTAGAATATGCGGAACTGGACCGTGTGTATGCCGTCTGCATGGTCGGGCGTTGGGCTCGGCGAATCCAAGGCTGTCACCGGGATCTCGACATCGATGGTGCCTACTCTGTACGGGCCGGTGAAGTTGGAGAAGGATGGCACTGGGTTCAGGCGGCTGAGAAAGGCAGCCATCTTCGCCGTGTTGCCGGCATCCGCAGAGGATGCCGCGAGGTTGATCAGCGGTGGCCTCTGGCGACAGAAGGTCAATGGATTGGGACTGCAAATAGAAGTTTGTATCTGAAACTGAAAAAGGAAGGAAAAATAGCAGCGACGACAGAAGGGCTTACCGTATCGGAATACGGAGTACGTGGCTCGTAACTGCAAGGTTGACAGCAAGTTTCTTCTACGCTATGGCAGTGCTGTTACGCTTGAGCTGCCTGTCTGTCTTGGCTTGGGCATGATGCAGGTGTTGCACTAGCCTGTAAGCAGCCACTACAGCGCTGGAGGGGGAAAGCTGGCTAGTGCGATCCTTCTAAAGGACGTGTATATTCACACTCGCTCCTTCCGATCCGGCGGCCAGTGACAGAGACGAGGACAGGGCAAAACAAGAGTTCGTCGTGGGCATGATTTGCGGAAAGAAGGACCTGTACGAGAAGATCGACGCAAGAGGCTGTCACACCTGGTCCGAGACGATTCCCGAGGACATGGAGAAGGCCGCCGAGAACGAGAAGACGCGCAAGTTTGCCATCCTCGTGCGCAACAGTGTGTCTCGCTGACAAGGCTTGTCCGCACACAGGAAAGAGCGAGGAATCGGACAAGGCACTGGACGCGGCCACGCGCGCGCACCTTCAGATGCTACACGGCCTGCTCACAGTCGAGCTCGGCGACGTGCTCACAGCCCTGCAAGACTACGCAGCTCACCGTCAACGGCCGCATCATGGTGGACGCGCTCACGTACACGACGAGCAACAGCAGAGCCATCGCACTCGAGCCGCTAGAAGAGGTGGAAGAGCGCGGCCCTGTCCAGGACGAAGACGAGGACGACGGAAGCTTGCGCCGCCGTGTTCGCCGTGGTTCGAGTACGCGCCGGCGCTACAGCCACGACAACAACAGCTACGACCCGACCGTTTCCGAGATCCAGTTCCGCGAGCAGGCCGGCAGCGTCGAGGTCGGGGTGGTTGGTGGGATCCAGAAGACGCGATTCTTGCCACTGACGACGGAGCAGCTGCTGCTATGCACGCCCATAGTCAAGGGCTTCGACCTGCGCAGCAAGAAGTGGCTTGAGTTCTTCGTCGACCAGGTGACTGACGTGCCCTTTTAACCCGCAGGCCTTTGACTGACTGGTGCTGCCCGAGGGCCACAAGAAGCTCGTCTTGGCCCTGACGCCACCGACATGGGTTTGAATGCCTGTGACGTCGAGTAGGCGCTCGAGGTGGCCTTTCGACTGGTCGCCAAGTGGAAGGCCGTGCTGCTGATCGACGAGTGCGACATCGTGTTCGAGGCCCGCGACGTCAACAATGTCGACCGCAACGGCATCGTCTCCATCTTCCTGCGCACGCTCGAGTACTACCAGGGCGTCCTCTTTCTGACGACAAATCGCCGGGGCAACATTGATCCCGCCTTTCGCTCCCGCATCCACGTCCACCTGCACTACCCCGGGCTCGATAGTCTGGCCGAGCTGTCCCTCAACGGTCGCCAGATCAAGAACATCCTCAAGACGAGCGGCCTGTTGGCGTTTCAAGACGACGAGCCGTTGGCGTATGAGCACATCCGCACAGTTCTGTTGACGTAGGGAATATGTATTGGAATGGCGGACAATCAAGTAGTAGACAGTTACGGAGTAGTCCATACTTTGTTCGCAGAGTACGAGTAATTCGAAGCATATGCAGTTCCCCACAATACTATCTTATCGACTACCCCGTACATACATAATTGCGCACGGACCAACATCCCATGTAACCAAAATATTCGAAGAAAGAAGCCGAATTTCAGCTCTCACGCACGCGATATCCTCTACCTTGTCCGACTCTGCTTGCCGACAGCCGATTCCCGGTCCTAGATCTACGTCCTCCACCAATCCGTGTCTGCCCACCTTTTCCATTCATCCGCGACCATGACGTCCACCATCGGCATCCCCATCAAGCTCCTGAACGAGGCTCAGGTTGGATCCCTTTGCAGCGGATTGCCTTCTGCCATGTGCCCAGATCTGTGCTGACTTCTGTCCTAGGGCCATATCGTCACGCTCGAGATCACGTCGGGGCAAACGTACCGCGGCCGCCTGCTGGAAGGTAAGACCCTGTTGGGGTATCCACGATCAGCGGGCCACACGCTAACCAGACCAGCCGAGGACAACATGAACGTCCAGCTCAAGGACATCACGGTCACCGCGCGGGACGGCCGCGTTAGCCATCTGGAACAGGTGTACATCCGCGGAAGCCACGTACGGTTCTTCATCGTGCCCGACATGCTGCGGAATGCGCCCATGTTCCGCAGCCGAAACGTGCGGGGACGCGGTGTCGGCCTGGCTCGTGGACGGGCTACAGTCAGCCGTGCACGAGCAGGAGGCCGTGGCGGACGGCCATGAGACGGAGCGACGTGAAAGGACGGATACCCGTGACAGTGACAGCAAGACGCGGCAAGGATACGGGAGCCACTAGAGATGAATACGAGTTACGTTTTCCCGTGACAGACATGCCGTCCTATAAAGACACTTAAAATACAGTAGACGGTGCATCGACATCCCTGCTCTCCCGTTGTTTTGTTATTGGAGCTGCTGCAAGGCTTCCTCGGCCTTGCGCACGAGCTCCCGCGCCTGTCGCAGGTCCTGCAGGACGCGGTCACAATGCTGCTCGTCCGTTGCCGCTGCGCGCGTGCGGTCAAGCGTGTCGGCAGCGCTGGCCTCGACAGACCGCACGGCCTTGCGGCCTTCCTCGCGCACCTCGCTCTCCCAAAAGTCGCGGGCCGTCTCCCACTGTCGCTGCATGCGGCCGAGGCTCCAGACCAGGCCCAAGGCGGCCACAGCCCCGGCCTCGTACGAGCCAAGCGACGAGAGATATGTCAACACGGCCAGGGCCGTCGTCATGCCCGACGTGGTGGCCGTCTGGAGCACCAGCTTCTGGGCCAGCGCCTGCAGGGCCGGCACCGTCTCGTCGAGCAGGTAGCGGCGCGTGAAGGCGATGTGCGTGGGCCATCGCGTCGGCGGCGACGTGTCCGCGGACCTTGTCAACACGATGGGCGCTGCATACAGGACGAGCGAGGCCGGCTCGCCATCTGGGCGTGGCGGCTGGGCCAGCCGGGCAGCCTCTTCGAAGCGGCCAGCAAGGTAGACCATCTCCTGCTCAGCGGCCGGGAGGAAGCGCTGGGCGACAAGGCCGGCCGACAGCATGGTGACGTCGTCGACGCGCCAGAACAGCTTCCACCAGCCCAGCTTGCGCCAGCGACGGCTGGAGAAGGCGAGGTCCAGCTGTTGCTGCAGCTCGGCGTGTGCTTTTTCGGCCCAGCCGGCAAGGGCGCCGTTGAGAGCGGCAAACGAGCCGGCCGGCAGCTGTCCGGCATCTGGACCGTTTGTCTTGGCGAGCTGCTTTGCCTCGGCGTCCTGGATGTTGGCCAGGGCGTGGCGCAGAACTGAGGCGACTAGTTGGCGCACCGGTGGCTTCGTGCTGCCGTCAGTGCGGTTGGCAGCACCAGCTCGCAGCCAGTCAATGATGGTCGGCATGCCACTCTGTCGCCAGCGTGTCTCGTAGGCCAGCGCGTTGGCGACGCTCTCGCGAAACAGCCCGATAGCCTGGGCCGATGACCGGCCGTCGTACGTGACAAAGGAGCAGCCGGCCAGATCAGCGGCGTCGCGGTTCCGGAGCTGCACGACCGCCAAGATCTCGTCCTTGCTCTCCAGCAACGGCATCTTGGCGACGGCAGCCGCTCCGAGAATGCCGTCCGTCACGATCAGCGCCTGGTGCACCGGCGTGGCTACCGACGTGTACCGGCCGTCCGATGAGGCGGGAATGTCGACGGTCGGCACCAGGACGGTCTCTGCAAACGTCTCCGTCTGGCCCTCGAAGCCGTGGGGTGCGGTGGGCATGGCCAGGCTGGATTCCATGACCAGAAATTCCATGTTGCTGTCCTTGAGCGACGGCGACGACACCAGCAGCTCGGCTGCCTCGCCGTCGCGTGAGAGCCTGACCGTGCCGCCCTGTACGCGCACAACGAGCGGCTGGCGGGCATCGTGGACGGCCAGGCGGGTCTCCCAGACCTCCTCGCTCTTGAGCGGGTCGGCGAGGACCAGTCGTAGCAGCTCCTTGGCCGTCTGACCGGCACGGCTGCTGTCATTTTTGTTCGCGAGACCTAGCACGGCCACACGGATGGTTTCGTGGCCTGGCTGCTGCTGCAGGCCACGGATGGCCAGTTGCAGTCGTGGCAGGTTGGTGAGCACGCCAGCGTGTTTCTGCAGCTCGCAGAGAGCGGCCTCGAGGTTGGCGCGCGCCTGGGCCGGTGTCACGCTGGCCGGCATCCCGTCGGCCGCAGCAGCTGTTGAGACGGCGCGCTGAAATCGGCTGACTGCTGCTGGAAAACCCACACGTCGTCTTCCTCCCGAGCAGAACAGACAGGCTGGTGGCAGCCGGGCCGTCCTTGGCGTCGTCACCACGACATGGCTGCGGCTGAGCGGTGGCCGTAACCGCAGTCGTGGAGGCATGATCGTCTGGCTGTGCAGTCCGAGGTCGAGACCCAAAATACGATGCGGCGAGCCACCAGTTTTTTGCCGGTTCCAGATTAAAGCCGCCGTGCACATCTTACGAATCGTCACTTCCTAGCTTGTCCGCAACCGCTAAGCGCCTACACCACAGCCGACCGCAACCGCCGAACTGCCGGTCTATACGCGGAAACCGACAGAGGAGAGAAAGGGCAGCCACGGGAGCCAGGCTCTTCCATTGAGCCAATGCTCTCAAGGCCTTCCTGCTCCTCCCTCCCTCAGAAGCAACATTGAACACACGTGACTTTTCATGGGCCCACCGCTGTGGCTGGAGCTCCACTAGCCACGAGTACGTTTAGCAACAAAGACGGCAATCGCGACACCCTGGCACCCCTTCCTGCCTCTTCAAGACGGCCACGCATGATCTCGAGCAGAATCGCATAATGGACGACCTCTCGGGCCTCGACTGGTCGGCTGGCAGCTCGGCCACCAACAAGAGCAGCGCCAAGCCAACGATAGCGGCCTCGTCAGCTGCCTTCTCGACCGGCGCTTTCCAGTCGTACCCGCCACTTCGACCCGCGCCATCGCCTCTCGCGTCCGGCCGGAACACCCCCCTTTCTTCACAAACATCGGGCATTGCTGCTGGAGCGGCCGCGCCCAAGCCGACGGCCGTTGCGAAACCGGCACAGGACAGCTTCAGCAACCTGATCAGTTTTGGGTCTGCCAAGAACCCCGCCAACCTCAGCCTCCGTGAGCGGCAGGAGCTGCTGGAAACCGAGCGGCGCAAGAAGGAGGAAGAGAGGAGGAAGCAGCACGAGGCAAACTATGGAAATGGGCAGTTTTTCGATGTCTTGGCTCGTGGATCAGCTGGTGGCGCGTCGAGAACGGCGTCGCCCGCAGCAGACACAGACGCCGATCTCTTTGCCGCATTCAACGCCAATACCAAGGTCGACAACTCGAGCCATTTTCCTCCTGTAGGAGAAGCATCTCGCAAGTCGACACCAGCTGCCGCAGCAGTTTCTCCGCCCCCTGGCCTGGACCTCAGTAATCCCAACGCTTGGAACACGAACGCGCCAGGGGGCAGTGTCAGTGCTGCAAACGATGACGATGATCCCTTCGGGCTGAACCAGCTACAGTCTCGCCCGGTTGGCCGTCCTGCTGTTCCTCCAACGTCTACCGGCAATGTCACAGGCGATGGGGACGACGACGACTTTCTGGGCGACTTGGGTCGGCCGGTGGAGGAAGTTCGGCGCAAGGCAGAGTTGCAACAGAAGCGCCATCCCCATTCGGAGCCGGGGAAGCCCATTGAGGATTCGAGCTCCGACTCTGACGCGGTAGCACCGAGCGGTGACGATGGTCCAAGAAAGACGGGCAACGTGGCATTCGACAACGCCGTCGCACAGCTCGTGGACTATGGATTCACTTCGGAAAACGCCATGAGGGGACTGACCGAGAGCGGCGCCGGACTGAACGTGCAGGCAGCCGTCAATTGGCTGCTGGACGATGCGCATCGGCAGGCGAAAGAGCAGGCGAGGGCGAAGCAACGTGGCGGCGGCGGCGGCAGCAGCGACCATCCAAGAGCGTCAGACGAAGGTCGGCCTGGAGGCCGAGGCCGCCAGACTGGCCCAGCCTGGATGAGAGAGGACGACGAGGAGGCAGCACGCCGGAGAGGCAGCCGGTCGCCTGCGGTGCTGGGCGACGGCGACCTTGCCAAGACGGCAGCGGCCATCGGAACAAACTTTCTCAAGACGGCCAACTCGCTGTGGAAGACAGGACAGAAGCGAATGCAGCAGGCCGTGCAGGAGTTCCAGCAGGAAGTAGATCCGAGCCAGCCGAGATGGATGCGCCACGACGACATGGGCACGCCAGCGCCGCCAGCTGACCACAGCAACGCACAAAGAAGGGGGCCTGCTGCGCTGCCGACGGCCGCCGCTCCGGCAGCGGCAATAGCGGCGACAGATGAAGCCATCCTGCTGGAGATGGGCGCCCGGCCAGAGCGCAAGCAGCCACACAGTCGGCCTGCGCCGCCAGCAGAGCCTAGATTCAGGGAAGGCAGCCAGACCTCATCGCGCACACAGTCTCCAGCTGCTGCTGGCCTGAGCTCTGGCTCAACCAGGCGCGGAAGCCCTGCTCCACGATGGCAACAAGGCAGCGGTAGTGGTGGCGGCGACCCGCGATCACGGCTGACTAAGCAGGCTATTGAGGAGGAAAGCGCGCAGGTGTACGTCAGTTCGCGGCGGCGAAGAACCCCGGGCACACCGGTAGGAGCGGCAGGAGCAGCAGGTACGCCACCGCCACAGCGAACAGAACAGGCGCAGGTGCAAGCTACGGTGCAAGAGCCGCCCGAAGCAGACCTGCTCTCAAACTCTACGGCACTGCCACCGCGGCCGGCGCAGACTCAAAGTCTCGGCAGCAGCAACGGCAGCAGTGCCAAGACTTCGTCGCGGCCAACACCGACACCGCGACCGGTACAATCAGTCCGAACAGTCCGCCCAGCCCGCCAGGTGCCAGTGATCAACGGGTTGGTGCTCAAGGCATCGTCCCAGCACCGGTCAGCGGGAGCGGCGCACTTTAAGCGCGGCGATTATGCGGCAGCACACGCGTCATACACGGCGTCACTGGTGGACATCCCGCGGACGCACCCGCTGCTGGCGGTGTTGTACTGCAACCGGGCACTGACGGCGCTGAAGACGGGCGAGCCGCGACAGGCGGTGGCCGACGCGGACGCAGCGCTGGCGGTGATTGGGCCGGGTAAGGGCGAGGGTGAGTCAGTAGCGCTGGAGGATGGCACGGGCGAAATGCGCGATCTGCGAGACCTATACGGCAAGGCGATGACGCGCAAGGCCGAGGCGCTGGAGCAGATGGAAAAGTGGGCAGACGCGGCCGTCGTGTGGCAGCAGTGCGTGGAGGACGGCGTGGGCGGTCCGACGGCGATTGCCGGCCGGCAGCGGTGCCAAAAAGCACTGGCGCCGAAAGAACGAAAGCAGTCGTCGGAGTGGCAGAACGATCCTCTACGGCAGCTACACGGCCACGACCAGCAGCTACAAGATCCTCGGCCCCTACTGGCTACGACTCCGAGGCCGTGCAGCGGCTGCGGCAGGCTAACAAGGCGGCCGAACGCGAAGACGCAGACAAGCTGGCACTGACAGACCAGGTAGACGCGCGGGTGGCCCGCTGGCGGGACGGCAAAAAGGACAACCTGCGGGCGCTGCTGGGCAGCATGGACGCGGTGCTGTGGGAGGGCAGCGGGTGGAACAAGGTCGGCCTGCATGAGCTGGTGATGCCGAACAAGGTCAAGATTGCGTACATGCGGGCGATTGCCAAGACGCATCCGGATAAGGTGAGTGGTGTAGTGTGGTGTGGTGATAATTGAGGGGGGTGTTAAGTGATTACTAAGACTGATTACTCATCTGCATCACAGCTCCCCCAGGACGCGTCGACGGAGGTCCGCATGATTGCCGGGACGGTCTTCAGCACCCTCAACGAGAGCTGGGACAAGTTCAAGGCGGACAACAAGATGTAGGCGCACGCCAGCAGAAGCGAGGGAGGGCAGTGTAGGTAGTCGTTCATTCCAGCGCAACCAACGCCAACGCCATCTAGTAGAACGGCCCTACGGCCCCGAGGTATTCCGTATTATAAGCAAAACACCGTATTCGCTATGCCATGACCGTGTCTTGTGATCGTTTTCGCGTCCCACCGCTGCGCTACAGCCCCAACATGCGGCGCACGCCGACGCGCACCTTGTTGTCGTACTCGGTGCGGCGCTCACGCCACATCTTGGCGGCCTCGACGTTGGCGGGGCTTTCGTCGTTGGGCTCGGCCAACATGCTCATAACGGAAATGAGGATCTTCTCGACGCTCTGGATGGGGGACCAGCGCTCGGACGCGTGCTCGTAGTGGTTGGGGTCGTCGCCGGGGGGGTGGAGGATGGAGATGCAGACGAGGCCGCTGGGGTAGACTAGAAGAGGGAGGGTCAGCCAGCAGGAACAAGTCAGGAATGCGATCACGAGAAATGCAGCCGGCCTCACCGTTGGGGTGCCACACTTCGCAGCCGACAAAGCGCATGGTCGGCGGCGCCAGCGGATAGTCCTTGGGGAAGCGCAGCTCGGCAGGAAAGACGCCGCCCTCAAAGGGCGTGCCCTCGGGGCCCTGAATCAGCGCCTCCCAGTGCAGCATGTCGTCCTCGGACACCGGCCCGGCCGTGATCCCCTCGGGCGGGTTGTTCGTCAGCGTCCGGTATTCCTGCAGCAGGCGGCGGTGGGCGGTCGACTGGGCCATGGCGGCGTGAGAAGGAAGGGAAAAGGAGAAGGAGGGGTAGGCAAACGAAGAGAAGCAAGATCGGCTGGAGCTGGATGAGCCGGCTGTCAGTAAGATTCCGGACCAGACCTGGGCGAGCTGAAGCGTGGAGATTGCGAGACAAGACAGACGCTCTCTAGTTAGCCCCTCTTGCCAGATCAGACGACACGTGACCACACGGGTGGAATACGACGTACGCACTCCTTACGTCATACTCTCAAAGTGCCAAGAAGATCTTTTATGCTCATAACAGAGAGGCCGGCACTGCCTCCTGCCATCTCTTCTCGTGTCCTCTTGTGTGGCGCAGGCCGCGCGCCAGAGAGAACAGAGAACAAGTCCGGTGGAATTGCCCTGCAGTGACAGATGACGAGCGACAGCGCCCCGCATCTTAGCCTTCTTTTTTTTCTACCCATCTGGGTTTTTTATTTTCACTCTGCACTTTCCTCCTTTTTTTCCTCTTCCTCTCTTTCCTTTTTCCTCCCATCTCCCACCCGCCCCTAAAGCGCCCACTACTAAGGTGCCACTAAAAAGGGCGCGCCGGTGGCTGGGCAATGCAGCCAATGGCTGGGCGAGCTGGGCGGAGACAGGGGTTGAACCGTGTTTCAGGCACGAGAGCCACTGAGGATTTCGCGCTGTTTCTTTTGTGCTGTATCCCACGTCGTGGACTGCTTGTACAGAGCACTGCACGACGGGAGAACGTAAGATCCGTCGCAGTAAGGTACGGAGTACATGCACAGTAGTAAGATACGCACAGTAAATGCCGGCCCCGCGTCGTCAACGATAAATGGACAGGGTCGTCTTCGTCTCTGCCATATGGAGTACGGAGTACGCACATGTGGAATGCGAGCCGGCCCTCTCACCGGCGCCCAGCTCGCCAAATGGCGGTCTACTTTGTACGGAGGAGCATATACACGTACACAGTAGTGCAGCGTGCTGCTCTTGTGTGGCCGTGTGGCCGTCGCAGCAGCTGCCGCGTGGCCACCGGAATCCTCCCAGTCCCCTTTGCAATCTCAGCTGCGCTGGATGGCGGTTGCACACATCTCAGAAGGTGTGAGTCTTGCCAGACATGTCCCCGACAAGCAGCTGCCCAGGAAGAAATGAAGGCTGGCGGTGAAAGCTAAACGGGAAAACCAGAACCCAAGATAAATTGTTCGTAAAGTCGCCGAAGAGCTCGCCGGCCTGCATTTCTCGCAGCCAGGATTAGCGGGCTGAGCGCCCCGGCGATCCCCCTCGCTGAACCCCCCATCTCGGTGACGGAGCCCCTGGCTGCCGCACCTCTGTCGCCCTAGGCCAGATTGGGAAAACACGCTGTCGGGCTCTGCGCTGGAGTGCTAGACAGTCCATTCCAGGGGTTTAGACAGAGCAGCAGCTGCAGCCGGGGGCAACTCTCGTATTTTCGTCCATCTGCCTCTTATCTTCTCCATCTCATACTGCCCATGTCCCTGCTGTCCTGAACGGCCCCCTGCTAGGAAGATGGAGCCGCTGCCCTTAATCTGTCACTTGGCGCAGATGCTAATTCCCAAGAGCAGGAAAAAGGAAATCGGGAAAGGAAATGTGGGAAAGGATCGGTGCATGTGTTGTGTGCTGCGTATACCGAACGGAGTAAGATACATACGGAGTACGTATGTCTGTGTAAGAGTAGTGCTGTGCCCCATGGCTTCGTTGGGGGCTCACAGACAATGGGTCCCGATGCGCTGCTTCCTTCCTTCGCAGGGGGCAACACCCACTCCTCCCTTGCCTTCCAGTTCCGTTTGCGTGCTCCAGTACTCCGTAACACCAACGATACCTCCTTCCTCGTTGTGCTCTTATAGCCTTCTTTGTCCCCCTATGGTCTTGCCCCTTCTCCCTCTCCTTCCCTCCTCTTGCTGCGACGTTTCTTCTTTCCGAGTACAGAGATATCACCGGTTTCTTTTCCCTCATTTCGCCTTCACCTCTGGGCTACACATTCTTTTCCACAACATTATCTGTCCACACTCCTTTTCGTCTATTCGGTTGTGTCTGACCGATTGCTTTGTTGTCCGTTTTCTACTTCTTGATACCTCCTCGCCAGCCTAGACCGCACCATCAGAGACCGGTGCTCCTGTTCTCTTCTACCAGAGGCGTTCCCTACCATGCCGTCTCTCAAGTCGGTCGTCGCTCTGGCGGCAGCCGTGGCCCCGGCCTCCGCCTTCTGGCGTATGGAGTGCCGCGGCGTTGCAGGCTACTACCGCATGGATCCCATCATCTCGCCGGGCGAGGCTGCCGAGCATCTGCATTCCATCCTGGGTTCTGGAGGTGTGTCTAGCCCGGATTCTATCTTGTCCCCCGTCTTCTCCCTCTCACACGTTCTCAGGCTTCAGCGAGTCGGCAACCTTCGACGACCTTAACAACAGCAACTGCACGTCCTGCCTGGTCACTCAGGACAAGTCTGCCTACTGGCATCCTGCCCTCTACTTCAAGGACTCGACCACGGGCGACTTCGAGCTCGTCGGACAAGTCGGCGGTACCTTGGCGTAAGCATGCTGCATACTGTGACAGACTCGCATTTGCCCCATCCCAGGCTAACTTGCCCCCAGGTACTACCTCCTCTATACCGGCAACGGCAACTCAACCATCACGGCCTTCCCTGATGAATTCCGCATGATCGCCGGCAACCAGAACCGTCGCAGCTACACGGCCGGCAACGTGGAGATGGTGGACCCGCCCAAGTCGGAATGGGCCTCGCTCGGCCAGACGACGCAGGAAGTGCTCGCGCAGCGGGCGCTCGGATTCAACTGCCTCGACTACAGCGCCACGCCCGAGGCGTCGCTGTACCGCCACTTCTTCCCCAACAAGGAGTATCTGGACGCCAACTGCCCCGACGGCATCCGGTTCGAGCTCATGTTCCCGTCATGCTGGAACGGCGTGGACACGGACTCGGCCAACCACCGCGACCATATGGCCTATCCGGACGAGGTCATGTCGGGCGACTGCCCCGAGGGCTTCCTCACACGCGTGCCCAGTCTTTTTTACGAGACCATCTGGGACACGGCTTCGTTTGCTAGCCGGTCCGGCGAGTTCGTCATCTCCAACGGCGATGTCGAGGGCTTCGCCTACCATGCCGACTTCATGATGGGCTGGGATGCCGGTGTGTTGCAGCAAGCCATCGACACGTGCACCAGCTCGTCAGGCGAGATCAGCGACTGCCCCATTTTTAACATCCAGACACAGGCCGAGGCCCAGAACTGCAAGGTTGCCGAGCCCGCCAACCTCTCCGGCGATAATGCAAAAGGCCCGGCTCCCAGCCTTCCCGGTGATGTTGCTGTCTACGGCTCGGCCCTCGTTGCCACCATGATCGCCACGTACGACGCCGCGCTCTCGGCCGTCGGCCTGCCGACCGAGGCCACCGACGGCGTCGTTGCCAGCGCCACTTCTGTCGTCGGCTCCATCGCCAGCAAGGTTGCCGGCGTGGCCACCAGCATCTTTGGCGACATAAACAAGGAGTTTGCGCCCACCACGTCGTCTTCAGCGACGACACAGGCGCCTTCCTCCACGGCCACTCCCACACCGATCCTGCCCACCGTGGCGACTGTACCCAGCATTGCTACCGTTCCTAGCGTCTCCAGCCCTTCCAGCACGAGCACCACATCGAGCACCCTGATTCCTGCTAGTTCGCCGGCTCCCTCTAGCGCGCCGACAGTAGTGACAGCCGCAGCCGTTGGCCAAACCGTTATCAGCACGCAATACGTGACAAACAACGGTGTCGTGACGGAGATCCACTGGTACGAGACCACAGTCTACTCGACGGAAGAGGAGACGGCAACTGTCACGGCGACTGTGGCGGCCCGCGATGCGCACAACCACTTGCGCCGACACGGAAAATGGCGCCGTCAGGGCCACAACGCCTGAGCGTGCGAAGCAGGCGGTGACGGACCGTTGCAGGACCGCTGTTTGGCATGTCGGCCGGCCCGGGGTGCTACCTTGCACAATACAGCTTTTGAAATTTAGACCGAGTAAATATAAAGGAATTGCGTCCCTGCATCATCCGAGTCTCTGCAGATATTGGTAACATTCAAAGTGGTTCTTCCGCGTGCTGTATGTCTGCATGCATAGGTGCGTGCATGTGTGTATGAGTCTGTTGATCTGACTGCATTCTTGGCCGTTTCCAATTGCTGTCGATGCTCATCTACTGGCGATGATCAGCTGCGATAAAGGATGTCACTATGGGTGAGTGCCCTGGTCCTGCATTCCGTGGAATATCGCAGGGTAACAATTGCCAGGCAACCTTTCCAGTTTCCTAGTGTTAATGCGGCTGGAATGCAGTCATAACCGCTCCATGGTAGCGTTTGAGGCTGGCACGCAAATGGCTGTCGTCCCCGACGACACATTCCACCATGGCTAGATGTTGTTTACCGGTAGACCACCAGACTGTTCGGCCGGTATTAATTCTGCGATGGCTGCTGTGGAGAGGCTGGTTTCTGTTCTCGACTTGCATCCGACATTTTCGCCCAGCTAATGATCGATCTCGAGAACGAAGAGTATGCCTCACGACAACCAGCCTACTCACGACGGGCGCATCTTCGACGACTCGACCAGCTCGCTGAAAATATCCATCTAACTCATTGCTTGTTTTCTCGTCTCGTTTATTGCCGACTTGCTTCCGATTTCTTCTTTTTTATTCGTATTATCTCGACCGATTCGACCGACTCGGCCGAATCGAAACCCTCTAATCTTACCCGACGTCATCATGTCATCAACAGCAGCGGGTGGTGGTGGTGGCTCGTCGCTCAGCATAGGCGTCATCGTGGCCATTGCGGTGGTGGGAACGGTGGTGATGGCTGTGGCTGCGGGTGTCCTGTGTGCGTATTTGGCCCATCAGAGGCGCCTGCGGCTGAACGCACGGCAGATGCAGCAGACAACGGCACGGCAGTCGTCACAAGTGGCCGTCCAGCAGGGCGGTTTGCCGATCGGCGACCACTCGACCAAGGCCGCAGCCAGGCAGTACTTCAATACCAGATCAGTAGCAGCCGGTGCCTCATCTGCAGACAGCTGGTCGGTCGAGGCCGATAGTGCGTTTGAGGGCACAGGGTTCACGTGGTGGTGGCGATGCCGGTGGCGGCGGTGGCAGCGTCAGCAGGGCCGACAGGACCGACAAGGCGGTCCGGAGCATGGCGCAGACGGCGAACTGCCGCTGTTTGGCAGCGGAGACAGCAGTCGAGTGAAGCAGCCTCGCACACGCAACAAGCTGCAGCGGCCGCGGCCGGCAGCACCCAAGATGGTCTCGTCGTCCAACTTTGCATTTGTGCCGGTGCCGGTGGAGATGCCGGCCAGAAGCAAGAGGAGCAGCAATGACGGCAGCGGTGGTGATGCCGGAAAAGACGGCGTGTCGCCCTCCAAACAAATGAGACCTCAGCGACCACCACCACCGCCACCACAGCTGCGCCTCATCACTCACGATCTGGGCTCGCAGATAGACACCAGCGACGCCGGAGCAGGTGCTGTGCCACACCCGGCGAACGTGTTGGTTGCGACGCAGAGCCAACAGGAGCTTCAGCAAGGCTACCAGAACTACCAGAACTACCAGAACTACCAGAACTACCAGAACTACCAGAACTACCAGAACTACCAGAACTACCAGAACTTCGAGCATCATCAAAACACCAAAAACGGACGGCAGTTCGCAGGCACGCCTTACGCTTATGCAGGTGGTCCACAGCAGCCGGGCGCGCCTTCCCCCAGTCGTCCGATGACGCGTCCGGTCCTTCCGGTTCTGGACATTCCTGGACACCATGACTCCGCAGCGAGCAGATTCCAGCGCCAGTCTCAGCCTCAGCCTCAGCCACAGTCACAGTTGCAGCACTGGCAACAACTACAACTGCAGCAACAGCTGCAACAACAGCAACAGCAACAGCAACTGCACCTGCAACAACTGCAGCTACTACAGCAGCAACAGTACCAGCAGTCCCAACGGATGCCAAGCCGGCCGCACCGGTCGCTGCCGCAGAACCTCAACCTGGCAACAGATTCGGCGTTGTCTGAGATCTTGCGGTCAACAGAGAAGCGGCTGCAGCAGCTGCAAGCACAGGCGCAGACGGAGCAGCCGGCATCCACGGCTGGGTACACGGGCGACGACGATGACGACGTGTTTGCGGCGGTGCCGACGCTCGCGCGCCAGCGGCAGCAGTGCCTGGCCGAGGAGGCAGCGGCACGAGAGGCAGCAGCTGCTGCTTCTGCGATGGCGATGACGGTAGAAGAGGCCCTGGTGGTGCCAGAGGCGCAGAAGAGTCAGCGCAGCTCGCAGGAGTCAGGCGTGTCGGAGGCCGACAGCATGTTTGTAGAGGAGGCCACAACGACGGCGCTGTCGAGTCCCAGCCGCAGTCCAACCCGGACAACCGATCAGAGCAGCACGATCAGTGTGGCCGCGAAGCCGCCGACGATGCATCTGGTGCCGAGAGCAGATACAGCCGAACTGGTCAAGACGGCAGAGCACGAAGCGGCAGACGCGAGCACGTCGCCCGACTCGGGGTCGTCCTCTGCGTACTCGCCACTCTCAACACGATCCTCGCTGTCGACGGTGTACAGCGCAGATGAGCGGCCCGAGGCAGCCAAGAAGGCGGCCGGACTGGGGATCACGATGAACAGACGGAGCGTGTTGATGCAGCTGCCGGTGTGGCAGCAGCAACAACAGTATCTGAAGCAGCAACAGCAGCAGAAGCAGAAGGAGCAGAAGCAGCAGAAGCAGAAGCAGAAGCCGCAGGGTGTCCAGATCAACAACGGGATTCGGGGCTCGTTTGGAGGCGCTGTGGCGCCGATTCTGGTGGCTCCGGCTGCCGTCCGGGCTCGGTCTGCATCGTCTGCGTCGGTCACAGCACCACTGCTGCTACAGCCCAGTCGGAGCTCGAATCCGGCTGCGCCATCGTCGGCGATCCGCGTGCTCGTGACGAGCCCGACGGCCAACAGCCTGACTGGATCGTCATCGTCATCGCCGGGTAAGCGTGGAAACGTTACGTTGGACGTGACCGACAGAACGGACACAGCTCACGTGCAAATTGGCGAAAATGCATCGGCCACGGCAGCGGCCGAAGAAGAGATTCGACGACAGCAGCAGCAGCAACAACAACAACAGCAGCGCCGACAGAGCCTGGTGCCGCCTCCGACGAACCTGGCCAGTCTCGTGGAGGTGTTGGCCGACGTGCCGGAGAACGGCGAAGCGGTCGGGGCCGGGCGGCGCTGGTCGACACGGCCGTTGCCAGTGGCACCATCTCGACTGTCGGCAGCATCGCTGAAGCAGCAGCAGCAGCAAGAGGTCGAGACGGACAACCGGGCATCAACGCTGACGACCAACAGCCTGCTGGCGACGGCGGTCGAGCTGCGGCGCATGAACAGCGTCGCCCACAGCGAAGCCTCGACGGTGTACAGCGAGGCCACGAACATATCGCCGCTGCCACCGCAGATGGCCGTGTTTCCGGGCAGCAGCACGACAGCCGACACAAAAGACGAAAAGGCCACGACACCATTGCGACGTGGTCGTCGCAGCCGCGTGCTCGAGGGAACGGCCGCCAGCAAACGCGGCAGCCGTGCCAGCGGTACCGGCAGCCGGCACTACCTCTCGCTCGGGGGGGCTGCCGGCTCTGGGACGAATGCAGGCAGCAGCAGCAGCGACAAAGAAAACGGCACCGAAGAAAGCGTGGTGGAGGGCGGACCTGCCGTCTCAATGCAGACGACTTCTGGATCCAAGCGGCAACAGCCACGACCATTCTCCATTGTCGCGGGCCAGGAATCGGCTGAGCTCGCGTCTCTGTCGACACCTAGACGCACGCCCAGCCGGTCGCCGTCCAAGACGGACAGATCGACGTCCAGCTGCGTTGTCGTCAGCAGCAACAGCGCCGTCAAGACGCCGGGCAGCCGGTCTCCCACCAAGAACAAGTCGGCCCGTCGGACGTCGGCGTCACAGGGAACGCCGACACGCACACCGACACAGTCGAGTCCGGTACAGAGAGGCAGTTTGGGGCTGTATGACCCAGACGGGTTTCTAATATATAGCAGTACATAGCCACTTTTGCGATCTTTGAGTTTTGCTGAAGGATGGCGTTTTGTTCGTAATGGGTCATGTTGTATTATTTTGTGTATCATACTGAACAGATAGTGTTGCTTTATTTATTTTTGACGTGTGTACTGCACAATGATCGTGGCATTGTTTGTTGACGTACCATCGAATAAATATTGGATTGCATACGACAAAGACAGATGTTCTCGAGTAGCCAGGCCGTTTCGAATTATTTAGCCTAGATCATTTAGACCCCTCATGTGCGTTTTCGCTCCTGCCTAACTTGACAGTAAACCGTGCAGTTGCTGTTTCGGGCGTTTCTGTCTAAGAGGTATTAAGCTCTTTCCGTCTCGTTCTTCTATTTCTTCTGCCGTATCCCATCTCTTTGCCTCTCTCTCCGCTTTCTCCCCTCATCTTATCTCCCATCTAATTTTCAACCAAGCAGCCAACCGCGGCCATGGCCCCCCTTCCCATCGCCGGCGGCCCCAAGGTGGTCCTTTATCACCAGACGCACCACACGCCGACGGGCGAGCCAGTGTCGGTGTTGCCGCTGCTGCGTCGCGATGGCGACATGGGACCGTCGGTCACTCACGTGATCGTTGGTGCGATTCACCTGAATGCCGATCCGGCGGCACCCACGCTCAACGACCACCACCCAGACGACAGCCGGTTTGACATGCTGTGGGCCGAGGTGGGTGCCCTGCAGCAGGCGGGCGTGCGTGTGCTGGGTATGCTGGGCGGTGCCGCCAAGGGCAGCTACGCGCGACTGGATGTAGGCCTGCTGGAAGGCCATTCTGCTGCTTCCGCGACGTCGGCCTCGTTTGAGGCCTACTACGCCGCGCTACACAGGCTCGTGCGGCGACAGCGGCTGGATGGGATTGACCTCGACGTGGAGGAGCCCATGTCGCTGGCCGGCATCGTGCACCTGATCGACCGGCTGCGTCGTGACTTTGGGCCCGGCTTCCTCATCACGATGGCCCCTGTGGCGGCCTCGCTGCTCCGGCCGACCGAGCCGCGCTGCAACCTCTCGGGCTTCTCGTACGCCGACGTCGAGCAGCGGCGCGGCCGCGACGTCGCCTGGTATCACGCGCAATTCTACTGCGGCTGGGGCGACGCGTCCTCGCCCGACATATACCTCGCCATGACCCGTGGCGCCGTTGCGCCCATTTCTGGCCTCGGACCCCATCGCGTCGTCATGGGCCTCCTCACCAACCCGGCCAACGGCCCCGGCTGGGTCGACCTCGACATCTCCACCACCGTCCTCCTCGACCTCTGCGCCGCCGCCCAGACCGACGCCTCCTACTTCGCCGGCGTCTCCGGCTGGGAGTACTTCAATGCCTTGCCCGGCGCCCAGGCTCGCCCGTGGGAGTGGGCCGAGTGGATGTCTGCTATCCTCGGCAGTTCCGTCGAGGCTGCCAACGGCTTCGGCATCCAAGGGGTCGCTGCTGCTGCTGCGGCCGCCATCACGGAAACAGCGCATACAACGGAGGCGGATCCAGACGGTGAGGCTGGACTCGAGGCACCAGTACCAGACCCGTTCGAGTACGACTACCAATCCGACACGGAGGAATGAGCTGGGCCGAGGACGGAGATTGCTATGTAGGCTACATATCTACAAATAATAGAGTGCCGCTGGCTGTAGACAATGTTCTGTCGTGGCTGAAATGTACGCGAAAGACGCCATTGCCACGCGCCTGACAGGTCATCAAGTGCAAGTTCAGGCATCTTGCCTCTCGGGCAGGCTTTGGGCCAGAAGCACCCGACCAGCGGACAATGTGCGAAAGCTCGGTCGGGTATTCGTGGCTGTGTACGCATGCTGAGCCAGCTGGGATGACGTCGCATCGACACGGCGAGGCATCACCGAAGCTGTTCGGCGTCTACTGCCTAATGGGGCTGCAGTGTCTTGTCGCCGGATCGCCAGGCGTGAGACCGATCAGACGGACGCGCTGGGCTTGATGGATGAGACGAAGAAGGGAGACGGTCTCGCAGGGCTGACTGGGCGCACGCTCGCAGCGCCTCGCTGCGGTGGCGCCTCGATTCGTATTTGCTGACCTCAGAGGCAAGTGGATGAATAATGCGAATATTGCCGACGTGCTTATGCTGCAATCTGACGGCCGACTGGCCATCTCTGCTTACGTTAGCCGTCAGCCTGGACCGTCGCAGCTTCTGTTTTCGGACACCACTGAATTGGGACGTGTCATTGCTTCCAGAAGACCGGGGTGCTTTTTCCATTTGCTCTCCGCCTCTCAGAACATGCTGCAGCGACGGATCCAGGAACCCCTCACCCCTCACCCCAAACAGCCTCGCCCTTGGCTTTGTACGGGCACCTCCTCGTATTCCACCCAGGCCGGCCGATGCCTGCCGGCCAAGACTGTCCGTCCTGTCATCTGTCGGTTACATCGCGGCCGTACTATGACTCCCTCTCGGAACGGGGGGATCGTGAGGCATCTGCCCCGTCCTAGGCAGTGCTGATGACGTTAGTGATGTCCGGCGATGCCCGGTCTCGAGGGCTGAGCTTCTAGTCGGTTATGATCTCTTCTGATTCGTTTGCCTCCTCTGGCCGGCCTGGCTCACCTCTCTCGGTCTTCGCCGTGCCTGTGCTTACGCAGCATATCTGACCAGTTCTGTTGCCTCGCTGCCGGCTGCCTCGCTTCCGTGCAGGCAACAGGCTGGAGAAGGGAGGCTTAGAAACGACGGCCAAGATGGATACCCGAGCAGCACGCCCTGCTTGCCACCGGCAGGCGGGCAACAAGAACGAGGCGTCCTATTATGGTACAAGTGTACAATCAGGCCGTTCCGCTGCCATCGCGGACTCAGGCACTGCCTACAGCCCATGCGATCTAACTCGACCGTCTATATAAGTTCAAGTGCTCCCCAGTTGGATGTCCGGATCTGCTCTTCCATCACCATCACCATCACCATCACCAGCATTCTCTCCTTTCAAACATCAGTTTCACTCTACTCACACGTGACCACTACTCTCACACAATGGCTGCCACCAGCTCTTTTGCCATGGCCTTCCCGGTCAACTACGGCCGCAGCGGCTACAACAGCAAGCCCGACGACGAGGAGACACAGCCTCCCAAGGATAAGGGCCGGAGCGGCTACAACAAGTGAGTTGCGGCATATACAGTCTGCCACTATCTGTTGCGGTGCTAATACGAGGAACAGAGGCTCCAAGGACGATGAGGAGGACGGCAGCGAGTAAATCCGCCTCTTAGGCTGTTCCGGAGTTTTGGCGCGTTCTTTTTCACGAGCGGATTAGACGATAAATGGCACATTGGAACATGGCGCAGACGCAAGCCTGAGCTGAAGTCTGGCGGGACGAGGGATAGACTTGGGAGGCAATTTTGATTTTGGGCTCGTGTTTATCATTTAGAGGCCAGCTTTGTCCAGGCAAAGTTCTGGCGGACAACATTAGACTTTTCTCTTTTATTATGCGTCGCTATCAAACAAATTTACTTTCCTACACAGAACCTGGAAATCGATTAGTCAGCAACAAAAAGTGCATCGAGGCGTGTGAGGTAAAGGCGTGACCACAGCATCGGGTTAGCACCTACTTTTCGAAGATGACGCCTAGCACCTCCTCGATGTCGCCGACATCGCCGCGTCCGGTGATTTGCGCCAGGCTGTCTGCAGCATATCGCAGATGCTCAGCAGCGAGGACGACGTCGGGGTCACGTGAGCCAGCAGTGGCACCGGCCTCGAGGAGAAAGTGGTCGAGGTGGCGGCGACACTGGGCCAAGAGCTGCTGCTGGCGAGCGGTGACGCCGAGCAGGTGCTGAGCGTCGGGTGGCAGGTCGGTCATGGCAGCAAAGGAGCGGGCGAGCTGGTCGACGAGGCCGCCGATGCCGCCGGGATCGCCATCCGCGTTGGAGGCGCCCGAAAGGGGAGGAGCGGTGTTGATGTGGCCATCGTTGGATCCAGCGGCAGCAGCAGCGACTTCGGCGATGCGGCACGAGATGGCCACGAGGGGCACGCTGGCAGTCGGGACATCGAAGGAGGTCTGGATGGCGGCGGAGAGGTCGGCCTGGAGGGCAGCCAAGGCGGCAGGATCGGGCGCGAGGTCGCACTTGTTGAGCACGACCAGACATTTCTGAGCACGAGCGGCCAGCCGAAGGGTTTCTGGGTCGTAGCGGACAGCGAGAGAGGGAGTGCCGTCGGGGTGGGTGGCGGGCTCGACAGCTGCCAGGACGACGACGACGTCAGCATCGGCAGCCTCTTGGCGGGCGCGTCGTATTCCCTCGGCCTCGATCGTGGAGGCAGCCGATGTGTCCCGGACGTCTCGAATGTTTCGGAAGCCGGCCGTGTCGGCAAAGGTGCAGAGATATCCGCGCAAGTCGAGGCTGGCCTGGACGACGTCGCGCGTAGTGCCGGCCTCGGGCGACACGATGGATGCGGCGCGGCCAGCCACCAGGTTCATCATCGAGCTCTTGCCGGCGTTGGCCGGGCCCACGAGCGCGATGCGGATGCCCTGGCGCAGGAGGCTGCCGCGATCGGCCGCGGCCTCGTGTGTGGCCAGCGCCCGCAGCAATGTGCGCACGTGACCAGAGACACCGCCCAGCAGATCTGTGGGCGATTCGTCAAAGTGCTGGTCCTCGGCAAAGTCGATGAGCGCCTCGATCTCGGCGCGGGCGGCGAGCAGCTCACGTCGCCAGCCATCGTACGTCGCACCCAGCTGCCGGCCACCACTGCCACGCACTGCTGCCCGCCGCTGCTGCTCCGTCTCGGCATCCAGGGCGGCTCCCAGCGCCTCGACCTCCGCCAGATCCACGCGGTCGTGGAAGAAGGCCCGGCGCGTAAACTCGCCCGGCTCGGCATACCGAATGGCCGTCTGGCTGGTCGCTGGAATCGCCGACAGCACCGCTCGTACCGTGGCCGCACCGCCGTGCACGTGCAGCTCTAGCACGTCTTCGCCCGTCACCGTCTTCGGCCCCGGAAAGTACAACACGACGGCGTCCGTGTCGAGCACGTCGTCGCTGGCCTGCGGGCGGTACAGCGTCCGCACTGCGGCGTACCGTGGCTTCAGCTGCGCTGCTGTCGGACACAGCGCCCTGTAGACCTTTGTGTGCTTTTAGCTCCAGATACCTCCTCTTCACCCAATGCGCACCTACGCACTTGGAGACACGCCGGCCCCGATACCCGGATCACGGCTATGCCGGCCTTGCCAGGCGCCGAGGACAGCGCATAGATGGTCGACTGGTCTGCCGCCAGAGACGTCGCGGCCAGGTGCAGATGGCGCTGTCGCGCATCGCTCACGGCTGCCTTCCACCGGCTCGCTGCCAACAAAGACAGGCGACAGGCGGCGAAGCCGTGACTCGGCGGCTGTCGAAATGGCGCATGGCTTGTGGCCAGCAGGAAGGTCGTGTGCAGGGCGCGCCTCGGCATTGGCGGTGCCATGCAGGCGGATGGAGCGTTTCTTCGTTTGTTTCAGCACCACGAGGCTGTGTCTGGTGGCCGGTCGTTGGAAGAAGAGCTTGTACGAATTCGTATGGAGCCCATCGGTTGGCCGCCCTCTCTCGCTTAGTAACGACTCCAGGGGTTGCCCCTGCTTAGTGCGAAGAGGCTGGGGCAGGGCAGGTGGGGGCCGTCATGCCTGCGTCCGAGCTGTCTGTGCCTTCCTTCTGCGTGAAACGCTTGACCGCTGCCAATCTTCAGACTCGTAACCACAGATCCTCGCCTTCTTCTCTGCATCGCTCGCCAAACCGTCATCTGTCGAGAGAAAGGCAAGACCGCTGCCGAAGCTGACAGCAACCAACGCGCATTCTCATCTGGCATCCCTCCGCCTCCGCCTCTGCCTATTTCCTCTTTTCACTCCCCCCTCTCTCTCTCCCTCTCGCCATGTCCTCCTGGTATTCCAACATCCTCACCACCACCACTTCTCGCATCTCCAACCTCCGATCGCTCCTCGGCGGCGAGGCCGACGGCGACACCGAAGACGACACCCACGTCTGCCGCGTCCTGCGCGCCTACTACATTGAGACTGCCCGCAGTTTCCCCCAGTGGCTGCCCCCCGACCCAAAGGCTCCTCCGCCCGTCGTCGCCACACCGCCACCGGGATACGGCCAGCCACCCATCGGCTCGCGCTACGGCGCTGGCCTCGCTGCCAACGGCTCTACACCGGCCGGCGGCCTCAGCTCCCTCTGGGACAACAACAACAACGGCTCCGCCAGCGCGCCTCCGACTGCTTCCTTGCGCCAGCCCCGACTCAGCCCGGCTGCTGGCCAGGACCATTCCCTGAACTCTCGTCCGCTTCCCAGTCAGCGTCTCGGCAGCTACCAGAGCACCCAAAGCGCTCCTGCCAACACCGGCTCTGCCCAGGGCAAGCTGCGGAACCTCTTTGGCGGCGGTGCTGGCGCTTCTCCGGCCTCCAGCCGCACAAACAGCCCGGCCCCCATGCAAGGTGGCGGCGGCCTCGGTGGTCCTCCATCCCATGGCCAGAACGCTAGATACAACGCTGCTGGCTCCGCTGGCGGCAACGCTCCCTGGGCCAGCAACGACCACCAGGTTGGACAGCCCGGAGGCCGTCGGCGACCTGTTGGCACTGGCCTTCCCAGTGGCCCTCGGATGAGATGATCGGAGCAGAGAGAAGGTCGAGCCGCGGGCGACAGAAATCGACCAGATACAACGACCCGTCGAGAATCCTCTAGGCAGAGTGCAGCAGGCTGTCCTGCCTGGAAAACTAATTGCTATGGCTGCAGGCTTTGCAGGCGAGGAACAACACGATAGACAGACATGCACGGCCCCATATGTATCTTTGTCATATACCTTTTTTTCATTTGCCTCCTTTTCATTTGCCGTTGACCATGTTCATGCCAATCAATAATAAATGCAAGGCAGTAATTAAATAGCAAACTCACACGTGCGTGATCTAACATAACTCCATGAACGCCACCAGTCGCCTATACCCAAAATCCATCACCTGTGTCTCCTAGTTCTTCGTGTTTCCCCACAGTGTTTCCTGGCCCTTTGGCGCGTGAGGAACCACGTAGATTGCCCGGCTGAGCAGAGCCCTCAAATCCGGAGTGATAACACGCGTCGGGTTCTCGACTGCTTCCGGTATTGTGCTGGGCGTCTCCAGCGCCTTGCCCGTGTCTCGTGGTGGCAATACGTCGACAGGAGTTGGCCGTGTTGCAAACGAGGACATTTCTGTTCCTGACTCGCCCGTGTATTCTGCAGCCTGTACCGGAACTTTTGCGGCTGGGGCCGCTGAGCTAGAGGCCGGATTCGATGTCGAAGGCTCAGATGGCTTCAAGCGAGGGGCAGGGAAGTTGCCCTTCTTGTCCACCGCTTCCACCAGCCGCCGGAATCGCTGGAAGAGCATCTCGGCTCGGATCAGCGTTGGCTCCAGCTCGATGGTGCCCGAGAGTTCATTGACTAGCAAGATCGGTTAGTGTTGAGTACCATGTTAAACCCCGGGATTTGCCTGGCGCTTACCATATTTGAGAACCTCGTCAAAGTGCTGCAGGTGCGTCATGATCACGTCACGGTGCCGTTCCAGAATGGCCAGCGCGACAAAGAGATGAAAGCTACTGCTGAGATAGTCGGTCCATAGCGTCTCCCACAACCGCAGCACGTTCGGCCACTCGAACTCGCGCTTGTACCACACCAGCAGCATGCGGAAGAAAAAGAAAAAGTTGGTGCTGTCGGCCGCCTTCAGATGTTCATACAGCTTGGGGTCCATGAACTGCACCAGGTGGTCAAGCGCCAACAGCTGCGCCCGCATTCCCGACTGGTCGCGCAAGAAATTCCTCTCCATGCGGTCCATAAAGTGCTGGAAGGCCCAGAAGGCAATCGCATCGTCCTGCACCACGGCATAGATGGGCGCCAGCAGATCCGACATGCCCTGCACGTATCCCAGCTCGCGGTTGTATTCGTTGTACGTCAGGAGCAGGTCCTTCAGCTGTTCCAGATGCACGTTGGTCCCGGCCTCGGCGAATGGCGAATCCGGGTCTGGATGCGGAATGCTCTCGCCCGCGAAGATCGGTACATTGCGGTCGGTCCGGTGGACATCCTTCTCTAATCCACATGTCAGCCTCCGCATTTCCCTCGTTCCTCTGTCGTCTCAGCACTTACCAATCCTGACTCTCTGCTCTCTCCACCACTCGCCCTCTTCGCCTTGTCCGTCCATGTCGACAAGCCGCTCCCACCAGAGGCCCTTGAGCCGGACGTACTGGTCACGTAGGCTCGCAATCTCGGCCTTGCGCTCGTCCGCAGTGCTGTACCATTCATGCACACCCAGAAGGAACAGCCATGCCTCTTTGCGCACCCCGTCTTCCGGGTCGAGTCCACCGTGGAAGATGCGCTCCTTCACCTCGTCCGTCGTGATCGACAGACGGCCGGTTCGCCGGTCGAAGAACGTATTCCACTCCTTCAGCGTCACCGGCTTTCGTCGTTCCTCCAAGGCCAGGCCGCTGGAGCCATCGACCAGCTCAAACTCGCCTACGTCTGTGTCCTCTAGCTCCATCACCTCGTCGGCCGTCCATATCCGCTGGTGCCGGTCGCGATCGCTCTGCTCGGCCACGACCATCGCCCAGCGTGCGAGGTATATGCGTGCGCTGTCAAACTCCTCCTGCATCGTCTGCACCTCGGGATTGCGCAGCAGCCGCCGTACCTGTGGAGGCAGCCGCGGATCCTCCAAAACGTTTTGGGCCGCGTTGCGCGTGAAAGTGGTCACCTTGCTGAACTTTTCCATAATGTTCCAGCCGGCCTCCTTGACGAACTTGGTGAACGGATCCATGCCGGCATCGCGCGAGTGGCTGGTCCGCAGCCGTGACGACGGCCCCGCATCTTCACCAGACCCCCTGCCCATCCGTGGTCGTCGGCCGGAAGAGAAGCTGTCGCGCTGACCGATTGCCAACGGCGAGCTGGTCAGCTTTCCACTAAACGCTTCGCTGTCTTCCTTGGACGGCTCCACCAGATATATGTTGGGCTCGGCGCCGCTGCGCTCCATGTGCACGTAGCGGCGCAGCCAGCGCAACACCTCATCGCCACCCCAGAACGTCTCTCCATTCTCGCCGAACGGGTCGAACGACTCGCGGGTCCGCTTCCGTTTCTGGAGAATCGTTGATTGGCACTCATTGTCGTGGAAAAAAAGGGCGGGGAAGCTGTCGCCGGCCCGGCTGTTGATAATAACCGATCCAAACCACCAGCCGATACTGGGCGGCCGCACAAGGAGCGAGTACACCGCACTGACGGGTATGGCAAAGGCGTAGAACCCGACAGAGTCCCGGTGGGTCGTGATCGTCGGCGGTGGAGGCACAAGGTAGGTCTGCTTGGGGGGCGAATCGCCGTCGCAGAGGTCGACTTTGACGTACACGCTGGCAGCATCGCCGAGGGAAGACTCAGGCACCCAGGCCAGCAGGAGGTCCGAGGACAACGGTGTTTTGGAGTCTCGAGACGAGGACGAGCTTGGGCGGCCATCGTTGTGCGGCGACTTCTGTTCCAGCAATGCGATATATCCTGCAATGTTGTCTTTGGTGGAAGGGGTAGGGTGGATGTAGACCTGAGCTGCAATTAGAGACCGATCCTGCACGGATGCGACGGCAGGAAGAAGTCGGAAACATACCTTGCTCTTTGAGAAAAGAAGCTTCACACCCCGGCCTGTCTCGGATTGGGTGACAGTGTTGTAGCCTCCCTCCTCATCGTCGCTCATTGCGTAAAGGCTTCCGGTCAGGGAAGAGCTGCGTTGTCGGGGATGCGCGGCACTTATTGGCTGCGCAGTTGACGAGAAGGACGGAGTAGTGTCACGAGCAGCGGTAGGAGTCGTGGCAGCAGGAATAACAGTAGGCGTAGCAGCAGCGGCTTGAGGTGCGTTTGACGCTCGAATTGACGACGAGGTGATTCGTGTCATGGTGCACCAAATAGGTGTCTGAACAGGAGGGAAAGAGTTGCCGGTGGCAGTCGGAGGAAGTCCACACGCCTCGTCACTTCCAGCTAGGGATGTATGGAATGAGCCTCGAAGAAAGAAGGAGGCAGGGCGGCTGGACGGTGGGAAACCCGCAAGCAGAGAGGGAGCGAAGAAGGGCAGCTGACTGATATAAAGAGCGAGCAAGTGGCGTTCCTTCCCAATCCGCCGTTTGCCGCCCCACCACCCTTGCAGCAAGGACTGGGGAATCCAGCCGGCTGTGATAAGGCTTCCCCTCAGGCTTCTGCCACTAAGCTACAGCACATAGCCACTGTCGTCATCGACCTTACGAGGCTCCCTCCCATCCGTCTAGGCTGCCATATAAAACCGGGCAAACACTGCCAGACGCTTCCATCCAATTGGTCTGTCTGTTCTTCGTTTATCTAGTCCGGTTTCCAGCCGCTTCCGTCATTGGTCTTCATTCTCTTCCGCTGTTACGCCTTTCCATTATGTCGTTAGTTATATGCAGCGACACAATCTGGCCCCGGTGATCGCCAGCGATGCACGACCTCGTCTCTCTACAATTCATCCTTGGCATGGCCGCCATTGCCACTCAGATCTGGCATGGTCATGATCTTCACAACAAGACTCGTCCAGCCGGTAAAGTGCTGCGTGCGCTGGCCCTTGCCCGTCTCGGGATTGTACTGCTCCCACGCGAAGCCGGTCTCTTCCCAGCTCTTGTAGACAGTGTCCACCAGGTTCCGTCGCAGCCGGCTGTAGAGGTCGAGTGCCTGCGCCCGGAACGGGCCCTGCTGAGTCGCCAAATCCTAATGGGGTTCCTGGTCAGCTCTCTCTTCTGTGCTGTGGATGGGGGGGGGGGGCTAATGAGGGACATACATGCAGTCGCACAACGGCCATGTAGTTGATGTTCATCCAAACCGGGCTGCGCCAGTAGTTCTCGGCGGTCCCGTACAGCGGATCCTTCTTGCTCAAGCTGCGGATTCCATGTGGGCTAAACAGCTCATCCTTGTCGCCCAGCAGCGTCAGCAGCCGGCCCACCTTTGGGTTGCTAGGTTCCAACAGGCCGACCAGCAGGGGGAACAGCGAGATGTAGCCGCGGTGGCACACCAGCTTGTTTTCCTCAAAGTCGTCGATCGTCGCGTCGCAATAGCAGCCTTCCTCCTCAGACCAGTGCAGGTCGTCCACATTGTGCGCAATGGCCTCGCGGATCGTCTTGAGCGAGCTGACCTCCTCGGCCAGGCCTAGCAGGTCGGCCACGTTGACTAGCGACTGCGTCATCATGCCCATCCACGCCATCAGATCGACGTGCAGCTCGCCCGGGTGCGGCGGCTGCGGCCGCGGGTAATCGTCCAGGCCGCTCGTCAGCACGTGGGCCTCAGTTCGGCCGCGCCACCGGTAAGCCTCGCGCGATGAGAAAGCCTCGCGGTCGTACGACCGGATGTCGCCAAACTGCGTCCGCCGGAACCAGTCAAACTGCCGCCTCAGACGCGGGTACAGGTTGCGCAGGTACTCCAGTCCAACCTCGGGATTCTCGAGATGTGCGCTGGCCAGGAAGGCCGAGTCTTGCGACAGGCGCTCGCCTTTTTCTGCCGGTGGAACCACGCTGCCATTGGCCACCTTGCGCAGCTGCTCGACAAAGGTGTTGACGATGAAAAAGAGCGTCGGTGGGTTGGCGTAATGCGGATACTGTACCTGGAATTCGGTCGGGACCTTGCTGCGGGCCTCGGCCCCCAAAATTTGCTCGCGTGCGATCCAGCCATCCTCGTCCATGAGGTTGAACCAGCTCTTGACAACCTCCAGCGTCAGGTCCATGTCCCAGTCGGCAATGGGGAGCAAGTGGAATCCCTCGTCCCACAGAAATCCGCGCGGGAAAAATGGCCGCGATGGCACGCTCGTGAACAGCTCGTACGGTCCGTCCAGGCTCTGTCGGTGACGAGCACGCGCCTCGGCTGCCTCCTCCCAGAAGCCTTCGTTCTCCTCTTCGTACTCAGGGGCGTACGAGCGGTCGGCAACTGCGTGGCCATAGAAGTAGCCGATGCCGCCGATCAGGTTCGAGAACATGCTCCGGGCGAACTTCTTGTACTTATCCGCCGTGAAGGGCTGCTGGAGTTCAAAGGACGACGAGAATCGCTCATTGAACGCCTCGCTCGTCATTTGGATCTCTCGGGTCACATCGTCGCTCGTAAGCTCCTTGCCAGCAGATCCGCTCGAGAAGAGGAGATCGAATTCAAAGGAGCCGTCAAAAATCTTCTGCACCAGGTGCACGTTGCCCTGGCCGGGCAGGTTCTGCATCTGGTAGACCTGCCACGGCGGCGGCGGGTCGGTGGGATCGAACTTTTCGATCACCTTGTCGACGCTCATCTTGATCTGCTGCATCACCACGGCCTTGGCCTGCCACATGTGCTCTTCTGACACCGTCAATGACTGCACCGTGGTCTTTTCAAGGTCACGCTCTTCCGAGAACACATGGTCGCTCTTCGGATGCTCGCCTTTGCCTTTAGTCACCACCAGCTTGAAGTCGCCCAGCCGGTCTGCTTTTCCTTTCAGGGTGACATCGCCGCTAAAACCCATGGCTGTGTCTTCCTCTAGAGGTACCACCGGCTCGAGATAAGCCCCCTCCCCTTCTTGGGAAAGGAAGAAGATCACCGTGGTCTTGGCATCTGGGTTTTCCTCCCGTGGCTCGCCCTTGATCCGCACAGCCCAGCTTCCACCGTTGTCGCCACCAGGCACCTTTACAAATGACGTGGTAATATCAATGCCATTGCCTGAATCGTGAATAGTCTGAATACCACCCCGTCGTGCATCGTACTCATCCCAGCCGTAGCCGGCCATGCCCTCGTTCTGTTCGCATGTATACCGGAAGGCTATAACGACATTAGCCTTTTGCTATTCAATCTGTAGCCCCAGAAATCAAGTGTTCACGCACTATTCTGTACTTCTGTGTAAGAGTCGACTCTCGCCCATACAAGGCCGGCCATTAAGCTCTTGGGTATCCGAGGACGGACGCCAAAGTAGAGGTTCGGTCGGTAGGGGCCCCATAGCAAACTTTGATTGTTGGCGCGGCCGATCTCTGCGTGGAGCAGAGGCTCGTCTGCATCTTGAGCCACGCAGCCGGATGAAAACAGGCTCGCCGAGGCGAGCGAGAGGGAGAGCGCCCAATGGCGAAGGGACGCCATGGCCGGAGGGCTCGTCAGTCGGCAATCAACCTGGTCAGCAGCAGACAGCTATCGTTGGGCGAGAGGGCGGGTTTCACAAAAACGTGCCGGTGTTGTTGTGTGCTGGAGATTCCAGAGGGCTCTGGTGGCTTGAAGCTCAAAGCTCCAGCTAGTCTCGAAGTGAACACGTTGAGGGGACGTCCCTGTAGAGCGTTGACGTGCGTTGGGCCTAGACAGCCGTTCTAGCGCTGGCAGGTACGGCTGTGGATTAACAGCGCTTGCTCACCGCCCGCTATTGCACGGCATTATCCTAAGCGGGGCACTTGTCTAATAAACTTTTTTTTTTCATCGCTGGTCGCCCCAACTCAGCAGATATCTAGACTTGGCCGCAGTTCGGGACAGCACGCCTCGTTCAACCCAGATCGAATCTCTCTCTCTCGCATATACGCTTCATACTACGGTGCCAACGATTGCTTTTAATTTTAGACGAAGCGACCGCATTTACAAATCATAATTATGGCGGAACCAATGGACGTCGTCAAGGCGGAGGAGCAGTTCAAGACGATGGAGCACTCTGAGCAGCATTACTTTAACAGGTAAGAGGGGGCGCGCTGGCTTGTTCCGGAGTGCTTTTGGATATCCATGGACCTCTTATTATCTTCTTCAATCTGCTAATACTGCCTGTACAGCTACAACCACCATGGTATGTCGTCCTTCCGCATTCGTTGATACCCAAGTGCGCCCGAAAAGAGTCGATCAGAAGTGAAGAGGCAGGCTCGAAGGGACTACTGAGAGTGGCCAGAGGAAATCACCCTGCCAATTCAAACCAAGGATGATGCTACTTGTGGCCAGGCGGCGATCCAAGTCGAGGGGACTTACCCCGCCAAGCGGCGCAAGAAATAAGACGAGGCTGTCATGGAAATAGCACGATTTACTGACCTTCTTCGCGTGTAGGCATTCACGAGGAGATGTTGAAGGACGAGGTTCGGACAAGGTCGTACATGAACGCTATTGTCCAGAACAAGCATCTGTTCAAGGACAAGGTCGTTCTTGATGTCGGTTGCGGCACGGCCATCCTGTCGATGTGAGTTTGACGGCCGACGGAGCCAACACATTGGCGAACGAGCCTTGCTGACTCGCATGTTCTCCAGGTTCGCTGTCAAGGCTGGCGCAAAGCACGTTATTGGCGTGGACATGTCTACGATCATCTTCAAGGCACGGGAGATTGTCAAGGTCAACGGCATGTCGGACAAGATTACGCTGATCCAGGGCAAGATGGAGGAGGTCAAGCTGCCGTTCGACAAGGTTGACATTATCATCTCGGAGTGGATGGGCTACTTCCTTCTGTACGAGAGCATGCTGGACACGGTGCTATACGCCCGCGACCGGTACCTGAACCCGGACGGTCTCATCTTCCCGGACAAGGCGACGATCTTTGTGGCTGGCATCGAGGACGGCGAGTACAAGGACGAGAAGATTGGCTGTAAGTGTGGCCGGCGTGTCTGGTGTTGGTATCGTAATGTGTGGCTAACATGCTATAGTCTGGGACAACGTGTACGGGTTTGACTACAAGCCGCTCAAGGAGACGGCTCTGTCGGAGCCGCTGGTCGACACGGTGGAGCTCAAGGCGGTGGTGACGGACCCGACGCCGGTGCTGACGCTGGACCTGTACAAGTGCAAGACGGAGGACCTGGCGTTTAGCGTGCCGTTTGGTCTGCACTGCAAGCGGGACGACTTTATCCACGCGCTGGTGGCGTGGTTCGACATTGAGTTTTCGGCCTGCCACAAGCCGGTGCGGTTCTCGACGGGTCCGCACACCAAGTACACGCACTGGAAGCAGACGGTGTTTTACCTGAAGGACACGCTGGCGGTGCAGCAGGGCGAGGAGGTGCAGTGCTCGCTGAGCAACCGGCCGAACGACAAGAACCGTCGCGACCTGGACATCAAGATCGAGTACAAGCTGGAGACGACGGACGTGACACGGGCGGCACAGGGCGAGTGCTCATACAAGATGTGCTAGTACATTGCTTGGCCAGGCAGTGGGATCTTGTAGAACGTGTTATACTTTGTTTTATCTCTCGGGTTTTGGATCGAGGTGTTTTTAGTGTAAAGGAATGGACTCTATAGATGCATATTCTGTGTTTATTCATTTTTAAAAAAGCCAGACTAGTGTAGTTTTCGTAAAAGTGCACGTGACGTCCTAATATAGTAAATGCCGTTGTGTCTTGCAAGGAGACCAGGCATGGACCAGGACGCAAGAATACAGCATTGCAAGACACCCGGTAACATCTGCGCCACAGCATCGGCATTTTGGCTTGTTCTTTCTTTGGTGGTATCCGTTTTGGAGGTACACTGGTAGTCAAACAGGACTGCATAGCCTGTTGCCAGGGGCTTGCTGTGTTTGTTTACTTTTCGCCATTCTGGGCGGGAGAAAGTGGTGATGGTTGCAGACGAGGGTGCCAACCCTCTCTTCCTCGGCTGGGTGAAGGAGTGGTGGGACCTGGCCAAGGAGAGAAACACAAAAGGTGTGCTCGCATACAGAACTGCGCACGAATCGTTGAGGGTCTGCCCACTGCGGTTTCAGCACCCGAATGAGCTCATGGCACTGCGAGGATTCGGGCCTAAGATGTGCAGCCGGCTGACAGAAAAGCTGGCATTGCACTGCACGGAAAACGGATTGCCGATGCCGAAGAAACGGTCAGCAGCTCGAGTGTCGAGAAGCGGAGTCAGCAGGGCAGAGACAGGCGAAGACGGAGCAGCAGCAGCAGCAGCAGCAGCTGAAGGACGTCAAACAGCGAGAGCGGCAACAAACACAGGAACAGGGACGAGAAAACGAAAGTCGTACGTGCCTGTACTGCGACAGGGCGGCTATGCCATCATTATGGCGCTGTCGTCGCCCGAGGCGGACGGACGACAGTGGATGGGGAAGCAGGAGGTGATTGAGCTGGCACAACCGCACTGCGACACTTCTTTCACGGTGAAGCCACCGGGCAAGTTCTACACGGCGTGGGACTCGATCAAAACTCTGCTGAACAACGACCTGGTGATGGAGCGCGGGCGGCCATCGCGGCGGTACGCGCTGACAGAAGAGGGCTGGGAGATCGCCCAGCGATTCCGGCAGGTGATTGGAGGGGAGGCAGGAGACGGAGGAGCAGCGAGAGGAAGGGGACAGGACGTGGGACCGATCGACGTTGACGGCCAGCAGACGACAGACGGTAGAGGACGGCCGCGGCCGATCAGCGAGCTGGTGCCAGACGGCGATGATGATGGCAGTGGCAACGGCAGCAGCAACGGCAGCGGCCTGGACGGGCTGCCGACCATGGAACCGATCGAGCTGCCGGCCGGGTCATTCACGGTACAGCTGGTGTTGGACACGCGTGAGCGCGTCAGTGGACAGCGCACGTACATGGAGGATGAGCTGGCGAAGCTGGGAACGCGGCCATCGGTGCGGGCGCTCTCGCTGGGGGACGCGCTCTGGGTGGCCAAGTGCCACGACGCACAGCAGCTCAGCCGCAGCGGGGCCGAAGGCGATGAGGTGGTGTTGGACTGGCTCATCGAGCGCAAGCGACAGGACGATCTGGTCAGCAGCATTCGCGACGGTCGGTTCCACGAGCAAAAGTTCCGGCAGCGTCGCTGCGGCCTGCGCAACGTCGTCTATGTGGTTGAGGACGGTGGCCTGGACGCGGACGGGCTGCACCGTCACGAAGAGGCCATGCGCTCGGCCGTGGCTGCCACTCAGCTCGTTCACGGCTGCTTCGTCAAGCGCACGCGCTCCGTCGACGACACCATCGCCTATCTGGCCCGCCTGACGCGTGTGCTGCAGCGCCGCTATTCCGGCCGGTCACTGCGCGTGATTCCAACCAGCTCGCTCACGGCGCGGAACTACCTGCCACTGCTGCGACAGCTGCGAAACGAAGAGCAGGCGCAGACAGCATCCATATCACGTGACGTCGAGTACTGCGTCACATATCCGGCATTTGCGTCGCTAACGTCCAAGTCCGAGTCGCTGACGCTGCGCGACGTCTACCTCAAGATGCTCATGTGTACGCGCGGCGTGACGGCCGAGCGGGCGCTCGAGGTGCAGAAGCGGTGGCGCACACCACGGGCGTTCGTGCAGGCGTACGAGCAGCTGGCTGGCGATGGCAACGATGTTGTTGCAGCCGGTCGAAAGCGGGCTATGGTGTCGGACCGGCTCGGCGGACTTGCAGGGAACAAGAGACGGGTGACAAAGGCCATCTCGGAGAAGCTGGCTGAAGCATGGGCGGACGTGGGAGCATTGGGATAAAGGACTGGCATGGGATGCATATTAGTCAGCATGGAATGGTTGGTTCAATATGGTACTTGCTTTCAGAAATTGTTTATCTCGGTTCAACGCAGTTTCGGCATTTTTGTACATTGTCTGCTGCTGTTTCTTCGTTCTCCCTCCACCCCGTCCTACGTCTTCGCCGCGTCCAGGGCGCTCTCAATCTTGCGCTGTACCAGGGATTCAATGCCCGAGCCGCCGACGAGGCTGTCGATGTAGACCGAAATATTCTTCTGGGCGTACTTGGAGAGGACGTCGACCTCGATGTTGACAGAGTCGCCCTCGCGCTTGGCCGCCAGCGCAACGCGCGACTGCGTGTATGTGATGAGCATAACCTCGAGCCAGCCGGCGGCATCGTCGACGGCAGTGACGGTGAGCGAGGTGCCGTCGATGGCGATGAAGCCCTTGTAGACGATGTGCTGCAGGGCGGCGCGATCGCGCAGCGAAAATCGCATCGTCTGGGCGTTGCCGTCGGGCGCCACGCGCGTGATCTGGGCCACCGTGTCGACATGGCCCTGCACAAAGTGGCCGCCCATGCGCGTGTCCGCTCGGACAGCCCGCTCGAGATTCACGCGGCCTCCAACAGCCAGATCGCCCAGATTGGTCACCCGCAACGTCTCCGGCGCCACGCCCACCACAAAGGCCGTCCGGCCTGCCACCAGCTCCGTCACCGTCAGGCAGCAGCCGTTGATCGCAATGCTGTCGCCCAGGTGCGCATCCGACAGCAGCTCCGATCCCGCCGGCAGCGCAATCGTCAGCGACGTGCCCCCCGTCTCGTCTTGCCGGTTCAACACGCTGACCTCTGTTCCGGGGACGTTCTGTCAGACTCGCTCACTCTTCCCGTCGCCCCCCCCTCTGCACTCACCTCCAATCTCTTCTACTAATCCCGTGAACATCGTGCCGCTTCTCTGTACAGGAAAGGGAGTACCGGATGGCGGATGGACAGTTCGGTGAAGCGGGGCTTTGCGATTATCACGCGCTGAGCGGCGGGCGGCCCGGATTAGGTAATCCCCACTTCGAGTACGTAAGCTTGCGGAGTCCATACATTAATACGGATTGTCAAATTCTCCCACGCATCTATGCATATACACGAAACACTCTTCTCAGCTTTGGCAAGTTCACCCTCAACTTCTGTCTCCCTACTTTTTCTCCTCTCAACCCACCAAACTCCCCCGTGGAAGCAGTCCCCAGCTACCGCCGCAGCTGCACTTACGCTGCTGCGACAGCACAAACGTGTATCCGGGCTTGTGTCCCGAGAGGTCCTCCATCACGGCCGTGCACCGCGCACATCGCCGCCACAGACCCGTTGGGCCATGCATGCCCATTGGCGGCATCAGCTCGCTTGTCCCGCCGCCGTCGAGCCGTGGCGGACCGGCCAGCTCGACGCGCTTGAACACGTCAATGTAGCAGTGCCGCGCCCGCTTCGCCTGCAGTGCCCGCACGTCGTCTTCAACCTCGAGGATGCTGTAGTTGGCAAAGTACAGCTTCGCTGGATCTGTCATCGCCCGGAACGCCCGCACGTTCTCGCTAAAGAACTTTTTCAGCATCGGCTGGAATGACTGCGGCGGATTGTTCGCCAGCAGCAGCGCCAGCTCGCAGTGTGCCTGCAGCCGCTTCATGTTCGCGTCCTGCTGCACCTGCACCTGTCCCTGTCCCTGTCCTTGTCCCTGTCCCTGTCCCTGGGCCTGGGCCTGGGCCTGGGCCTGTCCCATCGTTCGCGACTGATACGTCTGCCGGATGTCCTCGCCCAGGCCCATCAGCAACTTGTCAAACTCGGTCACCTTGACCAGGCTGGACGATGTGTACTGCTGCATCTTCTGGTAGGCCAGGCTCAGTGGCACGAGCACCGGCCTGGTTGCATGCTCTGTCCCGTTTCCGCTCGCTGCCATTTGGCTCTGCAGCTCGTAATACTGTGTCGCCTTGGTCGATACCGCGTCCAGGTGCACGAGTCGTCGACAGGCCGCCGACAGGAACCCCCGCGTCGACGAGCAGAGCAGCAGATGTAGCGCCACCTCATTCTTTTCCTGCAGGTATGCCGTCATCTCCTGGAAGCTCGAAGTTGAGAGCATCTGCATGAACTTGGCGTCGTCTAGGAGATTGAAGATGCAATCGGCAATGTAGGCCAGCAGATCCAGCGCCCATTTCGCACAGCCAGCCAGCGCGTCCACAACCTCTGCATCCACTGTTAGCCTCCCTTTATTTTCCTCTCCTCTTCTCCCATTCACACTCACCAGGCTCGTCGAGGGGGTTGAGCTTCTCCTTGAATGTGCTTGGAGTGTTACTCGCAATCGTGATCAAAATCACAATATTCCGCACGTTCAGCGACAGCATCGCAAACTTGCCACAGAACGTCCTGGGCTGGTATTCTCCTCGGAACCCCATATGGTTTAGTATGCTGAGGCACAGCTGCAACGAGTGGTTTCTCATCAGCTGGTCATGGTGCGACTCTTCTGAATAATCCACGTTGATCTTGAGCATCCGCACAACATCCACCATCCAGTCATAAGCAAATCCTGCATTCCGCGTTAGCACCCACAACACCAGCCACATGCCGTGTAGACGTACTTGGCTTGTCGACAAACTGGCGCGCCGTAGCCAGCACATCGTCGTAAGACATTTGGTTGAGCGACGCCGTCGACACGGCTATCGTCAGACCTGCAACAACCGCCGCGTACTCGGCTGTCCATTGCGTTAGCTTACTCTGTGTCGTCCGGACTGCCTATAACTTCCAAACCTACCATCCTTATGGCCGGGGCCAAGATCTGGCCCGACGTGCTTCAGGCTGTTCCACTTCACCTTGCCATCCTCGCACACCTGGGAAAAGGAGCAGTTGGTTGGAGAAAAGGCAACCGCCACACCTGTTCACCCCACGTGTTAGCACGATCGACCGCATCGAGATACACCCACAGCGGCTTGACGTACATGGAGTGGGGTTCGCGAACTGGAAGTTCGCCTGGCTCAATGTCATGATTCTGGACAGGTTCGTCTCGTTGTAGATTTCTTCCATCGTCAACCGGTCTCGGTACTGGACCGTGCCGTCACTAAAGGCAATGCAGATCACTTTTCCCAGCTGCATCATGTGAATGGAAATGATAACCTTGTCCAGAACGATCGGCTCCAGTTTCCGTAGTCGTGTGATGGGCTGCAAAAAAAAGTCAGATTCACAGGTCCCCGTCGGAAGCGCCCGCTGGGGTCATTATGCCTTACCTGCGTAGTTCCAGACGGCGGTGCTTTGGTTCCCACCTGCTCAAAAGCAACATGAAGGGCCTGTGCTGGCGAGTCCACCACCAACTCCCACCGGTCGATAATACTCTGGACCTGCTCATGGAACGGCGAAGTCATCGACGGCAGATACGAACGCACAGTGAGCACGAGTGGTGGAGCAAAGGAGTTCGACGAAACCAAGGCAGATGGCAATATCTCCAAGTGAGATATCTGGTCGGAGGAGATGTCTACCTGGGACTCGCCTGCCCCATGCTGAAGCCAAGTCGTAACGGCCGCAGACCTATGTTGCATGGTGGGGTTGAGAGGAATGCTCTGAGGCGGGACCTGCTTGTCCTGATGTGATGACGCCCAGTGAATAGCCGCCCGCACAACCTTGAGTTGTCTGGATGCGGTCACCAGAGCGATCAGCAACATGCCTCCTGCGAACGGTCAGCACAGAATCGCATGGCAAGCATTGGAACAGCTGTCGCGCACCCTTTTCGGAGCATATAGAGGCATGCGTGGCCAGATCGTCTGAGGAGGTGGCGCTCTCGAGCTCGAGGCTGGTGTCTTGAACCTTGTTATTGTTCTGCGAGAAGAACAGCTTCAGCACGCAGCTGGTTGTCACGCACAACAGCGCGCTCTTAGCCGGGTTGGGATGATAAGGTCCAAAGGCTGGGACAAACGTGCTGTCATAGCGGTAGCCATTCTCATCCCGTATCGCCGGACCGTGCGTGACATTATACTAGAGCATCGTCAGTTGCGGCGTTTCCAAGAACCGAAACCCGACCCAAACATCACTCAATCCTACCTGCTTTGTTTCTGCGGGATGAGCGGCAGCCAGTAGGTGCCGACGATGGCGTGCAGGTCGTCGATCGGATCGTCGTCCCACTGCCGCAGCGAGTACGGCCGGTTCAAGGTCATAGAAAACGTGAGGATGCTGACACGGCCGGCAGCATCGATCACGGCAAGCTCGGGACTGCCGGTAGCAGCCCAGGCCAGGTGGACGACAGGGCCGCCAGAAAACTGAGGACTCGTCCCGAACTGCGAGCACGGCGTGGGCTCGCTCAGGCCCCAGGAGCCGTCCAGAGGATTTGTCCGCAGGTACCTCAGCTCGATTGCCTGGCCGTCAGGGGCAATCGAGGCAATCGTGCCTTGCCGCGACCACGCAATCTTCCTAGAAATAGTCAACAAGCTGGACATGGAAGCGCGGCTGGGCTACGGACGAGGACTTACTGGCAGCACCCGTTTATGCGCATCTCGTCGACCCTCTTCCGCAGCTGCTTCGTCGGTGGAGCATGTGTCGGCATGGAGAGGTCGACAACCGGGTCTCCAAACAGCTCGACGTCTTCGACCTCGAGATCCACCGGCATCGAGGCCGCCATGCCTCCCATGGCGCCGTCCAGCATCAGCGGAATGGAGTCAGTCGCCATTTCAACGTATTCCGATTAGCGAGATCGTTGTGCGCTTTGATGAAACCGAGACAGCCTGTGGATGCAGCAACAGCCACTTATGAGGTTCAGCTATAGAAGTCGTTAAGAAACCGCGCCCTAGAGACTGAACTGGAGCTGCTCCAGAGACCGCTCTGTAGAGGTATCTCCGCTCAGATTCGTGGGTCTTACTACAGACGTAAGCACATATCGATAAACCGGGGCTGCAGTCTCATCTACGTTGTGAGTCCGTTATGCACCACCGTAACTAGCTGTCATCAGCTACAAGACGAGAGGCGCGAAGTGAGAGGTGAGATTCTGAAACTACTTCTGTGGCTGAAGCATACGCCACAGACGACAATATCCTCCCGATGTGGGGTTCCAGACCCACCTACTTTTCGCCCTGTGTTGCCTGAGAGACAGGCTTAGATGCGGGGCCTTTAGGTACCCCTGACACAATCAAACTCAATGGCTCTCTTGCAAGTCGGGTTTCACAGGCGATGATATACCCTGTAATTCAGTAGATCTATAGTGTAAACGCGCCATACAGGCGCTTTGGTATCTTCACAGCCAAGTGCCACTCCCTTCAACTCCCTTTCTCGTCTTGGATGAGCAAGATATTATGCTGCCACCTTGGTATGTAAACATGCATCTTACCATCCATAATCACGCCGTACAAAACATATTACGACAACTCCGTTGGTCGGGGCCCGACAAGAGATTTCTTCGAAGGATATACACACGCCCCAGCAACAAAACAATATATATGAAGATTGGGGGCATCAGTGCGCAGCCACAGTGGCGCGATCGCTCAATCAATGAACTGCGCCATGCCATGAGGTTTGGATTTCGGCGAGATTGTCAGCCCTGCCGTTTGTAGTTCAGTTGGCGATGTCGGCCGGGAAACCGTTGGGGCGTCCGGCGCCACCACACAGCCAAGGCCATCCCACTTCACATGGTTGATGTCGTCATCTTGTTGCTTTGGCTTGCCAATAGGAAGAGGTTTCCGTGTTTTAAAAAGCAGGGTGCTGTCCGAGGTGTTCTTCGTCTTCCGGAAGTTTGTCGCGATGTTGATTTTGGAGGGTTTGGCGTCTTTCTTGCCCTTTGGTTGCCGTTGTTTCTTCGGCGGCTTGGCCGAAGAGCTGAGCCCTCCTTTCCTTTTTGCCAAAGACTCCACAGCGGGTTTCGTATCCTCTTTCGACTCGACCCCCTTTGTTGCCATCAACCCATTGTCTGACTTCCTGATCTGTTGAAACGGTAGCTGGCTTTGTTGTGCCGAGCTGGCTTTCCGTTGCTCTGGAAGCCGTTTTCTTGCTGGCTTCGGGCTCGGGATCGGAGTCGGGATGGACTCAATAGGTGACGAAGTGTGTGCCTTCTTTGCCTTCTCTTCTGCCGCGCTTTCTTCCACTTTGATGCCGTTCACTATTTGGTTGCCGAGAATGTTCTGGGACTTCTTAAGTGGTGATGACTCTAGAACAACCTCCAGCTTGCTGTCAGCATGGGTTTCATAGCCAGCAAGCAGCCATTTGCTGGGACTGCCAATATCGTCGGGCTGGTCCCACGGCCGCAGGTTCGCGAGACGGGCAATGTCGTCGCAACTGCCACGCACAATAGTGTCCCAGCATTCCTTGAACTCGGCACCCTGAGGCTCGTTGTCGACATTGATCCAAGCCGTCATTCCGTCACGGCGACTTCGGGTGACTTGACACAGCTCTTTGACAAGGCGCCGTACACCGGGGATTTTGAGGCTGGTACCGACAACAATCACCGCATCGGGACCACGACGCAGATCGGCCCTGGACACGTTGCCGATGGCCTCCTCGTCTGGGTTGTACTCGTTGTATAAAACGATACGTGGTCGGAGGCGACCAATGCCGTGGCTGCGTTTCCCGGCGAACGACGTGCGCAGCTTGTCTATTTCGGCACACTCGTCGCACTCCGGCGGTTCAGGACCGTCGAAACGAGAGCCATCAAACGACTCGAGATTGCCACACTTGGAGCACACCATCTTCTCTAAACCGCCGTGCAGCTGGATGGTGACTGGCCAAGGACCTTTCGAATTCAGTGGGACTGTGGTGCTCAGAGGCTTCAAAGCCGTGTCGATGCCGTCGATATTTTGTGAGTACAGACGCATCAATCGGCCCTCAGTAGCAATAGAGGCCAGCATGTGGTGGAAAGATGTCGGACGGGCCTTTTGGGTCAGATGGGCGAGTTCGCGAACCATGGCGTGGAAGGAAGAGGTAGAAGCGTCATGCTTGTAAACGGAAGCGTCAAACAGGTGTTTTCCAGAGGCTCGGATGCCATGTTGTTCTCGCAGAGTTGTGAAAAGGCCAGTAGATGACCGAAAGTCAGGAACTAGAGCAAAATTGTGTTAGCACAGGAAAAGGTGAGCTGCCCAGCCCAGGCGGGAGAGTCAGAGAGACGCACTTCCGGCAGAAACGGAGATTCCAGCTCCGGCAATGACAACAATCTTCTTCTTCTTCTGAAGAGCCTGGATAAGATGGCTCAATTCCTCTTCAGATTCTGGCGTAGGGTTTGCTAGATCGACATGGCGTGTCATTCGCGGCCGGGGTGTCTGTACACGTCTTCTCTTGGCCGGGGGGGGGCTATCACCACGTCTGTGGGGGTCCCTAGGCGCGTCGTAGTGATGTGTCTTCCGTGGTGTTGTGCAGCCGGACTGAGAGGTCATGCTGGGTGAAGGATACCGCGTTGGAGGATCGGGGGAAGACCGTACGGGCGACGAAGGCGGCGACGGGGTGCGAGAGAGGTCAGTCAACGGAGACGACGGCAGAGTTGACGAGGGCTCGTAGGGGGACGCCGCGGATAGAAGGAGGTCGTCCATCGAGAGCAACAGGCCAAAGAGAGCATGCGAGAGAGCGAATAGAAAGAAGGACGAGAGTTGAAGGTGAGAAAAACGAGAGTAAGGGGACCGAATTGTCGGGCCGAAAACGTGTGGAATCCCGAAAACAAAGGAGCGAAAGGAGGGAGAAAAACCGGGCCAGGCTTGGTTATGTCATGACTTGGCTGTCGAGCTCAGCTGCGTTGCGGTGTGGTGGCTCTGCAGCGGTAGTTGTTTTTGCTCCAAGTTCAAGGTGCAATTGAGATTTGCTCTGTTGCAGAGCGGTTGCGGCAACAGCGGCCGGCGGGGCCAATACTCCGTCTGGCCATAGGACAACAAACAAACACAAATCTGGCATGGCGGCTGCAAAACATCAGGGCGACGGGCGGAAATTGGCACAGCAGAAGGCGCTAGCCGCCCTGACCCACACTTCGTCCAATTTACGTCAGCAGCCTTCCTTCTTCCAAACTCGCGGGTCAAAGCCAACATCCACTTTGTTGCACTACCTTAGGTATACAATTCCGATGCGGATGCGGCACATAAAGTGAAGCAAGAGAATACATAAATTATTGATGATTGTTTTGCATAATTATATTGAATAGTCTATAAAAACACTTTGAAAAAGCCATCGGGGCTCCTTAGATAAAGGGACACGTTCAAAAGTCTGGAAAACGCAACATTAGTGTATGTCAGCAGAAAGATTTAGCTAGGTTGGAAATATCTTGCCTGCGGTTTCTTCACTTTGGAGCTGCTTTAGTACAAGCTTCAGCTAATGTGTAAGCTACTATCAGCAATCTTCGATTATTAACACGACTCCTGCTAGTGAAGCGGTAACACTTCCAAAGTCACCAGAAATCCCGTTTCGTAGTCCGAAAGGGGCGGAAGAATTGGGCCCGAACTCACCCGAACATACCTCGTCGATCAGAGATTTCGCTTACACTGAGCGCTGGAAGTGCCGTGCAACAACTTTATCATGCAAAAATCTTGTCTTCCATAGCGACAGACAGTACGCTATTAGTGAACATGAGTCTCGGGTAGGCACATCACAGCACCCGGGCACCAGCCACCACGAGGGCTAGCGTAGCATCAAGATGACCATTTTTGAGGGCAAGTTCAAAAGGGGTATCGCAGTCCCTAGAACAGTTGAGACTGCCATCTGGATTGGCGCCGCGCTCCAATAACAGGTGTACAATATCAGCGTGGCCATATTCGGCAGCCACATAAATAGGCAGCCTACTCCAATCCCGGCTCAAATAAAAATTATCATTTATGGGGGGTTCATTGACTGGTACATTCGTTCGGAGCAATGCGCCTACCATCAAGATGTTTCGACGCTTGATGCTCAAATTCAGCAGCACTGCAGTAGAATCGAACTTCTCGCGGGAAAGCGCTGCTGCTGCACCGGCTGCAAGCAGTCTTTGTACAGTCCGGTCATTGTTAGACTTGACGGCTAATTGAAGGACATCTCTATCCTTGTAGCGGCGATTGGCCTCGATGTACGAATCAGCTCCGTACTTGAGGAGCAGCTCCACGATGGTGTCATTGTTACTCGCCACGGCTGCCTCCAAGGCTGTGTGCCATCGACCCTGGCCAATGTTGTCATTTGCTCCCGCCACAAGCAACTGATGAACGATTTTGTTGTGGCCTAAGCGCGCAGCTGCTTTCAGTGCTGTGCCATCGTAGTACCCGGTGGCATTGATACCGACTCCGTGGGACAGTAAGAGACGAATCGGATCTAGCTGCCCAGCTAAGGCGGCCATCTGGAGCACAAGGCCGTACCGAAGATCGTGAGCCTCTTCTTGTGGGAATTTAAAAAGCAACAGCATCAGAACAACCCCCGGACCATTTTCGAAGACGTAGTCCAAGGATGTGTTGAACAGGAAGCGGCCGTCGGGCACTTCAATCTTGTCAAAGAATGGCATTTGAGATGGGTTGCTTACAAAAAGCCCGAGCACACCACCGAGAAGTCGCTTCCTTCCTATAGCGTCCTGTGGCAATACAGCACCAGCATCTAAGAGCCGGGAAACGACGGGCTTGGCATCTATCTCCCGCAGGACGGCTGCCTCCAACGCGGAGTGGTTGTCCCCTGAGGGGAAATTAACGCTGGCGCCAGCCACCAACAAGCGTTCCAGAATAGCAATGGGGCAGTATCTGACTACTACCTCGATGGGATACCGGTCTCTGCCGCCGCAGTCGTTCGGGTTTGCTCCGTAATCGAGCCGTAGTATGGCGATCGTCTCCAGTCTCGCATAGTCCATTTCGTTCGTACCGTTTATATTATCAAATGCGTTCATCCGTCTAGCGGCTTCAAACTGTCTCAAAAAAGCAGGACCTCGGCTGCGATGGCAGGGTTGGTGCAAATTTCCGGCTGGTTTTCGACAAGGCGTTTCAAATTTTGCACGTGGCCAGTGGCAGCCGTGGACACGAAATCATTGTCAGAAGTGCTCCGCTTCGCCGCAATGCTGCGAGAGTCGAGCTGTGCGTGCTTGATTGTCAATGCGTCATGGGTGGCTGCGAGTTGAAGCCCACGGCTAAGTGTGCCACGGTCGAGTTGCATGGCATGTTTAGAGGCCAAGATGCGGCGAATGGTCCGCCTGTCGCCGGACTTACAGCTATCGATAAAGGTCGAGACAACTCGGGCTTCATCTATGGGGAGGGGGGGGGGGGGGGGGGGGGGGGTCGGCGGAGTACTGCCAACACAAAGTCTCATCGGAAAAGCCCTGGGAAGACATGATGTATAGTGCAAAATCGGTGGTTTTGGTAATCCCTGTCGTTTCTGCCACTTCAAACACAATCTCGAAAATATCTTTGATCAGGCGTTTGGCCACTGCATGCTTAAGCAAAACCCGGACGACGTTCAGGTGATTGTTTCTTGCGGTAATGTTTGCGGCCTGGAAAAAGTCGTAGTTGAACACCTTCTTCTGCATAAGATAGAATTGGACCACGGCCGTGTGTCCAGCACGGGCGCCTGCTATTAAAGGACTTGAGACCCTCCTCCTGTCCATGTACCACGGTGTGGCAGCAGCCGTGTCTGCTTCGAGAAGCTTGGTCAGTCGGGTCGTGGAAGCTGCCGCGAAAATAGTCGCAAAATCGACTTCGTGCTCCGGCCAACTTTTGTCGCTGTCGTTCCGGCCAGACTGGTCAAGAGAATGTTGATCAAGGCGTGGATAATCAAGGAGTAGATCATTCCAGCCGGGTTGTTCATCAAATGATCGCATACTACTCGCGCACTTGCGAGCATGGTGGAGACTGGGTTCAAATCAGGAGGCTTCTGTAGTGAGAATCGTAGCCCTTCTCAATTAGGCACTGGAGCACATTCTCATGGCCACCCTCGGCAGCAACGTAAAATGCACCTTGGACGAGGTTTCGTGAGTGGCTTATCACCTCAGAGGCGAGCAAAAGTTCCACAATTTGCTTATGACCAAAGTAGGCCGCGGCTTGTAGGGCGTTGCCATAGAAGGCCCCTTCCTGTCTGGCACTGGCGCCATGGTCAAGGAGTAGCCGCGCGATCGACGTGTGCCCTTTCATGGCAGCCACGTACAAGGCATCGCCCAGACGTCCGCCTGCATTGACACTCGCACCGCGGTTAACCAACAGCTCAGCAATGGCTAACTGATTCGTCAGGCTGGCCGTTCGTAGTGGCGGTCCAAAGGGGCCCTCCTTCTCGACAGACATGCCTATGTCCAGGAGATAGCCAACGACATCGGCATGTCCGTGCAGCACGGCCATGGCGACTGAGTCGGGCGGCAGCTTGGAAGCCGGGTCATCTGACGTTATCAGGCGCCTCTGCAGGAAGAATAGATTCCCGCCCCGAATCGCCTTGACGAATAGCGCCTGGTTCTTGTCCAATACATCTTGGTCGGATGTAAATAGCGACAGATTTTGGACGTATTGCATCAGGCTCTCGAAACCCAGCTCTGCTGCACCGTGGAACTCTTTGGCGCGGGGTTAACAAGTCCAAAAGTACGGGATTCATGAGGTGTACAAGTGCGAAGTGTACGGAGTAATATAGGGAACCCCGTACATGTTTTAGACACGACGTATCTTACAACCCTATTACGAACTCTGCCAAGATGCTTTGCAAGCTTGAGCTAAACTAGGGCGTAAGATAAGCCTAAAAGGGAGTGGCCGCCGAGAAGCTGACAGATTATCGGCCCAAGTGATGTATGTATAGTTCTGGGAGCGTAGTACTGAGTTATGCCGACCTGTATGAAATTCGTTAGGCCTGGTTCGCCTGCCACACAGTATCTTTATGATCTTTACAAAATACTCCATAAACTGTCCATTTGGCAGAGAAGGCTTTAGTCAAGCGGCTGTAAGAGGTCTGGCACCTTTTTAGTAACTTTAATAAACCTTTTAGACCACAACAAGCGCAGGTCGTCATTAGACTCTACTTTGGCTTTGTATAAAGAAGGGAAGAAACAGGCGCACTAACTAAATAGGGAGTTTGTTGAGATACAAGTAGGTCTTTTAGCGCTACGTGTAGACATCCCGTAATCTACTCTGTACGGAGTACGGAGTAGGCCTTCCGGCAATGTAACGTTAGTATTTCTAACCTGATCTCGCCATCTACTCCCGAAAAGCCTCACTTTCGCCTCCCTCTCATAACCATCGGCGCCCTCCGACGGCGTGCAGGCCCCTGCTACGCCGTCTACTTCATGTATATAAGGAGGCCTTTCAGCGTCCTATTCAGATAGCTTTTTCCTCTTCAGTTCAGTTTAATTTAATTTATGACAGGCGGAAATCTTGGCATCATCTTCGCTACCCTGCGGCGTAGCCCTACTAGGACCTCAAGAGAGTTGTTTTTTCAGCCCAGCCTAATGTAAGCAACCTTTACTAATTAAGCTACCGCCCGCATCAGTAGAGCAAGTGAACTGTCAAGAACAGGTGAGCCACAGACTTATACCAGGGCGTACCCCTCTTTGATCATGTCGTTTGCACCAACGGCCATGCACAAGTTCTTTAAAGGCCCAGCACCCGAAGCAAAGCAAAATATCCCGATAACGCTGCCGTCAATATCAACCAGGGCGCTTCCGTAAATACTATTTTTGGGAGAGCCAGAGATTTGTTCTATACCGAATAAAACAAAGTTGTAAAGACCTAAGGCTGCTCATCTCGATTTTCATCGTCGCCTAAAATGCGCACATAGCTTGGATACATGTACGTGTCCGCAGTGCAGCCTGTGTATGGCGTGTACATATATATCTCGTCCCCAGCACATGAATGATCAGCAGTGAGTAGTTGCTTTAGTCGTAATCCATCCGGGAAGTCCTCGGATACAAAAAGCTCGTTTTGGAACACTTCTTCACCGCGCAATTGTATAAGGGCAATGGCTGAGTTTCTAACGCGTCTGGAAATGTGACCAATTTACCGATCAGAGAATTGCGACGGTGTTGGATGGATGACATACAGAAAAGCCATTATTAGCCGCAGTCAAGAACTGAGCTCCCGTCTCGTCCCGAACAAGAACACTGGACGATGTGGTAATGTATTGTGAGGACTTTGGTTTTCGGCTAGAGGACAATATGACTCCGGGCCGTAACACGCCGTAGACAGACCCATCGGGCTTTCCGGGGAGAGAGTCGTTGCTCCAATGGCGTGCTTGAAACATCTTGGGAAGCTGTAACTCATCATGGTATGCGTGAAAAAACGGATGTTTGCAATGTTGTACGGGACATCTTTCTCGTCCGTTTGCCGGGCTATTAACAGATCGTAATATGGTTCTTTTTGTACATGACCGCGGTAATGTAAATTTTGATTTGATCGAAATGGATGCGGATGAGCATTCTAGTTATTCAGGTTCGCGTCGTCGAAATGGCGAGCAACATGACCGTTGATAGGTTGAGCTGCTGATCCGAAAAGCTTGGGCAGATCGTTGGCAGTTGCCGTAGTCGAGATTAAAATGGGCGCACCTGCAATCGTCAGCGGCCAAGGTTTGCGGGAAGCTCTGTCACGTAAAATGAGAGAATGTTGTCCGTGAATGCCAGGCCAGTTGTGGTGGGGAAAATATTGAACAGCAGATCTCTGCTGGCTTTGCTTTCAAAGTAGGATTTAGGATTCAAGCGTAGGCTGAAGGGCATCTGGGTAGCCCAAGAATATGGAGCGTCCCTCTCTTTCGGAATGCCGCCTTTTAGTCGCAGTCTGTTAGCTTAGGTAATTGTCTAAATCCTGGCGGAGGAACTCCCCTAAACAATGATAGGTGACGAATGTGTAAAGGAGGCGTAACTGGACAGCAATTAAGGACACGAGATAAAAGCAGCGGCCGATTTTCGCGTGTTCGGTCAGGATCGTCAGAGCCCCCCAGATGTCCTGAATGATATTGAGGAATGGTGTCGCGGACGCAAGGATCTTAGCATCGGCTTGCAGCAGGCGGGCCAGCCAGCCGTATGTCGAGAGTGGACGCCGCACGTACTGGCATTCGTCAAAGACAATCGTGCTAAAGGCCACTTTGTTGAGTGGCTCCAGCAGTTTGCCCTTTTCGTACCAGACTTTTTCTTCTGTCTCGTCTTCCTCTGCCTCTGCGTCTGGGTTGTTGTCGGCATTGTCGTCGGCATTGTCGTTGGCCTCTTGCTCCGCCTCTAGGGCAATACCAAAATTCTAGTCGCACTGTTCAGTTTCGTCTTATCGCACATAAGATATGTTTTTCCGACAAAACTTCAATCTTTGAGATCGCAGCATTTCATGAGCAGAAACATTGCAGGACATATGATTCTTCGGTCTTATACAGATCTCACGTGGTATTTCGTAAGAAATTTATCTCTTCTCAATCTTAAGCATAAATCTTCGCCTCCACCTAAACTCTACAAAGAGTCCCTGATGGGAAAGTAGTCGTGCATCCCTCCGCTATTGCATCGCCATATATCCAGGCCCCACAATGCTGTTTTCTGAAAACCGTCGTTTTAGTCCTGATAAGGAGGGGAACTTTGACTTTTAATAACTACCATCGCCACCGTCGCGCATGAGAAGACGCTGGCTGACTGTAAGGATGCCCTTCTCGTTCTTGGCATATACTCTTCTTCGGCGGACGAGCATAACCTTTGGAGTAGTACTAATGTTGCTACTACTCTTAATGCCGTCGTGGTCGCTGCTATGGCCAACAGTCCGGGTGTTGCCATCACCCTTTCTGTCGCCATCGTATGCCGCCGGTGTCGCAGGTCCAAAAAGTGTCACCGCGTCCCTTGCCGCTGTCGTCTTTGCTACAGGTGCCTTTGAATCTTCTGCAACTGCTGGCTCTGACTGCAGCCCATCATTGGCTGCAGCCGGTGCCCTTCCTCTTGATTTTCTTCTGGTGCCGTCGTTGTCAACTGCAGTGCCAGTTCCAGTGCCAGGGCTGCCACTATCTCCAGTCCCGGGGGTCACTTCCACCCTTCCCCTCGTTGCCGTCGTCTCCGCCGCCACCGCCGCCACCACCTTGAAATATATTCTTCAAAGCCGTGATACGACTTTCGTGGTCTGACAAGGCTTCTGCCAATGGCTTCTGGGTGCTCTGCACGAGCCCTTCCACCACGACTTTCACCTCTCCATTTTCAAGAGCCGTAATGCGGCTCTCCAGTCCCAAGACGACATTCGACAATAGCTCTAGGTTCGTAGCTACTTTCTAGAAGCTCCTGTCGAATTTTCCGAGACCTTCTATAATGGCATTCTGGATGCCTCCTATGGTGCAAGGGTATGACAATTGGAGCGTCCTCCAGTTCATAGGTCGTTATGTTTTTGTTTCACGGTCGGCCAAGGTCTTTTCCTCCTTCTTCATCCTCTCCTTCTTTCTTGTGCGTGCTGCTATCACGGAGCATGTATTCGCGACCCAGCGAGGCAAGCGACACAACGCAGCTGATCATACCGTATCACCGACAGTGATATTGTTGTTGATATCAGAGTGGATTGTTGATATTCCATCGCATTACAATTCCTACAAACGGAAAATGAAAATGGTGCCTTTGATGAGCCAAGATGGTAGTATCCAGGAAAAACAGCTATCTGAAGCTGAAGTGGAAGCATGGTCGGAAAAGTTTGCTCAGAAAGGGCGGTCTGTGCACCATCGCGCAACACCTTTCCTTTCTGCATTGGTCGAAGGGTCGCCGAGAGGCTCCTTCCTTGGCTAATAATTGCCGGTTTAGGAAGGCAGGATGAGCATCTGGTGAGTCTCCGATGTGCGGTTGTGCACGGACCACCTTGTCTGGGCAGACTTTTCGGCCCAAGCTGACTTTAGACTCAGATTGCTGTTTGCTCTTCTCTGAAGACAACGCTCCTCGCCCATCAGTCTCCCATATTGTGTATATATGTGCTGTAACTCGTAGTAAGTTTACACATATATATTGACTGTAATAGCAACAACAGGGTGCTACGTTGTTGTTTTGAAGAAAGAAGGTTGCTTTAGTCTTAGGCACTTATACCCACCTTTGTATCTATATTCGACGCCTTTCGTCGGCTTATAATATACGAGTCTTTGTTGCTTTGGTGGTCTTATGCTTTTCCAGGCGTCCCAGATCAGCGGCCCTTGTCTTTATCGAGTTGGTCTTTGTTATATGGCAAAAAAGGCCGACTGTGTTTGAAAAATCACTCCTTGCAGCTTGGCAGATTAAGGACGTCAGAGTTATAAGGCGTAGTCGGGGCCCAAATGGTCCAGATTTTTCGCTAAAACAACAGGAAACAACGAAGTGGCTGCTATTGTTGTTAATTTCGTGTTTATTCAATTCGCCAAATACATTAATACGTAAATGCATCGTAAGCGCATATGTAATTTGCAGCGTGCACACACTCCGTATGCCTATCGACAATAATCGTCTCTAGCCACCTGCCACCTTAGCAATTTCCACTTTGACACATCTAAACAAGAGATGGGAGTATAGTCGCTCTCTTCTTCTGGCTTAATCAAATCGAATAGCAACATTAGTCTCCCCTTGCCTCTTTCCGTTTACATAGACAGTGAAAATCATGGAGGCTCCAGACGGTGTCATCTCAATATCATGTGTCAGCTTCTTTCGATACTGCCCGAGTGGCGTGATGAAGTCAGGAAGGTCCGAATAAGCCAAGTCAAGCTTGCACCTGATTTTGCACAAAAACTTGACAGATGATGTTTTCCGATCAGGGGCTAGTGGCTCATTGCATTCGTAAATATTGCACTGATAGAAGCCATCGAAGTCTTCGTTGTAGAGTGTGTAGAAGGATGAGCGTATAGAGTCTTTGCTCGAAACATTCTCTCCCTATTATAGTGAAATATCACATTAGTGGTTGATAAAGAAAATCTTTGAAGGTTGAGGTAATGGAAAATAAATATCAACCTTTCTAAGGTACCATGCAATCTGATTTTTAGCCATGTACGAGCCCTCGTCAGAGTTGTAAAACAAATCTTCACGTAAATGCTTCTGTGAGTTGTAGGGTGTTATAAACTCAGTTCCATAGCTAGATCTTGACACCGTTGAGGTCACCCTGACTGGAATATCAATCAGATGGTCGATATACTTCACTTGGCTATCCCCAGTAACAATAGGCTCGAGGAATCCTTTGTAGACGGCGCCGCGACAGATTGCTGTTCGCCTGCCGAGTAGCGTTAGCGTAAAAACGGTGAGCGTCGTTGATCACTTGACGTGAGACATACGGGTTGATCCCCGTCGACTGCAGAACATCAATACCAGCCGCAGTGTATTTTTTCTTGAGGTGCATGTAGAGATAGGGACTAGCGCCAAGTCCACCCACAAGGATGATCCCCTGCGCTCAATTAGTATTGAGCCGTTGAGAATTTTTGACAGGGCTGTCGGTGCTTACTGTGGTGTTCAATCCTGCTCCAGTTGCCATATCAACCTGGTCATCAATAAGTCTGTCAATGCGAGAAAAGGAATCAGTGAATGTCCCCTGGATGTGCTTCCCGGTGAAATGAACCCTTCCGTTTTTGATGATAGGTTCTTTACTGAGGTCATCGAGGCTGGAATGACGAAAAGCCTCAGCCGGAATTCGAACGATGTACTCGCTCTTCCTCGCCTTTGGTTTGTATTGCGGCTTTATAGCGGTCTCCCACTCTCCTGTTATGATTTCCCTGATCCCTGCTGTGCTCAAATTATTCCACCTGTTCCCAAGACGAGACTTGCAGAGTTTTTCGAAGGCCTCGTCAATGAAAATCCCTCCACAGAGATCGCCTGACCCCTCTACTGCTTCGTGCATGGCGATTGGGCCGGTGCTATCAATTTTGTAACTGATGAGGTCCTGTAGTCACGGGATAGTAAGTGCCGACATCCAGATATTATAATTTCCTAGGGCCATTCACGCCTGGATGGCTCTTACCACCGTGCCGCCGCCAGCATCACATATGATGAAAACATCATCTTTTTCGGTTTTTCTTCCGGGTTCGCACAGAGTCGCCAGAGCAGCCCGCCCTCCCGGCTCAGGCGAAAAAGCTAACGTAGTCGGCCCGGCTGCGCGGGGCTTCAAAAGGCCCGCCTTTTGGACGGCCTCCTTCATGGACTGTCTGGCATAGTCCTTCCAGATAGCCGGAACGGTAATGACGATATGAAAACGCAGAGCATCGACCACGGACTCGCCGCGGGACTTCCGGATGGTCTCCAGGGTGTGCTGTGACAACATCCGGAGATAGTCAGCTGTGACGTCGATGGCCGACTTGCCCATCTCCGAGAGCATGTCGCGGCCGTGCTGAATGTACTCGGACTTGCGGAGCTCTGCTGAAAGATCCTCATCCCTGAGAAGCAGTAGCTTGAACCAACGGGCGGACTTTGCATCCGGAGGGATCTCGTAGCCCCATAGGACTTCGCCATTTTTGTACAGTAACTCAGTCGGTACCTTTCCTTCATCTCTACCTGTACCCGGCCAAGCGGTGATGAGGTTGATCTGGCCGCTGTCAAAATCAGCCGCTGTTGCCCATGCTACGCCGGAATATCTAGTTCTCATCAGTCTACTCGTTTTCCGAATTTGTTACGGTCATATGAAGACTCACGTTGTTCCAAAGTCTATTCCAATAACAACGGTATCTTCGATGCTTCCATTATCGTCATCGCTATCAGGATTGTGCTGCATACTTTTTCTAGGTTGAGAGACTGAGTATAGAAATGGTGTATAGTACTATAGTAAGAGGAAGTGGTACAGCGAGATCAAAGCTAGGATATCAAGTGATACGAATCTTGAGATCCTATCTACTTATAACATGAAATATTGTATTGTCGCTATGTGCAATCTGACCTCTCCTACCACTGTAAGTACCTGGGTAATTGTGCGCAATGCCCCCGAAAACTAGAACACAGACTGTTCTTTCAGTTGTATTTTCATTGCGTCATCTACCGAAGCCTCGGTATCTTTATCACATGTGGTGAGACATTGGTATCTACATGCTGTGGCTTACTGATTCCCGCGTAGAGCTGAGGGGTATGGCATGAGGTCGTAGAAAGACAAAAAAAAACCGGTTATGTCGTTAGTTCGAATAGCCTTTTCAATAAGTACTACGGATTCTGGTGGTCCCAATATGTCAGAAAGGCACAGCAGGCTAAAGATGATAAGTATTCCCTTAGGATGCCGTAATCCTTATGTAAAGCAGTTCCCAGATACGGGGTACTACTGTACCTTACAACTTGGTGTTCTTATCACGGAAACGGTGGACCGACGTAATAGCATTTTAAGGCCTTAGACCGCCCCTTCTTCACAAAGCTATTTCCGGTTTCAAATGCCTCTTCTCTTTCCTTTTTTCCATGATCTATTAAATAAGAGGCGATGATGAAGTCAGAAACATCCTTCCAAGCATCACTTCCACGCAGGGATAAAGAACCCGGTCAGACTAGTTACCGAAACACAGATGGATATTTTGATGTTTCCATGACTGGGACGGTGGAAGAGCGGAACAGTGACCACAATATTTTTCCAAGTCACCCCGAACAAAATCAGATTGAGTTAGTGCCTGGCAGCCCGGATCCTTTTTTACCACCAAAGGAAAACCCCCAGACAGCGCATATCGACCGCAATGCCGAAGAGCAGTGGCAAAGAGACATACTGGAGCAGCGGGAAAAACACCTGATCCAAGAAACATATCAGCGGCGAGCCCTAGAAGCAGAATTGCAGCAGGCCAAAGCCATAGAGTTGTCGCATGCTCAAGAGAAAGTGCAGTGGCAGACTAAAGAGATGGAACTAAGGAATGAGATCGCGTTGAAAGTACCATATGACGACTATGCGAAGCTTCATGAGATGGCACACAGCCAGCACGCAGAATTGGAGACCGTGAGAGCAGAGTTGAAGAGCAAATACACCGAGCTCGTGGATGTACGAAGACGCTGGAAGCAGCTTGCTCGGGAACTGGAAAAGGCGAAGCGCCAAAGCCATAATGTTTACCAGATCACGGACCAAGAACTGGTTCAAAGATTCGAACGGCTAAGATATAACATCAGTAACTTTTCCATGCGCTATTTTGGGATCGGGACTATGACCACCTACCGCACTCAATACTTCAAAAAGTATCTCACCACCGTTATACCTGATGGCCACAAAATCTATCACTATCTAGACTCTAAGGTCTATCGTCCGATCCTACTCCAGTCTTTCTTGTGGCGCGTTATTTCCGGTGAGGTCTTGGATTTTGCCCTGTGGGCTGGCGGGGAAAATGGCAGTCTCCAAAACCTACTGGATCTACTCTGGCCAGACAAGCCCAAGACAGATCCGTCATATAGCCAGGTCGAGCGTAATTATCATCACTGGAGAGCCATGACAACAGGCCTGATCATGGAAGCTCCGGAATGTGCAGCCGGGAAAAACGACTGTACGGAGTACTACAAACACGTCATTTCCAAAAACATCTACGAGACTATCAGAATAGTGCCGGATGCCGACGAGCCCCGGATAGACTGGGCCGAGTACCAACAGGACCTGCTCGAAATTCTTGACGAGGCCATAGTCTTCGACCGTGACATATATAGACAGGCGTCACACGTGAGATGGCTGTTCCAACTGCCGGCGAATGCAGTATTTGACTCGGCTACCATGCGACTGCTCAAAGGCGAGGAGCCGACAGAGGGACATGGACAGGTCGAGATTCTTATAGCGCCTGGGTTGCTTAAGACGGGCCGATCTACTGGCGAAGATTATGATATCGAGAACTTGCTGGTGCCTCAAGAGGTGTCATGCAAGCCAGCGTTCGTTCCTAGGAGGTAAGCAACGCGCTGAGCCTCTTCGGCTCCCATCTCGCCTTTACATGCGCATTGTATGAATTCTAAATCAAGGCCAGCTCGGCATTTTCGTTTTGGCCGTCGCTGGATTGGCTCTCGCTGAGTGCGCTTTACGGCCACCTCCATGGGGATGGTATGGCACGCGTCCATAAATCCCGTGTTTAGCTGATGTAAGGCTACTAAAACGGAACAACTAAGGATACATACAAACTTGCTAGGCTAATAATCCAACAACTTGTTTCTTACAAACTATGTGACACTTCAAAACGCTGGTGAGATTATCGGTAAACCGCCCAAGTCCTTTATTCCTTTGCTACAACCGGCAGGGTTTCGGTAAAGCCACCGTAAACCTTCTGGAAGTACTCCCAGGTGAAGTACGGAGCGACGTCTCCTGCACCATTCTCGTCGCACTCAGCAGTGCCGTTGCCGAGGTAGCTGAAGCGGTTTGCCGACCGCCACTTCACGTCAAAGTGCTCGGCGCCCAGTGTCTCCAGCCCCTCCTTAAAGTGCATCATGGTGCCACCGTAGACGCCTGTCAGCCGGCCCTCAGACCGGTCGTTCTTGTACCATGCCCGGCACTTGTCAGCAAAGGACGTGTGTCGCAGGAACTCTTGCTGGTACTCGTTGTAGTCGGCCACAGATTCCGGCTTGGGCACGACAGAGCTGTGGCTGTTAGCAGACAGAACAAATCACGGAGAAGGGGTACATAGGACGTACTGAATGTCCTGGCAGTTGATCTTCTTCGTCCACCGGAGAATGTGGTCACAAACCCAGCCCATCATAGTCAACACCGTTCCGTGCGAGATGGGAATGTTGGGACCGTTGATGACAAAGTAGTTCGGTTGGTCGATCACGTGCACACTCCAGAGTGCCTCTGGATCTTCCTTCCACATCTCGTCCATGGTGCTACCGTTGCGTCCGACCTGCTTCCAGTTGGGGATGAAGCTGGTGTCGAAGCCGGTCGCGCACACAATCAAGTCGAACTCTTCTTCGCGGCCGGCCTCGCCCTCTGCCTCGGGCTTGAGCAGGATGCCCTTCTCGGTGAACCGGTCGATTGACGTCCACTCCGTCCGCACATTGTCCTGCTGCAGGGCTTCAAGGTACCCGTCGCCGGGCGTGAGACGGCGGCAGCCCACAACCCAGGACGGCGTCAGCTGCTTCTCCAGCTCGGGCGCGTTCTTCAGCGCCTCGTGCATACGCTCCTTGATCCTCTTGCTGACCATTTCCTGGGCGGGGTGGCCGTTGACCAGCGCAAAGATGTAGCGGTTCAGACTGGAAGGTTAGGTTTCGGACGAATGCTTTCATTAAAGGAGAGGGGACAGTGAAAAGAACGTACTGCAACTCCACCTCGCGAAGATAGTCGAAAAAGGCTTTGGGATCCTCTCTCCATTTCTTCTTCTGCTCCTCCGAATAGGAGAACTGGCCACCCTCGGGGGTCAGCTCCTCGAGGAAGTTGGTCGAGATGTATGTGGGACTGCGCATGTAAACGGTCATGCTCTTGACATCGGGCGCAATCGAACGCGTGATCTGGATGCCCGATGCACCGTTGCCGATGACGGCAACACGCTTGTCCTTGTACTCGGCATTGTCCCTGGTGCAGACGGATGGGCGATTAGCAAAGAACGGAGACAACGACTGCACAGGAGCCATTTGTAGAGAAGACACTCACCAGCGTGCGCTATGCACCAGTTTGCCCTTGAAATCGTGCAGGCCCTCGATGTTGGGCCACTTCCAGTGGCTGTGAATCAAAGAGAAAAAGGGTTAGCTTGCGTCTCTCTAAAGTCTCACAGTTTCACATACTTGAGGAAGCCAGTGCAGTTCACAAGAACGTCGGCATAGTCCTGGCGAACCTCTCCTCCCACAGTGCGGATCTTGAGGTTCCACTGGCCGTCAAATTCATTCCAGACAGCCTCCACAATCTCCGTGTTCAGCTGGACGTGCTTGAGCAAATTCCACTTCTTCACCGTGTGTTGCATGTAAGCCAGGATTTCTGGCTGGCCGGCATAAAAGGACGACCAGTTTGGGTTTGGTTCAAATGGAAACACGTAAGCATCTATGGGATCAGCATGAAACGCAAACACGAGCTCTCCATTTGTCCATTAAAAATTCACAATGGGACGGCACAAATCCACTCACGTGCAGGAACATCACTGCAAGATCGTCAGCAAAAACGTAAAAGCTACGCGTAACAGAACCAGTACGGAGTACTGCGCAAGAACTGGGAAACATACCATGCAGCTCCAGGGTAGCTGTTCTCGAACCACGTGCCGCCAATGCCGTCATTGCGGTCGTAGATGACCAAATCGATCTCGTCCTCCAGCTTCATGGCATGTTGGACCTTGTGGGCAAGGCTCAGACCGCCGAACCCAGCGCCAATGGCAACCAGACGGATCTTGCGCAGAGGCTTGTATCCAGGCTGCTTGCCAAGAGGCACGTAGTTGGGGGGGTGCTGCTCGGACGGCATGTTTTCCAAGTTTCGAACTGTCTTTGGGGAACTGGACTTTGCGTGTTTGAGGAGACAAGGGAAGTTGGAAAAGCAATCTTTCAGTGCCGAAGAACTGTTGGTACGCTGCAAAACCGAGAATACGAGGAGGGGGAAGTCGTGTGCATTAAAGGAACTGGCAGGCGGCGTTGCGTGCTGACAACCGTCTGGGTCAAATCCGTTGAATGCAGATCCTCGTACGAGAAAGCACACCGCACTTCTTTCTTATTTCTCGGCCGAGGCCCCTTTTGTCTGTCTTTTGACTATTGTGTTGTAGAGACCGTTCGGAGCGCTTCTATCCGGTCGAAACACCGGCTTACATCGAACTCCGTGCAAGGTACGGGGTTCTATGGAGTACTAGTAGATCTGAAGATGGTCGCATCGAAAGCGGAAAAGGGAACCGGTATTCCTTTTCGGTAACTACGAAGTACTTCTGATGCTAGGGTGGCTTGCAACGGCTCGGATAGCTACGTGGTACGTAAGCCAAAGGAGGAGGCATTAGCACTGCGGAGTACTCCGTACATAGTACAATGGAGTCGATGCTAGCCAAAGCCATGTGCCCTCTATCATGTAGGAGCAAAGATCATCAGGAGACTTTGTACAACGTACTCCGTTCAGAGTGTTGTACAGGTAAAATGCTACATAGCTGCCTTCCGCACGATACGTGCACGGTCAAGTCTTCATGCAAGAGATTGTTGACGGCTTGCATACGACGTACGCAAAATATGACAGAAACTACGCTGCGACATAAAGAATTTTGCCGCGGTGACCTTTAGATAAGGAGCCCCGGTCAATATTACTCTGCACTGCTACGTCGTATGGACCAACGGCCAACAACCCCGGCTTTACGGAGCGGAGTACGGAGTACGGAGTATTGCATGGCCAGGTCGTCCAAAAATCGAGCTTTGCGAAATGAGAGAACACTCCTCCCGTTGTAATTCCACATTGCTTCGCCAGCCTTTCTTCAGAGATTTTGTATCAAAACACACTGCCAAACACAGCACGATACTGTGTACTTGGATAAAGCAGAGCGGTAGCGGTTGTGGAGCGCTGCGGAGTTGTATACTATGTACGGAATAGTCCCAATTTGCTGCATAGAGGCCTTTTCTCCACCACGGATCAGGAGTCTGCCGGCTGGTCTTTCCGTCCCCCGGAGTCTCGCTCTAGCCACATATGGGGTTGGCCCGTATGTAGTCGTATATTTCACAAAGGTGGCGAACGTTAATCAAACCGCATTTTCACTGTTTCGTGAGCCCTGCATGCCAAGGTCCAACCCTTGCAAAGCCTGTGAGGAGATTTACGACGTCGCAAATACCATGCTCAAGCGTGCATAGCAATCTTTCCCAGCCGTATACTCTGTACTCGGTAGTATAGGATGTCTCAACGGCAAGGCATCTACGGAGTATCAGACAGTTTCTTTGTGCTTTCTGTCCAATGCCTGCCTGTCCAATAGCACTCTCTGAACGGCAGAAGGAAGTTGTGATCATGATAAATAACCATCCCTCCAAGTTTCTGCAGCTACGGCTGTCGTCTTCCCATTGCCGTACTTCGAATCCGCACCTGCTATTTTTTACCGACTCTCTGTTTCCTCATTCGCACCCGCATCCGTTTCCCTCCACAAAAAGAGAAAAGGAGAGGAGGGAGGCGTGTGAGGGCTGTTCGACACCATGTCGAACACGAAATGTCCTCTAGGTGACTTTGGGCCTGCGCCCGACGGCCTCGATTTGTGTGCAAACAAAAACGCCACCATCATCGGACCCGTGGTGGTGGTGTTGGTCATCAGCTTCGGAGCTGTCGCTGTGCGCATCAGCTGTCGCTATTCCATAGCTCGAAAAAATTCCCGCGGCTTTCTGGCAGTGGATGACTACCTTGTGATCGCTGCGCTGGTAAGGCCTGGTTCGACAGAACTAACGCGGAACGCAGGGCTAACACCCTTTCCTAGATCATGGCTGTCAGCATGGGCATCTGCTGCTTCATCGGCGTGCAATTCGGAGGCGGACAGCACCTCTGGGCGATAACTGTCAGCAAGTTCGACGACCTGTGGAAGACGCTCTTCGCTTTCATTCTCATCTACGTCGCCGGCGTCTCCCTGACCAAAGCCTCCATCATGCTCTTTTACCGCCGCCTCTTTGGTTCCAGCACTGCTTGGTGGGTCGTCTTTACCCTGATTGGGGGTTATTTTGTCGCCATCACGGTGACAGCCCTGGCTGCTTGTCAACCGCTGTCGTATTTCTGGGGAAAGGTCCGTGATGTTCTTGTCTCCAATTCTTCTGACTCGTGTCCTGACTGCTCTTCTCTTTCCCCTACAGTACACAGATCCCAACGCAACCGGCTCCTGCATCGATACCCCGAAGTTTTTCCTCATTAACGGCATCTGCGCCATGCTGATAGACGTCTTGATCCTCGTTGTTCCGCTGCCAACCAGTACGTTCATTCGGCCGAATCGTGGTAGCCCCATACCATCCAGTCGATCTCTAATACCCAATAGTTTACGGTCTCAACATGCCTCCTGGAAAGAAGGCCATGGTGTCTGGTATCCTGCTGCTAGGTTCTTTGTGAGTCCCCTGCAACTGTGTCTTTCTGACTTCCAATTAGGAAACTAACTCTATCAAGTGTCTGTGTCGCCAGTGTTGTCCGCATCATTGCACTAGATCACTTCACAAAGGACGAAGATGTCGTCTGGGCCATGGCTGAGGTGTTTGTGTGGTCTTGCTGCGAGCCTTGCGTTGGCATTGTCTGTGCATGTCTCCCGACCTACGGGCCCCTATTTGCCCGCTTCAAGTGGTTTCGCCAAGTATCATACAAGGCAAGCTTTCCGCCAACAGGGAAGGGAGCTGAGCGCTCCAACGTCTTGATAACCATTGGCGGCTCACGCCAGCCCGCAACAACCGGGAACGTTACCACCAAGAGCAGTGGATGGAGTCGTTTGACTAGGGGAAACGACACCAGCAAGCAGTCGAGCGTTTTCCGCTCTCGTCCCGACGAAGATGAAGTCGAGCTCACTACAAACATACAGGGCAGCAAGAGACCCGAACGTGACGCATACGGAGCACATGTCGACGAAATTGCGCGCTCCACAACGCAAGCCAGCGACAGTGACGGGGACGAGCAGAAGAATATGCAAGTTCTCGTAAAAACGGATGTACGTTGGGAGGTCGAGTCCAGAAAATGAGGTGGTGGACTAAGTCCCGTTTTGTTTTCACCACGTGGTTCCTTCCTCCTGCTTCTGTTCTCAATTTTACGAAGCGGGGGTACTTGTCTTGCTCTGCTAGTACAAAAGGACGTTCTTGTGCGAAATAGCAGCTAGCCGATTTAAAAAAAATGTAGTACAGACGGCTCGGGATTTGTGGCAAAAGGACAACGACACTGTGTCAGATGCGATCAAGAGAGCGGTCTGAACAAAGGTTGTCCAAATTGGCCTCCAGCCTACATTTGTCCTGGAAGCCTTCATGCATTAGTCCCGCCCACCGAGTACTTGGCAGTCAAGAAGCAGTGCCAAGGAAAGAAGGATACATACCCGGCGGTCTGACCTCCTATGTAGAATAATATGGTCTTGTAAAGTACACCAATCTATGAATAGGACTCGCATATTTATCCTGCGGCCCGTCACTGCGACCTTGCTCTTCTTCCTATACAATACCATTTCAACACCAAATTCCGCCTGGTCGGTCTGTCTTTCTACGTCGTACAAACCGAAATTCCTATGGCGACCATAGTTCTAGTTAAAAGATCGATGTGACCTACATGCCATTTTTTTCCCTTGACATGGTCGTTTTCGGTCCATACCCCCGCTTTCAATTTCCCTGTAAAGGGCCCACGGCCGCGTACTTTCTCACCAGGGGTGGGGGGCCAGCAATATCAAGTCTGGGTCCGGAGAGGGATATTGCCATCGGACCCCAATCCCGCTCGTCACATGCCCCTGCATATTAGAAATGCGACTGTACACGTAAGTATGTATACTATGTAGTGATAACAACAGCACTAACAACTTTACCTCGAAGTTAGAGCGAATGAATGCCTTCCGGTCACTGATATCATATATCAGAAGACGGCCGGGAGCGGCCATGATCAGGGTTCGGTGCGGAGTATGCATCACATTTCCACAAACGTGGCAGTGTGATCTGGATTCGAGAACTATATGTCAACAGTTTTGCACAGCAATCCGTGTCGGGTTCCATGACTCCCAGTTTAGGGATAATCCCACTCGCAGAGAGGCCCTTTCATAGGCCCTTTCGTAGGCCCTTTCATCGACGTAAGCTTGTAAGCCTTGCAGGCTTTAGGCTATCAATTCCTGAAAGATAATGGGTATTTATTTATTTATTTATACGTTTTAACGTCGCCATTCGAGGGGGCTTGCCCCAAGAACTAACACGCCTCCCTAAGGGCATGCGACGGAGGAGGCAGGGGGCAAGTCTTACCCGCTCCTCAGGTCTATCTAGGTGGCTGCATTACAGCTGTCTTGGTGCTTCCTAACGTCCAAAAAAAAAAAAAAGATAATGGAGAACGAGCAAGTCACATGCTATTATTAGACGGTATTGTGGCCCGTTGCAAGTTTGGTATTTACACGCCAGATGTTCCCTGAAACGCCTGAAACGCCTGAGTAGTGGTCGATCTCTTCACCGTCTGTTGGTACCTTTGTTCGATGTTATTGACCGCTGACAGAAATTCTTGATCCTCAAACACCCTGCGACAAGCAGTATGGTCACGATAGAGATTTGCCGGCGGCCAGGCGTCATGATGCGCAAAGGTACATCTTCGACACTCTGTTCATGTTCCACCAATGAATTTGTGCGGGCATCAGATCAGCTACAGACACAGATTAACTGGCACCACACCTAAGAAAGCTCGCAACTCCCTAGCATACCCAAAATATCGGCGGGCAGCTTCAAATTCTGGTTCAAAATATTAAAAAACGGCTTAGCCACAGACAGTACCCTCAATCGAGACGCGTTGGGAAAGACTATCAGTGGCCATGTTGAGGCTTTGGTACTTCATTAATTATCTAGGAGCTGCTCTCTCATGTACGCTTCCTATCATCCCTGCACCCTCTGCAGCGCGCAATTCTCTACACTCATATCTGCCTCCGCCTTTGATGCCGATTCAATCGTAGTAGAATAAGTTGGATGGACGCAAGCAAGGCATTGTAGATAATCAGCCATGCAATGCTGATAGCCATCGCGCATACAGTTCCAATTCCGACTCATCATAAATGACGAAAAACCTGGAAGGCCAAAACAAAAGTTAAGCTAGGCCTGTGGCACTGAGCTTACTGGCTTCGACCATTGGAAATACAGTGAAATATGCCCAATATGGCCCCCAACCGGGTCCTGGTATATAGCCTAAAAATTAATACTTTATAGAGTCCCAGTAGTCTGTAGCCGTGACCCAATTTTACCAGCAAGGCGACGACCGCTAGCGCAATGCTGGCAGCAACCAAACAGACGCAGAAGTACGGGACACCATCGATTCCTGACAAAGAGAGAGCCTTTGGACCTGTCAGACCGGGGTGCAGGAAACGCCAACGAGCTCATTATTCTGCTACCTTCCGGAATCGGAAATATTGTCCAAACCACACCGAGTTGAGTAAAAGTAAGCAGTGGCTTACAGTAGGCGGGCCGCAATTGCCGTAGCATGCTCATACTATCTATAGGGCGCATCCTGATGGCGTATGTATATATGTGTGTATTGACTCTACCATATGCATCTCCCATAGATTCAGATGCTGCATCTCGCGGGCCCGGCCCGTGTCCGCCTGAGGTAGCTTTGAGAGCTAAATCTAGCTTAATCATGGACTGGGACAAGTGCGACTCTTTATATTTCAAGGCTGGTGCGGCACGACACTGATAGGGATGCCTTGAATTCAGCAATACGCATATGGTGTTCTCACATGTATACCGAGACGCCCCTGTCTATTTCAGGGTGATTTTTTTCGTACGATACGTAAATGGCAAAGATGTTCCGCGCATCACGAGTAATTCTAGTTGCTTTCCTGCATTCCTTCCATCTCGTAGCAGCTCCCAAAACTGGTATAACGTGGGTTATGAACCGCACGATCGAAATCCATTTTGCGCCATGGTGTCACCATAAGCATCTCTCTTCGCAAATCTGCGGCCCAGCTTAATTGAAAAATCTAGTCACGTTTAGACTCTAGTGATATCACCGCTTTGCGCCTCTCATATACAGACGTCGAAAATGCATTTCCAAGAGGTTTGCTACCTTTTTTGGACAACACCAAGCCAGGCCTCGTAGCATGCCGCTCGGTGATGACGGGCCAGAGGAGATCACAGCAGCTGCAGAAAATTATTACATAAAAATATGCGCATAATAGCAATACGATTTCAAATCACTAAGTGGCTTTTCCCCCGGCCAACCTGGGAACGATGCGGCTGTGTGTGGCACGTCGTCTTGCGGCGGGAAAGCGGTCTTTAAACGTGATCGTCCCATCAATATTCGTAACTGGGATACAGCATAACGCATGTTCCGTTTCTTTCTACGGCGGCGTTTCAAGTTAAGCAGCTGTCTGTCGTCGGCGAACTGGACTTGTCTGCAGAAAGCCCCAACTACTATCTCATTATCCAAGTTTCTCAGGGCCCCAGTATGGCTTTAAACGTTTTGCGGACTCGGTAAATCGGTAAACGAGATTCAAGCGACTTGACGCTACTCTGATTGGCGTTTTCATCAAGAAGAAATCAGTTAGGGACGGAACAAAAGAAGCCATGCAGAAGTATAACGCAGCCTAGATTAAAGACAGCCGATGCGACTTAGCGGCATTTTGTTGCGCGGTGCACGGACCGCCTTTAGTGCAGAGTTTTCAGCTGCTCTCTAGCTTCAGATAGCTGTCTTCTGTGAAGGTTAAAGCAGGTTATACGTCGTACGTGGCGGTCATATAACGTGATGCACTGTGAGGAGCAGGAGGCTGAATAGGGTCTAGTGTGGGCGAAAGAGTGTTGTGTACTAAGGAAGAAATAGATACATCGCGACCCTTCTGGGGGTCCGTATTAATACTAGTGTCATGCCCCGCTTTTGTGCTTTCTAACCAATAACAGGCCCGTACGGCCAAGTGGGGCGGAAGGGCCACGGTGTGGCGGATTCCATTGACATCTTCCTTCTAAATACAACGATCTTCGCCTTAGGGAATTGATAGAGCGACGGGTCCGAATTATAGAGCGACGGGTCCACGTGATTTTTTTGGCGGTTGCAGGCGGCAGAATACTGAAATCGTCCCCGTGTACTCCGTAAGTCGTAATAGATTCGAAGTACTCTGTAAAATGACCAAAAACACTGACTAAAGAACAAAAAGACTAGTAAATACTATTAAAACTAGTTAAGCCGCCGTGTCTTCCTCTATAGAATTAGTAAGTTCTCTCCTACTAAGCATTATCGGCACTAGCCTGCCTGTACGGCGCGCTGCGGCCTGCGCCTCCTGTGCGGCCGCTGCATCCTGTGCAACCTGCGCTGTTGCCGCTGCCTCTACTTTTGCCTTTGCCTTTACTTAGGCTAAGCATTCATTTATTTAAGTAATGCTTTACAGGATACGTGTACGGTTTTAGGGGGGGTGGGTAGAAGGGAGGAGGCCGTCGATAAAAGCCACTTTAAGCAGATTTGGTGATATTCGTAAAGCTTTCACTAAGCAGCGGTGTAATCGAGGGGCGATGCGATTTCAGTAATATTCTGCCGCCTGCAACCGCCAAAAAAATCACGTGGACCCGTCGCTCTATAATTCGGACCCGTCGCTCTATCAATTCCCTTCGCCTTACACATTTGCACCCCATTCTCCAAGCCTTGCAAAGACACGCTACTCTTTGTCAGCCTTCCATTTCTGAACGATTGACGGCAGTGAACGTAGGCGAGGCCAAGCTGCTCCGGTCCGAAAAGGTGCCTAGTCCTAGGCACTGATTCTTGATTACATCATGTGCCCCTTATTTCACTCAGAGGAACCGCACAGTGGCGCGTACGAGAACGCAAAATACATCATAGTAGATGCATGTTGGACAGTTTAGTAAACAAACAGTAGTATGCAAAATATCATCTACATATGCTTCGTAAACGATTAATCCATTTTATCTGGAGAGTTCTGTTTAACCGATCCACAGTATAGGAAGGTTATCCAATCACGGCATGCTCTTTAGTACTTACAGTGGGGCACTACCATTTTGCCTCACATCACGACTAATCAAGCCGACACTTCAGGTGCCAGACTAACTGTGTGGAATCCCGCGGCCCGCATTTCCCGTGCTGATACTAGGAAAAGTAATACCTACTGGGCGTTGTGGTATTTGCTTTTTGATTTTGAGGACGCTGAAAGCGGTGTACTCCAACTTCTAATAGATGCAGCAAGAGATACACAGCAGTGCTTCCCAATTCATGCTAGGTAAGATACTTCGTATGTAGCAAGCTTGCGACTATAATAGCGATAACAATTGCGGTAGTGTATCTCTCTTTGAGGGGTGGAGCAAATCCGGAACGGATGAGGCGGAACAACGGATGGAGGTCAGGAACCATGTTGACGCCAGTGGCAATGGGGGCGCTTTGTAATCACCCCATGTAGAAGAACGAAGTGGAAGCACATCACATATTACATATGGTATATAAACGGCAGCGGCCTGTTCTGTAGGATGAGCTGTGTCGTGAAAGAAGCTCACCAACAGCAACAGCGGAGGATTACTTACTTATTACATCCAGAATCAAATTTGCGGCTCAAAATGACTATTCACATTCGACCATCCGAGAGCCGGCTCTTCAAGCCGCTGAAAGTCGGCAATGAAACGCTACAGAGCCGCATTGTGCTTGCGCCACTGACGCGCTACCGCAACTCAGAGGAGAACGTGCCGCTGCCGATCATGACCAAGTACTACGCAGACCGTGGCTGCGTGCCGGGTACGCTGGTCATCAGCGAGGCCACCGGTCCGACCAAGGCCGACGAGGAGCGGCCAAACGCCCCGGGGATCAGCAGCGAGAGCCAGGTGGAGATGTGGAGCAAGATCACGGACGCCGTGCACGCAAACGACTCGTTCTTCTTCCAGCAAATATGGGGGCTAGGCCGCTCGGCCGACCCGGCGTACCTCAAAAAGCGCGGCCTTGACTACGTGTCCAGCAGTGCGGTGGCCATGGCGGGCAAGTCTGCGACGCCGCGGGCGATGACAGACGCGGAGATTGAGGCGTTCATCGACAGCTTCGTGGCGGGTGCAAAGAATGCGATCCGGGCAGGCGCCGACGGTGTGGAGGTGCACGGCGCACACGGCTACCTGATCGATCAATTCCTGTCCGACACGGTCAACCAGCGCACCGACCGATGGGGCGGCTCGATTGAGAACCGTGCACGGCTGCTGCTCGAGGTGGTGCGACGCACCGCGGCGGCCATCGGGGCCGAGCGGTTGGCCGTGCGACTGTCACCGTTTGCCGGCTATCAGGGCGCGCTCAAGTCGGACATTGTGAGCACGTACAGCTACGTGGTGGCCGAGTTGAAGAAGCTCAGCAAGCCGCTGGCCTACCTGTCGCTGGTCGAGGCACGCGGCGACCCCGAGGTGCTGGTGCTCGGCGTGCCTGGCATCAACCTGGAGAAGACGCTGGACTTCATCCTCGAGGCCTGGGACAACACGTCGCCCGTGATCGTGGCCGGCGCCTACACGCCCGAGACCGCGGCCGCAGCAGTCGAGGGCCGCTACGCCAAGTGGGACGTGCTGGTGGCCTTTGGCCGGCTTTTCCTGGCCAACCCCGACTTGGTGTTCCGCATCCAACACGATCTTCCGCTCAATGCCTACGATCGGTCGACCTTTTACGTGCCGGGATCGGATACGGGCTACAACTCGTACCCGTTCAGCCCGGACTTTCTTGCACAGAAGACAAGCCGGAGCTAGAGCAGACAATGGAAAAGTATATAGATACTAGAGACTGGAATACATACAGAGCTAGAACGAGTTAGAAGTTGGCGTTAGAGTTACCGTTAAGCTTATAGCGCTTAGTAATGAATCAAGGCATTTGACATAAAGAACGAGCTGTAAAACGTGAAATATCAAATTGCGCGGAATATTCTATATACATAACAATCCTCATCTAAGCCTCTAGCCGATCTGCTGAGCTCTGCTTCTCCTTCAAGGAGTACAGGTAAAGGGCACTCTATCGTTTCATTGCCACAACGATGGTGCAGTCGTTTTGGACTGGCGTCAAGCTTAGTACAGCTCGGTCTCAAGCACGTCCCGGGGGTCCTTTGCCGACGAAGTGTTGTTGACCTCATCAACGCGAAGCTCAATGGCCAGCGAGTCGGCGCCAGAGTACTTTCCCTTCTGGACCCAGTTGTAGCTGTGGCCAGACTTGGTTGTCGCCGCAAACGTGGCCTCGACAGCGACGTCGAGCTTGAACATGGTGAAGAAGGACGAGCCGACACAGTACTTTCCGGCCGGGCACTTGAGGTTCACCGTGCCCGCGTTGGTGATCGTAGTGCCGGTCAGGCTCTGGGAGGCCACGCTTCCCTGAATACCCCAGGTGGCCGCCGTGCTGACGGAGCCCTCAGTGAGGAAGGGGATGCCGACCTTGCCGGTCACAGTCACGGTGTTGCCGACATTCCAGCCGACGGTGGTCGTGAGCGAGTGCTGCTTGGTGATGGCAGCCGTGGTCTGGATAGAGGTGCTCTGGTCCGAGGACGAGTTGCGGTTGTCGATGATCTGCGACCCAACCGTCACGGTCTGGCCGTTGGAGGCTGGCAGGATGTTGTTGGTGAAGCCGGAGTAGTCGATGTTGTTGATGGCAATCGACTCTAGGTCGTCGAGGAAGTCAAAGCCCACAGAGGCGATGATGCCGTTGGGGCAGTAGACATAGCGGATCTGGGCAAGAATGCCGGAGCCCACCGGCATCTTCTGGGCAGTGAACTGGCTGCCGGTGCTCGACATGGCCTTGTAGTTGCGGTCGCCGTCCGTCTTGAAGTTGAAACCCACGAACTGCTTCTCGCTCGCGAACACGTTGAACTCGGAAATTCTCTCGTTCGAGTCAAACGTGAAGGAGCCGGCATCGTCTCCCTTGCTAATCTGTCATTTGTTAGCGGGCATCCCATGGAAGCCAAGGCCATGCGGCCGTTTCATGATAGCTTACCGTGCTGGTGACTTCTGTCACGCTTCCGTTGATCGAGTTGAGCTTGAGCGAGCGCATGTCGCTCGAGCCAGTGAAGAACTGGAGAGTCTGAATGGGCCCGGCCGCGGTGGTCGTGTGCACCTGCGACGGCTGGCAGGCCACCAGAGGGTTGCCAACATCGATGGCGATGAAGGCACCGTTGGTCTTCACAGACAAGGCCGTGCTGGCGCTCGAGTCCCGGCGGTGGATGGTCGGTGTAGGCGCAGGATGGTTGGAGCTTGAAAGCGATTTGAGCATGGATGCAATGCCTGCATCGTCCAAGCTTCCGTGGTCGATGATGGCAGACTTGATCGCGGCAAACGAAGCCGTCACTGTGGCCGTGTCGCGGAGAGCCAGCATAGTAACCGGCGATGCGCCGGCAAGCTGAACAAAGAGGGGGCTCGCCAGCAAGCACGGAATCAGGAAAGCCGCCATGGTTATCTTGGTGAATGGAATATGGGTGTCGTTGTGTTTGCGTGAGGCTGTAGAGAAAAGTGAGGAAAGAAGATGAGAGAGTAGAGAAGAATAGAAGAAAGAAGAGAGAAGAGAGAAGAGAGAAGAGAGAAGAGAGAAGATAGAAGAAAGAAGAGGAAATGTGAGAGAGATGTTGATGTTGATGCTTCAAAAAGACAGACGGTAGACTATCGGCAGCAGAGGCGCTCTTATATATTCATCCATCGTGTCTCCCGATGCAAGAACGAGGCCAGTCGCTTTGCTGCCGGCATATGCCACCGCACTGCCGTACATCACGGTTCGACTGCATTGACCACGGCGCAGGGGTTGTCGGGATTTGCCCTCGTCTGAATGTCATTTCTCACCCGCAAGGATCGTCAATTGCTTCTACACATCAGGCCATCCCGTCTCGGAAAGTTGGCAATGCAAGATCTGCGACTCACAGCCTTGGAGGTATGCGATAGGCTTGTTATCGCCTTAGCCGCACGCAGGACGCTCGGGTGATCCTTTCCAAGGAGCGCGTCTGCATAATCTTGGCGCACGATCTAGGAGAGGCTAGATCTGCCAATGATGGGGGGGCGCTGTGCACACGGACCAGGTTAGCAGACAGGACAGCCTGCGTCAGATCACAACTTCGAGCTGATGTGGGTCGCGCAGCTTTCTGAAACGCTCGAACCGATGCTGACCGAGGGCCGTTCCAGCAATTGTGTGGCGGATACGAACTTGGAGTTGAAAAACTCGAGGATCCGGGCGGCTAGTGCCCCTGGCTGCGCCCAGAAATGGCTGTGCAAAAGTGGAAAATACTATGTATATGCATTTGGCTGCGTCTGAGGTTCAAGGATAAAGTACTGGAGCCTGCTACTCTACCGTAAATATGCATATTCTCGTATTGCAGGGATATTGGCAGCCCGCATACCGAGCGGAAAGCTGGGAAGGTGCCTGGACCAAGCCAACGGCATTGTCAGGGACAGTTGAACCAAGCTTGAAAAGAAGGTCGGGTCTGGCAACGTGGGCAGCCACTGGGTCCAAAATAGGCACATTCGCGGTACCGATCGCTGCAGGGGCGACCCCGTTTGGAGCTTCCAACAGTTGGCCGAAAGGGTCCGACGTTCGGTCGTTCTCGGCGATGCATGACGTCGTGACCATGTCGCGCAACATGTCAGTCTTGGACACTGTCGGACTCGGGGAAGGATCCGGAGTACATCCATAGGCGACACTTCAATACAGACAATCGGGTTCGCTATCAGTGTCACCAGCTTGGACCTGGAAGTACTCCGTACGGAGCACGTATCGCACCTCGGCTTGTGTTGTTTCAAGAATCGCAACTTGGTCTCTCCATCTCGTGCATTACAGTCGAGGACTATTTACGGCACTAAAGCGTCGATAGTCTAAGAATAGACTGTAGACACCCACCCAAGCGCATCTCGCTCCGTACAACATCGTCTAGTATCAACGGCTCGAATGGCATGAAAGAGCAACCCACACCTGCCATTGCCGCAGATTCAAGAGCTTAAATAGATGTATATTTTTGCATCATGCTTTACTGTAGACACCAAGAGTAAGCATTGATTCAGGTCATAAGGGAAAGAGAGTGAAACCATCAAACTTTAGCCTATTGGATTGCGATAGCTATAGTGGCCTTAGTAATATAGACGGCAAAAAATAGAGTATGAAGAATACGACGTCTGTATGCACACGCCTAGAATAAAGCGTCTTTTAGACTCGAACACGTGGTAGTCTCGGTGAGGCTTTTATTGAGCCATGACTTTTTAGGAAGGTTGTTTCATAATCAGGACATCAAGTAAGATACACTGACTTCGTAGGCGTTGACATCAGAAGATCAGAGCGAACTAAATTAAGAAGCAGGGCTAGTCAAAAACCTCGCATTTGCAACCGTTATGCTTCCATCCCCCCTAGCCACTTCGTAACCCATTTCCTACCGAATATGTACAGTTCAAAGTGCCTAAGTCTCGACTCGAGGAGGAGGTTTCAGTCTACAAAAAGCCGCTAAAGAGGTAGCCAGGCCCGATCGCTTTGCTCTGCGACGTTGCGCAGTCGTCGTAGCGAGCTGGCATGCAATCACCACATATTACGCTGAAAAGACGTTCAGAAATAATAGCGATACACGGCGACATGGTTCTGAGGTATTGGACCACAACAATTCAAATACTCATGGCAACTTTTAATCTGAGCCTGATCACTTTCACATAACAGTTTCTGCCAGAATAGTTCCAGATTTCGCATTATCGCGCAAGAACAAAGGGCGAATGTATAAGAGGGGGCCCCGACAATTCAGTCTATTTAAACATTTCCTCTCCAACTTATATAAAGTCGCATTTCACCAAAGTTCTTGTGTTCGGCGGCAACGGCCGAAGTCGGCTCATCGGTAGCTTTAGAGGTCAAAGCCCGGTATCCAAAGATGGCCGCATAGAGTCCTGTCTAGGATGGCGTGGCCTACGTAGTTGTCGTCAGTAGTGTATCTGCTGCATATGGTGTTGGTGCTGACTCGAATCTGTCGCCTCCTTCGCTGGCTGACTCAAGCAATAATTCGCATAGTTCTTCGAATTGTCATCATGCAAGAGAAAGACAAGACGTATTCTTTCAACTACTACTGAAGCACAGCCGAGTACGTACCTCATTGGAGAGCGTCACCCAGAAAGCATTGTTTACGTAATAGCTCAAGTCATCGAGTTCAAGAATCCCATGTTTGTTGTATCTCATTCGTGATATTTGTTTCGCCTGCCCAGTCTGTTCTTCCGTTGCTCTCAGCTGGCTAACGATGCTCTCCAGACGCGTCAGGCGTTATGACAATTGAAGAGCTACACCCTGCCTTAGACACTCTTGACCCTCCTCTAGCCACAAATTGCACGTTTGCACATAGGTCGATGGCCTACTATTCGACGATTACATTACCCAGGACACAAAAACACAATACGAAGGAGGAATTAATTGAGCTAGCATGCGGAGAGATTGCGGGCACTGTTTAATAAACCAGGTTCCTTGCGGGAAAGACGCCTACTATGTAGACGTATTGTGGGACGCTAATAGGGGCTAGTGGGCGGAGATCGTCCGGCACAGCGTACTCCGTAATCGCTTCTACATGCTTACACGGAGTACGAGTACTCTGTAAGAAGACTGTTATGCAAGCGGCCGAGCCTTACCCAAGAGAAGAGCCGTGGCGAAGCTTCTTCGGATGTTTCGTCCATGTCAGCCTTGGACCAAGTCGGTAGATCTAATAAATAGTGACGAGAGCAGAATACACGAATTTCACTCTCACTACTTCATTGCAGCTAAACCAAAAGTCTCAATCAATCTGCATCAACGCACTGAAGATGGCTGAGAAGCCAAATGACAAGTGGTAGATTTTGAAGGCGAAATTGATTCGCTTAACTCTCAGACCGGGTCTATGGGCAAGAAGGTCCAATCACTGCGCTCTGGGCATTGGCCACCTTACAAACTGCAAGTATATTGGGCGAAGATCGTTGTATTAGAAGAGAAGAAGCAGCTATCTAAAAGATTGGAAGTCTGCTCCGTACTAAGGTGGTCCTTGCATCGCCGTGCAACAAAGTACTGTGTCTCTTGCTTTGGATACACGTTTCTGCTTTATCACTGTTTCTCCGCGTCTGCCCTATACGTATGGAGTACCTATATATTTCACTCCTTCTGTTTATTTCCATCCAGACGTGCCACAACCTCCGCCATGCCTTATCCTCACCTATCCTCGCTGTCAGATATCTTTAGAAGACCCTTTAGTGGCCATCTTAGTAGGCCTCCTTGTGGCTCTTAGCATTGTCGTATACCCACTACAGTGCAGCGTCGACTATAGGAGAGATCGTTTCTACCAAAGGCTGACCAAGAGTACGTATTCCTCTTTCCTTTCTTGGTTTACTCTCCCCTAACACACACAGAAAGCTTCCGGTTGCGCCTGCGCTCAGTAATTCTCTCCGAGTTTTACCATCAAAGCTATGACGATCTGCTCGTAGAACTCCGTCGCCTTTCTAAAGGGAAGAAGAACAATCTGCGCCATATATTTGACCAGTATGCAGTGAATCTCGACGACCGTAAATGTTATTCTCTTTCTACTAGCCTCACACATTCTCCCTCTTTCGCTTTTCCTATTCTCTCACTATTTGGCCAGAATCCCAGTTCTCTGCCTTCCTTTCCTGTCGCCTGGAGGCGAAATTTTTGGATCTTCTGCTCTCTAGAGATGTTCCTGCTACAACGCTACCTATCCTTTTGCTCATGTCTATCGTCTTCAGGGACAAGACAAGGAACAAGGACACAAACAGCAGTGGATCGATATCGATGACTGGATCCAGGCCGTCGCTCTGCTAGCTACTACCACAACCACCACGACCTATCGCCGCTCCTTTGACTCGAGCCTCCATAATATCTGGAGAACGTACCTCAGCCTTTCTATACCCTTGTCTGGCGGCAAGCCTGTGGCAGAACATGAAGGAGGTCAAGAAGAGGAGCAGCTGCCAAATATAATGGATGAACTCACATACATGGTCAAGGGCCAGCTCGCTGAGGACATCAATCTTAGGAGACCTCCTGTGGAGAGAATCCGACAGAGAATCGAGGAGAGTTTGCGAGGTGAGGAGCCTGCCTGTGCACGGAAGATATCTACCTGCGACTACGAGCTACCCTTCCACGACATTTTAGGCTTTCTCTGTGCCATTCTTCAGACGTGCATTATGTGTCCAGAGCCCACAGAAAACGCACACAGATGAGACCCTTGGCCTAGCCTATTGCTGGACCAAAACGTGGACAGAGATTTGCAGCTCTCGGTCGCAGAAGGCATTCTCGCTGCCAGCGGGATTGCAGAGGCTCGGTTGTTTCTTTTGCGCAGTTCCTTGCTTTGGCCCAGGAGACTCCCTAGAGATTTTTGCAAAGGACGTTGCCACTCCTTTGGTAAGCTGGCCAGAATAGAGCCTATTTGATTCATTACTGACGAAACATTTTTAGCAAAGTTACGGGACAATTATAACGGTGTCATGGGAGCTTCGCATCGCCAGCTTTTGGTGCGCTCTTTTCTTTGTCTCTGACCAACGCGCCGGCACAGGTTCGGTAGCAGCCTCTGGAAACAGTCCTAGTAAGCCGTCACCACTGTCAAGACTCGTCTCGAGCATGATTGACTTTCTCAGCCTTTTTCGGGGGGAGGACTCAGACAGACTCGACCGCGAGAAGATGAAGTTGCGGTTATCATCAGATGTGTCTAGACTTTCCTGCGACGCATTCGTCGGCGCCCTCACTTCGCCGGGTCTCGAACTTGCCCTAAATTACGGCACCGTCATCTTAGATAATTCTCCCTCTCAGGCTTCCCAGGAAATATTGGACAATTAAGCGGCGGTACTCTTCGTTCTCACCACCTCGACAGGGAGTTGGAACCTCACAGACCTCGACGACATCGACAACGTCGAGTACGAACATGTAAGGCACGTACAAACTAACCAGCTTTTCAGGAAGCTGGTTTACTGAGTTCTTAATCTCCTGATCGCTGTAGAAAGGGCTGGAGCAGATATAATCTAGCACAAATCGTGCGTATAAGAACATTTCTTAGGCACAGTTCTGTTAGCTAGAATGAAAAGAAAACCACAACAGCTTGAATTTGGAAAGGCTGCGTACTATAAGTTTTATAAGTTTTTCTGGCAATAATGTCAAGCAGCTTGCTATTAGGCCAAAGGCATAATGTCTAAGTGACGTCCCGCACCATTAAGCTCGTCATCAGTCGAGCGGCCACCATGGCCAAAATGTTTCACGTTGCAGTACTATTTGTAAGACATCCTCAATATTGACAGAACCATATCACTCTGACAGTTCTCCAGACATTTAACATCGTCGACGGTATCATGATAGTTCTGATATTCTCTTGCAGTGACCGTCAGTGAAGCGAATCTGAGATGGATTGCCGGCGGCGAAGATATTGTCACGGCGGCTATTTCGCGTCATTGAACACTCCATAGGACAGCACGGCCGGCCAAGATTTCACCCTTACTGTATATTCGAGGGCCTGGCCTAGGGGCTGAAGACACAGACGGGCAATAGAGTCCTGGCATGTGGATGTTGACCGGTCGCTCTTTGTAGGTAGTGCACCTGGTACAAGAACGAAGTCACGTGACAGAGAGCCCCGATTACTACATAGCGTGAAAGCGTGGGGTCCCGGAAGCGTGCGTCCGGTTCATCAAGCCTACAGTACGATGCTAGGTTATGATACGGAGATGTTCTGATAGGATGCCCGGTGCGCATGCCGGCACGGAGCAGATTGAATGCGTGCTTGATGCTGCAGGATCGGCGTTACGATGGAGCGGGGACTCGCCATATCTCCGGGGAGCAAAAACGCGAAAAGAAAAAAGAAAGACGCGAGACGCGGTGCTTGTTGACGGAACAGGCCGGAGTCGAGTCTATGTGAGTACGACGCTGATGAGAAGTGACAGAGTTTGTCTTGGCCTCGATGAGAGAAGGATGTTCTGACTCGTACGAGCTCAGATCAGCGCGTCTCTAGTCTGAGGCGGAGCAGTTACTCCTACCATTCCTAGTAAGCCGATGGGCCCGTATGCGCCACTTGTAATTACTCGTACTTTGTACGAGTTTTGTACGCAGTAAACGTACCCGGATCTCACGTGTATACGGAGTATACTCTGTTCTGGACTCCTTCTGCAACGGGCAGAGGAGTGGCCGATCGTTATAGGAAGGGCCGGCAATAAACCAATCTCTGCGCTCCGGGCTGACATCCTGTCTGCGTGCAGGCTATTTGCTTTGTACTTCGTACAAGTACGGATTGGGAGAGTACAAGCAGTAAGCTCGTATTACCAGACCCGAGGAGAAAGCACGGACAGCTAACGGCCCGGTTGGAGTGATGCAATAGTTTCTCATATTAATAGCCATAGTACAAAGTCGTCGCGGCTGCCCGCCAATTTGAAGGCTGAACTTGCACACTCCTTACATAGTACGAAGACACACCGGTGCAGTTCCTGTGCTCGTCTTCAGGCTTCTCTTCCAGCGGCTTTGACAGCTGCTCGCCCCGGTTAATCGTTGTGGGACTATTTTCCAGGCCTCCTAAGTCTGTTTTGGGGCTCTCCTCCGACTGGGCTTTTTTTCCTCTGCGCCCTTGCCTCCTGTCCCACTTAATTTCATGGGCCTCTTTCCTGTTCCGTCAAACCTGAATGCAAATGGCGTTTTTATCTTTTATCTTTCATCTTTTATCCTTTTGTTCTTTTAATCGACTTTTTGATATTTGTTTCCATCGTGGGCAATTAAAAATCAGAGTTGCATTTCTTGCCTTCGGAGTTCGACCCGTATTCTTCAAGATATTGATACGGCCCACCCTGTCGATGTGCAACGCCGGCGAACTCTTTCCCTACCAGCACCGTCCGGGTCATACTCCGTACGCTTTCAACCATGTACAAAGCACGCAATAGTACCTTGCCGAGAGACAATGCTACTCCGTACGATGCTCGTGGCCTTGCGGGTGTGCGCATGCGAAGCAGTATTTTCTTAGTGGGATCGCCGGCTAGACGAGCGCTTGCTTTTTTCTGAGGAATTTCTGTCCACGCGCGAAACACGTTGCCTCGCGAAACACGTTGCCTTCCCTTGCGCCCCTTATTCTGCTAGTCCGCTGTTGGGTTCTAGTTGGCCCGCGTATTCTCCCTTCGTTTGGGTCCGCGTACAAGTACTCGTACTCGTGCACAGAACTGCGAGTATCCCACCAAGAGCAATTTTGTATCTGAGTGTGCTCCCCCAAGACACGGCCACCATGTCCACGCCAAGATATCTTACCACCAGCACTGCCGTCCACGGTCTACGGTCTACGGTCTACGGTCTACTGTCTGCCGTTCCGTCCACCACCTCTTCTCGCTCCTGCCTGTGCCATGCGTGATCTCCACTGGGGACTTGTACGAGGACGGCATCGCTTCGCCGCCGCCCTCGCCGGGGAGGCAGGGGGGAGGAGGGGGGCAGCCTGGGCTTTCCATGCCAGTGGATGAGGTACCTGCGTGCCAATACGGCGGGGCGGCGGGGTGTGCGTACCCGTACATGGTACTTTGTCAGGTCTTGTGAGAACCTGCACAGGCAAGGACGGGTACATGCGTCGTCAGATGGGTGTAAGATACCGGAGATGGCAGGCAGACGGCAGACACGACAGCGGTCGCCCACCCACTCGCACTCGCTGCACGAACCAGCGCTAGTTCCGCCATGTGCACTTGCAGCACTCGCACGCAAAAGCCCACGGCATTCGCAACCGGGCGGCATGGTTCTAGCCAGGATGTTGGTCAGGGATTCTGTGAATCCAGTGAATCCATGGCGACGAGTGTTCGCGGCCTCGTTGACTCGTCCTCACCGGCTCATCGCCCTACTCGATTGTCGCGTGGCCAGCCTGCTACTCTGTACGAATACTCGTACTAGCATTCAGCCGGTCAGAGATACGCTGTCTGGTACTTTGCGCCTTCGTCCTTCCAGCCGTAGAGTACTTTGTCGGATACGATACATAGCAAGTGTGGCTAGCGGCAGCTTAGCGCAGTACAGGCTCACGCTATGCTGCCGGACATCCCGCTCTGGGCAACAGTAAACGAGCTGCGCAGTTGCGTCCGTGACAGCGAGCACGGAGAGTCGTAACGCTCGTATGCGCAGGCGCCAACTTGCATTCTCCGTGCAGGCTGTTCCATTCGGCAGAAACTGCAGCGGGAAGAGAAAACCTGCTGTCTGCATGTGAATGGCACAAAGGGACCCTGGCTCAGAAGCGAGCAGTAATCTGCCACTAAGCCGGCCTGGGCATGGCGCTGATCCAACTACGTGTTTGCGTCCAATAATACTCGCACCAAGCCGCATGCTGCATAACACCATCAGCCTACTCCGTAGCTCGCACTTTCCCTACCAACTACGGAGTACTCGTACTCGTACGGATCGATACTCGTACAGAGCAAGTCCTTCCTTCTCCCAGACTGTTCCGTGGCTCCTGCTGCCTGGACCATTTCTTCGGCCATTTCTGGTTGCGCTCCAAAGCGCTGCTTTCCGTTTACCTCATTCGGCTAGCTGTAAGCCGGCACAACCGTTCTTCCCCCATTCTTCATTCCCGCAGATCCACTGCCATGCTTGAACCTGCAAGCACGAACATATCACGGAGCCACTTTTGTATGGACTTGTACGAGTACTTGAACAGGCTCGTCAACGCTATGGATACCCCCCCATTCTGCACACCCTATATTGTGCCATGAACTCGATACCCCTCTTCCCTTATATTGTCACTTCTCCCCTCTTCTGCTCCCTGTCTTTTCTTCCCACCACTCCCGCAACACCACCCAGTTCGCCGGCCTGGATCCCTGTCACAATAAAAGGCCTTGTCTCGCCTGCAGCTCAGTATACCTTCGTAGCCCCCCCTCCTTCAATACAGAAAGCGGCCACCCCCCCTCTTCTCTCGGCCATATCCACACCTGCCCGAATTGCATCTCTCCAAGATATGTACCGCCCCTCCCTCCGAAATCACACACCCTTCCGTCCCTCTTTAACCTCGTCCCCGTCCTCTCCACCAACAATCGACGGCCACCACCTCCTGGACACATTCGTACATGCTCCATAGCTGTCACGCACTCAGTCGACCACCCCTCCCCTCTACCCTGGCTTGCAGCCTGTGACTCCTGGACAGTGGGTTTGCGCGGGTGAAATCGATCGCCGCCAACTGATCTGTCGGCGACTCCCTCTTCAACAACCACCATCGCTCACACCCTCACAGACGTCGACACCATTCGACACCCGCCATCATCGTCGCCGCTTGCGAGCATCTTTCGCCCTGGAGCGTGTCCGGCCCGCTCTCTGACCTGATCGACATCCTCAGGCCAGTCCTGCAACCTCTGTTCCGGTCCCTCTCCAACAATCCCCAACATCTTTCGGTTTTCTTTCACCATCCCGCGACCCCTCCTAGCGTAGCTTCCGCCTGCATTTTGCCGTTGGCGCCTGGCCGTCCCTCCACCATCTTCGCCACTCTGCGCGTACAGCCTTCTCTTCTCTGGTTGGCACCTCCTGGTTCTATTCTTTCAACCCATACATATCCCCGCACCGACCTCTTGACACGGAGCACAAAGAGCACAAGACTCGACTTTCCCTGCTCAAGAAGTCGTCCTTCGACCTCTTTGCCACCAACTCCAGGCGGCAGCTTGTCCAATACTCGTTTGACAGCCATTTCACATTTCTTAACTCTGGAGCTCCCCCCCCCTCTATTTCTCTTGCTTCCGCCTATCGACCAATACTTTGTACAAGTAACTAGTCGCCCCCTCGCCCCACTCCTTCCCATCCCTTCTGAGTCCACCGCGAAAAGGGCACGAACGCTTGGCCCCTTGTAAGATATTTTATTCGATTTTATTTGGTTCGGGGAAAAGGCCTCCACCAATCCTTCCCTGATCGTCGCCAATTCTCTCGCCCTCTGAGCACTGAGCCCTCTGCAAAGGGAGAAAAACACATCAGGCAGCTCGACCAACAGGCTCCCTGGCTGGTACTTCACTGTGGATTTTTTTTTCTTCGCGCGCCAACCACATGCACGCATAGTTCCTCCTGCCTTGCATCAGCTTACTGTGCGCCTGCTCCCGTTGCCCCAAGAGCGATTTTGTCTTGGTCGCGCATCCTTTGCATACCACGCCGTTCGAGACAGCCCAACTACATCTCGACACGTCGTTGCGCAGACCCGTTTGACGTGGTCGACGACTGTCGCTCTCATGTACTCCGCACAACCAAACGGCGCTGACAGTGCAACGATCAATCCTGCTGCGCTTGCATCCGGTAAGTCGTCGCTCCCTGCTTTTGCTCTGCGGTCGGAATTTCCGGCCTGCTGTCGGCTTGCGTCCCTCTGCTGCGGCATCACTCTGGAGCTCCCCTCATTGCGGCCATCCCCCCCCCCTCTCCAGCGCCGTGCCATTCTTTTTTCTTGCATCCATCCCCCTTCGCGTCCCCTGCCCACACCCTTCCCTGCATCTTTGCCTCGAGACAAGCGCAGCGCGGCACCAGCAGCAAGAGGCTGCTACAGGCATTCATCGCGCTACGGCATCGGAATGCACCAGCAGCCGCGCACATTCCTGGTCGCGTCGGCAGTGCACAGCTCCGACGTGTTGCGCCCGTGCAATCACGACGCTGTCACCCTCTTGCCACTGACCATGATTCCTTCCCGTCGCGTCCTGCCTACGTCAAATGCTTCTGCTGCCGGGGGAGGAAGTGTGTACTGTCGCTAGAGCATTCCCTTGAAATGGCCCTCTGGTCCAACCTATCTTTCATGTGCTCTGCCCCAATACTAACAACACTCCGTGGTCAGATCTCGCGAACGCCTCGCGGGGAATCAAGAGGAGCCGGTCTCCAGAAGCGTATCAGGACGTCAGCCAACAGGGGACGCCTGGAGATGATGGTGCGTTCTTTTCTTTTTTTGCCGTTCTTCCCCCTTCGCATCGGAAAAGCAATAATGCTACACCACGCCTCCATCTGACAACAACGCTGACATTCCACCCTTCAAAAAGGTGACAAGCCTAGGAAACGCGGCCGACCGATGAAACCATCCGCAAAGACTCTTGGAGGCGTCACGGAAACCCCGATTCAACCGCCAACCCTGCCCGCCATGTCTTCGCAGACAAACGCACCTCCGCAGCCACACTCGGCGGCACAACACCCACAACACGCCCAGCCACGCCGCGCCTACGCGCCGTCCCTCGCCACCCCCGCTGCATTGCCGGTGGCTCCCACATCTGTTGCAGCTCCTCCGCCAACCCCTCCGACCCAGTCCTCTCCTCCCGTCAAGACCCCGGCGAAGCCTACCCTTAAGGCACTCCCGACCGTGCGCGACCATACCACAGACCAGCTAGGCCCCGGCAACGATGAATACCTGCCGCGCGAGACCGACGAAGCCGGCGAGAAGAAGGTCATGCAGAATGGTCAGCTCCTCGGCGGCCGTGAATACCGCTGCCGGACATTCCTAGTCCCCCAGCGCGGCGACAAACTCTTCATGCTGGCCACCGAATGCGCTCGGGTTCTCGGCTACCGCGACTCGTACCTGCTGTTCAACAAGAACCGCTCGCTGTACAAGATCATTGCCAACCAAGTCGAGAAGGATGATCTCGTCGGCCAGGAGATCCTACCCTTCTCCTACCGATCTCGCCAAATCGCCATCGTCACCGCCCGCAGCATGTTCCGCCAGTTTGGCAGCCGTGTCATCGTCGGTGGCCGTCGCGTCCGTGATGATTACTGGGAGACTAAGGCTCGTAAGCAGGGCTTCACGGAGGCAGACATGGCCGGCGAGAAACGTCCCGGTGGAACCAAGGCTCGTGAGGCCGCCGCCGAGGCTGCCGCTGCCCAGAATGCTTCCATTGTCGGCCCGGCTCACGGTGAGATTGTCTACGCCAATGCTCCGCAGTTCAACGCTGCTCCGCCGTCGCAGCTGGTCCAGCCAGGTTCGTTGCTATGGCCATTTTTGAGCTGAACTTCTGATTATATCCACTGACACCGTACGTGCGCTTAGAGTACAACGACACGAGAAGCCGCGACTATTCAAGCATCCTGAAGACGGCTCCCCGCCAAGAGATTACCGGCCCTGCGTACCAAGACCGCTCCCAGCCTGCACCCCTTGGCGAGATTCATGCCCAGGCACACCATGCGGCGGAGTTCAACAGGAGCGTGAACCAACAGCGCGACATTCGGTCGGACTACATGCAGAACGTGTGGCGCCGCCCGCATGAGCAGCCGCCTCCGCCGCCAAGCTTGACCCAGCAGCAAATTGTCACGAGCGAGCCACCGCTTCAGTCCGGCCGCGGGGGCACGTCCCATGCGAATGCGACTGCCTCGGCCAGCGGCATGCAGCAGCCGACTTTGGTTTCGCACCAGAGCCCTCAGATGATGATGACGGCACCGCCGTACTCGCAGTCGATCCCAACAAGCTCGTTGCCATCGTCCATACAGAGTATGCATACGCCCGCGGCAGTAACATGTAGACTGGGTTGCTAACACGGGTTGAAGGATCTTCAGGCAGCATGTCCCAGCAGGGCTACAGCTATCCGCCGTCATCACAGATGTGGCCGCCTACACCGCAGACGCCGCAGTCGTCGCAGTATAACTACAGCCATCATACGCCTGTGCAGCCATCGCACCCGCAACAGCCGCCGCCACAGCTGCGGCACCCAAGCAGCGGTGCTCCCGTTCAGCAAGGCAGCCTGCCGTACTCTGGAATGCCCGGCATGAGTCCCGGCTATCCGTCTCAGAATCAGCCTATGCCGTATGACCAGACGCCTAGGCAATACATGCATCAGCCGGGCTCTGGCTCGCCAGCCGTTACTCAAGGCTGGTCAGGACAACCCCAGCAGTGGTGGAACAATCAGCAGCAGTAGGTCGATATTGACGGGACGACATGTCTTGGTCATTCAGAGACTTGGCCTGGCAGAAAGGGGGCGCGCGCAGTATGATGATTGACGAAGACGACCTTTTTTATCTGTCCAGACCCTGGGAAGTCGCGATATTCACGGCAGCGACGTCCTGTCTCTGTATTTGTCCTTTGTCCTGCTTTTGCTTCTCTTTTTCCTTTTTTTCTTTTTTTTTCTTTTTTTGTCGCTGGTTCAATTCATCTTTGTGTGTGGCCTCTCATATATATACTGTTGGCATTATGACGGGAGGCTCTTGGTCTTGCGATTTGGCTTTTGGTGGACTGTTTGGAAAGGTGGCCTGGTCTTGTTGCAACAAGCTTCTGACCCAGGCAGGGATAGAGGAGTCTGGGAGGATTTCTCAACTTGTTTCTTCCACATCGGTTTATGCCCAAGTTACCTTTCTTGCTCTGTCCCTTTTGTCACGGCCTCTGAAGGCTTTGTTTTCAAATTTCGCTTCTGTCTTTTCTGCCTATGCGCTCTTTCTCGTTTCATTCCTCCCTTTTCACATCTTGGGGGATTTCGAAGAGGGGACGGCACGATTGGTTTACTATGGTACGGCCGGCCTGTCAATGGTACTACCTCTCCGTGGCGATTCCTGTCGTCAAAGGCTCGACTGGAGCTTTTGTTCCTCGAGAGATCACCCCCTTCGACGATTGCAGATCTCTCTCCCTATTTACCCATGGCTTTCTGCTCAGCACACGCAACGAACGCAAGACACGCCGATACGCACTTTGGATGCCCAAGCCCCCTCGTGGGGCTTATTCGCTCTCGAACACTCGCTTTGCCACGGGTCACACGCATACGCATGTACACGGGTTGATACCATTTCATTATTTCATTGTGGTCGACTATATGGCTCATGCCTTTATCGTGGGCTTGTTTTGGCTTTGCTTTTTTGTTTTGTTTTTATTGATCTCAGCAAGTTGGCTATAACGTATCTTTTTTTACTTCGGTTACCCCTTTCATTTTCTTCTGCTGGTGAAATTACCAGACCATTTATTTTACAAGTACTTATCATGCGGTTATACAACCTTGATTCCAATAGGCTGCTTTAGTTTGGTGTGAGAAAGAGCAGACACGTGCCCTGTTTTGTAGACGAGGCCCTGGCCTGTATACCCTATCACTTATTCACTGCCATCGCTGTCGACGGCCTCGTCCTCGTCCGGCGCATTATCGCGGTCCTCTAAGGTGTCCTCGTCTGGCCCCTGCTCCTCGTCCTCTTCGTCATCCTCTTCATCCTCGTTTTCCTCCTCATCCTCCTCGGCGTCTTCTTCTGGCCCCTCGTCCTCGTCTATGACAGCGTCTTCGTCTTCGGCATCAGATGCGTCGCCCGAACCCATCTCGTCGTCTACGGCTTTGGCACTGCCCTTGCCTTGCGACGATCCCCTCTTGGCCTTCTTGGCCAGCGGCGGCGCACTATCCGATGTTGCTGCTGCTGTTGTTGCAGAGGATTCCCCTGCGGATCTCGCCTTGGATGAAGCTGTGCCCTTGGCGGCGGCCTTGCTGCTGCTGCCCTTGGCTGCCGTCGGCCGACCGGCTTCTGCATCGTTCTCGTCGTGGGCCACGGCAGAGGCAAACGATGCATTTGCGCCAGGAATCGTGCTGTCGCCATCGCCGTCACCATTGCCATCACCATCTCCGTCGCCATCTGTGGTGGCCTTTTTGGCCGCAGCTACCCGCTTACGGTAATCGGACCGCTTGGAGGTCTGGATGTGGCTAAACTCTGTTGGTAGGCGGGTGTGAGCAAGAAGAAAGATGAAAGGCAGAAAGGAAGACACTGACTGGCAAACTCGGCCTCGAGCTGGGGCCGCAGAAAGCCAAACTCAATGTCGTCGAGTGCGGCAAGGACATCGGCCGGCATGATCGTCTTCTTGCCGGCATTGGTCGTGATGACGTTGGCACTGCAGGGAGACGAGAATGTCCCGAAACGTCAGTCTCTGACGGCACAAACAGGCGGGAAAGGCTTTGGTAAGAACGCACGCATTGGCCAAGTGGCTGATGAAGACAGTGGCGCTCTTGGTTACGGCAGTGACGGCGTTGCCCTGAATCGACGTATTGGGAGGCAGGACGCCCTTGGCCAAACGGGTGATGATGGATCGTGGCAGGCTGAGGTCCTAGGTGCGTGCGGCCTGGTCAGCAGGGAAGCAAGAAGCAAGAAGCAAGAAAGTAGGGAGCGAAGACATGGGATGGGCTGTACCTCGATCGTAATTGCGTCGTTACCGCGCGACTCTCGCCGCTCCTTGTCCTTTTCGGCTGATGCGGCCGTCGTGGATGGATCCTTTGCGTCGTCGCCGGCATCGGTAGAAAACGGAGCTGCCGGATCGGAAGACGGGGTGGACGGAGCTGGTGCTCGTTGGTGTTGTGGTGGCGGCGTGGTGGCCGGTGGCCGGAGCCCGTCTGCTGCTGCTGCGGCTGTCACCGCCGCCGCCGCGCCGCCGCCGTCGCTCTTACGCGGTGGCATGCTGCTCGTGCTTGTCCCGGCTTCGTCCTCCTTCTTCTCACGTGCGACACCGACAAGGAAGTGTTGGTCGATCGCCAATGGCCACCGCCTCGGAGCCTTGCCTGTCTCTCTGCGGATAGCTGCACGAACGTGTACGCTGGTCGGGTAGCTGGGTGTTGCTGTTGCGCGATCGTGTCAGTGGCCGCGCGCAGGGCCGTCGTGCGTAGTAGTGGCTTCTGACAAGGCAGTGCGGCAACGGCCTGAAAAATGCTGGGATAAGACGCAGTTGGTAAAAGTGGGCCTGACGTCGCGTCTGTTGTCGCGTAAAGCGGTTTCAGATCGTAGGCGAGTCTGCTCTGTCAGTGCATATCTTGTACAAGGATATCACTATAACAAGGTGGTAAGGGCATAATTTCGTCTTCACAGCTCCGCGGCTGAAGGTGAACACTACTCGTAGTGAAAGCTGCTGCCTATTCGTACTACTGAGTACTCCGTAAAGCTCCGAGGCATTCCCGCATCTCTTGCCAAGAGATGTCAGCCTATAGTGGTGGGTGGCCTGGCGACAAGGTCCAAGTCATACGCCACCAGCCTAACGCTACCATGTACATACATACATGATCTGGGATGAAGGGTGGCCACATGAGCGACGGCAGCATATCTGGTGCAAATCCAAACGATTGATCCTGGTTCAATAGCCGAGTCTCATGTTGCACATATACGAAGTACAAATTTAGTGTTCTCAAGGGGCTAAAGCGAGGAGGAGAGGGGAAGCAGAAGAGAAGGCTACAAAAAGGACCTGCCGTGTGATGGAAAAGGAGACTAGAGCGAGCAACCGGCCACTTTCTGAAGAGTCGGGCTGTCCAGTGAGACACGCCAAGGTTTGGCTTGCTTATTGCACGAGCGACGCAGGTTATCTCACCTTTGCTGTCGTCAGAAGAGTCTGACGGAGATGGGGCCTATTTGAGCTCTGTTCCGCTGGGATGTGAAGAAAGCATGCATTAGCACGAGAGGATTGGCCCTTCCGCCCACCCTTGTAAGACAGACTTGTGTTGCACTGGTCCGGGCCTTCGGGCAAGCGAGGAAGCGCAAGCGTGGCCGCAGAGAGGACGGCGAGGAGGGTGTGGAGGACTGCAGGCAGAGTGGTTCTTCTGGGGGAGGGGGGTGCGCTGACAAGGGTCTTTCTTGAGCAAGAGGAAAAGAGAAAAAACGAGAGAAATGGGGACAAGACGAGACGTGGGGACGGAAACGGAGGATACAGGCGAGCTGCAATGCAACGCGGAGCCGTAGTCCGGCTGCCTACATAATACATTTTCGTACTCGTGCAGTTGGGCCAAATCCCTGTCTCTGCATTCGCAAGAGAGAGCAGCCGAGCGGTTATCGTCGCCTGTGTGCGCCATCTCCTCTCCCTCTTCGGCCATGGCTTCTCAGCCGCAGCAGCGGTGCCACCAGACCATCTCAGACCACTTCTTCCTCACCTCGAGCACTTGTAGCAGGCATCCCAGGTCTTGTCGAAAAATTGCCCCACCCCACAGCGGAAGCTGCCGCTGGAGCAATGCTATTCAGCAAAGAAGAAGAGGGGCGAAGTATCTGGGTGGAGAAAAGCGGTACTATGTACAGCGTGGGAGGATGTGACGTGCAAAGGACCCTAGACAGGCCCTTGTGCATGCTCGTCATTCTGCAAGCCGGCCTCGGCGCGGGCGGTTATCGTGCTCTTTTCCCTTTCGGTGTCCTTCTGCAGGGCTTAGCCGCTCTCACGGCGCGTCTCTCAGCTTGTGATCAAAAGCTGGCGGCCTGGCTTATCTTGCCTCTCCGTACATATGTACGCGAGTGACGGTGACGCAAGCCGCTCTCAACTCTGGACATGCGTGACCGAACAAGCCTATCGCGGCTTGGCAGCGGGACATTCAAGACACACGGGCTCAGCTATCTCTTACCGAATGCTACTTTCATCTGAGGCCAAGTTGTGCGGACCGTACCCGACTGTCCGAGTATTGTTTAGTCAGCATTAGTCAGCATTAGTCAGCAAACTGATAGCGAGAAATAATGTCTCACCGCCCTTACGGCTGTCGAATATTTTTTCTGCCACTTTGCTTAGCGAAGTTGGATATCCCAAGAGCAAAGACGAGCAAAGCAGCTGCAGAGACGCAAGGCGAGCCTCGACGATGGCGACACTCAAGAGATCTGCGCCTGACGGGCTATTTGAATCGAACATCTCGAGCAAGACGTTTGTACGGACGACGCGCAGTGGAAAGGTGCAAAAGATTGTACGCGAGGTGTATTTACGACAGGACATCCCATGTTCGTCTCAGCTCTGCCAGACGTGTCTGGAGACGGCGCCGCGAGACGCCTCCGGCAATGGTGTGTTTTTCATTTTGTTTCTTGCCCTGGCCGGTACGAAATCATGCTGATGTGATCCTGTCTAGTGGCACCGTTTGTGCTCAAAGAGCGGCCGGCGGGCACGAAGACGTACCCCCAGGGTCACTACCTGGTGCCGGACACGAACGCTTTCCTGACGGGAATGGATCTTTTTGAGCACACGGCAGCGTTCTACGACGTGGTGGTGCTGCAGGTGGTGCTGGAGGAGGTGCGCAACCGGTCGCTGCCGCTGTACAACCGGCTGGTGGGCCTGACACGCAGTGAAGAGAAGCGGTTCTACGTCTTCTTCAACGAGTTTCGGCTGGAGACACACGTTGGACGTGAGGCAGGCGAGTCGATCAACGACCGCAACGACCGGGCGGTGCGGCGGGCGACGCGGTGGTACAGCGACCATGTGGCTGAGGCAGCAGCCAAGAGCAGACAGACGGCACCGGCAGTGGTGATGATCAGCAACGACCGCGGCAATCTGGAGAAGGCGCGGGCAGAGGGGCTGGTGGCAAGCTCGCTGGCAGACTACGTGCGAGGGTTGGAGGGAGAGACGGCCGACGTGCTGCTGGACATGATCCCCGAGGCACAGGACATCAGCGTGGCCGAGCAGGCGGACGAGAAGAAGAGCCGGCGCCACCTGTACCCGGAGTATCTGACGCTTTCGCGGATGATGACGGGGGTCAAGAGTGGGCTGCTGCACCAAGGGCCATTCAGCGTGTCACCGTACAACTACCTGGAGGGGTCAGTGCGGGTGGCAGGGTTTCCGAAGCCGTTGCTGGTGCTGGGGCGGGAGTCGATCAACCGGGCAGTGGACGGCGACGTGGTGGTGGTGGAGGTGCTGCCGCGGGATCAGTGGAAGGAGCCATCGACGAAGATGATTGACGAGGCAGCACTGACGAAGAACGAGAGCGCGGAGACGGCAGGCGAGGATGCTGAGGACGAGACGACAGCAGCAGCAGCAGCAGCAGACGGGACGGCATCAGCACGCGAGCGCAAGGCGCTACAAGAGGAGGCACGACGGACGCAAAAGGGCGAGGCGCAGGTAGAGCCGACGGCACGGGTGGTGGGAGTGGTGCGACGCAACTGGCGGCAGTTTGTGGGTCACGTGGATCAGACGTCGGTGTCGGTATCTTCGCTGAGCGCGAGCGGCGGACAGGGACGCAAGCAGGAGACGGTATTTGTGATGCCGATGGACAAGAAGCTGCCGAAGATGCGACTGCGGACACGACAGGCCGGGACGCTGGCAGGCAAGCGGATCCTGGTGGCGATGGACGCATGGGACCGCGACTCTCGGCATCCGGTGGGCCACCTGGTGCGGGCGCTGGGCGAGCTGGAGACGAAGGCGGCCGAGACAGAGGCATTGCTGCTGGAGTACGACGTACAGTACCGTCCGTTTCCGCGCACGGTGCTGGACTGTTTGCCGGCCGAAGGCCACGACTGGCGGGTGCCAGCAGACAAGGAGACGGCAGCTGGGTGGAAGAACCGGGAGGACCTGCGCGAGCTGCTGGTGTGCAGCATTGACCCGGAGGGCTGCCAGGACATTGACGACGCGCTGCACGCGAAGCGGCTGGCGAACGGCAACTGGCAGGTGGGCGTGCACATTGCGGACGTGTCGCACTTTGTGCAGGCAGGCAGTGCAATGGATGCGGAAGCGAGTGTCCGGGGCACGACGGTGTATCTGGTGGACAAGCGGATCGACATGCTGCCGATGCTGCTGGGCACGGACCTGTGCTCGCTGCGGCCGCGGATCGAGCGGTTTGCCTTTTCGGTGCTGTGGGAGCTGACGGACACGGCCGAGGTGGTGGACGTGCGGTTCTGCAAGTCGGTGATCCGCTCGCGCGAGGCTTTCAGCTACGAGCAGGCGCAGCTGCGGATCGATGACGCCAGCCAGCAGGACGAGCTGACGACGGGCATGCGGGCCCTGCTGAAGCTGTCGCGGCTGCTGCGCCAGCGCCGCATGGATGCAGGTGCCCTCAGCCTGTCATCGCCTGAGGTCAAGGTGCATCTGGAGTCGGAGACGGCCGACCCGCTGGACGCGAACAGCGGCACGACGGTCGAGGCCAAGGCGCTGCTCGACACTAACTCGCTCGTCGAGGAGTTCATGCTGCTGGCCAACACGGCCGTGGCTGCCCGCGTCTACGAGGCCTTTCCACAGACGGCGATGCTCCGTCGCCATGCGGCGCCACCAGCCGCCAGCTTTGACGAACTGTCTCGTCAGCTGCACGTGACTCGTGGTTTGAAGCTGCAACATGACTCGTCACGTGCTCTGGCCGACTCGCTCGATGCCTGTGTCGATAATGACGAGCCCTTTTTCAACACGCTCGTGCGTATCCTGGCGACCCGCTGCATGACGGCGGCCGAGTATTTTCCAGCCGGCGCGCTGGCCCAGCCCGAGTTCCGTCACTACGGTCTGGCCACGCCCATCTACACGCACTTCACGTCGCCGATCCGCCGCTACGCCGACCTGGTCGTGCATCGACAGCTGGCCGCGGCCATTGGCTTCGATGCCGACGGCGCCGGTGTTGGTCGCCACACACGTGGCCGGCTTGCTGCCGTCTGCCGCAACATCAATGCTCGCCACCGCAACGCCCAGCTGGCTGGCCGCGCCAGTATCGCCTACTATGTCGGCCAGGCCGTGCGCGGCCGTGAGACCATTGCCGACGGCTTCGTCCTGCGCGTCTTCAGCAACGGCTTCGTCGTGCTTGTTCCCCGCTTCGGCATCGAGAGCCCCATCCGGCTGCGCGACCTCGCCGTGCCCGAGCCGGCTGCCGACTTTGACGCCGACACATACGTCCTCCAGACAGCCATGTGTGCCTCTGGCAAGGACGGCCCCGATGGCCCGGCTACTGTGCCCGTCACCATCCGGCTGTTCCAAAAGGTCACCGTGCGGATCACGGACCACAAGGACGAGACGACCGGTAAGCGCAGCGCACGCATGACGCTAGTGCAGGCGTGAAAGAGCTACATCGGACAGATACATAAGCGTATCCCTATAAGCGGGTATTTGATATGCATTTGCACTACTCCGTACATTGAAATTACATGGTATACAACAGTCGTACAGCACCCGTGCATCTACTGCCCGCTGCCATCCCGGAACCGTGACGGGATCGCCGGCACTGGTGGCACCGTGCAGTCCAACGCTGGGATCGAGAGCCCGTACGCCTCCGTGTGGCCCTCGCGGTCGTGCTGGTCCATCTCGACCCGAATGCTGACGTCGAGACTGCCGTCGTTGAGCCGGCCATGCAGCGGCCCGGCGGCCCGGTGTTTGGTCCCGGCGCCCTCCTCGCCTGCGTGCAGCGGCCGGTGTCCATTGCCGTGGCGACCAGACGCCGACCGTGTAGCTGGCCGTGACCGTGTGCTGGTGGCCGACGCGCTGTAGCCAGCGCTCGAGCCGGGCGGAACGGACGAGTTGTCGCCGTTGGTCGCGTTGGTCGCATTAGTCGCATTGGTTCCGTTGGCCGGCATCGTCGATGGCGAGCTGCCCCGGCCTCCGGGCACCCAGTTGCTGTTGGCCGTTTCGGCCTCGGCCACCCCCTCGTTGTGCGGCGAGTTTTCCGTGATGATGGCAAAGTTGCGGCTCGGCATGGTCACCTGGTTGTGTGAGGCCGTCCGCGTGGCCGTTCCGGGGTCCTTGTCAAAGAGCCGGAACAGGGTCTCGTCCGTGGCCTCGTTCAGGTGGTGGATCTTGTTGCGCCGTGCCAGCAGATTCGCTATCGCTGCCGGCGGTGGCTTGTTCGTGATCGCCGACGACACCACGTTGATCATGAACCGGTGGTCCTGCTCGGCTGCCACCCGCAGCGACGGGTTCGAGTAAAACCGGCCCAGCGCCGCCAGGTGCACGTCGCCGCCTAGAATCGTGATCCGCACCGAGTGCGCCGCGCTCACCGTCTGCAGCCGCTCCACAAACCCGCTGCGCTCCTTCTTGTGCGTCCGCGCCGTGTAGTGGTCGTCCAGGTCGTCCAACAGGTCCACGCTGCCGTCAAAGTAGTTGAAGAAACCACCGCCTGTCTGTCAGCACAACTGCTTCGCATCCGTCTTCCTTCTGTCCTTCTGATCATCCACGTACCAAAGCCAAATCGACGGTTCATAAACTTCATCGGACCCATCACGGGGCTGTTGAACACGTTCTCCAGCCAGGTCAGGCGCGGATACGCAATCGGAATCCCCAGCAGCAGAATCAGATGGCGCACCGGCTCGCCTGCCGCTGCCGCTGCCTTGAACTCCTTGTCGACCCGGTCGAAGATCTGGTCGTACGTCTCTGGGTAGTTGACCTGGTGCCGAGTTCGCTGTGCGTGTGCGTGTCAGTCAGCCAGATATCAGGCCAAGACCACCAGTATCTCCGTCTGTCTTACCTCGGTTCGCGCATCAATGCCCAGGAAGGCCATCCGAGCTCCCAGCTTCGCATACATGTTGTGCGAGTGCTCCGCCACATACGGCTGCGCATGTCAGTTCTGCCCTTGTCCCTGTACCGGCTCTTTGTCTTCTCGCCTGCTTCTACTTACCCCTGGCTTCGATCCGATAATGTAGCCGGACTCAATCATCGCAGGCGCCACATACGTGTCGACCAGCTGTGCCGGGTCTTCCGCGTGGCCATTGGCCTGTGGTACTCCCACATGAGGTGCATCTGAGGTGAACGTCGATGGCGGTGGCGGCAGATGGTGCTGGAACAGCATGTAGTACTTATGGGCGGACCCGCCAATGCCCCGGAATACCTGTCAGGCCTTGTCAGAGGGGACAGCTGAAATGTGGCTGAAATGTGGCGTATATGGCTGCTTACGTCACACTTCATGAACTCGTTCACATAGGAGCCAAAGCCATCAATAATCTGGTTGGTGTCAGCATAAGGAAGTAGGAGTGAGAGACAAGCTGAACACACGTCATGGTCGTCCCAGATGTTCAGCTGGGCAATCTGGCCGTTGGCCGTGGCGAACGGTTCTGTCGAGTACCAGCGGATGTAGTTGTTGAGGTAGTAATCGTCGCACTTCTTGCGCAGGCTCTCAGGAAACAGGAACTCGCGTCGCTTCTTGGGGTTACCAATGGCCGTCCACTCATGCAGCGGCCCGTTGACGCGGATCCCGTCGTTGTAGATCTGGTCGCCGCCACCGATCATCACGTGGAATGCCGCCTTGCTATGGTGCCGCAACACGTCGTTCCACAGCGCCGGGCCGCTCCAGGCCTCTTCGTCCGTGCCAACGCTGAAGCCGTTGCACGAGAAGAAGAGGATGCGCATCGACTCGCTGGCCGCCGGTACCGAGAACACGCTCGTTTTCGGCTTCGTCGCGCTGGCAAATTGCAGTCCCGGCAGGCTGTACTGCCACCGCGTCTCGGTTGCGCGCAGTCGCACCGACAGATTGAAGCGCCAGAATGTGGCGCGCGGGTCCGAGTAGAGGCAGATGCCGCGCATCTCCTTCTGGCCGCCCGCCTCGGCTGTCGCTTCGCCCGTCCCATCGGCTGGGCCAAATACTAGCGTCGGTGATGTCGCCGGCAGCGTCTTGCCACCACCGCGCGTCACCACCAGCACGCTGCCGATCCAATTGTCGCCCTCGGTACGCCTGTAGTTGAGCAGTGGCCCCACGACAATCTCATTGCTGCCCCCCGCGGCAGACTGACCTGCGCTCCCGCTTCTGCTTTCCACGTCGGCTGCCGCTGTCGGCACCACAATGGGCGTGAATTTGCCTCCACCCGCCGCAGAGTCGCTTCTGTTGCGATAGCTGCTGGCGCTGCTAGCAACACCGGCAGCACCTGCAGCTGTGTCGGTCGGTGTCACGCGCGAGGCGTTCAGAAAATCGCGTAGATCGCTGGTGTTGCCGCGCGGGTCCTCGTCGTCGCGTGGCGCGGCAGCATGGCGCGCAAATGCGGGAGACTCCTGGTGTCGCCAGCGGTTGGCCGACGCATAGGGGTTATGGACGCCCTCGCTGTTCGGCACCTGCTCGCCGTTGTCTTCATCGCTGTCGCCGGCATCATGGTGATGGCTGTGCAGGTGCAGATTGTGATGGTGGCCCTCTGCCATGGTGACTGGAGGCTGGGGTGTTGCAATCGACGGCTAGCTGTCGGTGTGCGTGCTCGCTGTTGTCGTTCCGGCGAGTTGGAAGACGAATTGGGTGTGGAATGAGGAGTGGTCGGGCTTTGTCGTCAGGGAAAATATCACAGTTTTATCACGACGTATTGTGGTGACAAGAACGGCGCGTGTCTAGGAATGTTTCAGTGTTTCGCAGGAACAAAATGTCGTAAGACGCGTTCTGACACCACAGGACAAAGCCGTTCTGCAGAGAATGCACAGAGCAGCCTTGGCAGGAAGTGGTAGGGGGTCGAACAGAGTCAATCCAACCAGTGAAGTTGGCCGGTGGGTCGACTTGTGGGATTCGAGTCGAGTAAATACGTCGTAGTGCGGCGCGAGGGGGGGTTGGGGGCTCTGCCGTGGCTGCCTTGGCGCAAAAGGATCTCAATGGCGCACGCGATGGCAGGGAGAAATGAGGCAGCTGAAAGGGCCAAGGCAGCGCAAGACGGGAGGCGAAAAAAGAAGAAGAAGCCGAAAAAGAGCTGGATTAGGGCGACTTGGCCAGCAGACACAACTGTACAAAGTATGTTGTCAGGGATATGTAATTTCATTATTTGCTGCCCGCCGTACGGGAAGGAGCGATCGTTCTTGGCAGGACCCACTTTCCCAGAGCTAATCATGGTGCTCGCAAAAGCATCGCGTAAGATATGTGCTCATGGTGTGCGCAGCCACAGGATGCTAGCATTGCCACAATGGGGACTTATCAATATGGCTCGGAATTGAGTCCTCGATTCAAAGAGGTCGAGGCGCGAACTGTCGTCTGGTCGTCGTCCTGCTCTCCGCATTTTTTTCTTCTTTTTTTTTCGGGGCCTCCTGCCACATGGCGCTAGCATTACGGAGTGGGTCTGACAGAAATATGCAGCGTTGCTGTGCTACGGTAGGTATGGAGTACATTTGGCTGCACCAAAGTTCGGTTACATTTTATCAGACGAGCTGGACAACCCACGGTGGATCATGTTCGACGTCCCTGTACATAAATGCCATGATGCGGTCACCATTGAGCCTCTAGGCTTAAACCGAGGCTGAGTTGAGAAGAAATGCTAGATGAAACATGTACGAGCTACAGGCTGGAGAATCTTCCCAACATTTAAGCACTTTGTACCGGATCAGTGACGACAAGCTATCCTGGTCTCAGCAGCAAAGATACCATCTATCAGTAACTTTCCGAGGTTGATTTTTCTGTCAGAAGACGACGATGGCTTCGAGCCAAGGGACGCGCCGACCCAAGAACTTTGACCGCCTTAGACAAGCAGGAACCTGCAGATATCCTGCCATGATTGGGCGCCACGTTGGCAACACCCTTGTCGCTACCGAGAACCGCAAGAGATAGCCTGGGTCCCCAATGCTGTACCTGGTGACCGTTCCCCACGGAGTTCCGTGCTCGGGACTGGTTGGGGGCGGTGTCAATATCCACTAACTACCCATGCGTATTTTAGTCTCCCATATCAGATGCCCACAATTTGACGGAATTCGCGTCCTTGTACTCTGTGCCGAGTACCAGTGAACGAGAAGGCAATGCACGGTAAAATCCGATAGGAAGTCGATATGTGGAGGGCTATAAGCTCAATGCCATGCATCCAGCTGAGACTGATAACGACTCTCCCGTTCTCTCTCCTTCTCCTTCGAATCTGCCGCCATTCCAACCAAAAGATACTCCGCAACCCGACTTATGCAACTTGTGGGGTAGAAGTCTATTAGTGTGCGGGGTACTCCTCAACTGGGATATGCAGTAGGTGGACTTCGTACCCTATTCTGCTTCGTACGAGGTCTGAGGCTAGCTGAAGCTGCCATGGGGCGTATCTAGCAGCAATAATGTCCTCGTAACGGGCGCCCCAAGACCCCGAAAGCCGAAAGGAGAAGTGTAAAATGGCTTCTGCGCATACAAAGAGTCTGCCTTCCACCCGTTGCTCTCGACTTGTGCTGCATATCGACCACCCATTGTTTCTTCTTTAACTTGCCCATCACATTACACATAATTCAAAATGTACGATCCCGAGTACCTCAAGGTCATTGAACCCATGGTCAAAGCAGCTGCTGCGAACCCGCCGCCACAGCCGACGAACTGCCTTGAGGTGAGGGCCGTGTTTGAGGCCCTGATCACTCATCTGCACCCGTCGTCCGTCAAGCGGTCCTTTCGCGAGACGCGCATCGATGTGCCTGGCCGCAACGGCCATGTCGTGCCGCTGTACCGCTTCGCCACGGCCGAGCAGCTGGCCCGCGGCCAGAACAAGCCACAACCGGCCGTGCTGTATATTCATGGCGGCGGTATGATCTGCGCCACCGTCCCCCTCTACTCGGACACGCTGGCCCGCCAGACCGCCGAGTTTGACGTCCAGCACTTTGCCGTCGACTACCGCCGCGCGCCCGAGGCCTCTGCCACCGACCTGATGGACGACTGCTACGCTGCCTTGGCCTATATGTCCGGCCACGCGGCCGAGCTTAAGATTGACCCGGCGCGCATCGCCATCGCCGGCGACTCGGCTGGCGGCGGGCTCGCAACCGGCCTCGCTCTTATGGCCCGCGATCGCGCTCTGCAGCCTCCACCGGCCAAGCTGATCGCCATCTATTCTATGCTCGATGACCGCACCGTCCAGCGCCACCCGCCCAAGGGCGCCGCCGGCTTCGCACCGCCCGGCACCAGCATCGCCGACGACGATGCCTGGCCTAAGAGATCTGCGCTTACCTGGAACACCGAGATGAACGCTATGGGCTGGGCAGCCTATCTTGGCTTTGGCAGCCCGGGCAAGGATGGCCCAATCGAGGCGGCCTCGGCCCTTATTAAGGCGACAGCATCGTCATCTCCCGTGGCCCTGCCCTCATCCATCACTCCCTACTCCGTTCCTGCCCGGGTCGACAACCTGGCTGGCCTGCCCAGCACTTACATCGAGATCGGCTCGCTCGACCTCTTCGCTGAGGAGGCCGTCGCGTTTGCCGCCAAGCTGCTGCGCGACAACGTCGACGTCGAGCTCCGCCTACTGTCCGGCCTGCCTCACGCCTACGATCTAATGGCCCCCGCGGTGACCGCCGTAAAGGCAGCCCGTGAGACGCAGAAGCGAGCGTACAACAGCTTCTAATTTTGTCTTGAATGGCTGTAGCGAGAAGAAAGGGATAAACTTCAATGATCGAGGTCTCTGGAAAGAGGTAATGTGATTTAGCCGCTAAGAATGAAGATCGAATTGTTTGCTTTAGACAAGTTGTGAATAGAGAATTTGTAGATTTTCGTTCTAGTATTGCGAATTTGGCTGCCGACGTTTGGTCGTGAATTGCGGTGAGGGCATAACACGTTACTGCAAAGCCGTTTATAGAGCGCTGTTACAAAATGTGTGTGGAGAAAAGCACGAGTTTATACGGAGTAGATAGGGACGGAATACTGTAGAGCACAACGTTGCTTCCATCTATTGCCCGGAAATATAGCTATTATGTCAGAGACTTCGGGTTTGTCTCGTCTTCTGTACAGAGTAATTAGGCCTCCTCATTCTTCGCTAAACTACAGCAAGGGCCGAAAATGGAGAATCGCTTTATTAATTGCTTGGCCCACACGCCTTCTGCGGACCCTCAGCTCTCTGTCCTCTTTGTTGTCGACGAAAACGAAGGAGCAGAGAACCTTTAAAGCCTGTGCGAAGCACAATCCTTCGGGGCTAACGCTTTACAAGCTACAAGACTTGTTTAATACAGACTAAGCTCTTCGATAACCAGCAGACGCAAAGCCAGGCACATGGCCCTTTGGATTTATATTAGACAATAAGACGTTGTCGAACTTCAGCGACGTCTTTCTTGCCGAATGGCTCGCCTTAAAGTTGGCCGGTGACTTCCATTACACCAATGATATGATCCTCCAGCGAGAACATAGGCTTCGATGAGTTTCTCTACACAGTGCTGCCGTAAAATATTGCGAAGAACTGCTCAAGTAAATTGCCGTATTTGTAGGCACTACAGTTTTCAGCATCACTTTTCCGAGAAATGCTTACAGCTGACTGCGCACACAAAGGACCTATATAAGGCCGTTTTATAACTAGGAACTTTACCCTTAAGTGTCGTTTATACTAGATATTGCGTCTAAATCCCAAGGTCCGCTTTTAAACAACAACACCGTTATACAAGCTACCTAGCCAAAGACCGGTCAGCATGCCCACATTCGCCGACTCGTCGACCTTGACCAAAAGCTCCTCGTGTCTCAGAGAAATTTACCGCAGTGCTCGCCGGCACCGCTTACGTGCAGGATTCTCGCCACGGCCGCGTGATTGGCTAGCAAACGCGGCAAGGGGACACCGATAGTTGCATTCTACGACAAAAAAAGCGTCCGAAGAATTAGTTCTTAACACATGATAGACGACTGCAGCGACAGGATCTAGTACGTATGCGGTACGTCTAGCTTGTTAAAGGACAGCTGGAATGTGTCAAAGCGTTAGTGATAATCGGTTGTAAGGGTGAGCGCGTTGGTAGGTCAATTAATATGGAGGCCCTCGATCAGATGGCGCATGCTGTAGTTAAATATTCTTGGAAACGCCGAGAGCGTTTCGCCGTGCCTGTTTTTAGTTTTCGTCCACTTAGTTAGAGGAATCCTTAGGTGCCATTAACAAGAGAGGGGAGCCCGGGCTTCTAACTGCTTACAATCTCTGTATCGACATCTTTCGGAGCAGACAGGAACGCCGGCATGGCCTAGGGGTCTTGGCAGAAAACGCTTTTACTGAAAGGGTCAGCAGCTGTGTGGCAAAGAAACATGAGGTAAGTAATGTTATGGGCTTGAACATTATACAGACACTGACCAGAAACAGAAAAAAACATACATAAGGGAAGATACTACTAAAGGTTATTCCACAACATGGTCGACGCCTGCAAACTAAACACTGGCTGCCATATCCATAGCCATCGTCGAGAAGAAGTGGCGCAGAAACCGGTCTTTGGATAGCTGCACGGGGGCTAACTCGTGCATTAGCCGCACCATCTCAACGCGTCGGTACGGCATACCGACACTCTGATGAAGGCTTCGTCGAGCCGCTGAAACTTGGCCGTGAAAAGCGTTTCGGCATGCCGGTGGGCATCATTAGTTGCGAAGACATCTACTTTGAAATCGGTGATTTTCGAGAAGGCGATGGTGGGGTTTAGCTATTAATGCTTAAATTTAGACTAAGCTAGAACTGGTCGTGTACCCATTCTGTCGCTTTATAAGGATTTGTATGTCCTTACCCGTACATCATCCCGCTTATCTGTGTGCTCTTTTAGGCTATATGCCAACAGTAATCCCATACAAGCGTTAAAGTGGATATACTCCGTACTACTCCGTAACCTTAGACGCTACGCACTTTTCTTGCTATAACTACAATGTAAGCACAATCAACGGTTAGGTTGAAGGCCGGTTTCTTAAAGGGATTAGCGTATTGTCCAGCCAATCAAGATCTATTTCCCCGCCTACAGATGTTTACAGCCTAGGAACCCTCATTCTTGAACTTAAGCTCTAGTGGCCCAATTTAGTACACCACAACGACCTGTTACATCGTGGTTGAAGCACCACAGCATAGGATGGATTCTCTATCTACAGAGCTCTTGTACGAAATCAACGAGCTGCTGCCACGTCATGCGATTTCACAGCTGTGTCGTGTCAACCGCCGCTGTTGCGCCGATCTACAACCGTTACTCTTCCGGCTCCATGGCTATCCAAACGACTGGAATGGCCCGTCGGCCGTGTTCTGGGCGGTCAATATAGCTAATGCCAGCGATTGTGCGTCACAGACACTGGCACTGACCGTGCTTGCCAAGGTAGAAGCCTTTTGCCGCATTGGGCCGGGTGATTTGGATCGCAGCTTTAGCCGTCGGAACTGCGACGTCGACGTTTGGACCGTCCGTCGGAGCCGCTGTAAATCTCCCTTGTATGGAGACCGCACCAAGGAATGGCCGGCTGAAGTAGGAAGGCACGCGTCTTTCAACCCGCTGCACCTGGCTGCCTACAAGGGTCTGGACAGCATCGTGGCTTGGCTGCTGGCACACGGTGCTGATGTCAATGCGCTCATCGAAGCCACTCCACACAACGCCCTTGTCCCAGCGGTCGTGGCCAACCGTGCCTCTACTGCGCTACTCCTTCTAGCACATGGGGCCAACCGGGCTATCGACATGTCCTATAATGGCTTTGCGTTTGACAATAGTGGCAGACCTCGGTATACTAGCTGGTACAAGCCGGCCGTTACAACACTGGCGGCTGCCCTGGGATACGAGGCTATGGCTGAGAAGCTGATGGACTCTGGCTTTGTGCCGGCCGCTGGCCCGAGCGAGATGCTGTACATCTACGCACAAAATGGCCATAGTCGTCCGGCATTTGTTGCCAATCTGGTGCATCGCGGTGCGGAGGCGTCGCCACGCATGTTCCTTCATCTGGTCAACAAGGATCGCTATAATTGGTCAAAACTGCCTCTGGCGTTGCTCGAAGCCATGCCGCTAGACAGCCCTTTTCTCACACAGACGGGAACATCCACCTTTCCCCAGCAGACCGTCCGGGAAATCACGGAAAGCTTTCAGAGAGAGTTTTATTTTACAGACTTTCACGAAAACCACTACGACCGCGAGTACTTCACGACCGACATCGGGCTAGTGCAGCGTGCACTGCGCCGTCTGCTGATGTTCCGTGGTGTCGACATCGATACCTGTGGACGGTCGCTCTGGCGGCAGTCGTCTTACCAGGCGCCTGACTATGCGCTAATCAGGAACTTGCTGCCTCCATTCCTTGAGGCCGGCATGGATGTTCAATGCATGCGCAAGGACGGCTGTCAGGACGAGTTTCTTGGAGCAGCAAGCATCAGGAAGGTGCCGGATGACCTGCTGGAACTCGCCAGCCGCTACGGCTGCGCGCAGTGCACAAATAGCGTCGCCATGCAGCTGGATGTCGTCTCGCTTCTTCTGCAGCACGGCGCACTGATCTCGGCGGCTACGCGTGAGCAGGCACTAAGAGATCACCCGATAGGCCCGAGCGCCTACACGACTGTTGGCCGGTCGGGCTGGTCCGTCCAGCTCTGCAACACTTTTTTGGAGCACTGCTGCAGCACGCCCGAAGAGAAGCAGAGGGAGGACATGCGGGATTTCTTGGCGTTCTACAGAGAGAAGACCAAAAGAGTATCTATTGCCAACATGGCAAATATACCAGGAACTGGGGTCTCCCACTGAAGCCTATACGGAGAAGCGGAAGCTAGATTGGGGGAAAGGGAAGTAAACCATCAAGGTTCATAGACGGTTAATTTTACCTAGTATGTCGGTATAAATGCGTCTAACTGCGAGCGTGGCAGTTCCTCACCGGAGGCAAAGCGGGGGTATATTTGGACCACCAGTAGGCCCTAACTGGGCTGTAGACAAGCTAGATGACATCCTGTATTTGCATCGTAGCTGGGGTCTTCAAGTCTGTCTTGCTTTATCCGGTTGCTGGCAAGTTCCGATTTCTTCCTTCCGGTCAAAGTACTATTTAAGTTCCAGGAAGTCGCTGTTGGTTTGTGTGCCAGCTCTATTTTTAATCAAATTGATTGCCAAAACCTCCATGTATATATCTTGCTCGGTTGGCTACTCAGAAACGCCTGCCTAATATTTTAATCTTATACTTTCATCACGGAATGAAGCTCATATTATCCAATACCTCTTAAGTCCCCAGAAATAAGCACCCCACGTAATATAAGGCTTCGGCATCATTTGGAGCAAGTTGCAGATAGAAACCGATAGGTGTGGGGGGAACACAGACCGTATTCGATCCTCAGTGAGTAGAACAAACCTGGTGTCGGCACCATGTCTTAGAAACATCTCAGTTATGTTTGCAAGACGCTCCATGTGATTGCTTTTCTTGTCCGACTCGATATCCCATCCACGAGTGATGAATAGGTAGTTGTGTAAGTCCAACCAGGTGGTAGTACCAATGTATGGCGCGTTGGGATTAGCTCCATGGACCAAAATCTCAGCAATCATTTGCATGCGCATACCGTTGATTGAGCTCTGTGATACTTCGTTGATACGAAAAATCTCCCCAAAGAAGCCACCCCAAGCGACATTCGCGTCTGCATCTTCAACATTCACGTCAGCGACGTAGGGGAGAATGAGACCGAGGATACGCTTATGACGCTTGACGATGTCTAGGCTTGTAGTCTGAGCCACGGTCGCCCGAAGACTCTGCATATAGGTGCACCACGCACGGTTACCAAGGCAGATCATTTCTTTAGGTGGTTTTGCCTTTAGCCTCGATAGTAGCATAGAAACTGTCTCCGTCATATCGACGACTTCCGGCCTGAATGAGGCAGCATTCTGAAGAGCAATGTCGAGCACACTAGCCTCATCCAATATGTAATCTTCACGGGCCTCGACAGCCGCAGCGATATAGCCGGAAACCCCATGGTGGACGACAAGTTTGGTGAACTCCGAGGGGCTGGTCAACCCACCCAGGCCCATAGTGCGTGCTGAGCGCAGTAGCTCATTGACGATGGAGATAGCTGTTTCAACGGACCCAACCTCAGCCCTTCGGGCATAAGACAAAGCCTGCGCGAAGAGCGTAGCCGTCGTGGAGTGTTCAGGCTGGGGAATGCTCTTGAATAATGCAATGCAGGCGTTCAGCATCAACATGGCGGTGTCATGGCCGCTCACAAGGTTGTCTAGGAACTGGGTCATCTCATCGGTGCGCAAGAAGTCACGCACAGTCCGATGTAAAAGTATAACCCGATGGGCGAGATAGGGCTGGGTTTCAGGCGGGTGCAGGTGGGCCTCGAGCAGGCCCTTGCAGCGGGCGTTAAGGCGACGACGCATCGAACTGTGCCGCTGGAATATGTCATGATTATCCATGGGCTTGATAGGGAGGCTGCTGGCGTAGTGCGCAGTCTCGAAACAGTCGTCGAGAAAGGAGAGGTGCATGAGCGTGACCAGACTCGACTCCTCGTTCATGTCAACGTTGAGGGCAATGTGGAAGTAGATGGCCATCCGCTGCTGGTAAAAAGTCGGTACGGACATCAGGATTTTCCGAAGAAACGGACCAAGCTCCTGCGGCATGTCGTAGACGCGTTTCTCGAGCATGTGTAGCGAATCGCCGTTGGTAAGGCCCTCCTGCAGCGAGCGACCTGCAGCGAGCGGACGACGAGGATTACCCAGAGAAAGACGCCCTGTGCCTTGCTTGTGATTTCACGCACGAGCTGTCCGTAGCGTGCATTGGTAGGGGCCTCCAACACCCAGTTTGGGTCTTCGTCGAGTGTCGCGTTCGTATATGCGGCAATATCGTCGCGAGTCAGCTCGTGAACAAGCAACTTCTGAGTCACTGCGACCAGGCCGATCGTGTTATCAAGAACGTTCCGCGGTCGGCTCGACACGCAGACCTTGATGTTTTGACCAAATGACGCCACGGCTGACAGGGTTAGAGCAAGCTCTCTGTGGTTGCCGTGGTATTCGTCTAGCCCGTCAATAAAGAAGCAGAGCCGCCTAGGGACAGTCTCGGGTGACGATGGCGAGGTCGGCTGCGACAGGAGTCGGAGGGCTTCGAACAGTTCTGGCTCGCCCCAGTGCTTCCACTGGGACATTTCGTTCGAACTCCGCCGAAATCCCTCCCCAGCTGTGACAGCCCATCGCTTGGGAAACGCCACCGGGATCAAATCAGGCGCCTGGACGAGAACCTCGAACAACAGCGATCGCAACAGTCCCTCGACCGATTTTTGCAGCCGTGTGCCCGCACTCCAGAAATAGTAAGCTGTGGTGATACAACCGCTTTCTTCCGGCGCGCGCTTGGCCCAGCAGTTGAGGGCTTTTTGCGTCTCGGGGTGGCCGACGACGAACTTCATCAACGTTGATTTTCCCGAGCCTGGCTTGCCCGATACCCAGTAAATACCGGCGCCGCTCTGCAGCCAGTTTAGCAAGGTGGTGGTAGAGGAGGCGTTGTAGGAATAGCCATGTTTTTTTGTTCTACTGCGTCTTCGCAGCAGCCACTCGAACGTCTTTCGGTGCGCATTCTGTATGGCCTCGTGGCGGATGGGCAGTGACTCGAAGTAGAGGCTGTGCACGATCTCGTGCTCCCAGATCCACTGTCGGGCCGACGAAGCTTTAATGGTCTTAAGCGCCTGGGCAATCGACGTCAGCGTAACAGTTGGATCGTCAGCCCTCATTACGATGCCCGCCTGAGCGGGCAGTTGCCTGATCAGCTCGAGCATCTCGTCCAGCTTGGCCGAGTGATCGTGCACGATGTTGAGATTGGCCTGCTTTAGCTCCTCCATGTACATGGCCACGCTCGACTGCTTTTCGCTACAGGAAGTTAGAAACAGCCCTAAGGCTCACGACTCAAGGCTTTAAGCTTAAGGTTATCTGGACGACACTTACAATGCTACGACCTTGAGACAAAGCATAAGGTCATTGCGGTACCCATCCAGCTTCTTCTGTAGCCGGTCGGTAGGATTGCCCATCTTAAGTTTGACGGCCAATAGCAAACTGGTCATCTTCGAATGGGAGGACGAGGGTGCATCAGCGTCTAGCCGTAGAGAACGGAGCTTCTTTTGCAGGCCTATTGCCGTTTCCCGACAGCGCGTGGCCAGCATGACCAATTTGATCTCGGCCGGTGTTGACTGAACCTTCCTAGAAGGATCGCGGAGCCTCTCTGGCGATTCTGTGAGCACAAGTGACGCCATCAGATCGGCCAGACACTGGCACATCTCTTCCAGACTGTCGAAATCTTTGGTAGAGCCGCTAAGCGAATGATAAATCTCATATGAGGTCGAGAGAAGACCAGCGCCGAAACCGATGAACTGTATAATACTGCTTGCGAGCCCAATGACTGAGACAGGGATCCATGATTGGAAATCTTTACCTCTATTTTTGTCGGCTGCTCACTGTGTGCTTCGGCGGGTTGAACATTACCAAAGTTACCGATCTTGCGGTTTCGCTGGCAGAGAAGGCAGCATTATATAGAATGTGCAGTGTGGCTTAGCTGTTAAACGTAAGGCTTACACAATGGTAATATCGGGGGCAGTGCAAGATTGGCGGCTGAACTATGCCGATAGTAGTGGTGTCATAAGTGCACCTTGCCAGTTATACAAGTGGTAGACCTTTAAATAGTAAACATACATTGGTGCTCCGTATTATTTCGGGGAATTGCTAATAGGGGGGGGGGCTCTTTTTTAGCATCATCGTATGTATATTTCCAGCGCCACCCTATGGACTTTGGATACTCGTACTGCATAAATCAATACACCATCGCTGTCGCCATGTGGTACTGAAGCGTGACAGAAACATCTACACTAGGGTTTGAAGTGGCGATACGGAATAGAACCTTAAATACAGTTCCGCTGTCAATAACATGCCCCTTCGAGCTTTTAGTTGTCATGTTACCCTCCTCCAACGTCTCGTAACGCTAAGCTAAATACGCGGCAAAATTCTACACAAATCCCCTCTCGATGCACCATGTTTTGGATCAGTCTCATGGTCAATTCATGTTGCATGGACTAAGCCAAAGAATTTCAAGTAAGGACTCCAAATTGTCACGTTATTAAACGTATACTAGCTCATTTTGATTTCGATAAGCAGTAGTAAGTCATAGATCAGCCAGGATGGGACCGTTGCCATGAAAAGACTCGAAATACCACCAGCTCAAGTCATTGTGCGACCTAAGCGGTTACAAAATTACTCCGTGGGGGACCGAACATGCCGTTAAATGGTGCAACTGTCGGTTTGCAAAGTAGGGGGCAGTGTTACCGTCTGTCTCACTCCTCATCTTCACTTTCCACTTAAGCAGATGCCCGTAATTTCAGCGGCTTAAATGCCTTAGACTATGACAGCTTAGAAAATGCAAGATAGAAGACATGCTCAAAGAAATGAGAGCGCAACTCTAGCGTCCATCTTGTTGCCATCATTTCCAGCCTTGAAATTTCTCTATCTCGTCACCATCATTTTATTCCTCATCCTCACTGTTCACAATGTCATCATCCCCTTCATTTTCCGAAAACGGATCATCATCATCAGCCTCCTCGCCAGTCTCACTCTCGGAAATCTCGGCACTCATAGACGAGGAACTTGTAAGCGCCAGTGTAGTGGCGAGATCTTCAAGCTCTGCTGGGAGCGCTGTAGGTGCTTCGGGAACCTCCCAAAATCGATTGGCCTCCTCGACAGAGATACAGCCTAGCTGTCTGGAGAACTTGTAAAGAATAGACTTTTTCATATATGATCCAGGTGAGGCCCACATGACTTTGCTGGGCGACGGAAGGTTGACTAAGTCGTTCTCGAAGCCAGGGACCTCTATACGGCGCCTGCGGAGGAGAGAGATAACAAACTTGAAATACAAGTATTTCTTTGACGGCCGGAACTCATTCTTGAAGTTAAGCTCACGGCCATTCAACATGTCACCCCAAATCCTAGTCGAAGCCCGGCCAATGTCACTTGTCAACAGGTAAAACTTGAGCTCGGTCTCATCTGGGTCGTTGCTAGCAGGTAGAATGACCGCTCTAGCAGTATCCAGGAGCCGCTCGTAGTCTTTGTGTATAACAAGGCCATTTTTCACGTTCCAGATGTGCTCGGTCTCAGCTCCGAATAAGGATAGAAGATTCATAGATCCGGATAAGATCACTGCGGAATTTGTTCTGCTTCTGGTTATCTCTCTTAGCTTTCACACTTTTCGTAGCCTCGGGGACATTAGTGTAGCGGCTGATGGTGTCGTCGATGTGCGCCCAGTCATCGAGCACCTCACGTTCACTAAGGACCATGTCGTCAGTCCAGCGCCCGGCAAGTTGTGCACCCATGGTCCGCAACACGGAGACGCTTGTCATTAGCTGCTGCTGTCTTCCAAGCATACGTCGTTTCTCCTCTTTATAGTCTCCGGCGCTAAGGTCAAGGACTCCTTCGTTCCATTTGGCCGTGATCATTGCGATTTGGTTCGTGGCGTTGTCTAAATTTGCCTCTAGTTCTTTTTGCTCCCGTCCAACCCTTTTGTATGCATCGACGAGTTGGCTCGCCCGCTTCTTAACCAAGGCTTCGTCGTCAACATCTTTTATTATTGGAAGAGGGTTGGTAATCTGCTGAAGAACTTCTTCCGAGGGGAGAGCTCTGCGAAGATTTAGAGAGATCAGGCTCCTTGAAATGTTCCGTTCAGGTGCAGCATCTCTAAGAACTGCTTCATCGTGAGAAGCAGGCCACTTTACATCAGTCCTAATTTGTTAAGTCAGCATATGGCTTCGAAATTGTACGTTTATAATGCCAGAAATCAGATTGTACCATTTCCCACTAGGTTGTTTTATCTTGTCGGCCATTCTCCTTAGTACAACGTAGGACTGAAAGCTGTTGCATTGGTGATACCGCCAGTAAAGTGAAGAAGTAAGACCTCGGATATTCTTTCATGGTAGGTAGGGCTTTGTTAATTAGATACTTATACCTCCAAGTTGCAGTAGAGCGAGGAGCTGCTTTTATAATTAAGGAATCGTATATCGATTATTCTCGAAGGCGTAATATACCCAATTATAAAGTTGCCGAACTCAACTCGGCACAGAAAACTATTACAGGCTTTGTTCGGTAGCGTCTTGTAGTAAACTTCTGGTCTGGCGTGGGCTCGAACCGTGTGGTTTGGTGTGGTAGATGTATCAACTTTGTGGTGCAGGAGAAACGACGACTAGGTCTTATAGCGGTATTACCACTGCACTAGAGTGTAAATTTGGAAACCGAACCTTCTATCGTGTTACGAGGGTTATATATTTAGTTCAGATTTTACTGGAACTTAGGTGAGTTGTTGCTCTGTGAGCGATTCTGGTTTTGACGGCTTCTTATATGAAACTGGGGACGGTGCTGACAATTAAATCTCTGATTTGATAGTTTGATTTTGAAGACGTTGGATGTCTTGACTCATCCACCAAATATGACAGATCTATGTGACTTATCTTTTTCCACTACTCCCTGTTCACGCCCCTCACCCACGACATTGATGCTGCAACGATTCACCATGGCAGACCCCATCCTGACGCTGAACGCGTGTCAGACTATATAAAGCATAAACTCAAAGCGGCTTGTGCGGAACGATGTATTCTTTTCCATATCAGGAGAAGCTTTGCAACTGCCGTACGCGTAAAGTACGACGTTGTATTTATTCTGTATGTTTTCCCCAGGAGTGTCGTATTGCTCCGTATTTATATATGGGGGCATGGGAACATGCCGGATGGACTACCGAGTACGAGGTAGATCATACGTGTCCGCTACGTATTGCGTTTTGACGAAAGATTAGCATATCTCTGGCATATGGCTCTGATTGCTTGCAACTCTATATAATAACTGAACATGGTGTCTGTTTGTTATCGTCTCTTTTCAGCCTACAATACTTCCTTATTACGAGATGGCGACCACACGTAGGTGCTACCCACACATATGCCCTTACCGGTTTACACACTTTAAGTGACAGCAGTCATTGAGCATCAGCTTACGATGATGCATTAGAAATACGTACCCCAATGGAGGCCGAGTACCCACCAGCCGGTGACATACGCAAGCTCATGGACGAGAACCCTCTACCGCAGCTACCGGCAGCCACTGTTGCTGCCGCCACGGCGGCCATTGAGGCCGGAGGACACGAAGCGGTTGATAAGCATGTGGAAGACGCTGTACGGGCGCTTAACGAAGCGCTCGCAGCTGGAGACACCGCAGCTCTTGCGGCCGTCTTTTTCCAAGAGCAGGCCTTCTTCCGTGACACGCTGGTTCTGACGTACGACACCCGCACATTCATATCGCCGCATCTAGCAGCGGCTGCATTGCTCGAGACAACTCGGCTGCGCCAGATGTCACCAGCCTGCTTTACCGTTCAGCGTCCGGCCGTTTATCTCCAGGTGCTGCCAGGCCTCGTGAGTAGCTCCGTGACTCTGTCTCTACGCCCTTTCTGACAGACAGGTATTCATTGATGCGTCGTTGACTTTCCACACCGACGCGCCGGGGGCTACCGGCAGTGGTCGTGTGCTGCTCGTGCCTGTACTTACAGCTTCCAGCAACGTTGTCGCGTGGAAGATCTGGATCTTGAGCACACAGCTCGACAGCTTCGACGCCTTCTGCATGGACGAGAGCAGACTCACTAAGCCACTAGTAGATCCTGTGCAGAGTGAGGGTCCCATCGAAACGGACGTCATTATTATTGGTGGCGGAAATGCGTGAGTCTGCCTTGGATGAGTCTATGCATTTGCACAGCAGCTGAAACAACTGTCTTTTAGCGGAGTCGCTCTGGGCTCCCGCCTCAAAGCGCTCGATGTGCGCCATCTCATCGTCGAGAAAAATGCACAACCGGGCGACAACTGGGCCAAGCGGTACGACAACGTGCACTTTCACACGCCAACATCGCTTTCCTCGATGCCCTACATCGGTACGTCCTACCTGTCATTGCGATGTGTATGTGCTGGCTAACTCGCGGACGCAGACTACGACAAGGAACTGCAAAGTCCTCATCTGCTGACGCGCGACGAGCTGGCAAGCCAGGTAAAGCGCTTTGTGCAAACAATCCCTCTGAACATCTTGTACCAGACCACAGTACGGTCCACCCGTCTCGACAGCCGCACTGGCCAGTGGACGGTGATCTTGAGCACGGCCGGTGGAAAGACGCGGACCTTGGTGGCGAAGCACCTGGTTCAGGCAACTGGCCTGGGATCACAGGTGCCGAACAAGCCGAAGATCAAGGTAGAGGCGCCCTTTTCCGGAGCAGACCTCCACTCGGCCACCTTTAAGAACGCCAGCGAACTGCACGCCCGTGGCGTCCGTTCTGTCGCTGTCATCGGGTCTGCCAACACCGCCTTTGACGTGCTTGAGGACTGCGTGGATGCTGGCCTGACGGCTACCATGGTTGTACGCTCCCCGACGGTAATGTTGTTCCGGTCGAGCACATTTGCAACCCGCACAGCCTAGGCATCTACGATGTGATCGGCGTGGCTGCCGGTGATCGGATGTCCCTGACACTTCCGTCCTTTGTCGACGGACACATGAGCCAGAGACTGTTCGCACAGCTGGCCTCTGCCGAGCCCAACCGCTATGCAAAGCTCGCCACTGCCGGCTTTCCCGTCATCGACAGCTGCGATGCTAACGCGTCGCTGATGCACCACGTGCTCGAGCGTGCCGGCGGTCACTATATTGATATCGGCGGCACGAAGCTGCTGGCCGACGGCCGTGCTGCCGTGCGTGCCCGCGTCGAACCTGTTGCCTATACTTCCACTGGGCTGCGCTTGTCTGACGGCAGCATGCTTGATGTAGACGCCATTGTGTGGTGCACAGGCTTCGCTGACAGGGATGTCCGCTGCGTTGCCGAGTCTATCTTGGGAGGAGATGTCACTGACGATGTCGCCGACGAGCCTTACATCCTCGGTCCATCTGCCATTGCAGCTCGTCTAGACGCCATATGGGGCGTGGATGCCGAGGGCGAGATCCGGGGAATTTGGAAGCGTCATAGCCGTCTGCCAACATACTGGTTTATGGGTGGCCAGACGCAGCAACATCGGGCCTTCTCGCGCACTTTAGCACTGCAGCTCAAGGCCGCTCTTTCCGGCATCCTTCCCCTTGCCTATCGAGGGTGAAAGAAAAGAGTAATCATCGTGTCGAGTACTCTTTCCTGCAAATACTGATTTCGCCTTCTAAAGCGCACTACTATTGATACAGATTTTACTTAGACAGTCTGTCGGCAAATGTGCCAACCATCCCTATGTTGGCCATGTAACAATAAATAAAGCATTAACTGTTAACATGTGCAAAACGTAAAGAAAATGCATCGAAATCCCGTTAGTCGATTTATCTGTCCTTGATTGCCCTTCACATATCTTCTCGCAGTTCGTGCCGGCGGATCCTCGATCACGCGGGCTTGGATGACGTCGATTGCCAGCTTTGCATCTCCGGAGTGATCTCACTGGCGGGCCCACGGCTGTTGAAGCCTCTTCCCATGGTAGACAGCCAGTGGCGCTAAATCGGCCAAAGATTCACGGCCTCTCGTTCTTTCGTGTCGCTGTCTCATTTGGGCTAGCGAACCATTAAAGCTTACCAAATATTGAGTGGCAGTCTCCACACTGCGTCCCAAATACGCTAATATCACTGGTTGCACGCCAATACAACGTATCGCACCAACAACTTATTAGACGACGTGGTGCCAATGTTCAAACGCGCTAGGTGAAGGAGAAGATGGTTTGTCCTAATGTGCTAGGTAGCATCCAAAGGTAAAGAGATGAAAAAGTGTGAAGGTTAAAGGAGGTTATACGTGGCGGTCATATAACGTGATGCACTGTGAGGAGCAGGAGGCTGAATAGGGTCTAGTGTGGGCGAAGGAGTGTTGTGTACTAAGGAAGAAATAGATACATCGCGACCCTTCTGGGGATCCGTATTGATACTAGTGCCAGGCCCCGCTTTTGTGCCTTCTAACCAATCACAGGCCCGTACGGCCAAGTGGGGCGGAAGGGCCACAGTGTGGCGGATTCCAATGCTTGACAATTTGCCCAGAGTTGGAGTTTCGTGAGCAAATTTGAGGTGGCGTATCTGGGTACATAAGTGGAAATGCACATATAAGAAACTAGATGTCCTGGACGAAAACCTAATACGAATTACCTACAGATACTGAGAGCGGAGGTAGGGTGAGGCCTCAGCTCGAACCAACAACAACACACACACCTACCAACGTATATAACTGTGCACGAATGAAGCACCTCCCTTCGTGAGGAGGTAGGGGCAGCATGTGGCTGGTCCGAAAGGGAAAAGGGAGGAAAGCCATGCGGGCTCACCTTGTGATCCCGAACTAGATGACAAGACGAGCCCGCCCGGCGAAGTCTTGGGCGTAGTCTGTGCTTCACAAGTGTACTGTGCGTATGGCTTTGTAACTGATTGATTCTGTGTATGCGTGTTTCTCTCCCTCTCTTAAGGAGAGGGAAGAAGAGAGGGTTTTAATATACATGGAGTGTGTAAGTGGTGACAGAAGGCATGAATTGTTCTACATCTGATTGGCTAGGAAAAGTGGAGTCGGCTACGTGCGAAACGCCGGCGGTGCATTGATATCAAGTTTGATTAGGCAGCCGGCCGCCCGCATAATTAGTATAAAATCTGTATAAAAAAATTGCAGGAAAGATCGAAAAACGTCTAAAGGAAACATTATAGTATCTATATATCTCGGATCGCAGTTGCTTTCATCTGTATTTAGCTAGGAGAAAAGTAGGCTTTTTGTCACTATCTTGTCGCTTTTGTACACAGCTCCACCTTTCCACTAGTTATAGGGGGAGGAACTAAGTAAATCCGCAGGGCGATATACTCACTCTCTACCTACTCTGTACGTGCATTTAATACGGGGAGAAAGCATGTAGCCAATGGGATGCTGCTATTCTACCAGAGCGGTCGCACAATTCTCCACTTTCAACAGTAGTCCGCATCTAAATACTGCACTACGGAGTAGATCTCCTTAATATCTACGGAGTATCTTTCCAGTATTCTGTCAGAAATAAATAATCATGAATCGTATTGCATCCGCGTTATCCCCCATCCGTGCTATCGCATGGGGAGAAATTGCCATGGGCCATGTTGGGGTTGGCTCCATTTACAATGCCAGTGCTCATTCTAGCCTCTTATCATCACCTGCTCTAATATTTCTAATAGACCTTCATGGTCGTTGTCGAGAAGGATGATTTTGATGATGCGATAAGATCTCTGTTGCAGAACGGCTTTCGTGATGCTCCTTGGTCTTACCGCTCTACAGCAGACCCGCGACTTTTTGAAGACGAGTTTATGCAAAATTTACATCGAGAAGTCGCGCTTGAGTACAGCAGCATCGACAAGAATTCTGCGCGCTTTTTGTTTCCAACAGAAAGCAACATTGCAGAGAGGGCCGTTTTGGTGCCGTCATCGTACGCTCATATCAGCCTTACGGATACACCAAAGTCTAGATTCACTTGCGTGGACGGTATTTACTACCCAGATGGCAAGCTGCTCCTCGAGAGCTTCGCGAAAACCTGCATGAGAGAGCCAGAAATTGACAGCTAGGGATCAAATCTCGAGATGTAGTCTGTTTCATACATCTACGGCCAATGGATAGTGGATGAGGATGCCTTGGATGATATATCAGACGAAGAAGCCAAAACGTGGTTTAACAACCAAATTCGGAGATACAGCGGTGGGATAGACAGGACAACCATATCAAAGCGGGTAGGAAGGAAGCCGTATCTAGGGGAAAACGATAAACTTGTGTCGCCCGAGGTGTGTTAATCAGTATCCGAGGATCGCCTCATCTTCTTTACCATATAGATATACCTACAAGGTTGAAAATACGCACAGTTTTGCACACTCGCGTTTCTCGATTTTTACTGTGGCCATTCTCTCTCAAGGATCAGAATTCAAGAGCTTGTAAACAAGGTTGCCAAGACCTAAACTCTGGTCAGTCATACTTTTAGCAGGGATACAGAGATGTGCATCACGTGACATGGACGTGATCATGTTTGGCCAGAAGGTGTATAGTTCTTTTTGTCTTGCCAACTTTGGCTACATGAAACATTCCAGTAGATGAGTGGTATGCAATATCCAAGGAAAGATACAAGGTGTTGTACAGGAGATCACTTCTCGGCCACGGGCTGCACGCGGGCAGCATCGCCGTCAGTCAAGACGGCCCAGAGCCGACGCGGCGGGCGGTTCTCGGTGGCAGCGCGGACCTGCTCGTCGCGCACGAGGCTAAAGTACTGTCCGAAGAGGGCACCGACGGCCATGCCGGCGAAGTGGGTGACGACGTCGATGGCCTGCTTCTCGGCGCGCAGGGTGAGCAGGTTGAGGCCGAGCATGAGGCCGATGAAGCCGAGGCCCTGGATGCCGCCGTAGGGATCGGGCGGCAGGCCGAGGATCTTGAAGCCCTCGAACTTGTGCAGCATAAAGTAGGCTGTGGTGATACCGTAGATGGCGCCGGACGCGCCGAGCGTCGTCAGGTGCAGGTTGTTGCGCAGGACGATGTTAGCCATGCTGGCGAGAAAGGCGAGCGCGCCCGAGGCGAAGTAGACCTCGAGAAAGGCGGCCCGGCCGATCTCGTCGTGCAGCCGCAAGCCAATAAACCAGACAAAGGCCACGTTGGCCAGCAGGTGGCTCGTCTTCTGGTGCGAAAACATGGCACCAACAAGACTCAGAGGCCGCGGCGTGGCCGGCACCACGATCATGTAGCGGTTGAGCAGCCGCCAGGCTGGCGGCACGCGCCACAGCAGCCACACAGCCACGTTAGCCGCCACCAGTCCCAATACGGTCGTCGTCGCTGATGATAGTCCTGGCACCAGCCGCTGCTCCTCGGCCGGCGGCTCGTACACGCTCGCCACCACGCCGCCACCCACCACCAGCGACACCACAAACAGCGTCGACGGCCATAGCCGCTGCCACGACGACATCGTCGGCGCTTCCTGTAGCGGTGATGTCGCTGCAACGGCCCACTTTTGCATCTGTGGGCTCATCTCGCGGTCTGGTATTCGCAGCCCAAAGCGACCGCCATTGCTGCTGCTGCTGCTCGAGCCGTCCACCCGCTCCAGCCCGCGGCCTCCCCCTCGTGACGCCGCCAGCTTCGCCTCCTCCTCTTCCCGCAGCTTCTGCTCCGCCTGTCGCAGCCGCTCGCGCTCTTCCTCCTTCAGTCGGTTGCGCGCCCGAATCGCGTCAAATGCCCCCATGCCGTACACCTCGTCCGACGGCGCCTCGCGGAACAGCCGCGCCCGCCATTTGTGTTCTGTCAGGCTCTGCAGCGCCTTCTTCCTCCCAGACGCATGTCCATCTTCTGCTGTTTCCTCTGTCTCCGCCTCTGTCGTCTCCTCGCTCTCGCCCTGCTCCAGCTCGGCCAGCTCGTCTTCTGCCCGCAGGCCCGCGTTGATCACCTCGTCCACCGGCACCGTCCGTCGAAGATATGCCAGCGCCGCGTCGATCTCTGCTTGCGGATACCGTGCCGTGTTCACGCGATATGCCGGGTCGTCCAGCGTGCCGGCTACTCGTCGACCGTGAAGAATGCGCAGCAGTCGGTTTGCCACTGCGGGGTTCATCCCCACTCCGAATATCTCTGCCACCTGCTGTCGCTCCAGGTCGCCGCCCCGCCGAAACGGGAGTCCGACGTCGTCTTCGTAGGTCGGTGGAAGGTCGACATAGTGCTTGGGAACGGCCGAAGTGAAAAGTGTGCGAGCGCTTCCTGCTGGTCGTCGCCGTGTCGCTCCGACTGGCCGCTGGACTGTGCTGTGTGGGTCTCGGTGTCGCAGATGGTCAATTGCGTATGGAGGCGTCGTGCATCGTGCACAGGCTTGTGTAGAAGACGGACGACACGCAGTCACGAGGACCCGTGCCAAAAGTGCGTGGTTGGATCTGCTGCTCTTGCCGAGACTTGCTCTTCCTAACCAGGACGTGCCGATGGCTGCCGTGCTGCCCACCAGCCGGGTACTTGAACACCGCACACTGCCTCGCAGCGCACTCATGTTTGCAGTTTGAACGCCGCAGTGCGTCCTGTCGACTGTCAATGCACGTGTGCAGTGGCCGGCGATTGAGAACTTGTGCCGGCTGTAAGCTATCGTGGGCCGATTTTCTTTAGACATCCCGGATGATCGTTAATCCGTCAACCTGCCCCACGAACAATTAATGCGCCAATCTGGACTGCGGGGCAGATGCTCACAAATACCGTCGCGCGTACTTACTTGTACGAGCACATTGGCAATGTATTATCTGATCTTATGTACGGAGTATCTTGTACGGAAAAACCAACTATGTTGCTAAACCTGTATTTTTCACTTCTGATTGTAGCCCGAGCTACTCTTCGCGAATGTACAATAAGTACGTCTGTATGAATTGCAATCCTAGAGACTGATATACGTATCACAGATCTTTCTCTAAAGGGTTTTGCTAAAGTTGGGTTTGATCCTCTCAGCAACACTCAAGTGAGGCCACCACATCTCCGATATACTTTCGGAAGACAAGGCCTACCACGAAGACAAGGTTGAGACAGTATTGACGAAGAAGAGACCTCCTGAGAAGTCCATTAATTCGTGAATACTCGTCGAAGCTCGCATGTCGAAGTCCTTCTTGCGTAGTATTTTGTCAAATTTGTGGGCCTCTGGAGATCTTTGCCCAAGTAGCCGTATAGCAAGACCGTAGCCCCGTTCAAGCCAATATCGACATTTATCCCATGAGTCAGCCTCATGAAATTGAAATGCGATTTTCAAAATAAAGTTGAAAATGAAGGTGTCGATTGTTGGAGACCTGTAGGTAGGGATACTGCGCTGCGCCGTCAACGAGGAGATGACTTTTTCAAGAACAGCATTGCACCATAGCTCATTCTTCGCCTTGAAGAGTAAAAAAGAAAGTCGTCTTGCTATAGCGATGGTATCTCGCGATATGGGCTCCTCACTCACACGTAGAAGTGGCTCGAGTGACCTGTACGCGTTTTTGAGGGCTTGTTGCTCTTGTTCGGCTTTCCCAGCGGCACTGTACAGCTTTGCAAGTGCGCATTTGGCTCGACAAGCATTTAAAGCCATACGCATATCGTCCGGATGGTTTTCACATTGCTTGAGAATAACCTCGAGAATGTTATCAAGTCCTGTAATGCCTGTCGTGATGGCGAGATCTAATTTTTCGAGCTGACGCCTCATCGACTCGGAATCGTCTGTCTCTAGGAATGATTGCTCGAGGTCAATATCTGCAACTGAGTGCCGGTGCTGGGATCCTGAACGGAGCACCCCGGTAATATAATCCCCCGTACCATCCAAGATCTTATACACCAGAGTCTCGGCATCTTCCTGGCGACCCCAATCTAGAAACAGCTTTGCCATGCGCGAATAGTGGAGGCAGGTATTTTCATGCCCATGGTGCCATTTCGAGACATGGTTTTCTGACATCCAGTCCAACACTTCGTCTGCCTTGTCCATGTTGCCAGACTTGGCGTAGAAGGAAGCATACTCGTATCCAGCCCTGAGAGTTTCTTCGTGGGTCGGTGACAGCAAAAAGCGAAATCCTGAGACTGCTTCTCGAAAATCTGCATCTGCCTTGACATAGTTTTTGGCAGACGCTGCACGGGAGGCGTCGTCGAGCAAGTTTCGCAGATCGGGTACCGTTGGACGGACCAGATGGAAGCGGAGCGGCTTTTTGTCGAGATAGAAAATAGGCTGCACAACTTCTTCAATTCCCGGAGCAGGTGACCTGGATGCAGTGGAGTAGGACATCTGCAGACTCTCATTGGGTGATAAGGGTGTCTGGTAAGTGATGCCGTTTGGAGTCGGACCTGGGTCGTCTGCAGCGCACCCGTTAGCGAGGTCGTATGCTTCAACAAGACATGGACGACTCACAGTCTACAGGCCGTCTCTGCAAATCCTGTCCAAATTTCCGTTCAAGGCTCTCCTTAGTCCACGTTTGATGTCTGTGGGAGAAAACTGTTTCTTTGGGCTGTCGTGCTTCGATCTTCGCGGCCATCCAAGAGGCCTTCTCCTGGGTCAGATTTTTGGACCATTTCCAAGCCGTGAACTTGTTCTTGTACATTCTCTCTCTGTTACAATCAGAGCATGCGTCAGCCACATGTGTCTCGGCAGGATACAGGAGCGCAAGCGGCATGTCTTACGTTGCGGAGAATTTATGGTCGCGTTCCATCATTTGCATTACCTCTGACAACGGTAATTTCTGGTTCATATATAATTTCTCAATGCGTGCTTTGTTCTGTTGCCACTGTGCAGCACTGGGCGCACGTGTTTTAGGCCTGCGGGGTGGCCGCTGCGTCGAATTATCATGAACATTTTCTCTGACGGTCGCGGTTGTCCGGTCCCCTCGAGTTGGCTGAGTAGGAGGAGGTCTAGCAGTCGTAAGAGCTTGGGCTGCGTACGAGTTCCTCAACAGAGAGGAAAGTGGGAAGCTGGACCTGAGAAACTCATTTCCGCTACTACTCGCGTCTCCTGGCCTTGCGCCGTGTGTTCCACGTGTATTAAAGGGACTCTGCAGGGGAGAGTTCGGGGAAACGGAAGCATAAATAGAAGCATACTGGGTCGGAGCTTGAGGGATGGTAAGCCCGCCCGTTGCCCAGTTGGCACTCGAACTGCTCTGGGTTGGAACGTCCGCAGTTGACCAGGAAGCCATTTGGATGTTTGTGGGAGGGTTCATTCTTGACATCGTGTTCGTCTCGGGGCGGGGGGGGGGGGGGAGGATGTGGGAGATTCAATAGTTGGCAACGACGATGGTTTGAACGAGTCTTGCCGCTGGACTGATTTTCATAAAACGATAAAACGTATGTCTGCCTTTCCAGGGCTGTGCGCTGATTTGGAAACTACAGAGAAACGACGGCAACAGTAGTGAGACTTTCTGCTTTTATAGGAAAAGGATTGGTGTGCAGCTTGGAGTGCAAGACGTTAAGATGATATGCAAAGGGCGGTGGCGATACAAGAAGAAGTACTAGAAGGTCCTGAAAGGTACCTTGGGATTATTTGTTTCGAGTCTCGTCTGTGCAGCTGACTGTAGGTTTGTTGCGTAGTCCTTTTCTAGGTACTATAGGTACTTCAAGCCTTTTGGTTTGGCCCAATCCCAGACCCATGAAATAGCTTATCGTACGAGTAATGGCCGGTAGAAAAGATCTGAAAAGGTCTGGAAAGTCTGTATGCACACGAGTGGGCAAGCTAGGCAGCCTCAAGGCTGAAGCATAAGAATGGAGCGACTTTAAATCTGCTAAGTGGCGCCTGCTAAAGGTCTTAAAAAGTCCTCTGAAAGCTTAACCTTTTTTTTTTAGACAAGCGCATTCAGCGTAAGCTATTAAACGATTTTCGCACTCAAGAAAGGCTCTAAATGCTCTGGGTCGCTAAAGCGTCACGTAGTTATGCCGCCGATTTCGAAGACGATTTCAGAGGTATGCTCTTAGATAACTAGTCTTTCGTAAAAAGTCCTTGTAAAGTCCTTGAAAGGGGCTTTTTCTCATGAATCCCAGTATATATATAGATGATCAATAGCCCTCCGTTTTGAAAGCAAAGAAAACCTCCTTGAACTGCACGATACTCTTACCTCCCTGCGCAGCAACTTCGAGCTTGAACACGACAAATAAAGTAGCTTCCCTAGGGGGTTCTGTTGTTTTAGCAGACAAGAATATACCTACTACTCCAACACCCTTACCCAGTGTTGGAGCACAATAAAAAATGGTGGGTGCATGAAACTTTTAATTCGTCACATGTCCTAACCTTTCAGGGCCAGCCAAGCACCTTCGTAGCCGTGCCACGGCCTAGAAGCAAGAACGTTGCTTCTGGGTCTACTCCGGGCATACCCATGCAAGTCAATAGTTCTGCCCTGGACCGATGGCTGGCCGAATCCGTGGACACTAAACCATTCGATACGATCGCCGCCGTCAAATGTGCGGTGAGCATCAACCCTTCCGAAATTACAAAGGCGCACTCAAGCAATGCGTGTGTTGTCTCTACGGCCTTTTTCGCCGAGAAAACTGAGGCTGAGCCTTGAGGACTGCCACGGGGCGGCCTTTTCTTTGCGGAATGACAGACCCACTGTTGACAACTGGCAGAAAACTCGAAACGAAGGGGAGGGGCGTGTTTGGGGGGGGGAGGAATGACGGTGGGGCTTTGATGAGGCGTGCGCACCATGTAACTTGTAACTCACATTGTAAGCTACAAGTACAAAGTAAACAAAATGTGTTTTTCAAGTACCAAAGCCAGGGAAGGGCTGTTTAGTAGTGTATAAAGACGTCGAGGTGTGCCCTCAGTTTAGCCTTTTTCTTGGATCGTTGCAAGCCTTTACAGCCTTTGGATCAGTTGCGCTTCGCAAGTGCAGATAGGCTTGGACGATGGAGTCACCTCGCGATGAAGACCAGTTTGATTGGACATTCCCCTTGCCCCTTCAACCTGTTAACCCAACCAATCTTGAAGGAGCTGGCACCGTGTGCGAAACCAAGCGTTTCGATTCCTTCTACAATGCCAACGGCGACCGCGTCGAACTACCAGCTGGGGAGAGGTACAGAGCGACGGGCGCTCAGGCCTACCATAGCGCCCTTTCAGTCACAACTTACTGGAACAGACAGCAAGAATTTGAGACGACTGTACTCGAGGTCAGATCGCGACACATGAAAGCTGCACTCCGGGCAGTCGTGCCCGCATACTCCTCATACAACATCACCGCGAGACACATATCTATATCGGGAGAACCATGGTGTCTATTTCATTATCGCCAGGAGCTTTTGGACTATGGAGCACAGTTAGTACACCAGGGTTATGACGTGGAAGCCGCACATGTACAACACCTCATTTCTTACATGTGGACTACCTTCGCAAATGAGATTTTGGCTTTTTATACGGTCGAGTTTGCCACTGGTTTTGACCCCTCCCTGGAACACAAGTACCTGTGGATGGTCTTTCGACCTGGAGACATATTGTACATCCGAGAGCGTGGAAGCTGTGCTTTTCTGCTAAAAGAATTGTCCCTGCGTGCGTCGTGGATTTTGTCGGGGTACTGCATCGATTACGATGGAAAATCTTATGGCTTCAGAAGCTTCAGCGCAATTATTAGCCGCTACGATGGCATACGACCTCTGAAGAAACTTGAAGTCGTTCAACTCAATTGGCTGTCAGAAGAAGAGCGACAGATTATAAAGGAGAAGCTCGTGACTCGTGGTCAGAGATTCGTAGGAATTCACGGCCAACAATGTCTTTCTTACAACGAATATTCTGACGAGTCCACGGGCGGTAGGGTATGACACGAGTACTCAAATGAATTATGGTGAATTATTTACTAACATTTCTTTAGGTGAGAACTCGAATCATGGCTGATCGTGAAGGCTACGACAAATGGGGCCCAGGCTATTCTATAAATTTTGCATCCGGGCAAAAGACATTCGATGCTAAAGATGCTCTGGTACAAATGACGGAGGATGATTTTATGCTGTGCAGTCCGTATATCGCAGGGTATTCTCTAGGAGATAACAAATGGGGCACCTTCGACATCGATTCAATTAGCGATACAATCTTCGACTCACAGGCCTTCGATGATCTAGTGCTTAAGGATGACGAGAAACAACAGATTCTCTCACTGGTTCGTGTACACCAGGATGCCAGCTTTTCCTTTGATGATCTAGTACAGGGGAAAGGGAGGGGGATGGTTTTCCTGCTGTACGGAGACCCAGGCGTTGGCAAAACATTGACAGCCGGTACGTCCCATTCGATCAATAGAACCCTTGACACGTCCTCAAACTCACATTCGATAGAAAGTGTTGCCGACTGTTGCCAGAAACCTCTCCTTCGGCTAGATGCTGGGTCGCTCGGCACATCTGCGTCATCGGTTCAGAAGGGCCTGCGAGATGCTTTTTGCCTAGCTGAGAGGTGGCATGCTTTACTTCTTCTCGATGAAGCCGACGTCTATTTGGAACAGCGGAAGTCGAAAAATCTTGTGCACAACGGAATTGTCTCTGGTAAATTTCTTCTTCTTTGGAGTATGAGTACTCGAGTAACTGGGGAATCTTGTCCGCGAGACGCCCTTTGTGGTATGCTGCTGACATTGCCATAGTCTTTCTTCGCATGCTTGAGTACTACCAAGGCATTCTTTTCCTGACGACGAACCGCATCAACTCGTTTGACAGTGCATTCATATCTCGCATTCATTTAGCGATTCGCTACCCGCCTCTTGTGAAATCAAGCCGACTTAAATTGCTGCATACTTTTCTCAAACAAGCTTCACAGGAGAGTGCAGAACTCTTGAGCAATATTGGTGTGCTGGGAGAGCTTGCGAAAGAAAAACTGAATGGTCGGCAAATCAAAAATCTCGTGCGCACTGCGTGCGCGCTAGCACTCAGTGAGGATGCTGTGGGCTGTCGTATCTACGAACGCCATTTAAAACTGGCCCTGAAGCACACGAAACAGTTCGCGCGGAGCATAGAGAAAGAATCTCTCTGCAGCGCACAGCAGGAACTAGCCAAAGGGGAAGAAGACGATGAAGTACAGCCGGCAGATATCCAGTCAGATGATGGCAACGAAGATGAGCCTGATGATAACTTTAGTGGTGATGAAGATGATGATGAAGACGATGATGATGATGATGAAGATGATGGTGATGAAGAGGACAACTGGGAGACACAGGAATCTCAGCAGCAGAAGAAGCGAAGACGTCTAGTTTAAGTGCGCATTTCATTTTGTCCGCGTTATCATCCGCCAAAATGCTTTTCCTAGTGCGAAGAATACGATTACAGGTCGAAATTTTTGCAGGTAGCTGTCCCTGATAGGTGGTACGGCGATAGAGGGTATGAGGGGTAAGAGTTACGTATAATAGAGAGTACTCCGTAGTGCTTAAGTAAAGGGATATCTCTCTCTTAGGAGGCCGAAATAGCTTCTAGGTAGCGACAGGCTAATACTATGCATAAAACTGTTGAATTATGGGTGCCCAGTGAGCATGAATGTATTGTTATGGTTAGGTACTTCTGAGGTATGCAGACGTGCGTCAAAACACGTACTAAATAGCCTGTACATGTATCTTTTACCGGCGTCACAAGACCTTACATTTTGGCCTGGTCCATTCGACAAAGTTAGCCTCAGGACAAAAGTGCCACAATCTGATTGTAGCCGAGCCGTTTCGCCGTGGCTAGCGGAGTCTCTCCGGCGTCGTCTACTGGATGGCGGTCTACGTCGTCTCTCGTCAGAAGGAGGGCAACCTGGTCGTAAAAGTCCCACTTTGTCGCTGTGGCAAGAGCTGTCCGTCCTCCGTCGCGGCGTACGTTGACATCGAGCTCAGCACGGCCGAGAAGGAGCTTTAGGCACTCGTAGTGCGCACGGCGGCCTTCAGGCGGACCAGACGGCGCCCGATTCGGCGCCTCATGGATAGCTGTGTTGCCGCCTAGCGTCCCCTTGTTGACCTTGATTGAGGGTGACGCCAGGAGCAGGCGGACCACGTCGACAAAGGCGTAGCGAATTGCATACACCAGCGCCAAGTCCCGGTAGTTATTGTAGATGTTGGGATCGATACCAGGTCGCGCCAAGAGCATCTCGACGCACCGCGTCCGCCCGTAATAGGCGGCCCAGATCAATGGCGTGTCGTCTGTGTTGTCCTGCGAATTGACATCGACGTCGGCCCGTGCCAGCAGCGCTTCCACGACGTCATCGTGGCCTGCCTGTGCGGCCAGCGATAGCGGCGTGCGCCCTCCACTGTTCCGGACATCCGCATGGACGCTTCGATGGCTCAAAAGCAGCCGGGCCAGGTCCGCATGCCCGCGCTGTGCTGCTGACAACAGCAGCTCGCTCGCCGCCTCAGCGCCTCCACGGCAGCTCATCAGCTCTCTGACGGCCCCGTGGCGTCCTCGGCTCCAGGCGGACGAGATGGCCTGAGACAGCTGCTGCTGCGAGATTGGTGTCTGCTGCTGCTGCTGCTTTTCCGCATATTCAAGGTACATCCTGAGAGTGATGTAGTCGACCAGGTGCACGGCCTGACTTAGCGGCGTGCTTAAAGGAAGTGAGCCGATGTGGCTGTCCTGCATGTCGTTCAGCTCTAGCTTCAGGCTCGCCAGGCGTTCTGAGACCGTCTCGGGCGACAGGCTTGCGAGGTCCCTAAGCAGGACGACGCCGTAGCGAAACATGTTGGACCTGCGGATGATTGCCGTGATTTCCTGGCTGTGGGGACGAAGATGAGCACAGCCGGCTGCGGCCAACTTAGCATCGACAAACAGCTTGATGTCGTCGTAGATAGCCATCTGCAGAGGAGAGCATAGAACAATGCCAGCGGCAGACTCCTGTCCGGCCCGGTCGCTAGTAATGATCAGGGACGCAGCACTCTGCAGACGCGAGTCAGGAGACCCTTTAAGCGCGACAGGGTCAGAGCAAGCATCCAGCGCGTCCAGGATCACGACCACCCGTCTCGACCTGTGAGCGCTAAACGTCGTGAGCATCTCGGAAAGCAGGTCATGGAGCGCCAACACCGTCTTTCCCCGGTTCGTGAAGCCGATGCCCTTGTTAACAGTGCCCTTTAGCATTTTCAAGAGTTGGGCCCGGAGAGCCGGATCGGTGTCGTCGCTCCCAGCGAGTCGAATGAGCTGGAGGACGAGGCTTGATAGCGCTCCTACCGGCGAAGCTTCCTTTGCGCTGCCGGCCCGGAAGAAGAAGACGAGCGCGTCTTGGCCTTGGACTCGCGGGAGATAATCTGCCAGGAAGGATGCAAGCATGGTCTTTCCAGTGCCACTTTGTCCACAAATCCACAGGTTCTCAGGCTGGGAGGCGGCTTGCCATTGCTGATACTCAGGAGCCTTGAGAATCCACTCACAGGTCCCCTGCACTCGCTGGCTCTTATACTCGGAAAGGCTGTCCTCTGGATCATGGGCGTCGAGCCATTCTAGCGCTAGCTCTATAATCGGTTCTTCGTCAGCAAACAAGAACAGTGCACTGCTAATCGTGTTGCGGCAAGACTCGGGCAACTGTCTCTTACGTTCTGACCGCTGCTCTTCTGCCGATTGCAGAGCATGGATTCCGTTGTTAGTGTCTAGGACTTGGCTGTAGATTTCTGGAACCACAACCGAATGTCAGAAACAGTACACCTGTATAACAGTTGAAGATTGTTTGTCCGAACAACAAATGCTTCTTACTTTTTAATTGCGTCTCTAGGGGGGCTAGAGCTGTTTCAACCGAGTTGAGCTGCTTTTGCATAGTTTGAACTGTTTTTGAGCTTTCTGGGTCGGTTTTTGGTTTGCTTAGTAGACTTTTAAAATGATCACAACGAAAAGATTGACAAGTGGACTGAAAGGAAAATGAAAGACAAATGGTCCTTTAATTGCCCGACGGTGGTATGTGGGCTATGGAAGAGGCGCAGCTGGAGTAGACAAAAGAGGAATAGCTGATTACCTTTGATCGTCTGGAAAGTAGCTAGAGTTGCTAGCTTCTCCAGTGTCTTCTGCCCCTTGTTGATGTTCTCGACAAGTGGCTGAAACTGAGCGCTAAACGGCCTTGCAGCCGAAATTGCCCCTAAGTTGACGGACGTTAGACCCCACAATCTCCTGGAGAGTCCCCCCCCCCATATAAAAGTGTCCTCTTACCAGTGAACTTGAGAGCAGACTGAAAGTATGACTGTGCCTTGGTACTAAATATCAGGACAGCGGCATACAGCTTTGGAAGAGCCGACTCCATCTCCTTGGCCAGAACAGTGGCATCCCCATTATGCTCCGGCATCTGCGTTAGCTCTTGGCATTCCGAGTAGATGCTCTCATAAACTTGGCCGACCGCCATGGTCATCGTGAGCCGAGCAAGGACTTCTTCTAGCATCTCTAGCATCTCAATCTTGTTCCAGAGAAGCTTTTGCAAACAAAGTCAGCCTAGAAAAGAAACAGAGTAAAGACCACAAAAGAGCAGGGCCCGCTAACCTGGAGAAAAAACTTCATGGAAGCCCACACGATGCCGGCATACTCGGACGTGGAAACGACTTCATCGATTATTCCCGTGTAGTTCTGTAAGCCTCTGAGCAGGCATTCAACTCTCTCCTGCACGGCTATCTTCTTGCCGCTAGAGGTGGTGTATGATATTTTACTCATAACGAGTTTAACTCTCGCTGTATTGGCCTCTTCGATAACAGCAGATATAGAGTTTGCCCCACATCTTTTGTCGATGCGCAGCAGTTCCTCTTTATTAAGATGATTGGAGTCGTCGTGTGCCAATTCGACAGCTTTCTTCCATATATCCCTGGGGTCTTGTTAGCCACGAAGAAGCTCAGGCTTTTATCCTTTATCGTCCTCTGCTCTGATTCACTGTCGCGTGGGCCACTTTCTGTATCCGTGGGTGTGCTCACATGTGCGATACATCTTGAACGCGGACAACGGAAGCGTCCCGAGCCTGGCTTTTATTTGGCCGTTTCTCTTCTGTGCCTAGTTTCAGACTCGAGTGGCTGCTACTGGCGATCGGCATGACGGTAGATGGGGGGAGAGGACTCTCCTCCCCGCTATGACCGCAGAAGCAGCCCAAGACTCTCCTCATTTTGTTGTAGCCCAACGGTAGCGCAAGCTAGAGACAAAAGTCGGTGTTGGAAGCAAGAAGCTATAGAGAACCGGCGCGGAGACTGGAGTGACAGAGACTTCCTGCCCCTCTCAACGTCAGCCATTCTCCTCTTTATGCACCACAACAGGAGTTCAGCCGCATTGCAACTATTTCTTTTCTGTGCCTAAAAAGCGGTGTACATCCTAGAACGCGGGTTTCATTGGCCAGTCAAGACGTTATACTAATCAGAGAGTTGCATGCTGTCAAATTACAGATGCCTATAAAGGTGCTAGGTAAAATCGTCAGACTATGGGCGCCCAATAAGCTTGTGTTTCGTCATCTCTGAGCTACGTCGCATGCCGACCTGGCTGAAATACCGTATTAAAAAGTGGGTTAAGCATTCTACGCACAGTAAGATACATTTTATCACTGTACTTGTGCAAAGGGTGCAAAGGGTGTACTCCGTACTCCGTACGAAACATTTAGTTGCGACTACGGAACAGCAGATCAACTAGGTCAAGCGATTGGCGTGATGTTATTAGTTGACCATAGCAGATATAAGGCGTTAAGGCCTAAATTCAAATTTCCTAGTACGCTTTTGCGCGATACCCAAAAAGACTAGCAAAATTCATGTGCTGAGTTATGCATGCATTTCACAACTCGTACCATCGCATGCTAGCGGAAAGAACCTTGTCTCAATGGATGAGTTCAGCATCTATCATGCTCTACTTTAGAAAACCTATAAAGGTATAAGGGGAAGCGACAGTGTTATGAAAATGGGTCCTGTGGGTTCCTCCTTGCTTTCAGCAGATGCTCACCATTGAACCCCATTCCGACTCCATCCACCACTGGATCAGCGATCGCGTCGAAATCGCGCAAGTTGGTCATCGGTCATGTCTCCCTGCAGCCCGTTGGCATACTTTTCAAACTTTCTAGTCTCACTGATAACTTTGAGCAAATGATGCGGCCCCATTGGTTCCTTGGTAAACATGGCCAGCTGACGAGCTGTCGACACGGCGTTGCGGATCTCACGTCCGTTAAGCGTCTCTTTGGCCAGATCGGGCAGAACACGTCGGATGGCGGCAGAGTTCATGCCAAGAGATGTAGGCGATACCTCTCGTGAGGACGCCGCGGCCATGACGCCCTCGACATGCTTGATGAAATTGGTCCAGATTACAAGGCGGTCAGACTCGTCGAGCGGCGGATAGTGCAGCGACAGCTGGATGCGCGACTTGAAGGCGGCATCAAAGGTACCCACACGGTTGCTCGTGAGGATCAGGATGCCGTCGTAATACTCGAGCACGCGCAGGAAGACGGAGACGAGGGCGTTGCGCTGAAAGTCGTGGACGGAACGCTGCATCAAGAACACATCAGCCTCGTCCAGCAGCACAACGCAACCCCAGGTGCTTCCCAGCAACAAGACCGTCTCGAGGTAGCGCTCGACATTTTCAGCCTCCGTGCCGATATCACCACAGGTCACACGGTACAGCGGCTTGCGGGCCACTTCGGCCACGCTCTCAGCTGTCAGCGTCTTGCCCGTTCCCGGACCCCCGTGCAGCAGGATGAACAGGCCATTTCCCTTGCCACTCATCAGGTCGGTGGCCTCGTCGGCTGCGATCCGGTTTGTGATCAGTGCCTGGATCAAGTCCTTCTTCTCCTGGCCGATTACCAGCAGCTTGAAGGCATCGTCGTTCCACTGTACCTCCTCCATGTTGCCCACCAGCAACATCTCCCAGATTTTCTTTTCCATGTGATAGCCTTGGATCCTGAGCGGCAGGCACAGCAGGAATTCGTCCTTCAGGGTCAACGACGGCCGATCGCCAGTTCGTGTAGCCTCACTGAGCCCTAAGTCGTCTCGGTTTGGAGACTCAAGTTCTTTTTCGGGGTGCATTTGTTTAAAGATATCGATATCAATCATGTACCTTGTGTCAGACTAGACTTGTCAGCCACACCATGATCTCTGTGGAATACCAACGATAATGTGCACCGGCCACTGACCAGACTCTGAGCGCGCGATACTCCGTTATTATGGTAGCAGACGTAATTGGGCACGCGGCATGCCCAGAACATCTCTCCACGACGACGCAGCTGATCGATAACGTTCGGACTTTCGAAACGAAGTGGATGTATATGAAGATCCCGAATGGGGAACGTCAGTTCCCACGGGGTTTTACACCTTAGCACCCAAACGTTATCGTTTCTCTGAAAGCGGCCGTCGTAGCTCCAATTTATACCCCGGATCCACCAAGGTGACCCAACCGAGTAGTCCACAATTTTCTCTGCTTTCGTCAATTTGGAGTTGTAGCTTTTTAGTTCGGAAGTTGCCTTGAAAGCTTGATAGAGCAATGGATCATGGTTGCTCTCTTTTATTAGCTGGATCTCGTCCATGACCTGAGAACGTTAGCACAGACGAGATGCCTGTAGAAAGAGAGAACTCCACTTGGGGAGACATACATAGAGATATGGCAAATACTTTGCCTTGATTTTTCCCTCTTCCAGTAACTTATCGACCTCATTGTACTCTGACCCCATACACTTGTCGATATATATCTGTAAACTCTGCACAATTGGGATTTTTGCCGGGCTTAAAGTGGTGATCGCCTTCCGAAGGGTGTCTTTGTTGCGGTACCACCACAAATAAGGTGCTTGTATATTGGTTTCTGGCTCGAATTTTGGATGATATGGTGATTCTCCAATGGAAAGCGACCACAGCTCGTCCAAGGCCCTGCTCAGAGGTGACAAGAGCGAGACCGACTCGGACACAAGTAATCAGGATACCGTATCTTCTTCTTTCTCGTTTGGTTGGAATTTGAGCGAGTCGTCTTCGTGTATCGTACAGCAGCTGTAGTCTTTGTATACGATAAAGGCCACCCATTTGTTGCGTTCTAGGTGGAGCTCCAGGTTGCTAATGATCTCACGGCCGCGCAAATGTGTGTAACCATCGGCATTCCTGACCGGCCAGGGCACACCGAGGGAAAGCTCTCCGTCACTTTCACCCTCATTGCAGTTAATGCGGTGTATGGTGATGTAGTTCGGCTCCATGGCCCCATCACTTTTGAGTCCTTCCGTTGCACAATCTTTCATCTCGAGGTAGCGGGTTCTGACGTCCTGCAATGCAACCCATAAGTCATCGTTTTCCGTCTTCGTTGGCTTGTCTAGGAATTTGCAGATCACGCCTCTCCAGTCAATATCATTGATCATGGGCGGTGCCGATGCAAGCTTATCGCCTCTCTCTCCGGACGTGCTGTCCAGAGATTCATTATCGGACGAGTCCGCTGTGCGTGTGCGCTTTCGCTGTTTCATTGTTGTGAAGAAGCTTTCAGAAGAGAAGGGGGAAATTATGTAGGATGCAAACTAAAAGTTCCCATGTCGGTCTTCTGAAATCAGGGCTGTTTTGCATCCGACGCAACCCAACCAGAGCCCTCCACGTTGATCGGCCAGTTTCCGAGGTCCAGCGTATCAAGCCGACCGGGCAGTGCCTCTGCCACTTCCCCTCAGCATCCCCCGCCATACACCCCTAATCTTGTCTTGCGATGCCTCGCCAAAAACCAGCATGGATTCTTGTGAAAGGAACCGAATTCAATCCGGGTCGATCCTTGTCAGTGGGCCAAATCCTGGTTAAGCCCTACCAGCCAAACTATCCATTATTGCCGGACGGACCACTACCTATTCCAAAGAGTCACATAGAATACTCCTTTGAGGAGGGAGTCCAGCATAGCACCGCAGACTCTTTGGGTATATCGTTTCGTTTTTGGGCCAACGTCGACATGCTGCCGGTGCAAGGCGACGTCGGTTCAGGCTATAAGAAAGAACAATCGGTAGAGTGGGAGTTCACTAGGTTGGAATGCCAGATCTATACGCCTCGCCTAGACTATGTAACCCGATCTCTTCAGTCGGAAGATATTCAGCATCATATACAAGGCTACACTTTCAATTTTCGCAAGCGCTTGTACATGGTTACCGGCGTGCGCATTGCACGGGATTCGCGCAAGACAGAGCGGTTTTCTCATAGCATCGGGGCGCACACCAAGGCCGGTCTCGACATGACCGCTTTTGGGGTACCTATCACAGCCGGCGTGGATCCGAGCTTTGAAAAAGATCGCTATGGAGCGCATTCTTTCCAAAACGCGTCTGATTTTGTCTATGCTTACCGCTTGGCTGAGATATACTACGGAAAGCACTTGTCCGTAACTCCATACATGCGTGGAAATACCTTTGCATCGGATCTTCATTCCATTGGCGACAACGAGAAGTTCGAGTTTGATATCGACGAAGAAGATGCAGGGGGCGCGCTTGAGCCTGGCGGCATCATTGTGGAAGGGATTGGCGACGAAGACTATGATGGAGATGTTGAATTACAGAAGTTCTCGTCAGAGAAAGAAGACTATTATTTGCCAAGAGGATGTGAAACGGACGGTACTTCTATGTTGCAACCCAACTTTTAGACGTGAACTCTGTTGGGCTCCCAATACATATCTAGTCCCGAATATATGAGCTCAGTAATTCTTGGGCATGCTGCTTTGTTTCCTCTGTGGTTATGACCTTCCAGGGGAGGACATAATGATACAGTCCATCTCCAGGTCTGTACCCGTCTGCCATGTGTATGAAGACGGATTTCATCTTGTCGAACTGCTTTAGCCGATCTACGCGTTGGATGGCCGGATCTCGAGGCTGCCAAGCATATTCCAACACCCCGGCAGCAACTGCAGCAGCAGTCGGCGTAGCGCATGACGTGCCCGAGAGCCGTCTGTATGTCGAACCGTTATTATTCTCCACTTCGTTTTGGCCCTCAACAAGAGCAGCTGGCCAGGCTCCCAAGATACTTTCCCCAGGAAGCATGAAGTTGGGTGCGTCATATCTTGCCTTTGGATTGAACCGACAAGGATATCCTTCCCGATCCGCTGCAAATATGCAGAAAACCTGACTCATCCTCGCTGGAAACGGTATAGGCACCAATTTGTGCGCAGTGTTGTTCGAGGCCGATGCAAAGATCAAAACATTCCTTGCAGCCGCCACGGAAATCTCCTGTTCCGCTTCGGTTGTAGAACTGGGAAAGCCTAGAGATAAGGATAATATGTCAACTTTCCAAACATCCGCGGCATGCTTAACGGCTTTTGTAAGAGTCCCGATAGCTGAGAATGGTACATCGCTTTTCTGGAACACTCTTCCAACGTACATTTCAGCATTGGGCGCATATCTCAGGAGCACTGATGCGCAATGGGTGCCATGCCCATCCATGTCACACATACTGTCCGCATCAGTGACGAAGTCAAAATACTTCACGCGGCCATTGCGCACCGCATTTCCAATATACGGGTGGGAGAGATCGACACCGGTGTCCAGGATGGCAATCTTGACTCGGGGAAATCGTATGCTTGGCAATTTACGAGATGATTCAATGCAACCATTAAAACGCTCCCTCCAGAACTTTGACCATGTCGAATGTACTTTCATTCTGGACAATGGGTTAGCCCATTTTTCAAGATCGAAGGAGTTCATAGGTAGTTTACCTTTTTGGTGAATTTGACGCCGCTATACTGATGTCACAATCTTCATGCTGCTGATTTCCGATGTATTCCGGGACATCGCGTGTACGTTTGCGTTTCTGCCTGCCAATGTACTCTGGCCACTTCCTAGTATCTCTGCCCATGTCTGATTGGAATTGACTGCAATTGGAAGGTAGGGTGCCACTACCGCTCTGCACTGAAAGTCGGATTATTTGTATGTTGGTTGTGCTTTTTTGAGAATTCGGGATCGGCGGTGGCGAAAACAAAACGGCTTTGAAAACAGCGTCGGTCTCCTTGGTTTTCGTTTCATTAAACAGACTGAAGAAAGAGTCTATCCACTCATTCCACTCAGTAGCCGCGCACCGATACTTGTAGTCCACGGCAGCGAGATCAACAACGATATAAACTTCATCTAGTCCACGGGAAAATCGAGCAAGCAATAGAACCCAGTCTCTATCCGTAGTCGCTGACTCTATCCACTTCAAGCATAAATTAAGTGCGCTCTGGCTATGTAGAGCTGGGTTGAGTTGCAGTAGTTGAAGACAGAGCTGGGCGACAATATCTCGTGCGCTGAACCGTCGATGAATCTCCTCTTCTACCTCTGATGCGAAAGGGACGTTTAATGCCCAAATTAGCGGCACTAATTTGGACGAAATTTGATCGATGGTCTCTATGGGAAAGTCGTCGAATCGTTCATATGTAGCATACGAGCCTTCCAATAGGACGACTTCAGACCGGCTCGAAGCCGCCCATGGTAGCAAAGCATTCCAAACGATGTCCTCATGTGTCTGTTTGTTGTTTATCTCGTGAATTTCTCTACCCTCGGACCGCATGGCTCGTAGTATCTTTGCTCTTTCTCTTCCTTGTTGGGGGGTTGACGACAAAAGTGAACAGGCAGTCTGAAGAGCTGTTGGGATGTCTGTTGCAGGTGGCCTTGAGAAGCAGATCTCCCGGACCATCCTGAGAAGTGTGCTTGTATCCATGGCTCCATGCGCTGCACGAAACTATAGAAGAGACAACTTTAACAAAACAGAAATATTGGTGCCTAACAAAGCCTCCTGCCGTCCAAGGAGGAGGGGAACGCGATACAAAACAGCCAATAGGTGACTGACACAACAACAGTGGTTAAAGCTGTCCGAAGTCGCTTGTTATCTATGGCCTCTGCAGGAGTAGAGAAACCCCTCCGTCTTGCGTGTGCGGTGTGGCGCAGGCCCTTGGACCATCCATCGCCTTAAAAGTGCAACGTATCATTTTACCAAAGTTTGATCACCCTTACCTAATTTACGCGATGCAAAACAAGGCGACGACAAAATAACAGAACGGAAAAGCAAACCCTCCACCCCTCGGCTTGGTTGTAAGATATATAAAAAAACCGTTTATCGGCGACAGCATTATTCAGAAAATACATATCATCGGTAGGGTTGCAGCAGAGTATAATAGAGGTAAGGCAGATTCCGAGCTTGCATAAGGGCACACCAGAAGCAGCAGTTCGCAATAACTGATCGCGTTTAGAGAGATGCGATGGGCAACAGCGATCATGCGCTGCAGGACTATACTACACAGCTCAACCTTTTAGAGCAACAAAATAAACATCGGCTAAAGGCAGCGGAGAGGATGAAGAAAGACTCGTTGCAAAGCACTCGGCCACAGTCACCTCTTTCGCAAAGCGTAAAAAAACGTCAGAGGTCCACTCCAAATCGCGATAGCCGTCCAAAAAAGCATCAAAAGCGAGATTCACCTCCCCCACTGCCACATAATCAGCCTGCTTCCTTGAACAGCGACGACAATCTGTCTCGACAAAGTGATCTATCTGCGAATGGAAATGCATTGTTGGTCAGCTCTACTATCTCCAAGGACTACACAGCCGGCGCTGCAGCCCGTCGATCTGCCATGTTGGCGAATTTGGGCAAGAAGCAGGCTCCAGCACTGCTTACCGCCCGAGGAGAATTACCAGAGAAAAAAAAAATCAGTTTGTAATTGGCGTCAAGGCTGGGGTTGCATTTTCTGCACCAAACACAAGGTAGATGGAGGACATAGCCTTCAGCACTCCTCGTGCACCGCCTACGACGAGGCGATCCTCATGGCTGTAGCATTCGAATACGGGGGCGATGGCCTACGGAGTATGACCGATGCGAGACAAACAGACATGCAGTATATAAACGCCTAGAAGCACTCATCCCTTGACAGAACTGAATAGAAATAGTAGTCTGTCTCATTTCACCGCTCACTTTATCATGCAGCTCTCATTGAGCGTTCTCGACTGTAGCAAAGCATTGGCTCGGACATTGGACTCGCCTCCGAAGCTATCCAGCACAGACGTGAGCAGAAGCAGCAGTCTAGCTCGGGAGCGGTCATTGTGTCGAGCAGAAGTCGAGACACGGCGGCCTTTAGTCGTAGGGTGGTAGACCGATTAGACTAGTGGATAGCCTGCTGATGGTGGCGGCGTCATCGTGTGTCAACCATCAGAACTAGAACCAACACCAGCACGAACATCAACGGTACCGGCAACCCATGCAAAACGGCCGAGCCCACTGTAAAAGAAGTTGAAGCAGGACGTGTGGTGCCTGCTGATCGTCAACCTGTCGACGGACGAGGAGCTGAAAGCATGTGGAAGACAGCATGTCGCAATACCGTTCTACTCGTAAAGCATCTACATTGGCTACATCCGCTAGCCTGGGATTATCTGCCAAGGCTTACGTGTGATTGGAAGCCGAGCAAGTATCATGTAAAAGATTCAGGGCGGGGTCGGTCAAAACAAAGACACCTTCTGAAAGCGCTTAGCTCTGTGTAAGCTACGTGTCTTGGCATCTCGCCCTGTTATATAACGAGACGTACAGCCGGATGCACGTAGATTGGATCCCGCTGTCTGTCCTCCCCAAGCTGTTCCTTCCGATACGAACACACATTCCACTGATCACCACCCACCATCAAAATGCAAGCCTTTAGATTCAACGACGTCTCGACCGGGCTTCAGCTCCTAGACGTGCCCATCCCAGAGCCAGGCCCAGGACAGGTGCTCGTTGCTGTCAAGGCAGCCGGCCTGTGCCACTCGGACGTCCACGTCCTCCAGGGTGGCGGCCAGGAGTGGGAGTCGACCAAGCCGCTGACCCTGGGCCACGAGGTGGCCGGCACCATTGTCAAGCTGGGGCCGTCCAGCTCAGACTCGCCCTCGGGCTCGCCCTTTTCTGTCGGTGATCGCGTTGCCGTCGCCCAGATCTGCCAGCCGACCGACGCCATGGACTGGACCAAGGCCGTCGGTGTCGGCTTCGACGGCGGTTATGCCCCCTATGCCCTCGCCTATGTCGACCATCTGTGTGCCATCCCGGACGGCGTCAGCTTTGCCCAGGCTGCCGTGGCCACCGACTCGATCGCGACTGCGTACCACGCCGTCGTCGCCTCGGCCGCCGTCCAGCCGGGCTCGAACGTCGCCATCCTCGGCCTCGGCGGCCTTGGAACCAATGCTGTCGCCGTCGCTGCTCATCTCGGCGCCCACGTCTATGGCGTCGACGTCAATCCCGACAGCTATGGCCTCGCCACGCGCCTCGGCGCCGTCGCCTGTGCCGCCTCCATCGACGCATTCCAGCACGTGACCCTCGACGCCGTCATCGACTTTGTCGGCCTGCCCGCCACCGTCAAGGCCGCTGTCACGGCCGTCCGCATCGGCGGCACCGTCGCGCTTGTCGGACTTGGCGCCTCCAACGTCGAGATCCCTTTCGCCATCGTCATCCTGCATGCCGTCAACATCGTCGGGTCCATCGGCGCCTCGCTCGACGATCTGCACAAGGTCTTCGCCCTCATCGAGTCCGGCCAGCTAAAGCCAAACATCTCTGAGATCCCCTTTGCCGACATCCCCAAAGGCTTGGACGATCTCGGTAAGGGCACGGTGTCAAACCGGCTGTATGCTTGCCCAACTCTGTAAATGGTTTTTCGTCTAGACCACTTGGACTGGCACATGTAACAATAGCAAAATTTGTGTATTTAGGTGTAGTTTCATTAGTATTTTTAATGTTTTTCTATTCCGTGGTATAAAAAGTGAAAGTACATTCTTAGGAGATCACACTTTAGCTGTACAAAAGGGATTAAATACAGGTTATAAAGACACTAGCTCCTTATGTCTGCCTCCCGATCTCTAATGACAATCGCCACGACTAGCCTTCAAGTACTCGCCAATCCCGGCCCGAGTTAATAGTCTGTGGTTGGCGACTCTGACGACGACGCTGAAAGCGGTGCTCAGTCATGCTGTTAAATAGTAATATAATCGTGGCAGCTTTAAGTTAATGAGAGCTTTGTGCTGCCTCTGTGACTCGAGTGATGTTAAAATAAGATTTAGTCGTAAATGTACTTTTGCAACAGATGCAGGGGTATGGAGTATTGAACTTTCACCACTTTCATGGGAATTGGCATTATGGATCTGTTTGTTTCAGTACACTATGTATTCCGTACGAAGAAGAAGGTTTATCTACCACATATGAGTAAGGATGTCATTGGCTTCCAAACAACTCGAGCCTTCTTTGACTGAACCTCGTCTTTCGTTCCTTACTCCCGTACTTTACAATACTATTTCTTACATTTGCATACGTCGTATGACACAAACCTACCGATTATTGTTAGTGTTTGCTTGACTAAACATTATTAGTCATGGATGTGGGGCATTGTTGCCTGCAGTAGCTTCTTCACCTAAAAGCTGCTTCTTCCAACGAACAACCCTACAGGCATACAAGCAGACACGAGACACGAGACACGAGACACGAGACACGAGACCCGAGACCCGTCGCCTCAGCCACCCAGCGCCCGTGCCCATCATGTCGGCCGAGATGCTGCCCATCAGCCCAGCGCGCTTCGCCGAGGCCATTCAGGACCTGCCGCTGTCCAGCCTGCACCTCAAGGTGCTCGAGATCCGCAACGACATTGCCCACCTCGACTACTCCAACGAGCAGCTGCTGCCGTACGCCCAGGGCCACGCGGCCGTCCTCGATGCCGGCGCCGCCACCGCTGCCGACGTGCGCGCCCAGGAGTTCGCCCAGCCCGACCAGGACTGCATCGACGCCATCCGCGAGAACCAGGGCGTCATCGAGCGCAAGCTGGAACAGATCCGGCTGGTGCGCGTCGAGGTCGAGAAGCGCGGCGCCAGCTGGTCCGAGCTCCTCGGCAAGGAGGAGGTTGAGCTACAGCAGGCCGAGGCCCGGCGGCGCGCAGAGACGGCCGCCTCGGCCCTGACAGCTGCCCAGGCGGCCGCCACAAACGGCACAAATGGAACGGCGGCCCAGACCAACGGGTCCGACCCCTGGTCCGACGGCACCTTCTTGACCGGCACCATACGCAACGGCGTGCTGCAGATGGCTCCGCCAGGACGGCCACAGGCACCGCAGACTTTGGAGACATCGCAGACGGGCGGCCGTCTGACAGACGAGCAGCTGCGCAGCGCCCTCGAGCAGCAGCTGCGCCTCGACGAGAACGACCAGGACGACATTGGCATGCACCTCTGAGCTGGCCGCTGGGCGACGACAGACATCTCGGCCGCCTTGACTCGTCGTGAAAACACGGACAATCACGGCTTTTTCGTCTCGCCGAGCCATCGCTGCTTCCAAGACTCCAATCCAATTTATGGAAGTCAAGTCATATCTAGCTGACCAAGAAGAAGCACACGGCTCACTGCTTCTGCCAGTTCCCACTTGAAGCAAGCGTGCGGTTCTTGTTTGCGTGGCGATCGCTTCCTCCGGGGAGATACAACTGTATATGCGGTCATCCTTTCACTCTCAGCCTTTGCACCGTCTGCGTCTTGCATCCAGGCTGGAGAAGTCGGACCAACTTCGCCTTGGGAAGAGGGTATGATGATACGATATTGCTCAGGGTGGGGCATACTTTACGTTATGTGTATGGTTCACGAAGTACATTGTCCCATCAGCCAGTAGTGGTTGCTTTACAGACATAGCCGCCTCTTAAGCCAGGCTTGAGACGTTTGCGGCAGATGTTTCAGTCCGCAATACATCCACATTCCAATACTTGCGTGGTCTTCGACAGGAATGCATTACATGGTCAAGGTGGCCGTCTTCACAAGCACAGAATAGAAAGGCGGTGTCTCACCTCTGCAAACGGGGACGAGCGGCAGATGACCGGCCAAGACAAGATTATGCCAAATCTCACCGCTGGTGATCCCCCTGAAGTACCTGCGAAAAAGCGCCTGGAAGATACTTATATGGCGCATGCCCCACCTGTAATACACGGTACCGCCCCTAAAAGACCCAGATTCACTGGAGCCTCCGCCTGGAAAAGTCCTTTGGCCGCATCCACGTGATTGTAACACGGTCTGCCTTTGGGACGATTGACCATATTTATCCCAGACTACTCCGTACTCTCTCTTCCTTTAACTCCTTTTCATTGCCATTTTCTATTTCTCATCCAAGAGTGACCATGGGCAGCATCGAGATTCCTTACTGGCAGGTCAACGTGCCACCGGAGCAGTGCACGGTCACCTGCCCCGACTTTCTGCGCGGCATCAGCGCCCGAGACGTGGAGATCATCAGTACGCCCTCAGCCGCCTGTCACACCCTCAGCTGGGACGAGGCGCGGACCATTGTGGCGGCCGGCCGGCTCGACCAGTTCCAGCGGTCACCCACGCAACTGCGCAGCTACCTCGCGTACGCCTGGGGACTGCGCCAACAGTACGGCAGTCCCGTCAGCTATCTGCTCCAAGAACGCTTGCGATGGCGCGCCGACGAGCCTGCACAAGGCGCCGCACCGTTTGTCTGCCCGTCTGACGTCAAGGTCATGTGCAACGACTGGCCGTACGGTATCGACGACCGCATCGTCCACCTGGTCGTGTGGACCAAGTTTGCGCTCGAGGAAAACCCAGTGACGGACAAGCTGGCGGACGAGACACGCACTGCCATCGATCGGTACGTCAACAAGACGTTTGGCGAACTGCCCAAAGATAGCGTGAGTTTCTCCTGCGCCTCGCTTCCGTCTTCCTCTCCTGACACCTCCAGTATATCTGGTTCAAAAACTGGCGGTCCCTCAAGTCCATCCTCCAGATCGAGCACTTTCACGTAATGTTGTTTGATCCGCCACAGGAATTTGTCGACAGGGTCACAGACGGAGATGTGCCGCAGTTTAGGCGGGCAGCTAAGGACGGTCGGTAGCAAGGAAACCCGCCACAGACGTTTGTGTGTGTGTGCCAGCGCCAAGTCCCCTTTTGTCATATCATAGAGAAATAGATCATGCTAGTGAGAAAGGTAGCCCTTTAGCTTCTGCTGTCGCTGCCCATCCGCACCTCCACCACGGGCGCATCGGCAAACGGCACCGCGATCGGCTTCTCCAGCGCCACATGGACCTGCCACCCGGCCGATGAGGCGTTCTTTGATGCCAAGACGTTCTTGGCAATGTGTGTTGCCAGCGCCTCAAGTGTTTCATATTCGCTCGTGTCGAGGATCTGCATTATATCAGCATCCGAGAGGAGCGTAAATGTGCAGAGAAGAATAAAACCAAAAAGAGACATTAAAAAGAACGAAAAGCGACAGAGCAATAAAGCAGTAAATCTGCCAACCTTTACGACCAGCGCCTCCAGCGTCGCATATCCGTCGACCTGCTCGCCATACCGGTCCACGATCACGTCGGCCACCACGGCCTGCTTGGCCTGCCGCTCGTGTGGATGCACACCGATCAGCGTCGGCACCCGCAACCGGTGCAACCGCAGGGCGATAGCCGTCCGAGACGTCTTTGGCGTCGCTGTCGCCGTCAGCGACACGCCGTCACCCACCAGCGAAGCCTTGGGCAGATGCAGCGACACGGCCAGCAACTGCACGCGTGACATGTCCAACACGGGCTTCTTGCTCGTCTCCTTCGCGGACTGCTGTCCGTCCAGGCGGAAGCCTGTGAGGTCCGTCCAGATGGCATCGAGAACGCCGTACAGTCCTGATGAAGACGATGGCCCGTCCACACTGTCTTGGCCGCTGGCATCCTTGCCTGACAGGGCTTCCACGCTTCGCAGGATGGCCTTGCTAAGGATGCCGTAGTGCACCGTGTCGTCGGCAACACGGTCGTCCGCCGACGCCTCGGGAAACGGCGCTGACAGGCCTACCTCAGCCGACACCAGTAGCGGCTGCCCACGCCCGGCTCGCGCCCAGGCGTCGTGTGCAGACGCCGCCGTCGTCGTCGCCGGCAGGCTCGTCTGCACGTTGCGCACACGGACGACCGCAACAGGCTCACCAGCCGTCATGCGGACGCCCCAGGTGTTGGCAAGGGCAGACATTCTGATGGACAGTTTCAAGATTGGAAAAGTGTTGCAATTGGCAGCGATGCTGTGAAATAGAATGCAGTCGTCATCTGTTGGGCTTGTGGATCCAACAATGAGATTTTTGTCTGACGTCCAGTTTTGAGGACACCGGATCCACTAAAAACGGCCGCTAGCCACTGGCATGTTTTGCCTGAGTTCAGCAAAGTCATGTATGCCGGAAAAGGGGTTGGCAGTTTCACCTTCAATGCGTGTGCCATCTTGTGCTTCATAACAAATTGCAAGTCGGCAGCACAGCTTGCATGTTTTCGAGCAGGAAAGTGTTGCTTATTCCCATCACTCGCGACACCGGATAGATAGTTACAAAAAGTAAGGTAAGAGTCTGAAAAGAAAGCCAACGAATATATGCATCCCGTTTCGTCAATATGCCAATAGGTAGATGTAGATATGAGAAGAGAAGAAGGGTGTATAAAAGTAAAAATAAAAGAAGATGGGCCTCTCGCCGAGATGGCTCTCAAGGGGTATATCCTTCTGACGCACAATTGCGCTGTAATGGCTCGACATCGGTCTGCCTCCGTCGTGCGTCTCTCTGCATCTTCATGCACTTCATAATTCTCATCAAAGAAAAGAAGAAGAAAAAAGTAAGGACTGATGGCCGTAGACATCATCCTATCGCTCGACCAATCCTGCTCTGGTCGGGCACCCGTGGGCGCGGCGACAAGCCTCCCAAAGTTGCTCCCTGGTTGTCGCTGTTGTCGTCGTCGTCAAGCAACAGCTGAGGTGGAACAGATGCTTGATAGAATCGGGGGTGCTGGTGGTGCAGGTAGCCGTGGCCCTTGCTGCTGTTGATGTTGCCGTCGGCATTGGTCTGAGCCAAGTTGCTCGTCGACCGGTTTCGATGCGGCTGGGAGACCTGTGATGGAATTGGTGCCAATGGCAACGGCGGCACTTCCTCGTATTCCTCTTCGTAATGCTGTGACTGTTGTTGCAGTCCTACCTCTGACCCTAAGCTCCGACCGCTGGCAACGCTGCTGCTGCGACCGCTGCGTGTTCGCACATGCCAAAACGAGTGGCTTCCGGAAATGCTGCTGGCTCCTGACTGCGATGACCAGTGGCCTTGTGAACTACCATGAGGTGCACTAGAAGAAATCGCTTTCCCTCTCCCTTCTCCTACTACTGCCATGGGCGGCTGTTTAACCAGCCGCGATGTTTGCTTCCGAAGAGGCCGTGGCGATGGCAGAAACGATGGGTCGCCCGGGATTGTCTCGTCCGTCAAACCAGGCCGGGAGTTGGGAGCACGGGCGTGTACGGCAGCCGGCAGTTGTGTGCCAGGAAATTGGCCTTGTGGCATCAGCTGCGCCAGGGCAGAGTTCCGACTCCGGTCCTGGTCGAGGCTAAAGCGGCCTATTATGGGCGGGCGTGCACTTTGTTCTAGCGAGAGAGACCTAGCCGATCGACCTGTTCGCGGCGAGGCCAGATCGTCCGATTGCCGATGTTGGTGCTTCCACGAAGAGGCTGCTGCGGCACCGGCAGCCATAGCCGCTGGTGAGTCCGGGACGCTGGGGAACGGTACCGTCACAGCTGATTCCGGAATCCCGTAGGAGGTCGAGTAGTATTGGCGTGGTGTCGATGGCTCCTCGTCGATGATCACCTTGGATGGCGACTTCCTGAGTGGCGGTGCTGCAAAGACACCGCTGTCGACACTGATGCCACGAAGTCGGGTCAATTGGGTGTTGGCTTGGTGGGCGTACTGCTCTTCGACTGTCATCGCTCTCGCTCTCTGGGAAACGCCGCTCCAGTGTCTAGCAGCTGCCCGGGGCCAGCTTGGGCCGTGGCCTTCCTCTCCGCCGTTGGCCTGACTGATCACACCCCCCGCCTCGCTGGCCTTGTCCGCCTGGCCAACCTTCCACGTCTCGATCTCATCGTCATCGATAGGAGATATGCCCCGAGGAAAGAGAGGGCGACGGCGACGGCGACGCCAGCAAGCAAAGCCAATACCGACAAGCAGCAGGGCACCAATAACGGAAAATACGGTGCTGAGTGTGATGGTAAGCGTTCGGTGAGATGTGGTTGTGGATGCGGTGTTAGTAGCAGTAGATACAGTGGAGGAAGATGGCGTTGCTGATGCGAGAGCCATAGTGGGCAGTTCGTGTTCAGACAGACAAATGCCTCAGCGACAGAGAAGGTTGCCAGTGCTGAGTCTAGGACCTGCTGGCGGTGCAGGGCTCTCTGAAGAAGAGCAAGCGAACGTGAGAGAGGAAATAGGAGAGGGGAAGAGGGAGGGAGAAGAAGCGAGTCGTCAACAAGCCATCGAAATGGGTGTCTATGCCTCAAAGAAGAAGTGCAATGCAGTGAAGAGCGTAGACAGCACCTTCAGAGAGAAGAAGAGAAGAGAAAGACACAAGGCGTTAGAAACTGGGATGTAGCAACGAAAGAACAGAAGCACAGTCCAGCTAGTGAGGAGACGCACAACCCTGTCGTATGCTCGTCTCTCTTACGTGATCTGGCTGCCCTTGCTGGAAGAGGCCAGAGGGAAAGGCAGAGACAGAGAAAGAGAGGCAGAAGAGAAAGGCTGAGAAGGGGTGGTGCGATATGCGGATAGACATATATTAGTGTATGGACATATGGCCACCCACAGCACAGCATGCCATGTGTTCTGAGGTAAGCTTGTAAGGGGGATGGGTGAAGGGGATGAAAGATATTTTTAAAAAAGCCCTGTCCACCCGTCTTACCGCTGGTGGTATAGATTACGCAACAATCCGAGCCATGCTGAAGAAGGAAAGGGCAATACAGGATACATGGCACGTAGTATAACTCAATGGACCGAGAAAGAGCGAGTGATGAAGAGGGGGTGTGGAGGAGGCAAGACACGGACCTTGCGTTTAGCATGCAGAAGAGGCTGGGGCGGGAGTCTTCCACACCTGCACGGCAAGTACGGCAAGAGCACGGAGCATGCATGCATGGGCAGACACAACAGTACGAGCAGAGGGCAGGGAAGGAGCAGGCGGTCACCGTGCGAGCAGGACAGGTAAGTGGTAATTTGGGGTCTTGTGTAATGCGATTGTGAATCTTACGGCACAAGGTGCAGTGTGGAGCAGGGCTCTCACAGAAGGTACGAGTACGCTATTGCAGGCGATGGCCCACTGCTACTCCGTACTCCGTACTCCAGGCCATGCGTGTGGCCTAGCCAGGAACGCGCTGTCTCAAGGCACCCCTTGCGGCTCCGTGAGAACAGTGACCGCTGTAGGGACAATGGGAGCAGTGATTGCACTGCGTGCACGACCGACAAGTCACCGTACTCCAAACAATTGGCTCGTACAGACCATAGGGGGCACGCGGTGAGCGAAGCCATGAGACAGGCAACCAAGAAGCAAGAAAAAAAAGGAAAAAGAGACTTTCTTAGCCAGGGGTGTGTGGGGGAGTTCTGGGTGGGGTCCAACGACGTATGAGAGAGACAGGCGAGGCAGCCGTTGGACAGGTGGGGGAGGGGAGAGCGAGAAAGCAAGAGGTAAGTCGTAAGAAAGGAAAGAGCGGAGAGGATGGATTTCGTAATGATCCACACTTACCGGGACGCATGGAAGTACGAGCAGAGAAGAAGAAGAAAAACGAGCTCTCTGCGATCGGCCAACAAAGCACATTACGTGTAAGGGTTGCATCCGCTCTGTCGATTGCTTTGTTTCGTTCCATTCGATTTCAATGTATTGCCAATTTTCGCCCGTATGGCGTGGTGGTCGCGTCTGCACGGGCGAGCAACTGGTCGTTTTGCCATATCACGATGATGGCTGTCTGTTGACCGTTGCCGACCAATAAGCTATGGGAGAAGACTATGTAACACCGGACGTGACACAGTGTCGAAAGTGTCTGGTCAAAAGTGTCCTGTAAGTTTGTGCCCGAAGCTGCGAGCACATGACGGGCATTAGCATCTGCGACACTGATGTCTTGGGTCTGGGAGCGGGCTGCTGGGCGCGCTGTCTGCTCGTCTCACAATGCGCTTGTCTCGTGCGCTGCTCATGCCACCTGCAGTCCCAAGACCGGCCGCGGCCACGGCCGGGTGCTCGCAGCCAACCCCATGAGACAGCCGTCGGCACTTGGGAGCCATCGCCGTGAATGATGGATGTCCTACCAATCAGACCGTGCATGTTCCTGGCCGACTGTCGGTCTCTTCGGTCTGGCCGTTGACCGCATTCTCGGTCGCCCGAAACACGTCCTGTCGTGAAAGAATAGGCCGAGCTGGAAGAAACAATAACAACGCAACAACAACAACGTCCAACAAACCGACTCTGCAGGACTGTTTTCGCGATGACACGCAGCCACACCTCTAGCAATCCCTTCATCCCTCCGTCCCACAAATCATCCTTTCACCGCTCACTGCTTGGCTCCTCGCAATTCTGGATGCTGAATTGGCACACACCTCCCAGGCTAGCGTGTTTTACCGGTGGGGATCGTCATTCGTAAACGGGCAGACTCGATCTGCGTCCTATGGTGTTTGCGAGCTTGAAACGCCAATCCTTGTGCTAGCAATACACAAGCCTCCCCCTACAGTCGTGGTTGGCGGCCATTGGCTCTTCGCTGCGGCCCGCAGAAGGGAGGGGGCCAAGAGCAAGCTAGCAAGAATGGACAGGAAGACCAGAACGCCCGTGAGAAAGTAAGATCGACGAGTGTCAACGACCTTGCAGCTTCTGCCCAGAACGGAGATACGAGCCAATGCCAGATACGTGCATAGGATGACGAGATGCCTCCTACGGAGTATACCAAGACCATCCAGGACGCCATTCCTGTGGCGAAACAACCCTTGCGTAGGACACTCGACTACATCTACGTCGTAATCGCCAGAGCTCCTTTCTCCACAAGCGGGCAGCGCGGATCGCGCGAAACAGAAGCCCCAGCGATTCTGTCGCATATCCGGACCGTGATTATCTCGATCGACGTCTCTTACTCTACATACCACATCACCGTGCCTTCTTGGCGTTCATGAACGGATGGGCGGACCCAAGGCCTTGACGAAAGCAAGGGCGGGAAAAGGGAGATTTAACTGCTCCGCGCCTTACTTGGAGTTTGTTGCCGCCTGCAACTCTGCCAGATGCAAGTAGTTCGCTCGCATGCAGAGATGCGCGCGATTATATTTAGATAAATACCGCACGGGCTCCTGCGACGAGGCGGGGAGCTTGTGATCATGTGAACAGAAAAGGAATTGGCAAAAACCTCTAGACCGCAATCGGATGCGCATGCTGTTGTGTTATACCACGAGCCGCATTTCGGCTTCGTTTGAATATACGGAGTACGTCGTAAGTGGAAGCAAGAGGCTCGAGCGCAATTGGCCTGCTCTCCCAGTCTCGCAGCCGACGAGACTTCCCAGGAGGACAAAAAGGAGAGATAGAGCCAGAAGCCGGGAACAGAAGACGAAACCTGTCTAGAAGAGAGCCGAAGAACACGATAAGCCGTATCTTACGAGCATGGGAGAGGCGGGAAAGAGAAAAAGAAACGTGAAGAAGAGGGCTATTTCCAATCCATCGCTGTCGCGCATTGGCCTGCAGCAGCGACGGAGGATGCTCCTTCGGGCGAGGACTAGCCTAGACGGCGACCGCTAGCGCGTCTGTCTGGCGTCTGCGTGCCCTGTAGCATATTTCGGAACTCGGATTCTGGCCTGCTAGACTGCTCTGTACTGTAGTATCACCACTTTGTCCGCAGGGGTACGAGGGAACCAAGTGATCTGATCGCTTCCCGGATCCATGACGCCAGCCGGGATCATCCTCTTCTCGCTACGTTTCTCTGCCTTCGCTCTTCGCTCTGATGTACGACGTATCTTGCTTCCTCTCTGCCTTGTCTGCGCCAAGCCGTTTCCTGTTGCCAGCTATTTAAGCCACCAGACGCTAACAGACGATGTCTCGCTACGCGACCCCCTTTTCCTCTTCACGGTGCAGCCGCAGTTAGCCGTGCAGCTCACGCTGATAAGCACGCCTGCAGATAAGTGGCTCGGGCGGCGAAGAGGCGTCGCCACCCTTTTCCGCCATCACGGCCAGAACAGCTTCTTTTGGCCACGGGACGTACGAGCTCGAGCCGGTTCTGGCCTGGCGGCCCGCTGAATCACGAACACTGCCAATAGACTCATGCACGGCAAATTACTTGCGTCGGTACCGGACACCGCTCGTGCCTCGTGATGGGGATGAGGTATCAATTTGGATGGGGATGCCATCCGTCTTGGGAAGCGACAGAGGCACGGTTACATTCGCCCCCGAATTGGATGATCGGCCATCGTCGCATTCCACAGAACCCAGCTGTGTTCGTACTCGTATCAGGCGGATGTAAGATACGTCGTAGACCCTCTCTTTTTCTGTTGCGTCTCGCATTGGTAGAATAACACATTCTTACCTCTTCTGGCCGGCGAGAGAGGCGGGGCTAAGCTGAGGATGCGAGGACCGGAAGGTGCATCGTTGCGATTGGCTGTTGAGGCTGAAACGGTATCTTCGAAACACTGCCTGGTTGATGCCAGGCGTCAGCCCTTTTATTCTGGGTGCTGCTACGTGGCAGACGGCAGATGGCGGCCGGGAAGGTTAGAGCAAAGCATCAAGAGCCAATCGATGCATGTCCGGCCATCACATCCAACGGACAACGCAGACACATGAGATATGATAAAGCATATTACAACGGAGTACTTTGTAAGCTGATGCGCATTCCGTACTCGTACTCGAATGACAGAGGAAAGTCGGGTAAGCAGAATAGGAGTCTGGTCGCAGAGGCAGATCATTGTCCTTCTAATTTTCCATCGACACAATCGCATCCTGCAATCTGCTTCCAAACATGCTGTCTCCGAGTGGCCAGGGGGCCCGATGCTGACGAGCCGAGGATAGCTACTAATATGTATCGTAGCAAGAGGCGAAGCGTGTTGCTGTGCACGGGCCGTGGCATCTTAGCTGGTAAGCTTAATTTGTTCTCGCTGCTCTAAACGATATCCTCCAGTTACGGTTAGCAGCTCTGCTGGAAAGGCTTGGATGCTTGTATTCTCTCTAGGGGCCATTTGGGTCATTTGTGTTTTTTGCTTATGACTCTGGAGGACGATACGGTGTGGCTTCGGTTGCCAACCAGCCACGTTGACTACGTGTACGAGTACGAAGTACCCATAGAGGCGTAACCCAACTGCCGTAGGCTTAGCATCCTGGCGCAGCCTGCGCCAGCTTGAAAAGAGCAAGGCGCGCGCGAATGACGTCACGTGTTGTTTGGGCCAAGATAAAGCGGTCGCAAGTCTCAAGACACGGCCCAGCTCTCTCCTCAACCTCTACTCCGTACACAGACGTCATCTGAACAGCGAACGTAAACGGCATTTTTGCACGCATTTTTGCACGCGTTTTCTGCACAAGAACAGCGACAAGTCATGACACCATCCGAGACCCAGCAAGTTGACGGCCAGACCGCCGAGAGAGGCGAAGCCTCCCGACCGGAGTTTGCTAGCACGGCACCTGCACCTGTCGAGCCTATGAGTATGCGGCCCAGTCCCTGCCATCCTTTGAAGTCAGCGACTGGACAGCCTCAGCTGACATTGGTGTTTTCCTTTTAGAGCTACAGCCTCCGGAAGAAGAAGAAGAGCCCGTTGTCGGAATGCGCGGCGGTCGCGGTCAAATGTGTCCCGGTCGTTTCTGTTTCATTATTCCGTGTCCGATACCATGCGACTTCTGCATCATCTAGTCGGGTCCTTGTCGAGATAGAGAGAGCCGCTTGCCGATGGAAGCTTCTTAGGGACGATATTACAAATATAGCCTCTGTTAGAGCCACTGGTTTGGGGGGCATGAGTCAATTGTGACGTCTAGTTCTAGATTACTACAAGACTCGTATGTCGCTTTGTCAGTTGTCTCTGACATCCTCAGCCTATGTGTTCCTCCGTACAGTGGGAGGACGGTTTAGATGTTGAACATAAATACTCTGGCAGTTGAGTGTCGAGCTGGCGATGACGTACTCCGAAGAGGCTATGCAGCTAGTAAAACGGTTGACTAAACATTACAGCACTTGAAGGAGCCCAGAGTGATATCTTAGTGGAAATCGAGTCGACTCTACACGACTACTTAGGCGGGTGCAAACTTAGCAATTGTGTAAAGGCTCGCAGATTCCTTTCACGGCATACTTCAGCGGATTAACAGATGGCTCGCCACTGTATCTTCGTTCAGAAGAACTCCACACGGGATGGCTTGTAGTATATTCTCCGACATTGACAACCAGTATAGGACCATCTCGATACAGCGTTCTCTTATTATCAAGTTCAATCGACGATATTCGCGGCTGTACTCCGTAGAACCCATAGTATGCACATTGGATGAGAAGCACAAATTAGTGTCACGTGCCATGGGACCCAAAGTGGAAAGCAGGAGCTAGCTTTGCTTCCACGTTTTCTCTCCTAACAGCTGTCCGTATCCACATGACGGCAATCCAGCAGACGACAGACGCGCTCCCAGACCAGACGTACAGCACCGCAGGCAAAGCAATGGCGGTTCCTGTGCGCGACGAGCAGGATGTGTCGGACGCGGAGGCAGAGGATGCGGCATTTCTGCGCGAGTCGTACCTCGCATTTGCGGTGCCGCTGGCGACAGATCGGCGGCTCGAGCAGGCTCTCGAGCAATGCCACGGGTCACCACAGGACCTGATCGAAGCAACGGAGGAGCGAGAGTCGCTTTTTTTCGGTATGGATGCGGTGTGGCGAGCGGCGAATATAATTTTCCTCCCTCTCGGACGCTTGCTCATTCGTAGATGCCAGATGAGACGGTCGATGTGTATTTCATCCTGCGCACGCGACACGAGGGCGCAGCTCATCTGCAGTCCTTCCTCGACCGGTTATCGATCACGCTCGACGCCCACATTGTCAACATCATTCCGGGACGGGAGACGCCACCGCCAGTGGAGGTGATTTTCAACGGCAGTGTGGAAGAAGTGCACCGTCCGCTGCTAGTGGTGAGCGACCCGGAGCCGGAGAGTGAGGGGGATGAAGTCGAGGAGGAAGAGGCGGACGGCGAGGACGAGGGCGAGGACGAAGACGGAAAAGACGGAGAGAACGACAAGGACGAGGCCAATGATGAAGAGAAAGAAGGAAACAGCGGGACGAAGCGACGACGACGAAAGGCCAAGCAGTCGAAGCAGCGAGCAGAACGGCAGACGTTTGTGATCTGGCGGCTGTCAGTGTTTCTGACACGGCCACGGGCGCGACTGCACGCGCCATCGGTGTCGTTCGCGGTGGCGGCTAGCCTACGTCCAGCGGTGGCAGGTCTTGCACCCCGAGCAGAAGGAACAGGAGACGAGGAGCAGAAGCTGGCGGCGGGCATCATCAGCAGCAGCAACAACGGCAGCGGCGGCGGGTTTCTACAGAGCCGACAGCCGTGCGGGCTGAACCTGCTGGCAGCACTGGCGGGCGACCCGATGCTGCAGCTGGACAGCGAAGGAGGATGGCCACGGCTGTCGGCGCAGCGAGTATCGCGGGTAGCGCCGGCAGGGCTAGCGCAGCAGCAGAAGGCCAACCAGCGCAAATGGGCGGGACAGCCACAGCCGCTACGCGGACAGGGAGCCACGGTACTGCCGATTGTGCCGGCAGTGCACGCACGGATCCGATTTGTGCGGCCAAGCACGGTGCCGACGAGTGCGGCGGTGGTGGGGGTACTGGAGCTGGACTTTACGCCCTTTTTCGACTGCGAGGCAGTGCTGACGCGGGTAGAGGTGACGGTGCGAGGCGGCGAGGTCGTGGACTTGAACGGGGAGGACGACGGAAACGGAGACGGAAAGGCAGACGAGGCGGGCAATGCTGACAAAGCCGGACAGGACGGGATGCGGCTGCCGTTGTTCTGCGTGGCACGTGATCACCTGACATTTCTGTACCGGCTGTCGCCAGCAGCCTACGGGTTTGACGCAGCCCTCAACACGATTCCGACTCTGACGCCACCGACGTCGCGCGAGCTAGACATTGCCGTGGAGGCACGGGTGCTGGTGCGGCCAGGCATGTGCGAGCCATCGCTGGCGATGGCGTGGACGACAGCGGTGGACTTTTCGCTACCAGTGAATCCAGGCTTTGGAACAGCGCTGCCACCGGTGTCGCTGCAGCGGGGAGCACACCGGCCGTCGCAGTTGTCGATTGACGGGATGGCATCGATGATGGCACCAGCGATTAGCCGGCCGGACGCACTGCCGTCGCTGGAGGCAGCGGCCCGGAGCACAGAGACGACGATTCCCGACTTTGGCATCACGATGACGCTGACGGCGCCAGACCGGCCAGTCTATGCGGGCGAGGAGTTCTGCTGGACCGTCTTCATCGTGAACCGGACGGGGGGTTCGGCGTTGCCGGCGCTGCCAGGGCGAGAGACGAACGGCCTCAGTCACGGATACGGCCACGGGTCAGCGAACGTGCATTCGGCCTCAGGGTCGGCATCGACCAACACGCCGGTGCCGGCGACGCCTCCACGACTGCGCAAGCTGGCACTGCTGGTGTTACCGCGACGGCGACGCAACGACGTGCGGGTGATGCGGCCGCCGTCGACGTCGGTGTCGGGAGGAACGGTGGCGGGCGGACGGCCGCGCGCGGCGACGAACCGCAGCATGCGCAGCGTGCACAGCGTGCGGCTGGGCGGTGGTGGCGACGAGGTCGGCGAGCGGGCAGCGTATGCGGCATACGTGGCGGCAACGACGTCGACGACGTCGACCATGTCGCCGGAAAAGGTGGCGGACGCAGTGCTGGACGAGAACGTGGTGCATGCGATGCAGCGCAGCTCGCTGGTCGACGGCACGGACGTGGTCTGCCTCAGCGCAGACACGCGCGTGGGCCCGCTGGCACCACACGCCTGCCACGTCGTTGAGCTGCGCTTTGTGGCGCTGCGAGCAGGCGCCGTCGGCATCGAGGCCGTCCGGGTGGTCGATCTGGGGTCGCAGGAACACGTGGACGTGCGGGAGCTGCCGGCGATGATGGTGCTGGAGAGAGAGGAGGGGGACAAGAAAACGACAGAAGGGTGAGAAGGCGAAGAGAGAGGAGACGTGAACGAGGAGAGGACAAGAGGGGAATCGAGGCAGATTTATGTCTTGATATACAGTAGAGAAATGATGACAAAGCGACCGCCCGGTCCTTCCTTCTTGCGATCGTGCGCTCTTTCCTTGGGCCACTTCTTGAGTCACCGGCTCTTCGCTGACAAACGTCTACTTGTCCATATGATCCATACAAATGCTAAAACTACAAGTCTAAAACGCCATCTATGCTCCCAAGACAACCCACAGCTGGTCTTCAGGCTCATGTCGTCGTGTTGCGCCGTGCACTCATGCGAGGTCGTCAATGTCGTCGTCCCATCCCAGCTGCTGATACAGCGTCTGTGCGTTTTCGGTTGTCGGCATCCCAGTCTTTCCTGGTGTTTCTGCTACTGCTGTTTCTGTTTGTGTCGTCTCTGCAGTCTCAGCCTTTTCAGTCTCAGCCCTTTCTGTCCCTATCCTCTCTGCCCTCTCTGTCTCTTCCCTGTCTCCCCTGTCTCCCCTGTCTCCCCTGTCTCCCCTGTCTCCCCCTCCCCCTACCCTCTTTGTCGGTGTCGCAAATAGTGGCCGTCGTCGTCTCTCCTGCAGCGGCGATGATAGCAGCACGACATCTTCTAGCCTCTGTGCTGGCGATGCTGTCACGGCCACAGTTGCTGTCGCCTTTGTCACTGTCTCTGACACCGCCTCCAGCACCGATGCCCGGGCCGGCGTCGCCTGGACCACGCGGCCGGTCAGTGGCGTCGCTGCCACGCGGCTCTGGCTGCCAGCATGCGGATGTGCCGCAAACAGAAGCTGCTGTGCCCGTGCTCCCGGCAGCCGCAGCATTCCGTCGTCGTCATAGTCGCCGTCGCTGTCGTCGAAGCTGTTGCTGACGCCGCCAAACACGTCGCGGAACCGATGGCTGACCGGCGTCGCCTTGACCTGCACACGCTCCTTGGGAGGACCGCTCTTTTTGATTCCTGTCCGGTCAGCATCTAGATCAGATCATCTCACCTCATCTCAGCCTCAGTAACACTCACTTCGAATCTGTCCGCCCAGCCGCCGCTCTGCTGCCTCTACCACCGACTTGCCCGCCAGCCCGCGGTTTGGCTTCTTCAGCGCCGTGATCGCTTCCTGCAGCTCAAACTCCACCTGCGCCTTCTTGCGGGTCCGTGGATCCTCAGCGCTGCCGCGCATCATCATGGCCGCGTCCGAGACGCTTCGACTCAGCATGTTAGTCGGCCGCTCGCGCAACGACGTCGACGTCGTCGACATAGACGCCGAAAGTGACACTGATGATCCTCGCCGCGGAATCCCTGTCAACGGACCCGGCTCGCTCATCTCCCGCTTCAGTCCCGGGATCGGCGCTGCCGTGGCGCTGCGCATCTGTGCAATCGCATCGTTGGGCCCCCGCGACACACTACGCCGCAGCCGCTCGTTCGAGAGCACTCGCTCCAGACTCCGTGCTGACGATGGCTGTGACTGTGCCGGCGCCAGCCTCCGTGCTGCCGTGCCTGGTCGTGCTCGTGACGACGGCCTCTCGGCCGCTTTAATCGACGGTATCCTCGACAGTTTTGGTCGCGAAGGCGGCGCCACCACCGGCCCGCCGAGCTTGTAATTGAGCGACTCGCACACCAGCGGCAAACGGGCCGAGAAAAAGGGCACGATGATGTCGACGCAGAAGTCTTGGAGCGGATGCTGCGACCGCTGCACACCGTCCTCGCCGCTGTCCCTCGATTGCGACTCGGCCATCGCCCGCACGTCGTCGGCCGTCGTCGACTGCCAGATGCACAGTCGGTCGGCGTGCACGTCAATCAGCAGCGGCAGGTTGTGCTTGCTTCGCTTCTTGGCCGCCTCTCGCTTTGCCGGCGGCGTGCTGCTTGCGCTCGCCCCCATCCCCGGCAGCTGACTCTCTCCCTCATCGCCGACCGCCGGCCGCATCGTCTCCAGCGCTAGGATCTCCAGGATGAGAATCATTTGCAGCTGCGTCTCCCGCGTCCGCAGCTGCGAGATCGCGTACTTCACCTCCTCTGGCCGCGGCACTGCTTCCTCATCGTGCACCTCCGGCTTGTTGGCACTCCACCACTTGCGGATGTGCGGCTCCTCGTCCGTGTAAAGTCCATCGCTTCCACGCTTGACCTTCTTCGCCTTCTTGGACGTCTTCCTCTTCGGCCCCTCGTGGTCGGACGTGTTCCCGAGCATGCGCAGCCGGGCCACCAGCTCTGGGACAGTTTCGCGGTACTTCTTGTCGATGAGCGCCGTCGTCAGCACTATGCCCTTGAGAAAGTCTATGAGATCGTCCATCTCTAGGTTCGAGTCGCAGTCCAGATGAAACGCGGCGCGTGCCCGGGACAGTGGCCCCTTGGCGAAATATGCAAGCGATCCCTAGATCTGGTGAGCACGGGAGACAGAGAGGACAGAAAGGACAAAACGAAACACACCATGGAGTGGTACAGAGCCTCAAAATAGTGGTTGCGAATATTTTGGCAGATTGTGTCGGCCGTTGGAGGCTCTGCCTGATCAGAGGTCAATCCGGTTGCAGGTGAAAGCTGTATGCTTGTTTCTGGTGGAGTAGGGAGATGGGTGGAGGGCAGTGTCTGTGCCTGTGTCTGCGTTTGTGTCTGTAGCTGTGTCTGTGATTCTCCGTCTGCAGAGGGAGATATTGGCTGGACAAGAGCCACCTCTGGCAGCGAGCCGACGGTCGACGACGTCGGGCGGCGCCTCACGATAGACTGCAGCTCCTCGATGGCGAGCCGGCGTCGGCGCTGTTCCTTGTGACCCTGGGCGGTGATGAGGGCGGCGGGCTGTCCGATCGTGCCATCAGTCTCGACCGGCGTGCATGACGGCATGCGCTCGCGACAGACGGCCGTGGCCAAACGACTGAGCTGACCGAGGTCGACCCAGCTGCCGAGACGGCAGAGGGCATAGAGGTCGGAGCGATCGGAGCGGTCAGAGCGATCGCGCTCAATGGCAAAGGCAGCGCCGCCCGAGTGGGCATGAGCAATGAGCAAATCGGATCCCAGTCGTCCTTCAAGGTCGAGGATGCGGATGTGGGACTGAAACTGGCGGCCGGAGGGGAGGTCACCGTGCGGGGCGGCGAGATCGAGAAGCGACAGCGGCAGATGCTCGCGCGGCAGCAACATCAGCGGTAGCAGCGTGCACGGCTTGGAGAGGGGATTGGGAGGATGTGCCTATGGGGTCAGATTTGAGGCAACGGGGAATCGAAATTCGAATTCGGTAGAACACTCACCCGCACGACAATCGACGGCTTCAGGAGGGCCTCGGCAGTCTCGAGCTTGTTGTTTTGCCGTCTTCGCTTGGAATCCTCAGCCGGAAGGAGGGCCTGGTCGCTGCGTCTCTTGCGCGAGAGGTGGCCATGAGGAGGAGGGGCTGACAAGGAGCCATTTCGGCGGTGCAGATCGAGGCCGACACGGCCATCGTCAACGGCAGACGCATGGAGGCGCGGCAGGCTGTGCGAGGTGAACATGGGGGACGGCAGCAGAGAGGGTCGAGCAGGAGACAGGCCACCGGGACGCCGTTCAAGCTGGCATGGCGTCCGGGATGGTGACAAGAGAATGTGTGTTTGTGAGCAATGATGCTGTAGTCAAGACGCGTAGAACACAGTGCGCGTAGAGAGATCGCGCGTGTCGGTCGTGTTGCCAGCCACATCAGCCACATAGATCACGTGCCAGTGCACACACTCCGTACTCCTACTCCGTACATACGACGTACGCTCCCGATCCACACTGCAATCCCCGATCCTAGGATAGCACGACACGCTAGAAGGAGAGGGTGGTATTGCGGTTCTCCTCCTGTCGCCACCGGCACCCATTCTTGGCCGATTTTTGATTTTGCCACCATCAAGCATTGACCCTACGGAGCACGCAGCCCCACGACGACCAAGGAGAGTGGGATTCAGCATCTCAACATCACGGCTCTGCATCGATCGTGATATCTCTGGGCAAAAGGTGCAGACCATTCGCCATGGAAGTCCCTCGGCTCATGTGAACACCACTGTCGAGACCACACACAATTCCATCGACCCGCAAGAGAGATGCCTTCCGAGGCATCACGGGTTCGCTTCGCCTACAGCGACGACGACCGGCCGCGGACCGACAAGGCCAACAAGGGCTACCGCCAGCAGCACGGCTTCGTGTCGGACAGCGAGGGGCCAGTGTCGCCAGGCGAGCAGCGCGAGGGCAAGTCGCCGCTGCTAGGCTCCAACGGCCTGGCCAGCACCCGCCACCGGTCTTCGGGTTCCGGAGGAGGAGGCGGCACCAACGAGACGAGCAACATAGCCAACGGCAGTGTCGGCAACAACAATGGCAGCAGCAGCAGCAGCAACATCAACAACAATAACAACAACGGCAGTAACATCAACAGCAACAGCAACAGCATCAACAACACCGGCAATGGCACAGGGGAGCCATGGCCACAACGGCCGACCGGGCCAGCTCGCACGCTGTCCAACACGTATCAGCCACAGCGACGGCCGACGCCACAGAGCTCATTTCCCGTAATGGGCGGCGGGACGGACGGACGGACGGCATTGTCGAAGCCGCGGGTGATGACGGGCGGGTCGGCATTTCGGGCACAGGAGCGAGAGTACGTCAAGCGGCTGCGTGAGAGAGACTACGCATCGGGGTACTTTGACCACCTAAGCGGAACGGTAGACGGACAGTATGCGGACTCGGACTCGGAGGGCGAAACGCCATCGTCAGAGGGGCCGCATGACGACCGATACGACCAGGAGGCGATCATGTTCTACAACTACGACGACCTTCACCCGACTGAGGAAGACATACGGGACGCATCCAACCGGGAGCGGCTGGAGTGGCACGGGATGCTAGAGGCCGTGCTGACGGGCGACGTGGTACGGCAGGAGAAGAAGCGGCTGACGGGGGCGGGGCAGAACAGCCGGGCGGCAAGACGGCACAGAAGGCAGAGCTGTGGCTGGGAGTGCGGGCACGGATTTGCGGCCGTCACATCCCAGTGCAACGACGGCTGACGGAAGACGCGCGGACAAAAGTGGACCGGATGATCGACGAGATCATCAACTTCCGGGTGGAGGGTGTCAGCGACGCGGGCAAGCCGGCAGCCGAGCAGGTCAGCGAGGTGATAGCGACGATCGACAAGGCCGAGTCGCTGTACCCGACACGAGCAGCGTTTCTGGCCGCACACAAGACAGCAGCAACGGCTCTGTACGAAGAGTCGTGCGACACGATCGTGTCATGGAGCAACGTGAGCGCGCTGATCAACACGGAGCTGGGAATCCTGCGCAAATGGGTGGGCAACGACGAGCTGGACTTTACGCGGGCACGGGACAAGACACCGGGCAGCGAGGGCAGCCTGTCAGACGACACGTCCTTCCTGGACCGGCTGCTCAAAGAGGAGGGCCTGCGGTCGCTGCACGAGCACTACGAGGAGGAAGGACGCAGCCGGCGCGGCGGCATGCTGGAGGGCATCTCGCGCACGGTGGTCAAGGCCAAGGAGACGCTGGTGCTGCGGGCGACGGCATTCCGGACACGCCACCTGCCGTCACACGTGGAGGACCTGCTGACGCTGATCAGCTTTCCGTCACGGCTGATGGAAGAGGTGGTGCAGGTGCGGCTGGCATACGCGAAGCGGATGAAGGAGTCGGCACAGCAGAATGTGATGATGCAGGACCAGATGATTGCGCAGTTCCAGGTGCTGCTGAAGCTGGCGATCAAGATCAAGCAGGAGTACGTGGCGATCTCGCAGGCAGAAGCAGGCTGGGAGCTGCCCCCTTGGATCGACGAGAGCTTCGACATGGTGGTGCTGGATGCGCTCAAGTACTACTTCAAGATGCTGAATTGGAAGCTGAGCAGCAACCGGAACACATTCCGGGAGGCCGAGCTGCTGTTCCAAGAGTGGGAGTTTGCCAACGAGATCGGCAGCCACCTGGTGCACGGCGACGTGGAGGTGGCCGAGCAGTTCAGCTCGCTGACCTTCAAGGCGCTGAGCCGGCTGAGCACGACGTTTGAGCGCGAGCTGCAGCGACGGCCGCGTGAGAGCGTGGCGGACATGAGCCGGCGCTACAAGCAGCTGCTGGACGGCGTGCGAGTGCGACAGCGGATGCTGCAGCGCTTCTCGCGCAGTCTTTCGGACAACTACGAGAACGCGTGCGACCTGAATCTGGCGCTGGACGACGACGGGATGGAGCTTTTCCTGGACCGGCTGGCCGAGACAGGCCACTTCCAGGTGTACTCGCGGCACCTGGACGAGGAGGGCGTGCTGTTGGTGGCGTCACCGTCGCTGGCCGGCCGTCTGGGTGCGATCGAGTCGATGATGAGCCGAACGGCATACGAGCAGGTCGAGGACGACCTGGCGAATCCGTATGTGCTCATACTTCGGCCCGAAGGTGGCGCTGTGTGGTACGGGCCGAGTGTTGAGATACCGGTGCGCGAGGAGCCGCTGGAGCTCAAGACGGGACACCTACGCCTCGTTGCTGGCGGCTCGCAGGTGCGGCTGGTGCTGGCGCGCAAGGCCTTTTTCGAGACGGCCGACGTGCAGCTCGACCTCGTCATCGAGCAGCGATCGAACCTGAAAAAGGTCCACGCCAAGATGACGGACATCCGACGGACGGCCTACAAGCTGAGCAACACGTTTATGGACTCGGTCGAGAAGATCCGTCGCCAGACAGCCGGCGAGAACTGCCAGGACCTGATCCAGACCTGCTTTGTCTTTGCGACCGAGTTCGGCCAGCGCTCGGCCTCGTACATGGACAGCAACCGACGCCAGATGAGTAATATGAAGCTGACTAAGCTGGCACTCGACTGGGTCAATTTCATCTGCGTCGACTGCCAGATGTCGGACAAGCGGACCTTCCGCTGGGCCGTGGTGGCGCTCGAGTTCACGATGAGCATGACGCGCGGCCGCCACATCCTGGGCCTGACCGAGCCCGAGTACGAGCGACTGCGATACCGCGTCTCGGGCTGCATGTCGCTGCTGATCTCGCACTTTGACGTCATGGGCGCGCGATCGACGGTGGCGCTGCAGGCCGAGCGCCAGCGCCTCGAGTCATCGCTGTCAGGAGAGTGCGAGGGAGGGACAGCCGTTGGTAGCGGTGGTGTGGGTGTGGGTGGAGGAAAGAACAAGGCCAACAAGGACATGCCGAACACGAACAAGAGCAGCGCGACGACGAGCCGACAGCAGCTGCTGCAGCAGCTACAGAACCACCGGCTGCTGGGCGACGAGGAGGCAGCAGCACGGGTGGCAGCGCAGCGGCTGGATGGTCTGGCCGTGCTGGACGAACAGCGCAAGGCGCTGCTGACGCAGCGATCGTCGCTCGGGCGCGTGCTGGAGGTGTCGAACGAGGTGGACCGGTCGCTGGCCTACCTCTCGTCGACGGCAGCGGCCAATTTCACGATGCGCTGGCAGCAGGGCTACTTTGTCGGGGGCGGCACGTTTGGCAACGTGTACGCGGCCATGAACCTGGATAACGGACAGGTGATGGCGGTCAAGGAGATCCGGCTGCAGGACCCGAAGCTGATCCCGACGATCGCGACTCAGATCAGCGACGAGATGCGCGTGCTCGAGTCGCTCGACCACCCCAACGTCGTGTCGTACTACGGCATCGAGGTTCACCGCGACCGCGTCTACATCTTCATGGAGTACTGCTCGGGCGGATCGCTTGCCAGCCTGCTGGAACACGGCCGCATCGAGGACGAGCAGGTCATCATGGTGTATGCGCTGCAGCTGCTCGAGGGGCTGGCCTATCTGCACGAGATCAAGATTGCGCACCGGGACATTAAGCCAGAGAGTGAGTGTGTGTGGGTGGTGTGGTTGTGTTTTGATTTGTTGTATAATGCTGACTAATCAGACATTCTGCTCGATCACAACGGCATCATCAAGTACGTCGACTTTGGCGCCGCCAAGGTGATTGCCCGCCACGGCCGCACCTTTGCGTTTGAGTTCAACATGGCCGAGGCGGCGGCAGCGTCGGCAGCAGCAGCATCAGCATCGGCGCCGTCACCGAGCACGACCGCGGGCACGGCGCCGATCGGCACGAACGCGGTATCGGCCATCACGACAGCAGCAGCGGTGGCGGTGGCGGCAGCATCGCGGCCGCCACCCGGCAACGGATCGATGACCGGCACGCCCATGTACATGTCGCCCGAGGTGATCAAGGGCGAGACGGCCAGCGGGCATTTTGGAGCAATGGACGTCTGGTCGCTCGGCTGCGTCATCCTCGAGATGGCGACCGGACGGCGGCCGTGGGGCAACCTGGACAACGAGTGGGCGATCATGTACAGCATCGCGCAGGGCAGCCCGCCGCAGCTGCCGACGGCGGACCAGCTGAGCCCGCAAGGGATCGACTTTCTGCGGTGCTGCTTCCGACGGGACCCGCGGCAGCGGGCAACGGCGGTGGAGCTGCTGCAGCACGAGTGGATCATGGGGATCCGGAACCTGGTGGTGGAGCCGGCGACACCGAGCGAGGCGTCGACGCCGTCTGGGAGCACTGCAGGGATATAGGGTGTGGGGGACAGAATGAGCTGAGGAGGTGAGGGCGGACGAGGATGAGATGACAATGAGGTGAAGATGACAAAGCGAAGACGACATACATACGACACACACTCAACACACACAACACACGACAACATACATCCACTGACACATCCATTGACTACTCAAGCCGATAGACTGAAAAGCTCTCCTACATACCGAATCGGCAACTCACACGGACACGAACTCACTCTTACACACGACCATACCCAAGAGATCGGTCGCCCTTTGGATCGAGCTTTGATCTTTGCATCTTGCAGGCCTGGAGCTGCCATTTCTGGACCAGGTCTATCTTTCATACTAGTAATTTATTTATTCATTCTTGCTAGTCGTCGCGTAACTACAGCTGAAAAGTCCGACGAGGGAGCTGACAAGGACCTTTGAGCTCCCTGTTTTGTTTCTCATTTTTGTTTCTTCTTCCTCTCGTCTCTCGTCTGAGATGATCCCCGTTGACTACTCCCCGCCCAACAGTGCGATTCATATGCACGCCACCCGTCACGCGTCCTTTCTTGACTCGCCCGGCCGGCTGTCGTTCCTGAAGCAAGATGATACAGGGGTCTTGCTGTGAGACAACACGTCCGTGCCATGTACTCAGGGAGGCGAATGCTGGTTCCCTCTTTTCTAGCAGGACTTTTGCATACAACCAAACAAGATATAAACAGACTGTCAAGCGGCAGTCCAGCCTTGGACCCATGCACTCCTGCCCGGTAAGTCCCGCCTCCCACAGCTGCACGGAGGCCCAGACAGATATTGTTCAGCGCGCTCTGTGATGAGACAAGGCAGATCTCGGTCTCGTACGCAGGACAGCACAATGCTCGATTAGCGCCTGGGCGAACCCAATTGCAAGACACTGCCTGGCCCAATTCGGTCAATCAGAGTGCAGCAGTCCAATACGCGCCGCAGACCGGCGGTTAGCATCGTGGCCGAGGTGATGACAGTGGATGACGAGGTGGGGTGGCCACTGGTACTTCGTCCTCACTTTTAGCTCAGAACAGTCGCCGAAGCGCTAGAGCAGGTGCCGTGGCCAACGGGTCCAGTTCCGCCCAGCCTTTCTTTCCTTTTCGGTGAGCGCGGAATCCCGCCGTATTTCAGCTAATGATAGGGTTGCAGGCGAGACCAAAAAGTGGCATCTGTCTGTGTCAGACAGCAGTGGCAAAAGCGCGAAAGAGCAAGCCGCCAAAGAGAATGAAAAAAAAGGAAGTCCAAGAGGGAAGACGAAACCAAAGAAAACAAAGGAAGAAAGCCCGAGAAACCCAACAGGCAAGCGCTAGTTATGGCGCAAGGCCATCGGAAGAGTAGTCGCCGACACTACGGAGTACGACTGGCCTGCAGCTGCACCCATGCGCGGCTCCTGGCAAGGAACACAGCCTTCGAGCCCACACTACTCTATGAGGCTAGCGCTGGGGTGCAGGCGCTGGTACTACATAGTATGTACGTACGAGCTGATGAAGGTACGGAGCACGCAGCAGCAGACACCCACGCCGAAAAACACCAAACACACGCTTTGCGGATGGCCAATGGATGCTCCTGCACCTTGAGACACAGCAAGGCAATGGAAGACACCAGAGGGCTTCAGAGACGGTCTCTCCCTCTCGACACACAAGGCTGTGCTAGTTGTGTCTCGGCAGGAGAGCAGCGAAGCAAGAGAGACACAAACGTCTCGGAAATGGGGAGGAATGCAGCTCCAAAAAGCACAGAGCACCCAGCGACCCGACGGCGGAAGATGGTGGCCCGGCAGCTCGTCTTGTGCCCACGGACTTCCCGCGAGAGCGGACATGGTTGGCCATTGGCACCATCTTTTTCTGTTTTTGTTTTGTTTTTGTTTTTCTTCTTTTTTTTGGTTCCTCGCGCCTCCGGCCGCCAGCTGAGTGACACGTATGACATGTGTACGGGTAAGATACATGCGCTCGTACACAGGATCGTGCAAAGACGGCGCACCCGTGATTGGCCCAGAGCCCACAGCAGCTTGGCGCCGGGCCCACGAAATTGTGCCAGCTGAGGCTGAAGAAAATACTACGGAGTATGTAAAAAGCGGTGGACACGGGAAGAATGGGTGGGAAGCAGAACGCCTTGTTGGCGCGAGGAACACCGAGGAACGGCACCCGTTACGTAAGATATTATGCATCGTACTCCGTATACCCGTTCCAATCGTGGCCATCTGCTACATTCCAAGACCACTGCACGCTTTGTATGTCTCATTTAGACGCGTTGTGGCTGCTTGTCGCCCGATGCGTTCTTGTCCTATCGAGCCCCCCCCCAGAACACTCAGGCGGATTAGGGACTGCACTGCTCTCGCTCTGCACAGAGCACGACCAGCCGCATTCGGCCTCGATAGATGAAGACTGCTCGCCCAAAAAAGCAAAGTGTGCCGGACTCGTTTCCTGTCCAGGACGTGCCCACGGCCTCCCAGAGCACACCTGCGCAGATCGTCCCAACGGTCGTGCACTTCAAGATGGTGTCACAGCCTTGGCAGTGGTCCTTGCTTTTTTACTTTATTTTTATTTTCATTTTAGCATCGGACTGTTCCTGTGCGGCTGACACAGCAATTGCTGTCAATACCTTGGCACACACCACATTGACCGGAGAGGGAGACATCAGCGCAGTTGGTGGCCCGATCATGCATATGAGGACAAATATTCGACCATATGTAGAAATGTCTCAATAGGAACACCTTCTCTTTTCTCTTTCTGGATTTTGTTGGTTTCCTCCCCCTTTGTCCTGTCCTTCTCCTTCCGGTCGTGCTCTTCATCTTGCTGGCAGTTCGTCTCGTGTCTCTCTCCGTAGCCGGTGGATGGGCTGGGCTCGCTTGCTTGTTACACTTGTCGATCAATCCCCAGAGATACCCACCCGGACACCACACGTGGCCAAGCCAGGCTCGCCTTTTCCCTAGCTACCCTGTATGTAGAGAAAAGGGCAGGCAACGTGGTGCGCTATAAAACGAACTGTGCTAGTGTGGCCATCTTGCGACCGGTTTGACTTTTGTTTTGTTCCTGTAGTCGTGGCTGTCGGTCGAACAGAAAGTATTACCTGCAGAACGAAGAACAAAAATGACCTATCTGTGGTCTCTGTGATATTACGTAATTATTTATTTGGAGTATCTTACTACGGAGTCAATGTAAGGTACGTCGTAAGATACAATACGGAGTACTGGTAAGGTACATGCATTGCCCAAGGTCCGCTAAATCAGGCGGCAGGAGCCAGCCAGGCACGAGGGGACGCATCTTCGACAGCAATTTCAATGGCTGTGTCCACGTTTTCAACCCGACGCCGAAAGAGGAAACACGCAGGCCCATAGCACACCAGGCTAACCGTATCCAGCTGGCACTCAAGCCCAGTCCCCACACTGCGACCGTTTTGCTGCTCCTCTTTTGGACGCGCCGTTTTCATAAAGGGATTCCTTTCACAAATCGTGACGAGGGCAGTTGGCTATTAGCCTCCAGCCCAACAAGCTTGTTGGTCCTGGCCGGCGCTGTGGCTGCAGTGGAAGAAAATACCGGAAGTGGTTTGCGATAACGGTGAGGGGCCGAATTAAAGCCAGCAAGAATGCGAGAAGAAGAAAGGGAAATACGACGTTGAAGATTGAGGATACGGAGTATCCCCAATCTTAGGCGCAAAGAAGGGTCAAAAAGGGGCAAAGACTAAAAGAAGGCCAACAATGCCGATGGGCCATACGAGCCGCGTACTCGGGAGGTACGAGCACATGGCATCATCACAGGGACGGATAGCGATTTTATCACTGTACGAGTACATAGTATGTAAAATATGTCTGTGTCGAGGCCTTGCGGAAATACGAAGGAGAAGGGAAGCCACGGGCGCTTAGTGCCAACACGTATCAGACAATTGCATCACAAATACTCCGTATGGAATAGTAAGATACTTCAAACATCCCACGTAGTAGGCAGAGAGCATGGCTGCAAGCAGGTTTGTTCGTATGTATCCGATACGGGCAGCGCTAAAGGAAGAGGGGAAAAGGTCAAAAGGAGCGAAAAAGAAGGTGGCCACCCTATCAGCCCAACCAACGAGAAATTCCGGTGTGGAAACGTGGAAAAAACATGGGAGATGCTAGACAATACTATGTGCATTATATGCATGGCTACTCCGTACATAAAGTACTTGTACGCATGCTGTGCTGATCGTGGGCGTAAACTCGTGTGTTTCCCCAAAGACGGCCGATGCGACGCTACGCCAACGCATACAGCTGGACGGAGTACTCCGTTCGAGTACAGCATGGAGCGTTTCTTCCCACGTGCGCATCCCTGCTAGGACTGTCTAGGAGGGTGGAGGCGTGGGTGCGCCCAAATTGCCTACTTTCCCTGCTATCTCCTTGATAAAGCCGGGTTGTGCGAATCGACCGCTGTGCGCATTCCGTTTTGCGGAACAAAAAGGGAAACAAGGCGGTCCACGGACCCTTTGGCGCAGGGGTAAGAGAACATGCCAAGCTTGCGAACATCTCCCGCGAGATAATGTACGACGTTGACGGAGTCGGAAAACAGGTACGAGTACGGAGTACTCTGTACTATGTACTGTGAGGTGGTATCCTTTTTATTTTTAACTCTCTGAAATTGGCTTTCTGGAATACGGCACTGTCCATGCCATGTTGCCTACGAGTATCTTGCCCAAAATAGACGTGCGTACAGAGTAGCATATCTGGCCTCCTCTCTCGTATGGGCGAACCCTTCGTACCCGTATGCTCTGGCCGCTGCGACTGAAAAGCAAGAATCGAGAGGGAAGCGAAGGTGCGATCGCCAAACTCATTTGCCCAACCGAGCAAGGCGCTGGTTTCGGGAACGACACTTAGCTTCTACCGGGCGACTGGGGCTGGCTGTGCACTGCAAAACTCTCTGCTGCCTCCACTCTGGCTGGTCGCCTCGTACGTCTCCTCTCCTCTTGGAGGGCCCACCCGGAGGACCTGTGCCTGTTTCCCGGCCCATAAATTTCCTCACCTCTGGCTCTCTGGCTCTCTGGCTCAGGCTCGCAGGCTTCTGGCCCGACCGCCTTCTCCCAGCAGGTCCTCCATCCGGAATGGTGGGATGCACGCCAAGACGACCACACATCCTGGCTGACAGCTGTCTCCTGCCGTCGTTACTTTGTACGGAGTAAATCTTTGCACGAAAGACTTTCTCCGGTGACAAGTATCTTACGAAGATGGGAGTCTACCACCAATTGCCCTACTTGCAAAGTAGCGAGTCTACAGTGCCCCTGGCAATCCCGAAGGCTCCGGAAACCTTCTAGAAATTCGGGGTTTCCACTTACGGCTCAAGGCCGGAGCTAGCCCGCCTAATTAGATGCGTCGGGCAATAGCGATGCCATTCGCAAGGAAATACGGAGTACGGAGTACGACGTTAGGAAATAAGAAAACGGCCTTCACCCACGTCTTATCCGTCTACTCCGTACGGCGACAGGGGAGAACGGGGCCAGCAGTCTTTCACGTCCACACTCTGTACGGAAGTAAGCATGTATACTTATTACTCCGTACCAGACGTGGCAATTGGGACGAACAGGGCGAATGGCAGATAGCCCCCATCTCCTGCAGTGCGACACTAGAGGATACACAGGTGCAGAGAGACACAGTCTGCCATGTCGCAGACAAGAAAACCCAACCTAACCGACTTGTCGGATCCAAAATGCTTACTCCGTACGAGCACGTCGTTATTATCCAGCGGCAAGAAAAGCGGACATGTCTGAGATTTGTTCCAGGCGCAGAGCTCAATCAGGATTGGGCGTGCATACGACGTCCTGTGCATCTTGATTCCTGCTGGCCCTGTTTCTCGCCCAATGCCAAGGCGCTGACGTCAGTCTGGCGCGCTATTCCGCTGAGAGTTTTGAACATTGTCCCCCGTACTACATGGTAATATCCGTGGCGAGGCGAAGGGCGACGAATAGGAGCCTTACGTTGTATAGCCTCAGAAAGAGCACTGCCGCCCGCCACTTATGGGGCCGGCTCGCATCGTTGCATTCCAGACATGTCGCAATAGCCCTGGATCTTACGGACGAGATGCTTGTCGCGCCGAGTGTTGTATTTGCTCAACATCTGTCGCAGGGCCTAGGCCGGCCGTTTCTGGCACCAAAACACCCGTCGTGAATGTGACGCACTCGTGCGCATACCAAGCACACCGTCATGGAGTCAAGCTTGGAGAGGCTGGTGGCGTCTCCTTTCTCCCCCAACTCCCAACTCATGTGCGAATCAGAGGCGGGAGTAAGCGAGATGACCCACAGTTGGTCGTCTCTCAGCGTGCTCTCTTCTTTCGGCAATAGGCCTGGCTGGTCTGCCTTCTTCTGGCAAGTGCAAGGGGGAAAAATACCTTGCATTGGCCAGATAGACTTGACGTGAGCAACTCTGGCGTCAGATCTTGCATCGGAGATTTACTGGCGGATCGTTTCCTCATCTTGGTCCACCTACGGGACTTTATTTTCCTTGACAGGAAGGACAGGCAAAAAACAAGATCACGTCTGCAAATCAAGCTTCCACTTCCAAAATAAGGCTGTCAGCTGTCGGAGATTTGTCGAAAGAGGAGCCCACGTCAGCCGCACTGTCGAACAGTCGACGTACGGAGTAAGTAGCGGGTTGTTCCTAAGCCCAGACGAGCAATGGCCCGTCCGTTCGCATGGGTATTTGGCACCACTAACAGCGCGGCCTGCTGGAGCTACGTGTACGTAAGAAAAATAGTACCGTGCATCGCGGAAAAAGGACGGAAGGACGCGGTACTTCGAGTGGCCACCGGCCATCGTGAAGTACATATTCAGATTGGGAAGAAAAGGCAGTCGATCAATTGCAGAATCGGGAAATTGGCCATTAGCAGGCGCACGGCCAGAAGACCAGAAGGCTCGAAGAGAAAGCAGGGTTAGAACCAACCAGCCAACTCGTAGGATCAGACAGCACAAGTACGTCGTACGTCGTAAGTACGTATGCAGCCTAGTACTCCGTAGGCCTAGTATGGGCACGGCGCCGCCGAAGCTCCGGGCTCCATGAAGCCCTAATCACAGACGGGCGTGTTCTTTGCTTGTTTCGGCCACGGGGCTAGCGGCCCATGAGCGCAACAAAAGGAATGCGCGCGGGAGTAGGAGTACGTTTGTGCGTCGTGGTGCGTTTGACCGTGTTTCTCCGCGGGTGGCTCCTCTTGCAGGCCGGCGCGACAGCGGAACGAGTAGCAAGAGCTCGGCTGGGCGAGAGAGTATCAATAGTGTCGGCAGCCTTCCTGCCGGATCCGGAGGCCAGGAGGAAAATCCCCCTTGCAGCAAAGGAAGACATCGTGGCGGGCAATCAATGTGGTAGGACAGCGTGCTCAGCGAGCTGTCGCGACATTCGCGATTTTGCCTCTATCAGGCGTCTGAATCCGCGCTGTCGTCAATCGTCGCGAGTCGTCGTGTTGATTGTGGGGATCCACTTGACCTAATTGGGGGATCTGGCAGCAGCTGAAAGGAAAGAAGAAAAAAAAGAAAAAGAAAAAAACACACCCCGGCGACCGAGTTGCATAGCCGTATCGCACCAACTGAGGAACATTTCTGCCGGCGTGCTGTTGGCAGGGCCCGACAGCTGCTCCGTCCGTGCAGGTGTTGGCAGCCACCAGAAGGAATATGTGTCGTTGTCAGAGTATTTGCTGTTGGCTATCGTTCCATTGACACATCATACGATGTGATGCGGAAGCAGACATCCGTTTCCATAATTAGAACCCAACAACTGAAAGAGGGAGGAAATAAGACAATAAAACGGCCACGGCTGTGCGCGCAGGCAGACACAGCCAAAGAAGGCAGCATGGCCAGGAAGCAAGCGCAACTGAGACGGGAGGGCACGCCCCAGCTTCTCTATAGGCAAGGCATCCTGACCGTATTGCATCCGCACCGTTCCGTTTCTAAACAAAGAAAGCCAGCCTCCAACGTCGGGGGCAGACCTGCCAGTATCTTATCTGAAGATACGAGCAATACGGAGTGCGGAGGGCGCTGTAATTACAACTTGCATGCAAAGGCGCACGCGCCTTCCTAAATGAACACTCGCACCTTTCGTCATTTCCCCCCATTCAAGCATCTTTTGATGGGCTTACTGTACCCGTAATTCCACCATCGCCTTGCTAAAGCCAGAGGCCTGCTTGGTAGACCGGCATTTGCCGTATCTGATTCGCCCGTGTCCGGAAATGTCCATGCGGCCTCTGCGAGCGCGCGGCTCCTCGCATTTCCGGTGTGGGCGAGGCTCCGAGCGGGGAGGGCTCTCTGACCCCGTGGGTGCGCTGTCTGTCTGGTCTGTCCGGTCTCTGGTGTGCGCTCTCCTTTCTTCAGTGTCCGTGCCCCGGGAATCACGCGCCAGCACTGCCCGCCCCATGCGCCCGGAACGAAGATTCTCGTAAGATAATAAGACGCGACAGAGCACGAGCAGAGAGTGAGGCCAACGGGGTCATGGCCTGTCCGGTGCTGCCCGGCAACCTTGGCGCAGCTTACGACGTAAGATATACCGAATTCAGAGCGCCCGGTAATTACAAAGTAGCATACGTGTGTCCTCGCACGCGTCGTTCCCGGTAGACGAGCATCTTGCATTTCCTGTACGAGGCGCTGGCCTGTCGCAACCAAGTATCAAGGCGTACGGAGTCGATCCGTGGCCACTCGGTCGTACTCGGGGTCGTTGTTTATAAATAAATCCGACAGGGAATAAAACGTGAGGATCGGCAGCGATGCTCATTACAACAACCAAAAGAAAGAAAGGGCCGGTCGCTGCATATCGGCATCTGGGCAGGAGTACCGGAAGAGACGCCGGCACTGCTATGATGAGCGAAAGAGGAATGATTGCTGAAGAAAGTCTGGAGCACGTTGTCTTGCCGGCTCAGCCCAATGCTGTGTACTACTCGTATGTATCTTACAATGTACCGCACGCTCACTGTGTCCTGCGCGCCCAGGCCTCCTCAGTGCGCTTCTCTCCTAAGCGGCCACTACGCCGTACGAAGACAAAAAGAAGTGGACCGCCACAGAAGGCCGCCAGCCAAGCAGTCCCTGTTTTCTTTTTCATCTGAACGCTGTCTTCTTGAGTGAAAAAAAAAAAAGAATCCACACCCTCCCTTGGCTAGCGCCTCTGCCTCTCAACTGCCCTCGTACTGGCTCGCTCTTGCCCTCGCCTGGGGAAGAAAAAGAGGAGCCCCATCACAGCTGGGCTGCTTCTTTCCTGCATTTTCCCTGTCCCCTCCCCCCTGGTTCCCAGTACGGAGCACGGAGTGCGATGGCCGCAGTCGCAGTCCTGGCCTTTTCCCCTCCCACGAGCACTCTACCCCCCCTACCATTACCACCCCCCGTCCACGCCCCCCCGTCACTCACCCCCCATCACTCCCCATCCTCCCCCCCGGTCGCTTTCTGCCCAGCCCACTCACACACCTTCTCGGTCGCGCCTCCAGGGCTCTCTTCAGTGCTCCTTCCCAGCTAACACGCCGCTCCCGCTCGCTCCTTCTCTCTCGACCTTGGACTCTTGCCCACCTGGCAAGCTCGAAAGGTGGAGCCAGTGGGTCGTCCAGAAAGAAAAAGAGGAGAGAGACAGCAGGTGCAGAGGACCAGCAGCAGACCAGCAGCCAAGTTCAAAACGGCCGCTCGCTGGTTCCGCTTGGACCACGGGCAGCAGCCCATTGACGTGGCTCTCGACAAGTACCTGGACGGTACATCGCCATCGCTACCAACCCAACCCAACCACCACTGGCCGGGACCTGGCTGTTGTTGTCTTCCCCCTTTCACATGCCCCCCCCCAGCAGCAGCGACAAACCCTAGTCGTTCACGCCATCCCGGCTGCCCTCCACCATGCTTATCCACTCATTCCACCACCTTCCCGTCTTCAGAATTGGATCCCACCCCAGCGTGCGAATTACCAGCACACAGCTGCTCGTGTACTCCGTACGAGTACTTGCATGCTCTGTGCTAGGACACCAACTCTCGCTTCTCCCTACATAGTAATGGCCCCTTGGCCCATCTGTCGCCTTGTTCCTCCTCTTCTTCTTCTCCTCCTCTCCTTCTTTCCCTCTTCTGTCTCGCTCGCTCTCTCTCTTGCTTGGCTGGCCTGTTTTTAAATTGATCGCAAGGCCGTATAACTCTTCGCCGGCTGCTAATCCGCTGCTCCACCTTCTTTCTTCTCACCCCCCTTTTCCTTAAGTATCTCGCTGCTCTTCCGCTTTCTTTTTTTACTCGCCCAACGGCCATCTGAGATACCCAGAACCTTGACCCCTTCCTCTGCCCTGTCTCAGCCGCTTGTTCCGTCTCGCTTTGTAGCCTTGGCCCCTCCCAAGCGCTACCTGAGCTACTCTGGTTCTGGCTAATACGGCCATCCATTCTTAAACCAAATCTCATCCACCTCCTTTCTTTCTGTCCCGTCCCTCCTCCTCTTCTCACCCCGTCCATACTCGAACACACATAACCAACCGCCTGTCTCGCACCTCTTGGCCTCGGCACTATCCCACGCAGCACCGACTTGACGTGATCTTCACATCAACCACCGGCTTGCCTGACCACATCAGGCCACCCAATCCACACCTGGGTGTGCTCATGTGCGCATACGAGGACGCCTCTCACCACGTACTTATCCCCTCGTCACCCACCGCTCGCACCTAGCTCGGCATCCCTCTCCTGTCCTCGACATACTGTTCTGGTATACGCTCGCGAAGAGCTGCGGCCATGGACTACACCACAATGATGCAGAGCGTGCCCCATATGGCGGCTGCCTACCACACAATGGCGCTCTCCGATGGCCAGCCAAGGCCAAACCAGATGTACTCGTTCGCCTACAGCAGCGATCCTCTCTATCTTGTCCCCCATCTTCCTCACCACCACGATTCTGTCGACCACTCTCAGGCGTGCATGCAGCCCTCAAAGCAGACAGAGCCAAAGCCGCGGCTGGCGAAGGACGAAGTCGATTTGCTCGAGAACGAATTCAAGAAGAACCCGAAGCCTTCTTCCCAGCGGAAGCGCGAGATTGCCGATCTTCTCAAAGTAGAGAACCCCAGAATCAACGTTTGTCTTCCTTCCCCCTGCCTCTTCGCCCGGGACTGCCCTCGAGTCTTGTAAACTAACAATCGACCCAGAACTGGTTCCAGAACCGACGTGCAAAGGCCAAGCAGATGCTGCGGAGGGAGATCGACACCAAGGCCACTGGCGATGAGTCTTCGTCCGAGACACCGTCAGACCAACAGGAAGATTGCACCGTGAGCGAATACTACAGCTCCAGTAACCACAGCCAGCCTTTGCAGGCTTCGAGCGCAGCCTTCCCGACCGTCGAGCAACAGCGGCAGCTTGCCTTTTTCACGCCCGCAACCGATGCTTCGATCACGAACAGCGCTTCGCCCTCCGTCGAGGAATACCCCTCGCCCAGGTCACTCGTCTTCCCGCCTGTCCACGACCTCTCATCATATGCCCCGACCATGAACGGCTATCTCACCTCCGACGGCTCCCCGTGCCACGAGACCATGGAGCACGAACATGCACTGCATGGCTTCGATCCGTCGACGATGGCAGCGTTCGTCCCCTTCACAAATATGGGCATGGACTCTGTCATAGCACCACAACCCGTGTCTTACCACTCTGAACTCATGGGCATGGATGGCATCCATCACTTGAGCAAGGAGTCGGTTGCCAACCTGAGCCACGAAGCACAGGCCCTGCAGCATGGCGTGCCGCCTCCGATCCAGCAACTGTCATCGCCAATCTCCTCGCACTCGCCGTCTTCTGCCGCCTCCGATCTTCGATTTAAATCTCCTCCACCACCCGCAAACATTGCCAACCGCCGCAACAAAGGCGCGCCAGCCATGTTGAACCCAACTGCCCTTCGCAATGGTCCATACGGCCCGAAGACCGGGATCGAAATGGGCAAGCGAATTGACGCCCCGACTCCAATTCGCCGCATATCATCTGCCAATGGTCTTATTAATCGAATCCAAAAACCGGCCATGGCACCTGTCCCTCGTTCCCCGCTCTACTTTGAGCGGAATAAGGACGTGTTGATGCAGTCGCTGCAGACAGCAGCAGCCGGACCGGCCTCCCTTGTTCGCTCGACAAGCAGCAACATTTCTCCCGTGACTCCACGCGAGTGTATCGCGTCATATAACCATGGTATGCTTGAGGCGAGCAGCTCGGTGTCGGAGGACGAGGCATTCTCCGTCAGCGGCTCCATGCAGCACCCCTTCTTCAGCATGGGACAGACACTGAAAACACCACCCGGCACGCCTGGGTTCAACGGAGGCCACGTTGACCGGCAAGCAAGTATGGACCCGTGGGGCTTCGTTCCTCAGGACGAGGCGCTTTTGACACCAAGTCTTGGCAGCTATGGCTCGGAAGAGTTTGCCGTGCTGTCGTCGGCCCCAGCATATGCCTTGAACAGCCAGCCACCAACGCCATCGTTCGGTCAGCAAGCTGGACACAACTACTTCCAAATGCAGTTGCAAGGAGGTGAAGGCCAAGCCGATTTCACATTTCCGGGTGAGCCAAGTATGCCACCAGGATTTTTGGCAAAGTCGTCTCCAGGTCGACCTAAAAACAAACAATTCCAGTTTACCCAAAACGTCACGCCCGACGACTTCTTCTCGATCGAAAAATGAGAGTAGGCCGCATTTTTTCGCGTTTGTATACTATCCCTTTTTTGATGACGTTCGACATAACGAGTATTTGAGAAGGCGAAGGCGTTGTTTCTGGAAAGGAAAATGTACTGTAAGATTAAAGCGTTCTTTACCAATTTCTTTTGTTCATTTCAGCCTTCGATTCACTTGCCAATTTACTGGCTCAACTTTTTGTTTTCTTTTGTTGTCCGAGCTCTGGCAAGATAGCCTTTGCAAGCGAGCGGTTGAAGACGTCCACTCACATAATGTAATGGGCAGATAGTTTTTTTTTGTTAAAAAGAAATGTGAAAGACAAACTCTTCACGATTTAGTAAACATATTGTTCACCTTGACGTGCCAGTGACGTGCTAGTGACCGGTTGCAATGCATTTTGTTGATGACCGAGGGCCTGCTCTCGATATTGATGTGTTAAGAGGGTGCCAGAATACTGGCCTATGAGAAAAGAGCAGACGGTGTCCTTTTATGTTTGTTTGCTGTCTGTAAGAAGCAAATTTGCCCGTTTGTAAGTTGCATTCAGCAAAAATGGTTGAGCTAAGGTTCCATTATGTCCTGGTAGGATTTAGAAAATGCGCCATGAAAGCCCATACTATGTATTGCCCAGGTGATCGTCCTCGAAGCTTACCTGAAGTGAATGCTGTTTGGTGGCAACGGCTCGTAAGGACCGGTCGAAAGAAGCCGTGCTTTTGGCTCATGCCTTTCGCCGTACCATTTACAGCAAGGTTCGGAAACAACGCCCCACAGCGACGTGACATTTGCCATTTGGATCGTCGCGAATCGTCTCGGTGCGGATAGGTCTGGTTACATTCGCGAGATTCGATGGCACCTGTGCTTGTTGAAGCGACACGCTGATGGAGGCTCGCTTGTGCATATTGTCACTTTGAAAGAACTCCTTTTTCAGCCTCTGCAGTCGAGTGTACGGCCAGTGCTTTTGGGTGTTGTCGGAGGTCCGGGTTGGGTAGTTTTGGAGTGGGATGTCCGCTTCGTCTTGTCGAATGGCGGTTGCTGGAGGGTGCGGACAGAAGGACCGCCAAGTTCTAGAGTTGGCTAGCTCACAGATGTCGGTCGATTGTTGACAGAATAGGATGACTTTCAGCTCCCTGGCTTGATGGCAATGCTCCCAGCAGATTGTCCGCATTCGGATTGACAGAAGCAATACCGCGGGACTTGCATGGCCGACATCAAGCCTTCATCGATTGCTTGCAGTATCATGGCGGGGCTAGGGGGAACCATGTCGAGGCAGACACGTCCTGGGCGAGAGATGGTATTCGGGCCGGGGGTGTGTTTGAGGACTGAGAAACGGCGAGGACGGAGGACGGCAGGGGCAGAGGAAAGAGAAGAGAAGGGCAAGAGTGTCCAGGGAGCGGGAGAGAGCGGGAGAGCGGGAGGGAAGGGCAAGAAATAAGACCCAGCTTTCTGTTCAGCGCGTGTGAGCCGAGCCTTTCCCTGTTCTCATCAAATCTTCCCTTGTCCGGAGTTGAGCCGATATTAGTTGAGGGAAGGAAATGAGGGCCGGGATTCTCCCCACACGACTGCTTTCTAGAAAGAAAGGAGAAATCCGAGTTTTTCGTGCACATCGCTGCTCGTAATAGTCCACTCCATGTCGATCAGCATCAATCGAGGGCGCCGGCACTGAACGGAGTAGGGCTGAGGACGGATTGGGTGATAGGGTTGCACTTCCGTCCAGGCGCCATCGTTTCAGATGGCCAGATTAAGGAGGTGTGGATAGCGTGAGACGGCCGGATTGGGGCGAGATTGGACGGCGCCGTACGGTCTGACAATCTTACCTGGTGCAGCCCGGTTCGTATGGCGACTGAAACGACATCTTGTCACATTTCCCATTCCCGGTCGAGGACAGGCGTGACGTTACTTTGTTTCTCCCCATGCCGAGGCCGCCTGCCGTCGTCTGATCTGTGGTCTTCATTTTCGGACCCCCTGCTCAGAGGTGCCGCCGATCCCTGCAAGACAGCTTACTATACATACCAACAGGCCTATCAGGACTGGGCATCTGCCGGCAAGCTCCGTAGTCGCGGAATATACCGCGCTTCCTGTTCCGTCCGCTTCTGGGTGGAAACGGCTCGACCGGTATCACATGCAGATCATACGAGGAGATGCTGCATCGCATCACATGCAATTTGCACTTATACGGGCTTCTGGGAGGGTACAGGTCGCGTAGGAACGAATGCGGATAGTTCTGGCCGCTTGGCATGTAAGATACATAGTACGGAGTACGATACGAGTCTTTCTCGTAGGCTCTCTCAACTCTATTCTTCGAGGCCTAGCGCTTCGCGACGGGACTTTGAATTGGGGTCGTAGTACGGCTTTTCACCAAGAGAGACCACCCGGTTGCCCTGACGCTTCCCGATATAATCGCTGCAAGAACGGTTAGTCCGGGCTGCCGATAAGGGGCACGTCTCATTTGCAGCGAGAGTGAAGGAAATTGCTCACTTTGTGGCAGTGTGGAAGACCGAGCGGCTGCAGCAGGGAGCAATGGTCAGCAAAATACCGTATATAAATTGTATAGGCCAGTCCTGTCGGCAGATTGGAAACATACTTGTCCCAGATGGCTACGTCGTTTTTGTTCCAGCGGAAACGGACCTGCAGGTCGTGATTCTCCGTAATGAGCTGGAGAACTGAAGGCTGTCAGTTGTGCAGCTTTCTATCTGTTCCTCAACGGACTCACAGTAGGCTTTGAGTATGTCGCTCTCGCGCTCGCTAACGCCATTGATCCAGCCGGCATCGACCTGATGACCGGCCCCGAACAGGCTCTTCCATCCTGTGACCGGATTTGTGCGGATCAGAGGACTAGCGATGTCAGAAGCAATTATAAACGGAGCAAGAGGCTGAGAAAGGGAGATAAGAGAACATACTGTTCGGCCTTGAAGTCGAGGCCATTGTTTTCAGGGGCGCCTCGGTCCTCGCTGATCAGCTCGATGCCAAAGGTGTCCTTGGCCTTGACAAAGGCGGGCTGGTGGTGGGTAGCAGTCAGGCCCTCTGTGAGCTTCTGGATCGGCGGCGAGAGGCGGTCGTACAGCTCGTAGCCCGAGGCCCAGAGTGTGTCGCCACCGACGTCCTCGGGCGGCTGGACAATTTTGAGGATGGCGTAGTCGGAGGGGATGTTCTCAAACGTGATGCTGCGAGGTCAGCATGCGGACAGCGAAGTGACAGACACACAAGGAAAGACGAGCTGGCTCACTCGGCGTGCCATCCAACGCCAGCCAGCCGCCGGGACGAGCTGCCAAAGCGATCCCGGTAGATGAGGCGGTTCTGCTCGGACGAGATGATAGAGATCTCATCGTCCAGCCGACCGTTCTCGTCGACGGCGATGCCGCGCTTGCTGTTGGAGAGCGCGTGGCGGTGCAGGCGCGACGTGGCCGGCTTACCGGTCAGCTCGCCCAGCCGTTGGCCCAGTCGCTTCTGGTCGTCGATGCCGATGTCCTGGCGCCGGAAGAAGACGACGCCGCGCTGCGACACCAGCACGGCCAGGTCGCGAATCTTGGCGTCATCGTCCAGGATGTCTGTCAGTTGCAGCGTGGGGAACTCGCGTCCGATCGCGCTGGTCACGTCAAAGTGCTCGTACTGGTCCAACTGGCCGGTGTATGCCAGCGGGCCCTCGAGCTGCGAGCTGCTGCTGCTGCTGCTCCTGATCGCACCAGAAGCCTTGCTGGCGGGGATCGGGACGACTGTCTGCTGCAGATCAACGTCTGCTGTAGGGGGAGACATGGTAGATCGAAGGAGCGGAGCAGACCTGGAGGTGGAGGATGATGACGAAATGTGACCAAGATATGGAGGCACAAATGGCGATCGTTACTGGGGACAGACGCTTCTCTTCGGGCCTCCTCCCATGGGATGCCATCTGTTCCTTTTGTATCGTCGCCTGCCGGCCGCTCGCTTAACATCCCCGCCCTAGGTGAGCTGCCTCGGCGCCGTTGTCGGCACAGTCGCTGTGAAAGCGTCTTGTCGATTTGACTGCCAGATAGGCATCTGGAACTTTGGTATCCCTCTTCGGCTGCTAGGCTGACCGAGGTTTGATGTGCTAGCCGTCGCGTCATTGGCCGGCGGTCGGTCTCCGGGAGGGTAGCGCAACCATAACGCCATCTTGCGACAGTCGTGGCTGTCGTTGACCGGATTGAAGTGGTGTGCAGAGTGCAGCGAAGACAGTAGATGAGAAGATAGTCTTTGTATTGTCGATTGGCACAGCATGACGGATGTAGCAGTCGCGATGGGGTGAAGTCGGAGGCCGTGCCTTCCGCGGTCTGGGTGGTCTAAGCGTGATCATCTGACCTTGTGGCTGTCTAGACACCGAGAGTTTGAGCCGAAGAGACAAAGCAATGGTTGTTTGCACTTCAATACATCCTACAGCAACCTTCACGTTGAAGCCCTGTTCAATCCACTCTCCCCACTGTGAAGTGATCAAACAGACGACGTCACGATCTGACGGTACGGACGTCCCACGGTTGTTTTTCCATATTCAATGCTCTCTAATTAATCGCTATCTTGCATCTTCTCTGCATCGCAGACAATCCCATGAATCAGAGTGGTCGCGTGTTATCACGACATCATCCAAGTCCACTCTTGTGGCCAATCAACTGCTTGATTGGCGCCACTGCTGAAACAAGCCATGATCACCCCCCCGATGTCGTGCTCAATCTGATCCCCACGCGTCGACAAAACGGCAGCATATCATTGACAGCTCCAATCTTCTTCAGTGACTGCATGCTTCCGTGAGCTGTTTTTAGATTGAGAGTCGCTGTCGGAAATCCCCGTCATGCGCCAGAGTGGCTTCGCTGCCACGATTGGCATAGCACGTCATCTGCCACCTTCACCCATTGCGCCTTAGCAGCACGAATTGCGTCCGAGACCCGTTGAGGGGCAGTCCCTCAGGCCCCTCCCCTCGGTGCCCATAATGGAGAGGGGCCGCCATCGGGCTGATGACGGTGGCAGCACGGCAGCTGGCATTGTTGGATCTGGATCCGGACCGGACGCCTCTTTCGCGGCAGGACGACACCAAGACCGGCACTCTGGCGAGACTGACTCTGGCGAGAGCTACGAACACGAACCTTGGCTCGAGTTGCTTCCCACCACGGACAGACACCATTCTCACCGACAGCAGCACGCCATGTCTTACAGGCCCCTCGCCTCCGATGACCCGGAGGATGCCAAGAGTTACGGCTCGGTCGACTCAGCTGAGACGAGAGGCTCGGCGACTGCAGAAAACCCCTTTTCCGACGAGGTGACTGCCTCGCACTGGCGCCAGGTATATGAGCGCAGCCAATACGAGTGCCGGCACGCTTTCGACCCCGCGCTGACCTGGTCGGCTGCTGAGGAGCGTCGGCTGGTCCGCAAGCTGGATGGGCGCGTGTGTTTGTGGGCGGTACGCGGTTTCCGGCTCCCTGTCAGTTCTTGTGTCTCACCGTCTGACCGTTCAGTGTGTTATGTTCTTTGGTCTGCAAGTCGACCGCGGAAACCTGAGCCAGGCCGTATCTGATAACATGTTGGACGATCTGGACCTGAACACGAATGGTAACAACAGCCACATTTGCAGCAAAGCTAAACTGCCTTCTTACTCATTTCTTAGATTATAACTATGGCCATGCCATATTCCTGCTCTCCTTTCTCTTGGCTGAGCTGCCATCACAGCTGGTCTCCAAGGCCCTCGGTCCGGATCGCTGGATCCCCATGCAGATGGTCACCTGGTCCCTAGTGGCCATTTCTCAGTGCGCCATCACCGGACGGAACACCTTCTTTCTAACTCGGAGTCTGCTCGGCCTGCTAGAGGTATGTGTAACTATATCTATTCTTCTACCTACTTCTAACAACTTAGGGCGGCTTCATTCCCGACCTTGTCCTGTGGCTGTCGTACTTTTACACCTCCCGAGAGCTGCCCATCCGACTGAGCTACTTCTGGACGACCCTTTCTGTCACGGGGATTGTCACGTCCATCGCAGCCTCAGGACTGCTGCGCCTTCGTGGCCTAGCCGGCTGGGAGGGTTGGCGCTGGCTCTTCCTGATAGAAGGACAGGTGACGCTGCTCGTCGGCGTGGCATCCTTCTTCATGATGCCGGCATCGGCCGTGCAGACCAAGACCTGGTTCCGGCCGCGCGGCTGGTTTACTGACCGTGAGGTGGCCATCGTCGTGAACCGCGTGCTGCGTGACGACCCATCCAAGGGCGATATGCACAACCGTGAAGCTCTGACACCGCGTCGCCTGTGGGCTGCCCTCTGCGACTACGACCTGTGGCCACTCTACGCGCTCGGCCTTGTCGCCTATATACCACAGAACCCCCCCAAGAACTACTTGACCCTCTCCTTGCGTGCCATGGGCTTCGGCACGCTCACCACCAACCTGCTGACCATCCCGGCTGACCTTGTCCATATTGCCAATCTCTTGCTGCTGACCTGTCTGTCTGAGCGTTTCAACCAGCGAGCGTTTGTCGCTATCCTGCAGCCTCTATGGACACTGCCTTGCCTCCTTGCATTGCGCTATTGGCCTGGCATCTCCGTCGACCGTTGGGGTACCTATGCTCTGCTCATAGTCCTGCTGTCGTATCCCTACTGTCGTATGTCCCCCCTACGTCCTCTAAGCTGTCTGATGTGCTGACCGATTTTAGACGCAATTCTCGTCGGTTGGTGCTCCAAAAACTCGAATAATGTCGCTACCCGCACTGTTTCGTCGGCCCTATACAACGTAAGATGCGCGGTTCATTGCAGCAGCAGTGAGGGATGACTGCTAACGGTCCTCCAGATGAGCACTCAGGCCGGTGGTATCTTTGCCTCCTATGTGTATCGCGAAGACGACAAGCGGCTATATCACCGTGGAAACTCGACATTGCTAGTAATCAACGTCTTGTCGATCCTGCTCTTTATCTCAGCCAAGTCGTACTATGTTTGGCGTAACCAGCAGAAGGAACGCATGTGGAGTACCCTCACGCCAGAACAACAGGCACACTATCGCAAGACCACAAGACTGGAAGGCAGTCGGCGGCTCGATTTTCGCTTTGCGCACTAGCCGTCGATTCTGACACGCTGCATCATACACCACCGGCATAGCGTTTCGATAGAGTACGATGTAGCATAATCTAGTATTGTACAGTGCATATAGAGCTGAGAGGAAGACTTGACCAACGCACATTTGTCTCAAGAGAGACTTCAACAGCTTTTCCGTCTGAGATTGGCGTACATTGTCTGGCTGTGCTTGTTACCTATTATTCTTCAATGCTTCGATAGCCTCGCTTATGAATGTTTCCCGAGGCAGGTATACCTTGGCAATTTTGAGAGGGGTTTGGCCAATCTCATTGAGCAGGTTCCGGTCAGCGCCTTTGGACAGTAGATACGGAATGGCCTGTATCACGCCCCACCACTGCCGACCCATAGCCAATTCATGCAGCGCCGTGGCCCGTCCTGGGTCCAGCTCGTCAAACTCCGGTGCTCAGCCCGTATGTTCGCCGCTCGCCTCGTATTCGGCATTGGTCCTGCTCTGACCATTAATGTCCACATAGCCGCTCTCTACCAGCAAGCGTACAACATCCATGTTAGGCAGCTCTCTCTGACAGGCCAGGAACAAGACCTGGTCGGCCGGTTTGCCTCGCAGTTCGTCTTTCGAGAAGAGCTCTCTCAATGTATCCGCGGGATTAGACTCGAGGATGGTGGCGATTAGATGCGCAAAGCCTAGCTTTGCGAACAGACGTAGTATCTTGCCCGCATGATACGCCTTATCGGGCGTAAGGCACAGCGGCGACGAGCGACGAAGCAGACGCTCAATGACACCGTACTCTCTACGCATTAGGAGCAGATTGACTGTACCTTCGTCGACGTACGACCCGTCGTTGTTGTAGCCAAATCGTGTAGGCAACGACTTGAGAAGTTCTGTATCATCTTGCTGATCGTGAAGGGGGAGTGGGACGCTCCTTGTATCAGAGAGCTCGGCGGCAAAGTCCCTAAAGCATCGAAGAGCATATGTCTGCGTTTGGCGATGTATGCCATCATCTGTGTCGTCTGTTATTGCCGACTCTAACTTTTGGACACACCTGCCGAGATTTTGTATGAATCGAGTTAAGGATTCAGGTTTCGCTACCGCTTGCGCTGCTTGATGGAGCATTTGCAGGATCTCATAGAGCCGGGTAGTGTCTTGGCAAGACCGTAAGCCGCCATTAGACTTTCCAAAGGTTCCTTCGTTATCTTCGCCAAACGACTTTGTATAAGCGTTGTATGCAACCTTGCCTACAACGATCCACGGTCGAAGCCGGTCGTACATGCCCGTGCCGACAATAACATTACAATTCCAGCCGAAAGGTAAGCCGAGCAGGGTCAGAAAATCCCAGTCTTGCTTGTCCGGCTTCCGATAGTCGGCCCAGAGCAGCTGCTCATCGGCGAACTCGGCGCAGGCGTCGAGAACGGTCCATCCCTGCTCGTCTTGCACGCAGACATCGGCACCTGCTGCCAGAAGCAGACAAACGGTTTCATAGCGACCAGAGCGACAGGCGTGGTGAATGGGGGAACGGCCTGTCTGGTCTCTCGCATTCAGTAGATCGGAGAGGCTGCTGTTGCCCGACAGCGACGCAGCTTCGAGCACGGCTATGAGGAGACCGGTAATGTTGCTTTGGCGTGCTCGAGCAGCCAGATGCAAAGGAATCATGCCTTCGAACGTGGTGCCGGCCGGATCAGCGCCCGCCGCCAGCAATGCCTTGACTAGGTAAGGGTACGACATTGACGCCAGATGTAGCGGCCGGACGCCGTTCGCATCCGCCGAATCGATGTTGGCAGTGTGCCGTAGAAACCATTGGGTTTGGTCTACCACGTCGGCGTCGAGCCAGATGTCGTACCATCCCATGCTGCAGAGATTGTGCAGCGGTATACGACCTGCATTGTTGGCCTGATTTACGTCGACGAGGGATGCAAGCCGATCCAGCGCTTCTGCACCGATGGCGGAGTCGGCTTTCTGGTGAAACAGCGTGTTGCCATCAGCATCCACGCCCACAGTCTGAGGGACTGTTTTCTGGGCCATTCTCGTGTAGTGGTAATGCTGAGTTCCTCAGATACACGTCGGGAATGTTAGTTTCCGAAAAAGGTAGATGATTACGTTTACCAATTGCGGCCAAGGTAATAATACACCAAGTAGATTAAAGGGTTGCTTCGTCGCTTTTGATAGCCAGTTGCAATTGAGTTCGGTTCAGCGATAAAACGTCGACGAGCATACTAATACAATTGTAGGCAATACTCCGTATTTAGTCGTACGAGTACGGAGTAAAGAGACTATCTTGGTATGTACTCCGTAATAGTGAACCTTGCTTGGGCAATCGCATGGGCCGGACGACCCGTACGAGCAGACGGTCTACTGGACCCTCCAGGACGACAGGGCCGACGCTTTTACGCCGAAATTCTCAACGCGATAGGCATTTCTAAGAACAAGATCGGCTTTGGCCTGTACACGGATGTGGATTCGTGCTCGGGCTCGGAGAATTGCTGGAACACGGGCTACCGGACGTCACCAATCCTGAGGCGCTGGCCCAGTCTGGTCTAGACAACAGCAAGGCGCTGGTACTAGCCTTTGTCTCTGCCATCCTCTTCTTCGTGCCCATCACCGGCGAGCTCGTCGGGGCCGTGGCTTAGGTGAGTGATATTGTGGCCAATATAGACGTGCTCGACGCCGCCGGCAACGCCACCATGGACGTCTACACCGTCGTCGATGACCCGGCTAACGCGCCGCTCGCCATTGTCGATCTGATCATGGCGCCGCTGGCTTTGGCCGACGTGGCGATCGTGGCCAGGGCTGCCGAGCTGAGGCGCGGCATGTCGGCGAAAGACTTGGCCAAGAGCAAGGTGACCAAGGGAACAGGCAAGTGTACTGCTTAAGCGGCTGCTACGCGTTGCTTAAAGGGTGCGTAGGTTGTAAGCCTAGTAAGATAAGACCATATAGATGGAGATTCAAAAAAAAGAAATCAGTACAAGTTTCCTCGTTGTTAGGCGTACGTAATTGTGTATAGGAAAATCTAGGAACCATGTAGAAACAGTAGGAATGGTCGGTTTTAGGAACGTGTAGTAGCTGTTCTACTTTCTCCATGTCCCGAACCACAAAAAGCAGTCGAGACAGCCTTATAACTGTCCGTCCCTCGTTCTGGGTCTCTATTCTATGATTTACTAGGAGCGAGATCTCTGTTTCTGCTTGCTACGACAAATATGTAGTTGTGCAAAACTAGGCATTGGGCAGCACTAGCGTGTTGGAAAACTCCAACGTAGTGGAGGTCTTTCCTCCGGCCGCAGCTTGCTGCTCGACCACCCGGACGGAGGTGAGGTCTTTGACAATCCAATCGGGGCCGGCTGCAGCGACCTGTTCGGCCGTATGGCTGGTGACAAGGCCGAGCACTTTGCAGCCGGCCGCCTTGCCGGCTCTGATACCGGCGGGGCTGTCCTCGAGCACGAGCACAGATTCGGCCACGGCCGTGAGCTGGAGCGCCTCTAGGCCCAGCTGGTAGCAGGCTGGGTTGGGCTTCCCATCGGCCACGGACTCGGCCGTGATCAGGTGCTCGGGCGTGGGCAGACCTAGGCGGGCCAGCCAGCCCGTCACCAGCGGCTGCGAGCCCGACGTGACAATGGCCCACGGGCGGTCCAGGCGGCCTAGCTCGTCGATCAGCGCGCGGGCTCCCGGAATTTCGACAGCGTCCTCGCCATACAGCTTCGGAAGGCGGCCCTCCATCGCGCAGATATCTGGTAACGGCGTCAGAACAGGAGAGAATCGCAGAAAAAAAGCACATGGCCCCACAGCCGGCACTCACACTCCCAGTTCGCCTTTTCCGGGGCGAGAATCTTGAGCATGTCAATGCTTCGGCGGCCGTGTGACGTCTCCAGAATGACTTCTGGATCTACGCCAATCTCCTTGCCAACACTGAGGAGAACCAAACCGAAGTCAGCCTGCCTGCAACACTGCCCTCCAAATCCAGCATCCACCAACTCACGTGTACCAGTGCTTGACCACGGCCGCGGTAGAGTCGATGATTGTGCCGTCCATGTCAAACAGGAATCCACTGAAAGGAATGCGCACGGAGGGACCGGAATATGCCTCTTCTGTGGCTGACTTTTCTGCTGCTGCCATGTTGACGATGCTGACTAATCAAGGGATGTTCTGCCGAGAGAACGACACATTCGGAAAATAATCTCCCAAGATGACTGGGAGTCACGGTTTTATAACTCAGGAGAGCGAAGAGAAACGTAAATGTTTGGCGGAGTGGGCAGAACTGAAGAGCGGCCGAACCAGCGGAGTGACCAGATTAGGAATAGTCCCATTTTGGCTAGCATGTGTTTGCTGGCAGTGAGCAGACTTGGTGCCCTAGCTGGTCTGGAAGCAGTCAGTGAATATCACTAGGAAAGACTAAGAAAGGAACCGTGGCAGAGTTACTCATCGTCCTGTCAGTCTTCAGGAAAAGAGCTGCAATGTTACTGGACATGGGTGGCTGTATGAGCATCGGGATATTGTAATACCGTTCCGAGAACCGGTCATCTGACGTCTCCCCACCGTCACTATCGATAAGATTTTGCTGCTAAACTTATGGGGCTGGAGGGGAAAGCGGTGAAGTTTTTCTGTAACTTTTTTTGCAGAAAAAAATTATGGTCTACGGACGGCCTGCTCTTCTGCCGTGGTATTGAGAAGCTGGAAGACAACAGGTGAATCACACGTCCGTCTGCAGTCAAAATGGCCGGAACTATCAACAAGCCAAAAAGTGAGTTGCTCTTTAGCCACCCATGCATGACAGTCCGCTGACTGAGAACGCAGAGCCCACGTCGAAGCGGCAGCCGGTGCGACTCCGGCACAGAATCGAAAAGGCGTCGTTGGCAAAGCAGAGGAAGCAGAGAAAGCTGGCAAAGTCGAACCCGGAATGGCGATCGAAGCTCAAGAAGGACCCGGGCATTCCCAACCTGTTTCCGTACAAGGAGAAGCTGCTGCACCAGATCGAAGAGACGCGGCTGCGGAAACAGGAGGAGGCAAAGCGGCGACGGGAGCTGGCCAAGTCTGGTGTGGTCGGCAGCGAAGCAGCAGTGACGGGGGCCGGTGACGATGACATGTCGGATGGCGAGGGCAGCGTGGACGGCATGGAGGTGGAGGACGGCGACGTGGACGAGGGCGATGTGGACGAGTCGAATCCGATGGCGGCGCTGCTGGCGAGCGCACGGGCAGCAGCACGGGACTACAACGAGAGGATCCAGGACGTGGACGACTGGGATGCGATGGACGGCGAGGACGACTCGGAGAACGACAGGGAGGGCGGCGTGGGACCGGACGATCACGTGATTGACGTACCAGGAGCAGCGACGTCGCGCAAAGCCTACGACAAGGTGTTCAAGCAGGTGGTAGAGCAGGCGGACGTGGTGCTGTACGTGCTGGACGCACGAGATCCTGAGGGGACGCGGTCGCGCGACGTGGAGCGGGCAGTGCTGGCAGCGGGGACAGAGTCGGGCAAGCGACTGATCCTGGTGCTGAACAAGGCAGACCTGGTGCCACCGGCTGTGCTGAAGGCATGGCTGACGCATCTGCGGGGCTCCTTCCCTACGCTGCCTCTGCGGGCATCGGGAGCAGCAGCGAACGCGCACACGTTCCACCACCGCGACCTGACGGTGCAGAGCACGAGCGGCGCGCTCTTCCGGGCGCTCAAGGCGTATGCGACCAGCCGGAACTTGAAGCGGGCGGTGTCGGTGGGCGTGATCGGCTACCCGAACGTGGGCAAGTCGTCAGTGATCAACGCGTTGCTGTCGCGACTGAGCGGCAATCACGGCAACCACAGCGGCCGGGCAGCCTGTCCAGCGGGCGCCGAGGCGGGCGTCACGACGGCGATCCGGTCGGTCAAGATCGACAGCAAGCTAACGCTGTTGGATTCGCCCGGTATTGTGTTCCCGTCGGCGGCCAACACGGCCGGCAGCAACAGCACGACCGGGCCCAAGACGGCGGCCGACGTGCACGCCAGCCTGATCTTGCTGAACGCGGTGCCACCGAAGCTGATTGAGGATCCGGTGCCGGCCGTGTCGCTGCTGCTGAAGCGGCTCTCGGCGTCGGCGGACCGGCTGAAGAACCTGGCCGACGTGTACGACCTGCCGGCACTGATGCCTGGCGGCCCCGACGGCAGCGACATCACGACCGACTTTCTGGTGCAGGTGGCGCGCAAGCGTGGCCGTCTGGGCCGTGGTGGCGTGCCCAACATCCATGCGGCTGCCATGACGGTCATCACCGACTGGCGCGACGGCCGCATCCAGGGCTGGGTCGATGCTCCGAGACCGGGCCTGGCCCAGACGGTTACAACGGCCGAGACTGGCCGAATTGCTGCCAAGACGGCCAAGACGGCTGCTGCTGCTGCTTCTGCCGCAGCTGAGACGCCAGTCATGGCGGACCAGAAGCAGATTGTGACCGAGTGGGCCAAGGAGTTCAAGCTGGACGGCCTGTGGGGCGACGAGGAGACCGGAGAGGCCGATGCGATGGCCGAGTAAGGCACTGGAAGCGATGGAAAAAGAAGCAGCCAATGATAGTCGACCATCGGGCCGTGGCCAGCCGCTGTCCATTTTAGCTTCATCGTTTGTTAGTTTGTCGTCTCGCCGTTTGGGTTTGGGGGCGGCTCATCGGCTCTTGGCTTGTCCGCTGGCGTTCTGCAGTTCGATTTTAGAGAATCTTTTGTTTGTCGCATGCATGCCGTTGCTTCTTGACTTTTCATTTCGGTTCAGCGCTCACAAAGCAGTGCGCAGCGATTACTCTGGTACGCCAACCAGAGAAAGTACGGAACGCAATCGATTACCCCACCATGGGTCCCCACTCGGTTGTTTGAGCCGCGACAAAGCGACGTAGGTCCAATTGCCTGCGTCGAGCTCTACCAACGTATTGAGTGAGGGGTGCGAAGATCGGAGGGAGCTCCTTCCTCCAGTTCTAATATATATTCCTTACTTTAGCTGAACAACATTCGACCCGAATTCTCTCGTTCGCATCGCCCCTCAAAGACCGAGATCCCACTCCAGTCTGCTGTCTCCATCCAACATGGCATCTCGGCAGATCAGCTTTGCAGCCAGCCTGCGGCTGCTCAACTCGGGCCTTCGGCGGACACAGAAACAGCTGAACAGCCAGCTTTCTAGACAGCAACCATGGACATCACGGCAGCAGATTCGCATGTCCAGCTTGGCTGCATTCAAGCCGCCCGCCGTGCTGAACGAGCCCAACGTCCGTGGTCTTGTCGATAAGCAATGTAACTGCAATTGAGGGCAAATAACTGACGAGGGACAACAGCACATCTATGCCAAGGGCTCAGCAGAACGGGCCGGCATCACAGCGGCCATTGAGAACCTGCAGGTCAAGCTGCCACTTCAGATTCCGCTCGTTATCGGAGGAAAAGAGGTAGGAGGAGTGAAAACATGCACATACATACATACACACATACACACAACCGATACTGACTCCGCGCCTACAGATCCGGACATCATCAGTCGGGAAGCAAGCCAATCCCTCGGATCACAAGTCGACTGTGGCCACATACTCACAAGCAAGCCCGGCAGACGTGCGGGCAGCCATCGAGTCGGCGGTGGCAGCACAGGCCGATTGGGCAGCAACGCCGTTTGCAGAGAGGGCCGCCGTCTTCCTCAAGGCGGCAGACCTGATCGCGAACAAGTACCGGTACGACCTGATGGCGGCGACGATGCTGGGCCAGGGCAAGAACGTGTGGCAAGCCGAGATCGACGCGGCAGCAGAGCTGGTGGACTTTCTGCGCTTCTCTGTGCACCACGCCGAGCAGCTGTACGCACAGCAACCGGTGCACAACTCACCGGGCGTGTGGAACCGCACCGAGTACCGCCCGCTCGAGGGCTTCGTGTACGCAGTCAGTCCATTCAACTTCACGGCTATTGCCGGCAACCTGACGGGCGCACCGGCGCTGCTGGGCAACGTGGTGGTGTGGAAGCCGTCCGACTTTGCGGTGGCGTCCAACTGGGTGCTCTACAACATCTTCCTCGAGGCCGGCCTGCCGCCCAACGTGATCCAGTTTGTGCCGGGGCCAGCGGCCGAGGTGACGCGCGAGGTGCTGAGCCACCCGGCCTTTGCGGCCCTGCACTACACCGGCAGCACGGCCGTGTTCCGGCAGCTCTGGGGCAAGATTGGCGAGGCCATGGCGGCCGGCAAGTACGCTGCGTACCCGCGGGTCATCGGCGAGACGGGCGGCAAGAACTTCCATCTGGTGCACCGGTCGGCCGACGTGGCGAACGCAGCCGTGCAGACGGTGCGCGGTGCCTTTGAGTTCCAGGGCCAGAAGTGCAGCGCCACGTCGCGGCTGTACGCGCCGCGGTCAATCTGGCCACAGCTGCGTGACCGCATCGTCACCGAGGTGGCAGCCCTGCGCCAGGGCGCGCCGTCCGACCACAGCAACTTTGTCGGCCCGGTGATCCATGCGGACGCCTTCCAGCGGCTGACGAGCGTGATCGATGCCGCGCGCAACGACCCCGAGCTGACGCTGCTGGCCGGCGGCGCATACGACGGCAGCAAGGGCTACTTTGTGCAGCCGACGGTGTACGAGACGAGCAACCCAGCACACCCGCTGCTGTCGCGCGAGCTGTTTGGGCCGGTGCTGGTGACACATGTCTACGAGGATGGCGAGGGCAAGCAGAAGGAGGAGCAGGACGCCGCCTTTGCTGCGGCCTGCGACCTCGTCAGCACGACGTCCGAGTACGGCCTGACGGGCTCTGTGTTTGCGGCTGACCGGGCTGCTGTGCGCGTGGCTGAAGAGCGGCTGCGCAATGCAGCCGGCAACTTTTACATCAACTGCAAGAGCACGGGCGCTGTCGTGGGCCAGCAGCCGTTTGGCGGCAGCCGTGCTAGCGGGACCAACGACAAGGCCGGCAGTGCCACGCTGCTGAACCGGTTTGTCAGCGTGCGCAGCATCAAGGAGGAGTTTGGATCGACGACGACGGTAGCATATCCGAGTAACGAGGTATGAGGGGGTGGATCTGGGGGAGTGGGATTGTGAAGTACGAGTACTCCGTACGGAGTGCGATTTGAGACGAGTCGAGATCTGGGCGGGTATTTGATTCAACAAAGACAGACGAATACGATACGGAGTACTCTGTACGGAGTACGAGACACATTATTCCACTGTACGAAATACATGGATGCTCTCGTTCTTGTGCAGATCATCAACGTTAGCCCACGTGCTCTTGCTGGACCAGACTGTCCGTCCACTGGCTCCGGTTGGCCAATGGTGTGCTGCTCTTTGCATGTGACGACAGGAGTGGTCGGCAGCGACGGGCGCATGTGCTGTCGCATTGTCATTGTCGCATTGCCCAATTTCGCAATGTTGCCATTCCGCAATGCCGCATTTGCATCTTGGATTATGTCATCCAGACAGCTGCCGTCCACGCTCCTGCCTGTCCACCGGTTGTGGCGACTATGTACCGAGTCGCTGCACGTGCATGCTAAGCAGGGAAGGAGCAGTTGCAATCCCTTTGCGTACTGCTTTCGTCCGGCAAAAACCACTCCAGCCGAGCTCGTTTGGGCGAGAGATCGCGTGCTCCTCTCTCTGCAGAACGTGCTCGCGTGCCGCGCTGGGATTGGTTGGTGGGGCTTCCAGGCAGCGACAGCTCTTCACACAGCCACCACGAACTGGATTGTCCCAACATGCACACGAGGACGATGCTGCGACACACGACCATGACTGGTCCACCCCCAGGAACCGCCCGCGATGCTAAAGGCCCCGTTTGATCGGCAAGAGATGGCCCCCTTGCTGCCGCTGGCTCTCGTCTTTGTTCTTCTCTCGTCCGTCTCCCCGTTCCTACATTATCGCCTCGTCCTTCCTCTGTTTTTCTCTTCTTTCTTTGCTTCTTGTGGACCTATTCAGAACATGTCGAGTTTTTGTACAGAAATCCCACCAGCAAAAGTTAGCAGCCATACGTTTTCGCAATTCGCTTACCAGCCTTTCTTGTTAGCCAGACCACCATCTTCACCACCCACGCATTTCCGTCATGCCTCCTTCTGCTCTCCCTCCGACGCCAGCGTCTTCGACCGATATCAAGGGCCAAGACGGATCCAAGCATCTGGCCGCCCTGCAGACGTCCTTTGAACTGCCCCCACCAGCTCTGGCTGCTGCGAGCGGCGACGCATCTTCACCAGCAGCATCGCCCACCGATGCGACCGTACACCCGTCTGCCGACATGGAAAAGATGTCGCCGCCCGTCGTCCCGGAATATCCCGTGCAGGCCGCCGAGGCCGTCAAGTCCCGCCGCAGATCGGCAGCAGCAGCGGCTGCCAAGAACGCCTTTGCCCTGCCACCGCCGCCCACTCGATCCCGGAAGATCATACAGATGAAGCCGCGTTCGGCTTCCATAACGGGTGGTGTTGGGATTTCTGCCGTCCCGCCAGAGGAGTTGCGAGCGGCAGAGACGAGCAGCAGTGCTGCGACAGTGACGGGAGCTGGTGCTGCTGCCACTCCTACCACTGCTTCTACGGCTACTGCAGCTGCTGCAGCCACTGTCACTGCTACTACAGCTGTGACCACCTCGGCAACGGCTGCAGCCAACAAGAGGAAGCCGCCGTCATCTACCAGTGCCGCCGGCCGCAAGATTGCACGCAAGACGGCCCACAGCCTCATCGAGAGACGGCGACGGTCCAAGATGAACGAGGAGTTTGCCGTGCTCAAGAACATGATCCCCGCGTGCACGGGCGAGATGCACAAGCTGGCCATTCTCCAGGCCTCCATCGAGTACGTCCGCTACCTGGAAGACTGTGTGGCCTCGCTCAAGGCCCATCATGAGGGCGGGAAGCAGCAGCAACAGCAACAACTCCATACGTCCTCGTCTCCCGTTCGCAGCCAGTACGATCCGGCTCATCACTACCCGACAGCCTCCAAGGAGGAATCCACGTCGCCTGACGTCGAGATGGATGATGCCATTGGCCAAGATGCCGCCTACGACGATGGCTTAGAAGGCGATGACGGCGATGACGTTGACGTAAACCTGTCGTCACCTACTTGGGATGCCACCCAGCCGTCGTCATCACATTCCACAGTGCACCAGCCGTCCGTCTCGCCTGTTTTGCTGGCCCAGGACGCGCAACGTCGCCCCCAACGTCAGGACTCGCTGTCATCTACTGCCTCTGTGTCGGCAGCAGCCGCTGCAGCGGAAGCCGCGGCTATCGAGCACCACCGGCACTACAGCTGCAGCGCATCCACGCAGGCGTCGCCGGCGTTTGGCCCTCAACCTTCTTACCTGTATTCTGCCACCACCGCCTCAGTGGCTGGTCTGACGTTGACGAGCCCGGCTCTGCTGCCGCAGCGGGACTTGGACCAGGAAGCAACAGCAGCTCTGCTGATGCTAAACAGCGATCGGCGTGGATCAGTAGTCAGCAACGGCAATAACGCGTCCAGCCGGGGTATGAGCGTTCGGGATCTGCTCAGTACATGAAGGAAACTGGAATGCTATGACCAGGGAGCCTCCTTGGCCCCAGAAGTCAGGCTTATGAGACAGTTGAATGAAAGAGCCAGACGAGAACGTCAGCTCGAGCATTTGCTCACGCGTGTGTCCCACACATTTCACGCCACCTGTTGAGTCACCCGAGCCAGCCCGTGACAGATAGGCCAGGAACAAGCGCTGCGTCGTGCCCTAACCCTGTTATCAGCGGATGACGAATTTGCTAGCTGCATAGGCGGGATACTAGCTTCTAAAAGAAGCTGGATACCTTATGTACGGCTGATTATAGGAATGGTTTCCGTATACGCCTGCATTGTTGTGTCTTTAGCTTCACCTAAGCTAGCTTCATAATTTAGGAACTAATTGTGCCCTTTTAACCTTAACTCTCCCGTCCCTCCTTTTCTACTTTGTTTTTTGTAAATTCTTTTGATAGCACAACCTTGATTAGTTCTTATCCAAAACTTTGGTAGCTATTTGCCATAGGCTTACTATGTGACAAGTTGATCTAAAAGAACCATGCCTATTTATATTATTTACATTCCTTTTCTCTCTCTCGTGTATACTTTATAATCTTAGGACCTACTAATTCAAACAAACAAAGTGAACAACAATACAATGGTTCTGGCACGCCTATTAGACACTAATACTATTATGGTTATAGTTTTTCAATTTTTGAAAAACAAAGGCAAGCCTAAACACACCCCTAAGAACCCATATTACGAACGAGTTCCGAGACAGCAAGTGTCTCTGATGTGAGCCGCAACAGCACCGTCCTAGATGACCTGTCATCATACCAGGACGTGTTTAGCTTGGACCAACAGGTGAAATCGATCGTGGAGGACGAGTCCATGTTCGGCACGGTAGAGGGACAGATAAACCTGGACTTCGCCAAGCCTGATGTCGTTAAATTGATTATTCGTGTGGCTGTTGTGCTGACAGCCAAATTCGCGAATCCAACCACGCGAAGATCTCGGGAATCGATGGAAGCAGCTGAGAGAATGGGGAAAGTCATTGCGGCGGTCGCTATGACAGCCGCTGATCTTACAAACGAAACTCCGACCGCCTCGGCATTCTTCTGTGCGTACGCCGTCACCAGGGCGGCCGTGATTTCTGTCAGCGTCCGGGATTCCAGCGTACCTCCGATTACGGCACATGCAGTTGGCAATGCGGCGCTACAGGCTGACTACTTGCGCCACTGCTTCAAAGTAGGGGGAAATGCACGAGATCTAAACACCAAACTCGTGAAAGAGGCAAACGCCTGTGCACACGACTTGATCATGGCCTGCCAAAGTTTATGGGATGTACGGTGTTACATGTCCTCGGCATTGTTCTCGTCCGAGTTGCCAAAGCCGTGGTAGTGGATCCTGGAAATCGAAGAGAAGCGGCCATAATGTTTAGCGAGTATGCGACAAATACAAAAGGAATATTTGGACATCGGGAACCACTATAGGTTCTTTGATTTTATTTAGGGGTGGCCGATTCTGTGAGAATAACGCGTCCCTTCTTGATTCTTGCAAGTCGATTATGCGACTCGGTCCTTCTCTTTTCAGATGAATCGCCAAGACGCGTCGTTTAGCCAGCTCGTTCTTTCCTGTTTCGAATCAAAATTGCGTACGAAAAAATGGTATGATTTCATCTAAATCAGCAATTTCTCTCTCTTCTCGTTTCTTTCTCCTTTTTCATTCTCTTCTCTCTCTCTATATCCCTCTCTATATTCCTATCTCCAAATCTCTTTCCCCTATTTGTTGCAGACCAGACAGACAGCAGCAGATGTGGTGAGGGCCGCGGCATCTTTGGCACTTTCGGCGGCAGACATGACAGGTGCGGCAGTAAGGGCAGAGGCGATGACCGCCCCGTGCATTTCCCAGACCGTCTGGAGACCGTGACGGTGGCGACAATGACTGTCACAGAGACAGTGACGGTGACGACGGCAGCAGCAGCAAACGGCCGAGCCGTGCAAGACTTCACTAATGTAGTCGAAAACGTGTCAAGTTTTGCTGATATGGAATTGCCCCGGTTTCCAGACGTCTGGGCGACTGCATTAGTGGGGGTAGTGACAGTATGGAGGAAGGGGATCACCGAGTCGGTGAAGTCCGCGTGGACGGCGTCGGTTATTGAGATGGAGGAGGGGAGGGAGGAGGAGGGGAGGGAGGAGGAGGGGAGGGAGGAGGAGGGGAGGGAGGAGGAGGGGAGGAAGGCCTCTAGCAATACTTCGGCGACAAATTCCGCAGTTCAAATCTTCCTACGTCTTATTTCAACTATAACCCAGCTTTTTCTAGAGACTAATGACTATTACTTTGCTTCTGTCAGCATACCATAGGAAGCTGTTCTAACGATTTGAATCCATAACCACATTCAGCTCATGTTCAGCTAGCGGGTCTCGTTCAGCTAGGCAACTAATGCAAAAGCCTCAGTCGAATTCTAAGGAAGGAGAGGCTCGGTAACGACAACATCAGACAGATCCGAGCAGAGACAAAACTCAACGAGGATATTTCTACCGGCATTCTAGACGCGGAGTTCGCCAAAATGCTAATCAACACTGAACATCACGGCTACTGAGTCTGTCAAAATCCATGGTATTGCCCGATTTCTTAATTATCCCCCCCCCCGCTTTTAAATAAATCTCGAATAATCAACCACAAGCTGGAAAATCTCGAGAAGCAGCAGTCTGAGTAGCTGCAACCTGGAAGACGTCTGGCCAAACGGCCTCGCTCTCCAACCCTTAAGGTTACTGTCAATGGTTTCGTGGTAGAGCTCGAAAAACTACTACAAGATTCTATTAAAACCACAATCTCATCATTAAGATCTTATGGAAGCATCTGTGCGGTACCCAAGAGCAGTACGAGATGGCGGTGAAAGTTGCGTCCGAATACATTGCATTGCTCAAAGCGTGCATGGAAGAGGCCAATAAAGTCTAAGAAAGGTTGGTACAGGCCAGAAACTTCCTGGAATTTGCTTCCAACAGAAAGAAGTCTAAGCTGTGAAAGGTCAATCCTTTTCTTTCTGCGGATTTCGTGTCTCTGGTGCTACCTTTCATGGTGACATCGACTTTTCATTTGCTTTACCCTTTCTTCGTTTTTACGAAGGCAAACGGCCTGTTTTCGAGCCCCGGAAAGTTGTCGGATCCGGTCATCTAATGTGCAATACGAGCCTTACCGACCACGGGACTCGGTATAGATAGCTGATATAAGAAACCTCACACGCAGTTTGTAAGCTCTAAGCAGCTGTCACCGTAGTTGTGGATCTATTACCTGCCTACCTCTCCCTTAGTACTTGTACTTTATTGGCCTATGTGCGTATGTGTGCATTATTATAGATGGTAACCAAAATATAGAATTCTAACTAGGGATCTTCGGGACTTCCAAGCAATAGCTCAGCACCCAGATCAGCGAATATAACCTTCCATGCTTTGCTGAAAATTGATGCACTTCTTTTTCAAAATAGCCACACCTATGCGCTCATAAATGTTTAAATCTTCAACAAATTTCACTAGAAGCACATAGTGCTGCTGTTCATCGTCATCAGGCTGTTCTGCACTCTTTCCCATGATAACGCATTGGCAAGGGCTCTCGTCCTCGACCGGCTCGTCCAAAAATATCTCCCCGTCATCCGTATTCAAAATGTGCTAAACGGGACACTCTAGCTGAAGCACATGACAATCTTGCATTGTTACTTGCGAAAATGGCGATTTGATGTCGTCGCGCCAGATGACTTTCCCTAGCGGCACCTCTATATATCCAATGACCCTAGTGTAGGCCATCTAAGACTAGAACGGTGGCTTGGGCAGCCGGCCACCAAATTTTATGCGCTGCAATTTACCCCCTTCCGGCCTCTGCTAGAGCAGTAAGTAGTGCAGGTAACGGTTAAAGACACTAGAGCTACCTTTAGATTTAAAAACGTTCTAAGAAGACGAGTCTCGAGCCCGCGGATAGTGTTAGGCCGATCCGTAACAAAGGATAGATCGAGTTTTGTATAGCGCTTATAGAGGCTCTAAAACAACTTAATCCTCTTCCTGCGGATATAGGCGCTAAGCGACTGTAGGAAGTTAGGGTTACTTAGGATAGACGCTTTAAGGCTGTTGGTTAGTTTAAGAGAATAGAAAAAGAACAAAAGAGAGGTTACTTTGCCATCCGCGTCATCGTCTTACAGCGCACGCTACCACCACACTCCTAGTATGTTTGTGTGCTTATAAAGTAAATAATCCGCCGCGATAGCGCGCGCTCTCATAGCACCTAACCGCGCCGATTAATATTACTCTAGTCAACGTTATTGCTAAAGTCGTTAATAGGCTTGCAGACAGTGTACCTTTCTATAGACACATAGCGGCGCTTAACTTGCTTCTTAAGAAACCTATCATTGCTGTTAGTGGCATAGGTGGCCGAAATCGTTACGTAGGCCGAGCTAAAGACGTGTTTTATTTGCTGCAACTCTTTTCTCTTGTCCTCGGAGTCGTCCTAGATTATATAGAGCGAGTCGATCTAGAGATGGCGCTTGCTAAGGCTATGCGTGATATATACGGCATCCTAGAAGGTTTAAGGTAGCTAGGCTACTTCGACACTTTTATGCTATTATTTACAGTTAGCATTATATACATAGAACTATGTTTTAGGCGAATTTATCCTTTAACGGTAAGAGAATGCAATATAGCTTAATACTTGTCTAGCTTAAACAAGCTAAGTATTTATAAGTTATATATTTAGAATATATAACTTTTAATAGTCTTATTAGCAGGAAGTATACATCTTTTAAGACGCATTAATATATCTTATTATAGTCTTAAATCCACGCCTTAAGTATGCAAAGGTGTGCTTAGCTCCTAGCTAACAAGAGTTTAGGGATACCTACTTAAAGCTTAAGGTAGATTGCGTAGTAATCTACTAGTTAGCACAATATAAAGAGCAAGAAGGATGCTAGAAATGTATTAAAGGTAATTTACCTAGGGTAGAGTAGAGAACTGCAACTAGCGCCCGGTCTAGGATAGTTAAACAGGTGCTAATCTAGGTAAAGTTTATAACATTGCAATCGCTTTCTATAGGATTAGTTATTCAAGACTTTAGCAGACTATAGAGGGTGCATTTATTATTCTCTATTCGTCTAGCAAGGTTAGCGTATGTGTACTGGAATGAAAGATCTAAGTTAAACAGCTTAAGGCTATTGCAGCGAGCATAAAGGTGAGAAGTCTTAATAGATGAACGGGCAGGAAAAAGCTCGCTCGAATTAGGGTTGCAAGAAACCTTAATGGCTAAATCTTTGTCCGGTTTATAATCCTACCGGTCGTCTAACTAGTGGTATTAGCAGGAGCATAGGATTATATATAGTAAACTTTTATACTTATGCCCTGCCCTACCTAGGGCGCGCGTTGAAAAACGCGCACCACTATAGGTAGTGCTAGCTAGCTAAATAGTTATACTAGCTAAACAAGCACTATTTTTGTATTATTACTACCTCTTACTTTAACCTCGCTTTAAGCGGCGCATGCGCTTCCTAGCCTCTTAAATTTTATACACGCCTAATCTCCCTTTAATTATTATCTCCCTAGCCCTTTTCGCGGCAGCTATAGACTACTTCTTTATTGCGTTATAATACCTTTTCTTTGCAGCCTTAATTGCCTGCTACTCTTTAGCCTCTTTCTCTTTATCCTTTTAAACAATTATCTCTTAGGCTATATTTACGTTAAGGGTCCCTTCTAACTATAGGCTTGTATTTGCTCTTAATTATGCTTTCTTTCTTACTAATTTAGCAAGCTTAGTATAGCTTAAGTCTTTTTTTATTTAAATTAATTTAGCAGTAATAGTAATTAAGTTTTTAATTAATTAGCAAAGCTTATTATAGGTCTTTTAGTTTAATTTTATACTATTTCTTATCTAGTTTTCTAGCTTATTAGCTACTTTATTTAATTTAGTCTAAAGTAGTAAGTTATAAGAGTTAGTATGCAATATATAGTTATAAAGGCTTAAACTAGCTTATACTATTATATTAAAACTTTAACTTATTAAACTATAGAAGACTAGTAAGTAAAAGCTTACTAGTTAATTTATACATAACTAAAAGATATAGTATAGCGCAACCCTAGTAAGACGTAGTATAGCTTAGTAGCTATGCTAGTCTTATATAACGTGTTAAAATAGTTTATTAAGTCTAACGCTTAGTAAGCAACTAGTTGCTAAACCGGTGCGTAAGAACGCGTATATAGAATACTCTTATACTATCCCCCTCCTTTTTAAGTAACGCCTTTATTAGCTTAAAGGTATATACGCAGTAGCTACTTACTTATTTAAAAAACCTGTCTGTTAAAGGTGTACTTGGGTAGGCCAGGTAAGTCAGGCAGGCAAGGAGGTATCTTCTTAACAGGAGGAAGCAGCCGTATATTCAATAGCTAATTCTTGCCTTCTGCACTCTAAGGGAGTGCGGGAGGCACTCTTTATCGTAGGCGCACCTCTGGCGCACCAAGTGCGCAGGACAGGCGCGACCCCGTTTCTACTTGGCCCGTGCGCTAGCACGTGCTGTGGCCTGTGCGCAGACTGCGCCACGCAGCCTGCGCCACTAGCACCGCTTCTAGTTCACGATGTGCATCTAATACGCTGTGCGCATACTGCGTACGGCTTGCGCGTAGCCTGCGTCGGTCCCCTTCCTGGGGCGGCGTTACATTAAAGGCTAAATAAAAGTGTTGCTTCCTAGCCTATAGCTAGGTAGCGCGCTTTTAGAAGCTGCTAGGTGTCTTAAAGAGTAGTTCGATACCGCTTTTTAAGATAATATCTTAACTGCAAGAGCTGTCTTTGTTAGAGTCCTCGCTGCAAGTGCGCTTACTCTTCGCTTAGGTTGCTCTTATATCTAAGAGCTGTTACTATAGGTCTACTATTCGCTGCTTTAAGCGCTTCGCTTTACGCAGTTAATCATTTTTAGCAATAAGGTCCGCTACTATCTAGTCTGTAGTAGGCCTAATGGTCTGCCCTAAGGGGCCTTTGCCCGCATCATTGTTATCTAGTTGCTTGTAATCCTTCTCTAAAAGATTAAAGTCTTTGTTCTCTACTTCTTCGACAATAAGGTTAAAGAGGTTCTTGACTGTTGCCCTAGAGCTGCTCTCTTCCTACGCACTACGTGCGTGCAACGTTTGCTTTGTAGTCTTTCGAGGTGCCATTGCTCCTTCTGCCTCTTAACTCGGGTAGCCTAATAGTAGAAGAATTAGGAATTGTTAAAGGTATACTTAAGTAAGCTAGGTAAGTTAGGCAAGCAAGGAGGTATCTTCTTAACAGAAGGAAGCAGCCGTATATTCAATAGCTAATTCTTGCCTTCTGCACTCTAAGGGAGTGCGGGAGGCACTCTTTATCGTAGGCGCACCTCTAGCGCACTAAGTGCGCAGGATAGGCGCGACCTCGTTTCTACTTGGCCTGTGCGCTAGCACATGCTATAGCCTGTGCGCAGACTGCGCCACGCAGCCTGCGCTACTAGCACCGCTTCTAGTTTACAATGTGCATCTAATACGCTATGCGCATACTGCGTACGGCTTGCGCGTAGCCTGCGTTAGTCCCCTTCCTAAAGCAGCGTTACACTATCTTTAT